CCCGCCCCCGCCCCCCCCCCCCCCCCCCCCCCCCCCCCCCCCCCCCCCCCCCCCCCCCCCCCCCCCCCCCTAGAAGCATAGCAAATTGGAAAGCTGCTCAACGAGATGTGTGATCAAAACATTCGCTCTAGCCAATTTCATAACCATGTTAGATGATTTGCATTAATATTCTATTTCTCTTAGTTAGAGGACGAGGGTGCTAGATGACGGCTGTAGGAAGATGCGAGAGGTCTAAACTTCTTGCTTGAGGCGACTTAGATCCCGTCATGTGCTCGTGCATTAAATAATGCTCGGAAGACCGAGAAGAAGCTAGATGAAAAGACTGATTACACCCTCCGACTGGCATATGTATAACAGTAGGATTAAATAAAGTATATTCCGTAGACGAGTATAGAATGGAGTTACGCACCAGTACGATTAAAAGTGCGGACTGGGACGACCCGAACTACGTACCGGTGTGGGTAATAAGGGGATAATGACATTATAGTTAACAAATAAACATGACCTAACTAACAAATCAATTACCTGTGAGTAGTCCGAATAAAAAATGAGAGATCCTAAGCTAAGACTGAAGACCCCAGAGGAGGTATAGACACCCAAAGGTGTCGCGCCCTTATTTTGTCAGTAGAAAATATTTCGTGCATTCAGAAGCTATCATAGAGTATCTATTACGTATTTTATTGCGTGGGAAATCTCGCATTCTCCGCCATACTGTTCTCGGCTATGGGCCAGAAGCTGTGAGATGCGCGGATCGAGTACTTGATAATCAAACATACAAAGAGTAGAAAGAAAGTAGCGTGATACCCCGGCTTGCTTCAATTCCAATTCGATCATGACATATATACGTGCAAACTGTGAAGCGGCTGACATTAACGTGAACAATCCATTGATTAGGCACCTAGGGAGCATCTGCAAGCATGACTACAGGGAACTGCTCCGCAGAACCGAGGCACCACTGCATCAGGGCAGCAATATATTGCTGCATGTCAGACTAGTAGTTACATCCCCTTACCCCTTCACGGCCGTTGCGTTTGAGCGGCTCAACAGAATGGAGGGTTAGCTCCTATTGACATATGAGACTCTGTCGGTCTCCTCTTAAATCCATGTGTCAATAGCACACGCCACACGAAGACGCCAGAGGGGTGCTTCTTTCAAGAGAAGTTATTTGAAGAAAACCAAATAATACCAGGAGTCGATTATACCAAATTCAATATTCGAGAGTTAGTTCACAGTTGAAAGCAGCAGCTCAGCACCGCTTCACATAGGCCAGACTGTCAGATGAGGGTTACAGTGGCTTGTGGAGATAGTCTTATGTCATTCATCAGATTTATCGACGACTTCGAGAGTGCCATCCGAATTGCTTCAATGAGCAGAAAGAGGCGCAATCTGTCCAAGCTGAGGTTCCAGAATGGGATGTGGTTGATGCGTGCTTGAGTCATACCTCGTCGCAAGACTGCATGCAATCTAGGACTTCGTGCGGCTCTGCTCTAGTCCTCCCAGGCTGCACGGGGCAAAAATTGGACAGCATCAGACGCTGGGGATGTCGTCACCTTAGTTGATAGATGATCTGAATTGCGCTAATAGGAATTTTGAACTTCTTTTCTCTGCATCCTAAATGGTGTATATAAGACCCATTCTCCACGACCGAACGACTTGCCTTGACGATGTTGCTCATCCGACCTCTTCTGCCCTATCGAATCTAGCTTACCTCCTCCCGAACAAAAATCCACAGGCCCCGACATGCATATTAAAGGTTTATCTTTGGTTCTCCTATGGGGGACTTTCTTGGGTTGTAAGTTAGCCTTGATCCCGTATACCTCGCAGATAACCTCACACTAACGGCATGTCACGATCTAACAGCCACACTAGCCGGCTCCATATCCAAACAACTATCGACGTTCTCATGGAGTCCTACTCAAGTCCACTCATTCAGCCTACACGCCAACAGTCAATTCTACCACATCTGGTGGAACGGAACCGGCTTCGACTACCAGATACTCCCAGGCAGCGGATGGGCTAGTGCCCCCGAAGCAGTGAGCTGGGGTCCAAACCACATCGACCTGTTCGCTCTTGACCGTGAAAACTCCTGCTACCATACTACATGGGACGGCAGCAGCTGGAGTAGCTGGGAGAACTTAGGCGGGCAGTTTACGAGCTCGATCAAGGCCGTGTCTTGGGGTCCTGGTCGCATCGATCTGTTCGGTCGAGGACCGGACATGGCCGGCTGGCACAATACGCGGGACGCAAGCGGGTGGTATCAATGGTCAAGCCTTGGTGGCGACCCTCATCTGGGCGGGTGGCTGAATAGCGGCATTGAAGCGGTCAGTCGGGGTGCGAATCTGCTCGATTTCTTCGCCCTCGGCATCGACAACACCTGCCTCCACAGGTCATGGGATGGTAGTACCTGGAGTCCATGGACCAGTCTTGGCGGCAGCTTGACAGGGCCTATATGTGCCGTTAGTTGGGGCTTGGATCGACTTGATCTGTTCTCAAAAGGGCCCTCTAATGAGCTGTTACATAATTGGTGGGATGGAGTGAGCTGGAGCGGATGGGAGTCTCTAGGTGGCACGATCATAAGTGACATCAGCTGCGTATCGCGGGCGCCAAATCGGCTGGATGTCTTTGCTCTGGGTACTGAGAATACTGCTTTTCAACGACGATGGAATGGAAACAGCTGGGAAGAATGGGTGAGGTTGGGAGATACTAGGTTTTTCAGCGCCGTCGCGGCTAGTGCGGCGGGAGCAAACCACCTCGACTTGTTTGCGGTTGGCATCGACAATGGCTTTTTTCATCAGTCATGGAACGGTAGCAATTGGGATGGGTGGACTTGGCTTGGTGGTTCTCTGATCAACAACATCCGAAACACTTGAGGCACTTGTAAATTACCCATGTAGATGAGCGATACCAAGTCGCCAGCCCAGGTGGGCTCGGTTTTCAAGTGCCTGCTTGACGTAGCGCTGCACCTCCCTGTTATAGACAGAAGATGTCACTGCAGATTCAGCGTTCACCTCCGTATTGAACTAGGTAGATGAGACTAACTTGTCTCTATTCGCGTCATTTTTTACTACTTGAGAACACTGATTTATATTCACATTAGAGAAGGGAATATATTTCTTGGCAAGTTTTGATAAGCAGATTATGGCAACATTCAGTTCAGGCCTGGAGCTTCATTTCCGCCATATATCCCAACCGTATTTGGTAAAATCCGAAAGCCTCCGAATGTTAGTTCAGGACTTCCCATATTTTATTATATCTACCTGTTATATAACAATTACATTTGCCTTAAACTATGATTAATACTCAAGCTAGAATTCGATTATGTCTTTGTTATTGCTTAGTTATCTAGTCATTGCACTTTATAACATTAGTGACAACAACCCCCTTTGTGGTGGCACTCGCAACAACCTTGGAAGGGAAAGCAGCTGCTGGCTACTGCACTTTGGCACCATTGTATTATTTCAGCAGGTAGCAGGTACGCTGGGCGTTGTCATATGCCCCTCGCAGTGGATTTCTATTCATTACCCAGATCCTTCTACTCTACAACATCAATCCAATCGCTTTGCCCATCCCATCACTTACAAACTTGACTCGAGGGTCTTCAATATTAGCTTAGTACCGCATAGAAACTTTTGGTTCTTGTTCTCTCTTGTCCTCTCTTCCTCTCTCAGGGAGGCTTACACGAATATATTTCAAGTCTTATTTTTTAATACAAAATAACCCAATGCGAATAAGAGGGTCCAGTTTATTGTCTAAATTATTATGATCCTAAGCAATTTGATTAAAAATATTTTAAAGCATGTTTTGCCCACTTTTGCCAATGAACTGGTGCTGATTTAGTAGAGGCTTTTAAACCGAATACAATCAGAAATTACCAAGGGGCAATCAAGTCATCTATTTCATCTACTTTGCTTGCCTAGCCTAGATATGCAAAAGATTGAGTAGTAGTATACATACTTAGGGAAGTAGGTAGCTTCTGCGCAACTCGTCCCAAGAAGTAGACGGCTTTATGCCATCCCTACGTAGATGACTACTTAAACTCAAGAAGCCCAATCATAATTTCTAGTCACACATTTAAGGTTATATATCCCAGGTTTTTCCTTCACTTGCTGCTACTGATTTCTTTAGAAGGTACCGTGGCTGCTCCCTTTTGGAACGCTTCCTAGTTTCTAAGGTTTGTCAACGCATTTCATATAAGATGAGGACTGGATATTTTCACCTCCAATACGATCTGTCTTCTTTCCATTGGTTTTACGGCCAAAGTCCGTAGATGACTCGCATATATGGGCGTGCAAGAGTGTTTGATACATATGAGAACCGTTGTTAGTTCTAGGGGGTAGCCCAGTCAATACTTCCAGAAGCCGTGATTAGTAGTTAAGCAAAAACCCTGCCTCACGACCACCCCCGTCACGACCAGGGCCCTAAGCACCCTAAAACGCGCTTTAACTCCCAACTATTTAATTAAATATTACTTAATAATATAATTGCGTTTAAGTCTTATAATAACTTTTTACCTTTATTTTATTTAAAATTAACTTTTCTTTATTGCTATATTTTTTAATTTTAAAAATTATTATACTATAGTTACTATTTATACAGTTTAACTTAAAATCCTAATTTAAGCAGCAATATATATTTAAAGCATTAATAGATTGTACCTATATTATTAGCTTTAAAGTATTTTTATTAAAAAATAAACCTACGTTAACCTTTAAGCCTTATTAACCTATTATAAATATTAATTAATAAATTGGATAATAAGGTAGGTTAAGTTAAGCTTTATACCTTTATTTTTTAAATTTAAATTTATAATTAAATATATATTAACCATTTTAAGCAATAATAAAAGCTTTAAAAAAAGTAATATATATATTTTTTAATTTAAAACAATAAAGTTAAATTAATTAAATTATAATTTATTAATTATATATATATTAACGCATCTCCCACTTGACCTGGCCACCCAATTGAGCTGGCCACCCCCCCAGCCCATACAAAAAACGTCGGTGCGCTAATCACGTGATAATTCAATAACTTTACAAGCACTGGTCGTATAAAATAATAAAATATACCATTAGATTCGTAATAAAAAGAGCTATTTAACGATACCCTTCATTAGTTTATACAACTTATATTCGTGGAGTTATTACGCAATACGCTAAAGTAAGCGCTAAAATAATCCTTGCCTAGCGCCCTTTTAGCGTATTGCTTAATATCTCGCTTAATAAATTTTGTAAAAAATAGTAAAAAATACCTTTAGATTCCCCTTGAACTAACGGATTTAACGGTACTAATCATTAAACCGTACGATCCGCATTCGTAAAGTTATTGAAGATTGAAATAATAGGATTTTATATAGGTTATTGGGGTGGCCAGGTCAATTGGGTGGCCAGGTCAAGTGGGAGATGCGTTAATAATATAATAATAGTTAATATTAACCTTTTTTTTAATTGCTTTAAAGCTTTAAAAATTATAAATATTCCTTTTAATTACTTTTATAATATTAATAAAATAGGTATAAGTTAAAATATTAATAATAATTATTAAATAATTATTAATTTTATTTTATATTAAACTTTTTAAAAAGCTATTAAAAAAGATAAATGGATTATTATTTTTAAAACTATTAATATTATTAATAATACTTTACTATTATTAATAATTTAAAAGGGTATATAAATATAAAGTTAATAGTTTTTAAATTAAAATTAAAGCTTATTTAAAAATTAACACTTTAAATATTTACCTAATAGGTGGATTAATAATTTTATAATATTAAAGTAATTATAAAACCTTTTTATACTTTATATTTAAAGCTATTATAATAATATATAATATATATTAATATATAATAGTTATAAATTATATATTAATAATAAGTTTTTTTAAACCTACTTTTTAAATAAAATTTAGCTTTTATTTTATAAACCTTAACGCATCTCCCACTTGACCTGGCCACCTAATTAACCTAGCTACATTTTTAACCTTTATATACGTATTTGAAAATATCTTAATAATTATTTATACGATTGATTTAAACTAATCTAAATCTAAATCGCTAAACATTTTTATAATATTTTTGCAAATTTGTATATTATAGCTAGGTATAAGTTTCCTTCCTCCTTATATAACAACTACCTTAATATATAATGCAATTTTCTACCTTAAGAATACCCTATACCTTTATTTAATCCTTAATATCTTTAACAATAAAAGATCTTCTATTTTATAATTTAATTCTTTTTATATAGTAACGTTTATTAAACTTATAATTTATTTTATAAAAGCTTTTAACCTTCCCTTTTAATAATATAAAATAATATATAATATTAGTTATATTATATATAATTTAACTTAACCCTTTAATAATAAATATAGGAAAGCTATTTTAATATTATATAATTTTTTATTTAATATATTTAAAAAAGGAATTAGCTTTAGTTAGGTTATTTAAAGTTATAATTATATAAGGATTAAATAGTACCGGGAATAAAGGGTTAATTTAAGGTATAATTGAATAATTTAACTAGTTAATAATATAATTTAAATTGTATAGCATTAAACCTATTCCTTTAAATCCCTTTTATATATTATTTAGAATAATTGCTTTATTAAACGTATAGAAAAATACGGTTATAAAATCTTCCTTTTAAATATAGGTAATATATACCTATATAAAGCCTTTAATTTATTTTCTATATAATTGTTTTAAAGGGCTAAATACTTTAACATTAAGTAGTTAAAGGTAATAAAAGGAATAGGAAGGTATATAAAGGGTAATAATATTATTTTCTTTATAATATAATTTAAATTTATATAAATAGTAGCTTTTATAACTATTAAAAAAAAAAAGTAATAATATCCTTTTATATAAAGCTTTATATATTTATTAAAATGTTTAATTTAATTTATAACTTATTTATTTATTATTTAACTATTTTTTATAATTATAATCTTTTAATTATTTAATATATTGTTATTTTTATATTAAGGTATAAAGTAGTTTTTTCCTATTAAGATAATATATAGTAGGATAATTTAACCATACGATAAAATTGCTTAAATAATTATAAACTATTTTAAATTGCTTGGTTAAATAGCTTATAGTTTTTATTTATATTTAGTTAAAGTTATAACTATTTTAAATATAATTTTATTTATTATAAACCTAATTTTATTAAAGTTATAAATATTTTTTTTTAAATATTATTTTTATTTATTATTTTTTATATAAGGATAAATTAAATATAATATTTAATTGGATTTTTATTTAATACTTATTAATAATTAATTCTTTAATTAAAATATATTTAAATATTTAAAGTTTATTATATAAAGTTTAACATTTAATTTTTTCCAACTAGCTTTTAACCCTATAATGCTATTAATTAATTAGCTATATCTTTTATATAACTATATAAAGGCGGAAATAATTTTGCTATAAGATTAAAGATATATTGTACGATTAATTATTTTTCGTCCGGAGTTAATTGGGCTTTTAAAGGTGGTATTTTGCTTGTTGGTTTAAAACCTTTCGTTCGAAGGGTAAATGTTATACGAGGAATATTATAAATAGTAACAGCGTATTAAATAAATAATTTCAAATTTCGTTCAATAGCTTGGAATATAAGCTATAGGTTGCTTTCTTTATAAAGGGTTTCTATAATTATTAGTAGAGAAATAAGGGATTTTTTTTATATGCGTATAAAGGTTAAAAATGTGGCCAGGTTAAGTGGGAGATGCATTATTATAATTATATATTATAATTATTAAATATTAAAATCTTTAATTTATTAAAAAAAAAGTTAAAAAATAAGCTATAGGAAATATTTATAAGCTATTTAAAAATAAAGCTTTTAAAAAGAAATATATTAATAGTATATAAAGCTATATATAAAGATATAATAAAGTTAAATATATTAAAAAAAGTATAAAAAATAATTAAAATATATTTAAAAAACTAATAAGTATTATTATTTTTAAAATATATAATATTTAAAAAAAAAGGTATTATAAAGGTAATAGTATTAATATTTATAATTAAAGAATAATTTATTATATTTAATTTATTAAAAATAGCTTTAAAAATTATAATTAAAATACCTTTTAAAAGTTAATAATTATAGGTTAATATATAAAAACTAATTTAAACCTTCCTTTTATTTAATAATTTATTATAAAAGCTATTTTTTATAAAGGTTAATAAGGCCTTTAATAAAAAGGTTAAAAATTTTACATTTTTATAAATAAAGATTAAAGCATTAAAAGTTAAACTTTAAAAAAATATTAAAGTTAAGTAAAAAGTAGTTAAAATAAGTCTTAACAATAACTTTATTTATATAATATATATATAAAAGGTAAAACGTAAATTATATAATTATTTAATATATATTAACGAAGTTGTTAATTAATATATTTTAAAATATAAGGATATTAATATAGAAAAGGTTATTAAGGTTAAAAATAATAGATTTAATTGAAAATATTAAAAAAAGCATCGCGAATAACGTATTCGTTAAGAAAATCGCTTTAAAAGTTGGGTAATTAGTAGGCAGGGGGGGTGGTCGTGATAGGGGGTGGTCGTGAGGCAGGGTTTTTGCTTAATGTACGGGGAATCTCGGATCGCACAGTCTATACGGTGAGTGGTTGAGGAAAAGAACCAGTGATTTACTAATTATGGAAAAGAAAGAAAATAATTGCAAGTCCTCATAATAGTACATACATATCGTCTTCAGAATGCACTAGCGACGCCCCTGTCCCTACTTCTTCTCCATCATCTCACCCTCAACATACAGCCATGTGGATGATGTGTCAGCCTCCCCAATTCCAACAACTACATCTTACACCCCGAACAGGAAACTTCATTGTTCAATTTCACCCTCCGATTTCTCCGTGGCGAATCCTCTTTGCACGGCGGCCCCAAAATCAATGCCAAACCTTCTGGCCCATATCCCGTCGGCTTCCTCTCCCTGCGTCTCCCACCATCCAGAGCTAAACCCCTAATCGCCAAGCAATTCCGTTAATTCGGCTGCGCTCATGCACTCAGCGCCCGTAGTGCGCGCTGCACACCGGCAGAACTCACTCCCTGCGAGAAAGCGCTATTAAACTTACAATCGGGTATGGGTGGCGTGGAAGAATGCCGCGGACGTCCGTCAGCCAGAAATCGAGCCTGGATTCGGCAGGTCCATCATGGTATTATCTGTGCCAAGACCAACCTTGACAATTAACTCCGATCCAAGGTCCCTTTTCCAAATAACGTGGACTGGAGCCAGTTTATTCACTCATGCGGTTTACAAATACACGCCATTAACTCATAATCCTTGTTCCCACATCAGGGAAATCCACAAGTGCCGAGCCCGAGCATCAAGGGCACCGGGTAAACCACAACCGATTCCCCGCACTGTCTATTGTTCAGGCTTCTTGGAGCATACATCATTACATCGCGCATGTGAATCTCGTAGATATATATCTACGTCTTCCCAAGCATTCAGTATAATCAAAATACGCCAAATACCTACATAGTGCGTTCTGTTTTGCGGGGCAAGAGTTGCCAAGTCCAAGCGACCTACGGAATTTGAAAATAGGAAGTGGGGAGGCAGAAGAGACTATCTAATTATCGCATCAAGCAAGGAAGCATGGACAAGCTACCCCCTCTCGGCCGCGGGATAGAACAGGTCTTACTCCCTACATTTGCCGCCTACGAAGACCTGTTGAAAGCCAACGAGGCCGACATCCGGTCCGCGCGGCGCGAGACGCACAGCTACGGGCCGAACCCGCGCCATGTGCTCGACGTGTACTTCCCCGATGATGCGTCAAAGATAAAAGGAGGGAAAGCTACTGTCCTTGTATTCTTGCACGGCGGCGGCTTCTACACCGGCGCGCGCATCAACGAGGGGTACGCGGGAGGCCTGATATTCGGCAACATTGGGCGGTTCTTCACGGCTAAGTACGGCGTGACGGTCATCGTGCCTGATTACCGGCTCATCTCACACGGCGCGAAGTACCCCTCCGGCGGTGAGGACGTCGCGCTTGTGGTAGACTGGATAAAGGCTTCGCTAGCGCAGCGCGAAGGGCACGAGAGTGTCGACGTCGTGTTACTAGGGAACTCAGCAGGTGGGGTGCATGTGTTGACGTTTCTGTTGGACGGCGCGTTCGAGGCGGAGAGGGAGGCTGTTCTCGCGGAAGACGCTGCTGTACGGCTTCGCGGGGTGATTACTCTAGGCGCGCCGTTTCATTGGGGCGGATTCCAGGACGATGCTATTCGGACGTATCTAGGGGAGAATACGATAGAAGAGAACGCGTCATTGAGCAAGTTGCAAGCTGCAATTCAACGGGGCGCGAAACTGCCGACGGTGAAAATCCTGATACTGGTGAGCGAGCTGGATCCGCAGTTGATGTTCACATCAGCCGAGGAATTCAAGGCGGCGTGGAAGGATGCGGATATCGAGATCAAAGTGCTCGAGGGACATAACCATATCAGTCCTCCGCTGGGACTAAATACGGGAATTGAGCGTGAGGAGGCTTGGGGCGCGCAAGTTGCACAGTTTTTGAGCTCCTGTACTTCTGATTGATAGACCTGTGAAAATTTCATCATGGGACATCACGAGCACTAGATTAATCGTACAACTGAGTGAATCTTACTTCACTCAAGATAACGACTGCTTCTCATCAGATTGCTGCAGGATCCGGCTCCAACGCTCTTAATGTCTCTCGGTGTGGTGCAGCTCCGACGCTGTCACCCCCCCACCTCCAATGTCACATTCCATTATCAGGTTATCATCCGATAGATAGTCAATCTTGAAGCAATTGAGAAGTAGACATAATAATAGGATATCCAACAAGACATTCGTTTCGGGTTATTCGCCGTGATCATTGTACCTGCTCATTGGCAAGATGAGAGTTTTACCTCTGGCTTCATTATTCATCGGCCAAGCCTGGTGCGTCCTTGAAGTAATCCAAGCTGCCACTCCTCCCCGCTTAGATCTCAGCGCCCCAGCATGCAGACAAGAAGTCTTCAAGCATGATTTTGGGAATAGCTATGGTTCGCCATATGTTGGATATTACACGCCACCGCCTGGCTGCGTCTACACGACAACTATCTTCAACCTAAGCGTGGTATCCAGGGGGCGACAATACGACCGGCTCGCGACGCTCTGGCTCGGCGATGTCGAGGTGTGGCGGACATCAACGGCAATGCCGACGCAGACAGGGATTCACTGGTCATTCCAGAAAGACATGACGATATGGAACACTCTGCTGCGCAGCCAAGATCCCATAAAAATCATCTTTGAATTAAATAACATTATTGACGGCGACCGCTACACGGGGTTGTTCAATGCTACGCTCGAGGCGCTGTACTTTGATGATGTTTACGACGGTCAAGGACTGCACCCAGCAGAGCACATATACGCTATTTCGACGCGTTCATCATCTAGTAACATGACCTCGTTATTCTCTCTCCCGGAAGATAGTGGTGCCGTCAACTTGACCTTCCCGCGAAACGCCAAGACCGCTGTAGTGTCCATCATTGCCTCTGGAAATGCGGCCGAAGAGTTTTGGTTTACCAATGTGCCAACCGAGTACATCAACACGTTCCCGGAGAACGAGGGATGGTTATACGGCTATAGCCCGTTCCGAGAGGTGCAGCTACTTATCGATGAAGAGCTTGCAGGCGTATCGTGGCCATTCCCTATCCTCTTCACAGGTGGTGTTGATCCCGGGGCTTGGAGACCGATCGTCGGCATCGACGCATACGAGCTACCGTCGTTCGAGATCGACGTGACGCCGTGGCTTGGGTTGTTGACAGACGGAGACTCTCATAGATTCGCACTCCGTGTCGTCGGTTATGACACTTCGACCGAAGATGGCATCGGGCCGGTTGGAGAGAATTGGTGGGTGTCAGGGTCCGTTTTCATCTGGATTGACGAGGGGAGTGAGCAGACGACAGCGAAGAGCTTCAAAAGCGAGATTTCATCGCCCCTATTCGAGTTTCAACCGACCCTCGGCACTCGTGTTGCTGAGGATAGTACTTTAACTAACACGTCTTTCTATTACTCCTTGATAGCTAGTCGAAGTCTCAAAGTGTCCTCGATAATCACGAGCGGAGGGGAGAGTCGCCCAGTCTCTTGGAGCCAAGATGTATCTTATTCCAACATCCAAAACATGACAGACTTTGCTTTCAACCAATCTCTCGCAATGGTCTCTTCTGGTAACCATTCTAGCTCGGCTTCGAATATTGTATCGAGTTACACATATCCAATGAATCTGTTTAGTGCGTATAAAGTCCAATCGGAGGGCGCAACTACCAATCCAGGCTCCGTTCTTTGCCTTGTCGACAGAAGCAAACTCACTAATGGCCTTTCATTATTATCGTTTCTCGCCGGCACATCAACCGGGCTCGAAACTCTAAGCACGAGGCAAAACGTCACTTCCAGCTATCATTGGAACTCGACTATAGTGGAGGGTACCGCAGGCCTAGATACCATGAACGGTGAGACGTGGTTTTCTTCTTCTAGCTCTCCTGGAATTAGACAAGGTGTACGGAAGTACCACCGGTATGCGAAGGAAAAGGATGATGCCTTAGAAGTCGACCAAGAAGGATGGGATACGATCCCGGTGCCGCCCACCGAGCCATTGCCTGTTGTTGAGGGAGAACCACATGTATAGCCCTTTCAAGCATAGAAATCATAGACCCTTCTATGTAAGGTTATATAATGGCGGCAGAATGTGTTCAGCCAGCTCTGAGTGTTCGGTGGTGTCTGTTAAGTTTAAAAATGGTCTAGAAGTATCTTGAAATCAGACATCAATGTTAGGCTGGTGTCGTGCGCATTCCAGTCTGGAGATCTTGCCCGTTGCTTTACTGCGAATGTGGGTAGACAATCTATTCGCTATTCGCCTCACGAACGAGTTCCCAGCATTTCCGCATGCCCGTTCCCATGGATTCATTCTCTACCTCATCGCTCCATCGATCATTAGTATCGGGTAACGTATTGAATTCGCTCTTTGAGCATTTAAGCTCAAATAAAAAGACGTGCATTGTCAACTTAAGGTGCGAGAAAAGCCACGGGACGCTTCCAAGCTCGCTGACAAACTTCAACTTCAGATGCGTTGAAGAGTTGCGCTTGAGGGCCGGGTCTAGAACTTTTGATGCGTGGAGCTCGGCAGCCCGTTTATAAGCTGTCGCCGTGTTCTCGTAGTCTTCCGGGACAATCCAGCTAGGGAACTCCCATAACCCAGCTAGTAGGCCTTTGTCAGGTCGCCGGTGAATGATGTATCGACCATCACCGCGGTGTATGGCGCACACAAGCGTTTCCTGTTCTTTCACGGCCTTTTTGATGACCTTGACGGGAAACTTTCTCGCATGTTCCACGATAGTGTTTAACCCCGCACGAGTAAGTTCTGTTGGTACAGATTTGCTCGCCTCAACCGATTCCTTAGGCCGTGTGAAAAAATTTGATAGGGTAGGCTGTCTCAACAGTCGTGGTTTTCCCTTCTTCGCAATCGGCACAATCTCAGCCTCATCATCACCGTTATCTTGTATCACCTCCTCAAAAGGTTTGCAGAAATTGCATGAGTCCTCAATATCAGGTAGTGAGCCACGCTTAGAGTGTGTACGTATGTCTTTTGGGGCCAATCCTTTGGTGGATGCATACTGAAGGCCCTCACCATATGCGCGGCAGGTTTCACTGATAGGACAGACCTCACAGTCTGGTTTAGGGGTACAGATTGTACTACCCAATTCCATTAATGCTTGACCCCACCGTCCTGGTCTATCGCTGATTTCTTCTTCCTCAGCACTTCTTGATTCCTCATCCGGAAAGTCTTGTGCAATGGCCTTGACCAAGCTGTCGGCCGCCGCCCAGAGGAGATCGATGACAGACTTGTCAGTTTTGACATCTCCAAGGAGGCCTAACTGGCGACTGAGAACACGGAGTACATTGCCATCCACCATGGGAGCTGCCTTGCCAAAAACGATAGCTGAGATGGCGCCGGCAGTATACCGCCCGACTCCAGGAACATTCGCGACGAGCGTGTCTACAGATGAAGGCAAAAGTCCTTTTGTTTCCGGGTCTTTGCATACTAATTTTGCAGCTTCATGTATCCTAGTTGCACGGCTATAGTAACCCAGCCCACGCCATGCCGCTAACACTTCGTCGCTTGTAGCTGCGGCCAGTTCGTGGATTGTAGGCCATTTTGCCATCCAACGGTTCCAGTAGTCTATGACAACCGCAACTCGCGTCTGTTGCAACATAATCTCACTAATCCAGACTTCGTAGGCACGCTTCTCTAGTTTTTGGCGAAGAAGTGAAGGATCATCGGTATATGTGCTTGGGTCAATCCAAGGCTTTCGCCATGGCATTGATCGTTTAGTGCTTATGCCATCAAACCAGTCAAGGAGATCCTTCCGCCCTTTTCGACTACCCAGCAGTAGTGGGCGATGGTAGTCGACATTATGAACTCGCGCAGGTAATAATACACATGGCGGTATATCAGCCACCACCCGGTCGACGCTGAGTAGTTGTGCTAAGGCTTGCTGGTGTTCACTGTTCTTGCTGCTTTTACTACGCGAAGCTAGCTTACGCTTCTTCTTCTTCTGCGGCAATTCGGTGGCTTGTTCTGGTGATTGATAGTCATCATCTTCACTGTGCGACGCGTCGTCCCGCGTTTGCCGCGGTGGTACTGTCCTTTTTCTGGTGGAATTGGAATTGTGTGTGAGCGTAGATCTATTGTCTTCACTCGTTTTTGAAAGCCCGTTGGAAGACGTGACTGAAGCCTCATGGCTTTGTCTCTGGACTTGTCGCAAGGAGCGTCTCATGGTGGCTTTTCACCATTCATCAGAGCAGCGCCATGCAAGACGCGGCGGGATTGAGATGCAAGTCTCCAGTTTGATGCGGTCTCACGTGACACCAATAGTCCCGAGTGGGACCTGCCCAGAGGACCCTTATCTCGCTAGAATTACCAGCCTAGGGACCCTACCAACCATCTTGAGCAGCACTATGACGACATACCTACTTCTTGTAGGCAGTTATCTCCGGAACTATGGGAGCCGGCATACGTCGTGCTTCCCAGTTACCCGTCTATGGACTGTCATGATGATGGCACTGCAGCAACATCAGCATTGCTGATTGGGCACGGTGACGCGGATTGCAGACCAGAAGGAGGAACCCCGCACTTGTTGTGTGGTAACACCAGATCAAAGGTGCTTACGAAGTATATTATGTAGTGAAGGTTTGTTTTTAACTTAACGTTACCTCCATGCAGAGTAAGTTGAGCAGGGTGACCCAAATATTTCGAACCATGCCGACTTCTGAACCTGAGCATCCTCGAAATGGCCATGTCTACTATGATGCCACCTGATGACCTCGGGGACGACGGTGAATTAGATGCCAACATCGTCGCAGGTAATATTGGATGCCCTCATGAGGCACAGGTTTTTGACATTTACTAATATACATCAGCATTGCCGACTAGCAGCGCAACCCACTTCGTCACCCCATCGGGCGAGAGTCTTTGGGTACAGACGGTGAAGATCGAGGCCAGGGATGGGGAAAACGAGACTGGCGCGTTCTTCAAGAAGGTACACCCCAGTTGATATTGCTGGGCACTCGCAAGACCAGTTGACTGGCATTGCTGACGTTGTTTTAGAGCGCTCCCGGAGACACCGGTTACGGCATGATGAAGGGAGCCTTCGAGGCTGAAAATGCCCTCTACGACGTCATACCCGAGTACGTCCCTCGCCCGGTCAGCTATGGGACCTACATGACCCATCCTGATCTGCATTTCTATATATGTGACTTCGTCGATTTGGTCGATGAAGTCCCCAGTCCTGCCGTATGGGCTGAAGCAGCTGCAACATTGCACAAGCGCAGCAGGTGGCCTACCGGACAGTTCGGTTTTCACTGCCCTGGCCACGTGGCCAACGTGTTAATCGATAATATTTGGGATTCATCCTGGGAATCTGTCTGGACTCATCAAATGAGATCATTACTGCGTCAGGACGAAGCAATACATGGTGTAGATGAAAAATACTCTGAGCTACAGGCCACTTTTTTCGACGTTGTGATCCCTACATACCTAAGGCCGTTGGAATCAAACGGTCGGTCAATAACACCATGTCTAGTTCATTCAAACCTGTGGCCCGGTAATATCAAGCCGCGGGCAGACTCCAACACAGTTTGCATGTTCGATTCGTGTGCTTGCTGGGGACATCATGAAGGTAAGATATTTCCTTGAAAGCCTACATAGGTAGGGCAACTTTGATGAACCATTTCCAACTAAGGCATCTTGGACGTAGCTGAGCTGGCTGTTTGCCGGAACCCACGATATCGTCTTGGTAAAACGTATATAGAAGAGTACCTGAAGCACATGCCGATTTCAGAACCGGTAGAGGATTTTGATACGCGCAATGCTATATACGCGATGAAGTATCACATAGTACTATCAATAGCGCATCATCAAGATCCCGAATATCGACAAATGTGAGTTTCCCCACTATGCTCGTCATCAGGACGATAAGTCGGAGAGCTAACATGATCGTCAAGTGCAATCAGAGAAATGAAGCAACTTGTAGAACAAGTCACTCGTTCCGTGTCATAAAGTCGCCCTTGCCAAATATTACGTCAGAAAGCGAACAGTATTTCTTGCATATATGTTAAAGTTGATAATTAAATTAATCATTTAATACTATATTTTGAAAACCTAATAGACTACATTTAAGAACCCGAACCCGACTTGCAAAGATTAACAGTTGCGTTGCTCTGTCTACCTCAGAACAGTATAGGTAAACGATTCAGCCTCACGACCTCTACCTCGTAGATTCACACGAGATATCCACAATAAGGGGGTGCTGAAGTCACCACCAATAGGAGCCGGAGGGCCGGGGAATGAATTCGTGCTGGCAATGGAAATGTATGCAATGGCCAAATCCTAATCCCATCTTATCCACGATGATGAAACTAGGCTCAACGAGCATCGTTCTATGACTTCACATACCTCTCTTGCCGGCCGTTGAGAACATATCAATCTATTTCGTAATTACCCACATTTTAAGCCGTTGATTCGGCCATTTCGGGGTTCTGTGAAAGTTGACGACGTATTAACTCTGTGTAACGGGTTTACGTGTTGAGAGTAGACGATGATGTCATGTCTGGTTGACTCTAGCCCTCCGATATTTCAGCCAACGGCCCACTCCGGTCAGAACTCCGGTCAATGGCTAAGCTATGTGTAGAACCCTTAAGACAAATCGTTACATCAGACTCTGATGCGAAATTATCAAAAGTACTCCTCATATGTCTTGTGTCACTCATAGCTGTATAAGAAATACTAGGGTTGGGTAGATGACGGTCACACACAAACCATCATCAATCTTGCCTTAGAAAACCGGCAGGCAGGTAAACCCCACAACCACAGGAGCAATCATACGTATGTAACAGTAGGTCTTGAATAAAACATTTTAAACCTCTACAATTAGAGTTTGGGTCGAATTGAGATGCGTACCGATGTTCTAGACATTGTGTGATTGCGGAGCCAGAGAGGGGAAGGAAGGAATATACCTACCTGCCCGTTATGAAGTCCCTGATCCCGTCACAAGGCTTAACTCGTACGATGGAAGTCACTCCGAATTAGAGCCCTGAAGCCTAAATATAGGTGAGACATTGATGTGGAATGGGATTGCTTGATTTTGTTTCGGTCGTTATTATTTTATTTTTTTTCGGGAAGAAGTTGTAGAACATTTATCTACATCAAGTTGGTGTTTTAAATACGCATACTTATGAGACATACACATAAAGATATGCAATTGGTAAGCAGGTGAGAATGGCCGAGGCTGCGCAGCACTACCATTGGGCTAACCAGTCATCAGGGTATCTACACCAATCTCATCTTCTTCACGTCTTACACCAACTACGTCCCTCATCCTCCTTGCGAGGCCGCAAGTCAATGCCAGAAAATAAAAAAGAATAAAAAAGAAGAACAAGTGGCTGCCACCATGATAGGCACTTGGTGTCGACTTGGTGTTGCATCCACACACCAACTGGTTCGCGTGTGTACACACCCTGTGAAGGCTGCAAGAGTCCGAATCAAGTGATGTGCGCTGGGATATGGTCGATCAGGGCCCTGTTCAGGGAAAAAATAGCGATCCCCTACCTCCCCTACTACCTAATCCTTAGCAAATAGAATTTTCACACCTTACCGTGAGAACAATTTTGATCTTCTCGGGGGGTCCTGAATATCAGCAGCTACCTACTGAATAAACAATTCGCGTCACGAAAACAGTGGAAGTAGGTACTGTAAGTACTGTATGTTGCGCACTAAAGAAGGCATGCAAGTGTGCGATGACGAAGCAAAGCCAACCACCTCGTGCGAAGTTATGGGCCGAAACGCTTGCGATCGGGTTAGATGTGCCGCTTTTTATTATTTAGTGTACACGCGCTAAATTGGCTGCTGAGTTTCCGCTGTCTGATCCGCGCGGAACTCCTCATTTTCGAGGGACCCCTGGCTCTGCCCTGGTTCAAGGGACGGAGAGATGCAACGGTCAATGCCTACTTACCTACCTCCCCGGTTCGCGAGCACTATTATTGGTATGTATATCTGCAGTTGGTATTGCATGCTGTGAAGGCCTGTGTGAGCCGGTTTCCCGGTGCTCGCGTGCCACCAACGAACATAAGGGCTGTTGCTCTGGGTTGGTAGGTATGTGTAGAGATGTGTGTGTAGATGGATGGTAGGTAGGTGTTGTACACGTAGTCGCTCCACCTGGTCTGGCGAAGAACAAGGCACTAAGGTCGTACACTATCGATGCCAGGAATTGAAGATGGGTCTCAATCGATTGGAGTAGTATCGTGTAGATCGATGAACGCAAAATCTGTCTGATCTGTGTTTCCATACTTTCGTATCGCGTACCATCACTTGCAGATCTACAGTACGGATCTACATAGAAGTGCAACACCAAATCGCTTCTATTGTGGGTGTAGTGGGTGCTCTGTGTCCCCTCGCTTTGACAGATGGTAGGGCAGAGTGAGTAGGGGAATTTGAGGCTGTATCTAACTGGTATTTACGAACGAGGCTTTTCCTTTTATTTTTAACATATTTGTTGGACGTTTGCATCTTCTCGCATGCCTGAATACCATGCGCCGTACAGAAAGAAGTGCTTGAAGCAGCAGTTGGAATACTAATAAAAAGGGGTAGGTATTCGGTAATGGGGAACTCCGGGGATTAAATTCAGCCACAAACTGCACGCTACTGTACCTATCGACTGGCAGCGTACCTGCCTGACTGCCTAAGTACAGGCTACAGGCTATCGAGTATGTAGCTAGGTAGGTGGTAGGTAGTGTACCGGTATGTACTGTGAGCGGCACGGGTAGGTACCTCCCCACGGGTACCTTAGCCGTCTCGCCCGTGTTCAAGGCGGACCCCGAATGCTTGGGAAGCTTCTGTGGCCCAGTGGTGGCGAGTCTGACGACCAATACCGGGTCCGGATAGCGCTGCGAGAAAAATTCATTTGGCGCAATTTCAGCCCCTAATATGGGGGCGACCCTTGCCTCTGCCTTGCCTTAGCGAGAGCTGAGTGGAGACTTCAACTTGAAACATTTGCTCAGGCACGCGCGCTGATTGGATCCATACAAGGAATCTCAAACACAGGGACTGCGTTGCACATTGTTTGCATGTCTTGAATGAGTAAGTAAGTAAGTTGTACATGTCACATGTGGTATCAACTAAGCCTCCCGTCTTGAAATATACGATCGAATTTATAAGATTATGTCATGGTATGTATACATAATATGTACTAAAGAAACTGCCCGTAAGTAGAGCGCTGGGGTGTGCTGGACAAGATGCTGGAGAACTGGCAGTAAACTGGTAAGTATGTATGTAGTACGGGCGAGGGTAAGGTTACATGTAGATCGGAAGACCAGCTTTGTCTCTGGATGGATTCTGGTGGGCAATCGGAATCTCCACCATCTACCTACAATCTCATAATACAGTCTGTACAGTAGGTACCTATTAAGACTACTGTGCTTTTACATGTACAGCACGCCATGAGTCGCGGCGGGACCTACAGTACTTACTACTTACATGATGGGGGACGGTACCAACAGGCAAATACCCCGGTCAGTGGGCACTTGCAACTTCAGATTCGTGCGTAAATGGCTGCTGGAGAAGGCCAATCAATTACTTGACGTAGGTAGCTCAAGTAACAGCCCACTGCTTCGATACGAGGCCTCGAAGGAAGAGCAGGCCAGAGCAGGCACAGCAGCAGCAGCAGCAGCAACCGCCTGCCTCCCTTGTCAAGCGTGACGGTCCACACATCCCACACCAACCGTTTGTTAATGTTCATGTCTGCTGGCTAGACTGACTCCCTTCTTTTCTATCTTTGTCCTCGACCTCCCATGTAATCATACCCGCTCCCAACCACTCTTCATCTTGATTTTACCTCTTCCTGTTTCACTCTCTTTTGTCGTCGCGCCCAGTCTCTCGTTTATCTGGGCAGACATCGAGTTCCTGTACCTACTTAGCAACAATCCAAGTTGCCCGTGCCGTCCATCATCATCATCACTCCCCACATATTGTTCAGTACAGAAGGCCGGCTCACCTGCAATACAACTTGGGAACCGACGTCCAATCGATCGCCTGGCGCGTCTTGGAGTGGCATCTCTGATGCGACCGCTTTCCCCATAATCCACGCCACCGCACAAGATACGATACGCATTGAGCGCGGTGCTTTCCTACCCTCACGATTACCAGTGCCGCCATGTCTCTCAGGTCCCCAACTAGGTCCTCTAGGGGCTTTGTACCTCTTGGTGGCTCTAACTCGAGCCCTGGCGATGGCGATATTCCTCTCACTCAAATCCGAAGCAACATGAGCACCGGCGCCCGGAAGGCCAATCAAGGTATCGGGTCAGGTTTCGAACAATCTGAAGATTCAGGCGACAATGGAAACCAGGAGAAACATCACTTCTTTCACCGCGGCCGCAGGTCTGCCAGGAAAGCCGAGCCGACAAAGTCGGATGAGCTCGCTAGCAATGAGCTTTCACTCAACGCTATGGGCAGACTTTATGATCGGATCGTCAACGCCTCTGGCCCCCAACGTTATCTATTGTATATTGTCCCCGTTGGGGCCTTGCTCGCCGTACCTATCATCGTCCTCGCTGCCCTGGATAAGCGTAACGACATTCCTGTCGGTGGCTCAGAAGAAAACCCGGGGCCCTCTCTTTTCCTTTTCTTCATCTGGATTGAGGTCGGCTGGCTAGCGCTCTGGGTTGGAAAACTCGTTGCCTGGCTATCTGCCCCTGCGTTCATGTTCTTTACTGGAGTCATCAGCCCGGGAACACGCAAATATGCCGCTCTTCTACGAAATCTTCAAATACCCTTATCGCTATTCTTCTGGGCTCTTGCAGATTGGCTCGTGTTCATCAACGTTCTTCGACGCGGGCATGAGAAAGTATCCTGGGTTAATACCATTTCCACGATCTTGGGAGCTTTGTTTGTGTCATCGGCCATTTTCCTCGGTGAAAAGGCTTTCATTCAGCTCATTAGCGTTTCGTACCACCAGCGTTCATTCGCGAATCGGATTCAGGATTCGAAGCGGGACGTTCATCTTCTCGGCATGATGTATGACGCGTCTCGGAAGCTATTCCCCATGTATTGCGAGGAATTTCTTGAGGAAGACCAGATCATTAATGATAGCATCGAGTTACTCCTCGCAGGAAGTAAAAAGAAGTGGAGACGGAATAAGGGAGCTGTGGCCGCCGTGCCGGGCAAGTTGATTGGCAACGTTGGTCGTTTCGGCAACAAGGTTACATCTGCTTTCGGTAATATTGCTTCAGAGATCACCGGCAAGCAAGTTTTCAATCCTAATTCCGCACATTCTATCGTCATTGAAGCCCTGGAAAAAGCTAAGACCTCCGAGGCATTAGCTAAACGTATTTGGATGTCGTTTGTCGTGGAGGGAAAAGACTCTCTCTATGCTGAAGATATCGCGGAAGTCCTCGGGCCTCAACATCAGGATGAGGCGGAGGAATGTTTCGATGCTATGGACGCTGATGGCAATGGTGACATCAGCCTTGATGAGATGATTCGAAAGGTAGTCTCAGTTGGCAAAGAACGAAGGGCCATTACTCTCAGCATGCAAGACATTAGTCAAGCCTTGGGTGCATTTGACAAGATCTTACTCTTCATCGTACTGCTAGTGGTCATTTTTGTTTTCTGTAAGTTTGACACGCTACCTTTGTTTGAGATCTAGCTAATGTGGCATGTCAGTGAGTTTCTTCCAAAGCTCCTTCGTTACGACACTGGCAACCGCGGGAACCGCGCTGCTATCGTTGTCGTTCATCTTTGCTGTTACAACTCAAGAGATTCTCGGTTCTTGCATTTTCCTGTTCGTCAAGCACCCATACGATGTCGGAGATCGGGTCGATATCACAGGTCCGGAAAAGGAGGCACTTGTTGTGGAAAAGATCTCCCTACTCTACACTGTTTTCACCAGAATTGATAAGATGCAAGTAGTGCAGGTCCCTAACATTCAGCTCAATAACGTGTGGATCGAAAACGTTACTCGAAGCAAGGCAATGAAGGAAGTCATCGATGTTAATGTATCATTTGATACAACCTTCGAAGATATCGAACTACTTCGACTAGAGATAGAGAAGTTTGTCCAGTCTCCCGAAAACTCCAGGGACTTCCAATCAGATTTCGGCATAGGAGTGGGTGGCGTCGGCGATCTCGATAAGCTCAACCTCAAGGTTGCTATTAAACACAAGTCTAACTGGCATAATGAGGCCGTACGAGCTACCAGGAGATCCAAATTTATCTGTGCTCTTGCACAGGCGTTGAAGAAGGTTCCCATCAATGGTCCTGGAGGTGGTGGCGAAGTTCTAGGTGGTCCTACGAACCCTACTTACTCAGTTAGCGTTTCAGATGTTGAGGCTGCTGCGGCTCGTGACAAAGCCGCACAGGACAAGGATGCTGCTCGCCTCGTGCCTCTGAATGATTCGAGTGCAATTAGTGAGGACACCGCAGTTCAGGGCATTAATACTCTCAATCCTCTGGTGGCTGCGCAAGACGAGTGGGGTTACAACCGCGATGATGAGACTTTGAGCGATGCTCATGGTCAAGCTATCGATCGAATGCGGTCAAATGACGGCCATTCTTTGCAATCTGGACCGCGCAAAACACCGAGCCAACGTGGCGGCCTTCGCAGAGCCGGTGAATCGGTGCCAGTGGAGCAAGTCCCAGAACGGACACCAAGCTTACAGGTCACTCAGCATATGGGGCCTTTTGATGAGGAGGCACAGATGGGTGGACCGAATCCTTTCACTACGGCCCAGCAGAATCTGCAGCAGGCCCCCTATGCTGCTCCGCCATCGTCAAACAGGACCAACCCTTTACAAACTGTCAGCGAACCAAGCAGTAGGCCAGGTGGAGTCGGTTCGTCTCAACCGCAAAACCCACCTTATCAGCGGTAAATTTGCCGTATCATGAATTTGCATAAGACCACGAATTTTTCAAAATTTAAAAGCATCCTGTTTCGTGCGTATTGCACCAATGGCGTTTAAGAATAAGCGCGTAAGAAGGGCTATTAGGCTATGAACAATGAACAAACATTAGATCAACTGGGTAGGACCCTCCCATTTGAGATGGGATCAATTGGTGGAGGTTCCATATTTTCTTTCATGCGATGACTTTTGGTATTTTATAGAGAATCAGCTGCTCATCGATATAGGTAGCTGATGTTCACGAATGCATGAGTCGCGATAGAAGGGATTATTGTGGTGGTATATCTCAAGATGGGATGAGGCAGGCGTATAAATTGTATATACATCGACCAGACCAGTAAATTGTTTAGGCATAGAAATTACTGAGCCTTACTCACTCATTCCCATGTTATCGCAACTGAGAATTTGAAGAAGCATGATTTACTTAGATCCCTGTCCGGTGTGTGTGTGTGTTCACTGAAGATGGTCTGGGTAATTACCTATTATGCGGGGTTAATTCGGGATGAGTCTATTCTCGCGTTTCATATATGGATGGATAGATTATATTCGTTATTATGAAGTTAATTATGATGTGCAATGTGATAGTTATCTTGAAGTGTAGGTGTCTACTCAAACCCACGTAACACCTACCTGCCTACATATCAGCCTACCTCTACCTACACGTAGTACCTAGTTAAGTCATTGTTACCGGTTCTGTATACATGATAGCCTGTCTTTCTACCATCTGCCGCCTCATCCAGCCAACCACATGTTCACTTGTCAGCTCGCCCCCAGTTATTACCGCTCTGTACCTATGCATGTTGGTGTTTTACCTACACTACTGTACAGCTAACGGCGACGTTTTTGAAGTGTGATATGTACCTTAGGTACTACCTACTGCGTAGATAGCTAACGTGTAGGTTAGGTGCCTAGGTATCTGTGTGTTCACCGCCGTTGTATCACCATTACTACATATGTGAGTATCTACCTCACCACCGCTAGAGGTGGGAGGGTTTTATAGAGAGATGTTAGGCAGCATGTAAGTTACTGGGTCCCACTTCATATTAATGAATCGATTCTTCCTCTCCATATTATTTCGTCTTAAGGCCTTTTTCACTCTGCTTATTCTATCTCCAAGATCTTTCATCATGAGCTCACCCAAGACTGTCCTGATCACGGGTTGCAGCAATGGTGGAATAGGTTCCGCCCTCGCCATCACTTTCCAGGAGCGTGGATACCATGTCTTCGCTACAGCCCGTGACCCTTCCAAGATGCGCAGTCTTGAGGGTCTATCACGCGTAACGCTTCTGACCCTTGATGTTGTGAAGCCAAGCGACATCCAAGCTGCTGTTGAGGCAGTCACCAAGCATACAGGTGGTACTCTTGATTGCCTTGTCAGCAACGCAGGACGAAACCATTTCATGCCTATTTTGGATGAGGACTTGGAAGGGACTAGAAGGCTCTTTGAAATTAACTTCCTTGGTCCCATTGCCCTTACGCAGGCCTTTGCTCCCTTCCTTATGAAAGCCAAGGGCACGGCTGTGTATATTACCTCGACTTCCGGATACGTGAACATCCCATATATGGGTAAGTAAACTAACTATCACTTCAATACCGAGCTTGAGAACTACAGAATTAAGCTGTCACAAAAGGGACATATGCGGCATCTAAGAGGTCTCTGGAAATCGTGGCCGATACCTTGCGGCTGGAATTGGCTCCTTTCGATGTCAATGTTATCGAAGTCGTTACGGGTGCTGTCAAATCCCAAGGTCAAACATACTTCGACGATTTCAAGCTCCCAGAGCAATCGGTGAGTGCCATGCCACCCCCAAACTTGGAGTTATTACTATACCGCGGTTCATTGGTCCCATACTAACTAGAGTTTAGTAAGTTAATTGTTGATTTCATGAAAGGGAAATGATCTAAACTACACGTAGCATATTGACAAACTATGTTTAGGCTTTACAAGGGTATCGAGAGCATCGTCGCCGGAAGGGCACAGGGCAAGGATGGGACACAGAGGATGGACACCGGAGAATACGCCGCCGCCGTCGTAGATGAGGTTATGAAGGGAACCGCAGGCCGCATTTGGTTTGGTGGTCGCGCTGAAGATGTCAGGCTGGGAACTACGGCAACAGCAGTGCCACAGTCTGCGATGGTAAGATATGAACAACGCCAACTCGACTACGGAAGCATATTAACATCAAATAGGATGCTGGAATGGCCATGGGAACTGGTCTTGATGCAGTGGGGAAGTTTGCTTCGTAGCGAAGGAACTATCTATGTGCTGTGGTGCGTCTGGAGTCGAAAGGTCTCGGCCAGGTCGAGTAGCTACATTTGTCGTGCTTCATTTCAATAGCCAGGTACATTTAGGGATTGTACAATCGAATGCTTTTATTGCCCCCTTTGAGACCCAGACTCGACCACTCGCATCCTTCCTCTCCATGTTCTTCCTTGGCATACCATGGGTTACGCTAAGGTGAGCGCTGGCCGAAGTGGAAGTTGCTAATAGTCGTTACGTGACTGTTAGTGTCACCCTAGCAACCCAACAGTTATCTTATCAAAATATAAAAGGAGGTAATATTGATACTATTTAAGATAGGCTAACTATGTGTTACCTATGCAGACTGCTTTATATATAAGTTATCTCTAAACTTTAATGATATATTAAATAGAAATAAGATAAGCAACCTGTATTGAAAGCGAAGCTACTTATCTCCTATGTATAAGATACATTGATGGACCTTGGAAGTCAAGAAAGGCAGCCCAATTATGTATAGACTTCATGTCAGTCACCAAGATCTGAAAGAAGAAACTAGAAATGCGAATAATTGTCAAGGGCAGGGGAAGCTCATGGCGCTGCCAAGGTGACGTCCATGTAACTGCGTGCTCATCAGTATAATGCTGACATATCTAGATCCCTCCCTTTCCGTTAACGGAAAGAGGATATAAAGAAAAGGCTTACATGTAGTTAGAAGAGTCTGAACAAATTCAGTTCACTCCGGGCCTTCTCAACTTTGCGTAATAATTAAAGTTGTAATCCGAGATAAAGTCGAAAAGGGGGCTCGATACATATATACCAAGACAATTTGGGGAAACAACTGCTTACTACCATCAACGCCTGTGCAACAAGTTACAATACCTACCTACGGATATAGATCATTAATATTGGCTCGTCTTATCTACACCATTCCGGATAACCTGAAACCAACTATTTGTGTAACTTCAACAAGTCAGTCTTTTAAAACGAGCCATCAAAGGTGGAATAGGATAAAATGATCGGTTTTACTCAACTACCCAACGACGATTTAATATAATAATGATCTACAGTCTATGTAATTTTATCATACCGATTTAGGATTTATAGACTATTGTGTAAAAATCTTTATATCAGCTGTAGAAGAGGAAAGAGGAGCAAAATCAATAGCACTGACCCGGGATTGAACCGAGGACCCGCCGGATGTATTCCCCTGAGGGAGAGAACTGCAGCCGACTGCTCTACCACTGAGCTATCAGTGCCTATCTCTGGTTTTCTAGTCGTGGTGATGAATAACGATCCCTGCAAAATAAAATTATAAAGATCAGAAACGTAGAACCCAAATCAACAACTACAAAGCAGATAGGGGAGAAGCCAAGTCCAGCCAAGTTAGCCAGTCACGAAATATTTAGCCCGGAATGACATTGTTTAAGCTAACATCATCGTCGATGTTATCCATTACTTTGCTGCCTTACTAAAGTAAATGAAGGACTGAGCAGGAGTGCTATTCCAAGTGTATACATATACGTACTATCATCTACCGCAGTGCCCAGCTCTGCTGCGTCCTTCCCGCATCCCACGTCGCCTTGATGACGAGCGCTCGGGCGTTGTCCTCGGCCACCGAGAACGTGATCTCGCCACGTACTTCCTCGCCGTTCTTCTTCTGCTGTTGTTGTGTCTCTGCAGCATTGGCATTATCTCCCTTGCTCTTCTCATCCCCCTTCTTCTCGCCTAGATGGGGATCGCAGAGGAGCAGTCCCTGCTTCCAGTGCGTCTCCGCCCCGCCAAACGGCCCCGTGGTGAAGGCGACGCGGTCTTGGTCCCGTTTTCCGTGACTGTCCAAGATCCACTCTGTGGCTACGGCGTTGTCTGGGACACTGTGTTTGTCTGGCTCCTTGTTCTGCCCTGAGAAAGGGGCCGTGGGCGAGAAGAACGTATCGAACCAGATCAGGAATCCGTCTAGGGCGTCGACATCTTCGGTAAGTTTAGAGGCGTACGGCGCGGTGAAGGAGAGATCAGCGGCAGTCGTCGTGTACAGGTCGAGCATCTTGAACGCGCTCGATGTGCCGCAGACTTTATCCCCGGGCCAATGCAGCACGCGCGCCTCGTCGTAGATACCCTTCGCCATGGCGCTCATGTCGAAGCCATAGACATCTGCCCAGAAAGTCTCGCCGTTCTCGGACACCCACACAGGGTCTGACACAGGCGCGACCCACATGTTGGTGTGCGAGGGGACCATGAGGCCGCCAGGTGCCAAATACTTGTCGCGCGCGTAGAGAACGGATGGAAGCATGGCCTCGAACAGCAGACAGTAACCCATCCACTCGCTCACAATGATGTCGACTTGGTCTACTGGTAGCGTGACTTCTTCCATCTTGCCATGGAGCGTGGTGATGGTATCCGCGAGACCTGCGCGGTATATATTCTCGCGCGCCTTGAGGATGATGTCACTGGCATCCACCGCTATCACCCGAGCTGCGCCAGCACGGGCACAGAACATGCTAAGAATTCCTACGAGCTTGTTAGCAGCTGGTGGGGATGCAAGAGATGGTAGGTGTAAAACAAAGTAACACATACCTGTACCGCATCCTATGTCGAGGACTGTCTTGCCTGCGAATAGGTGCTTGTTATTGTAGATGAAATCGCGGTACGCATCAGTGCGCACCGTGTCCTTGAGCATCGTCTCGTGGATATCTTTACTTGGCCGTTAGCATAGTGGATATTTTGGTACTGCGGGTTTCATATTAAGAAGGGAGAGTTGTATGTACTCACCAACCCCAGCATATGACTCCCAGTAGTACTTTGACTCGTCCTCCTTCTCATCTGCACTATCCTTGCCCTTTCCCTTACCGGCAGCATCGTCGGCTGTCTTTGCGTTATCGTCAGCCCCCGTCTCGCCCCAGCGTGCATCTAATGTCTTGGATACTGCTGCCCGGTAATTCTCATGTTGCAGCATGACGCTGGCAAGTTGCTCTTGGAGTTCTGCGTTGCGCTTCAATAGATCATTGACAAGCACTGCATTGTCGCTATCCTGGCCGGGTTGAATGGCGCCCGGGACAGACAGCTCTGGTAGGTCGAAAAGACCAATTATCACTGCATCGTCGTCTAGCACGGGCTTCAGGTATGCATCGTCGTCGATGTCGGCGAGTGATATGCTCTCGCTCACCGGAAGGCCTTCATGCACTCGTTGACGAACTGATGAAACATTAGCACTGCGCATGGGATTTTTGCGAAGGGGAGTGAAATGAAGTCAGCAAAAGTCCTGATGCTTGTGCCCATGTCCTTTAGCTCAGATAGTATGGTTTGAAGTTTGAAGTTGGTGGTGATGTCGGCCCGCTGTAGGATAGTAGTGAACGTGCTAAGATGGACCTACTAAAATTCACAAGTTTCACGCAGCCGTGGAAATCGAGTTGTAGTTTCTGTCTCACAGCTAAGAAATCGAAGTTATGCTTTTCCTTGCAATGCGCCAACATGGAGATGACATCGGGAAATACACGATCATCGAGCAGTGAGATGACCTCGGGCGTTTCTTCTTCGTCTTCTTCAACGTCGTTCCATCCCTCCTCATCTCTCGAGTCGTCTGACTCTGAGTCGCTGGGCGGGTTATCGTTGGCCAGCCTGTCTGACTTGCTTGAGGTAGCCATCTCGGAGCCAATTGAGGGTTTGGGCAATCTATGGACTAATCGAGAGGGGAAAGTGAAGGCCTGAACTATATCAGATCGCCCCCGCCAAGAGAAAAGGCTATATCTGGAATTGAGTGGTATGCAGGAGTGAAAATTGTAAAGAAAAAGTGATGATATCGTGGTGCGCCTAATTCTTGCTACCTATGGTTTTTGATTTTCCAAGATCAAGTCCAATATAGATACCAACCTCTAAATACCTGCTGAGCGTCGTTGGCCGTTTGACGATGTAAGTCGCGATTCCACCTAATATCATGGGCGTCGAAGAATTTCTAAAATGGAAGTGGGCTTGTGGAGGGGCAGATTATCGGATAAGTACATAATATTCACAGCATTTACGGGGTACATGCATGACCAAGGCGGACCCGTGGATTGATTCCAGTTTGTCTTCAGTCACCTTAGTTGACCATGTAATTGGACGTCACACGCTTCATCCGGCTTTTCAAGAAGTGTAACTGGGGGGTTGATCCTGGGTTCTCTAATCTACTTCGTCTTCGGAATCGTCGTTATCATTATCATCTTCCTCATCTTCTTCGCCATCTGATACCGTTTCCCCTAAGCCTTTAAGTCGTTCCTACATGCAAATTAGTCACGTTTCAATGAAAAGCTGTTCGAAAATGAGATATACCTTATATTTCTCAACCTTCTCTTCCAAGTCGCCGAAGACCATAAGGAGATCATCTAATTCTGTTTGTGTAGACGATTGCTGCGTTTCCTTCTCCTTCAATCGAGTTTGAACCTAAACATTATAAGCAGCTAGTTAGAGACGGGTCGAGATATCCAACACACCTCTTTGATTTCTTCTTGTTTTGTCGACAACTGCTTCTCCAAGTCTGCGACCTGCTTCTCTGCGGATTTGGTCTTGGACTCCTCGGCAGATAGTTTAGAGCTAAGTTCACGGCGAGTAGCTTCTACTTCTTGGGTTTTAGCCTTCTTGGCCTGTGTACACGTTAACAATTTCACTGCGTCCTTTTTATATGGCGGACGAGTGCACAAACCTTCATAAGATCAACTTCAAGACGACTGATAGTAGCGCGAAGGTCCGCCATCTCAGCTTCAGCTCTTCGTTGGACACGAGCTGCCTCGGCCTCTGCTGTCTTCCGAACGTAATCAACTTGCCTCTGCAGTTCGGCCTCTTTGGTTTTGTGCTCAGCCCGCAGGGCCTCCATAGCGGCTGCAGCTTCCTTCTGGGCCACTCCAAGTAGTCTTTGGTGTTCGTCAACCCTGGCTTGCTGTTGTGTCTCAATTTTCCTGTGGTTGTTAGTCACCAATGCTGGATATTTTCCGACCTTGGTGAACTCACTTAAGTTCCTCTTGGTGATGGCGCTGTATTCCTTCATTTACACTCTTGATACGGGTAAGTTCGGCGACCGATGCCTCCTTTGAACGGCGGTGATCGGCTTGTTCTTGACCAAGTCTCCCATTGAGAGACGCGACGTCGCTGAGAGCCGCTTGCAACGCTTGCTCCTTCTCTTCAAGTTGAGAACGTAGCGAGTCAACTAGCTCCCTAGAGATGCCTTTTTGAACGCCATTCGTTACTACAGATATCTCCAGGCCGGGATCTCGATCAATGGCTCTTGCTATGCGGCTGTAATTATCTTTGAAGAAATCCACAAAGGTTGCGTCAAAATAAACATCAGGCAGATTTCCAGACCCATCTGCCTTCTGCGGCGTAACCTCAAAATCTCTCATCAGAGCATGACTTCGAAGTTGGTTCAAAGTGTCTATATACTTCTCTCGTCCAACTCGAGATAATATCACTGAATGAAGAGTAGAACGTGGAACAGGCGAATCCTTTGTGGAAAACTCGTAGATGACGCCTAAGATCATGGCGCATAGCCCTTGCACGAGGACACTACTAGGAGGATGGCGGACAATTTCTTGGGCCAGCGCGTGAATGTTGCTGCCCTCTCCTAAGAAATCATTAACGCCGTCGACATCCTCAAACAGCCACCCAATCAATAGCATTAGATACCCAACGGACACGCGGTCATCTTCTTTTCTGCTGAGGGCTGTCACGAGATGGGCAGTAATGGTTTGTATGCTAGTCACCACCTCTTCACCACTATCCGCATCTCCTTCGCTAACAGACATAGCAAGAGTCTTTCCTTCGGGGTTGTCGAAGACGAGATGAAAGACAATCGTAGCTGCGAACCAGTGACGGTACGGATCATTAGCGGCCGAGGTACTTAAAGGTTGTAGGAGCGTAGTTAGTACATTCGCTGTTTCATCAACACCTGAGGCGTGGCCTTCTATAGCGCGTCGAAGAAAATGCATCCGGACTTCAGGATGGTTGTAGAAGTATGCTTTGATGCACTGGCACGCGGCTACGCGCAGGTCAAAGGCCTGGGTTGATGGTACACTTAAGACAAGATCTAACAGTCCGTCTATTACATAGATAGGCGGAAGACCATTTAGCCTGCCCGCCTGCCCATTTGTTGCCGCAGCTGTCTCTAATACCGATGGGACTTGAAGCTGAGCAAAGTTCTCCTGGAGCTTTGTGTTGCCTTTAATTGTATCGGCACAAGTGGTTAAAGCCTACGACACACCCGATCAATTTCTGTGATTCTTGTGATGATTGGGGAAGAACCCGAACCTCTGCTCTGATGGGCATCTCAGCCTTGCGGCTGAATGCAACCTGTAAGGCATGATAAAGCACGCCATGTTGCCAGAAGGCCGCTTGATTTTGGGAGGTCCCAACAGCCCCAGGTACTAGGAACAGCCGAATAACAGCTAGCAAAGCATAGATATTTCTGTTCTGTTGTTCCTGAGCCCAAGCGGCGACCTCTTCCTCCTCCTCCTTGTTGTCGGTATGATATGTACCCTCCAGCAGCTTGGCCAACTTCCCAACGCACCCGCTCTCCCGAAATAGGGATTGATTTGGTGGATTTAAACGCAAAAGATTAGCTAGGAATATGAGGCAATCCTCCACTATCCTACCTCCCTCTAATAACGACCCCTCGATTTCGATAATATCGAAAGTTTTGTCAAATGCATTTTGATACGCAACCGACTGTTGTATGAGCGACGAAGACGGTGTAAGGTATGTGAGAAGAGTCAGGGCTTCGTTTCGTATGGCATCTCGTCGATCGTCAAGAACGGCGACTAATCGGGGGATTCCTAGCGGTGCCAATGAAATACACTCTTCGGTCCTTTCCGTCCGGGCAGCAAGAATAGCAACCAGTAACTGCAACGAATAGAGGCGGGAGTAGAAATCAGTGGTCTCCAAGAAATCCAGAAGTAATGTGATGTTTTCTTGCCTCTGGGTAAACTCATCTGCTAGCCACAGGGCGATGTCTTCTGATGCTTCGGGGCTGTCCTGATTAGGGCTAAAGAGCATCAGCAGTGTCTCGAGCACCACTCTCACGGTGTCAACATCTTCGCCATCAGTAGACAAGCACCCGATCAGGCTTCGTAGAGCGCCTGACGCAACAGAGGCAGGGTAGTCCTTTGCAAAGCTACGTAGGCCGAGTATGGCGGCACGTCGGTCTTCGAGGAGCGTGGCAGAGCCCAGACGGCCACTGAGGACGGTTATGGTATCACCGACCGACTGCTTCGCGGGTGCGGCAGCAGCAATGGTCGAGAACATGGTTGGTGCCGATCGTTTGGGTTCTCGCGTGACAAGGCCATGGGCAAAATCAAATCGATCACTCAGCGAAGCGCATTGCGAGGTAAGTCAGGGTGGGAAAAGTTCTAGACGAGGTACGAGGACAGGGTTAGATTGGATCGGGCCAGCTAGCTTCTCAATGGCTTTGGCGAGTTTATTGCTGTGTCAAATAATTAGTGAATAGATAGGACTGAGCCCCTAACGCCAAGTCGGCATCTGAGAGATAGATATCAAGAATGTGCAAAGCCGTTATAAGACAGCTTGGCATTAAGAAGCCATTCAATTGAAGTGCTGGTATGGGGTTGCTAGAAGTCCTTCTTTTGGCCAACTTTCCGCCTCGACTACCTACCTACCTAGGTAGCTGTGTAGGTAGGTAGGTAGATACAGTACAAGAAGCTACATGCCTCTTACCTAACAGAGGTTACCTAGTCTACCTAAGGTTATACCTACCACTACCTAAATGTACCTACTATGTATATTCATAGTGGATACCTGCTGTAACTGCCCAGTTAGCAGACATACTTAAGAACGCGCGTAGATTATGTACTCTGAGCTTCTACCTAGGTACCCATAGAATTGCTGTTTAGATAGCTTCTAGATGTTGAAACGGAGCTGAATAGGCAGAACAAAGCACTCTAGGCAGGTATGCAGGTAGTATTGTACACTAGGTAGAGCAGACCAGAGCTTAGCCGTGTCTTGAAGAGATGAGACCCTGCGCCAAGGAACACAGCAGTGGCGCTTCTCAGTGGCTCGCCTTTGTGGGTCCAACCTTTCCAGCCAATCCTGCGAACTCTTTATTCGCAGGAAGCCTTGTTGCGCAACTCGTCCGTCTACATCATAATTTCTTGCACATCGGGCGAACGTGGAAGAGAAGCCCTTTGTTTCCCACCAGACTTGCGCGCGCCTTTTCCTACCATATATCCGGAATTCTGCCGTTCCTCGGACCATGAAAGTTGTTTGAACAGTGAAAGGAGACCTGACGAACGCTCTTTCCCCGTCGCGTCGACCTCTTTCCTTTCTAGCCGTTAGGCTGTAATCTACGAGTAGTGCGCAAACTCGCGGCTTTTGTCGCTCTATTGATTTGAGATCGAATCGCGGCCTCTTTGTCTTTATCCTGTATAGTGTGGCGCCATACGTTCTTGTCAGTGTGTCTCTAGTAGCGCTTTGGTGGTCGTAGCGGCATCGCTGTTCATTTTCTCTGGATCGGAGTAGAGAAGCTCGAGGTTCGCCAGTGTCATCCTAATCTCTGCAGACAACTTCCAGCTAGATATATTACAACCGCCGTAATGGGTATCCCAGCTGCGTTCCGGTGGCTCTCCACCAAGTACCCCAAAATCATCTCCCCAGTTATTGAGGACAAGCCGATCGTCATGGACGATGGCTCCGTGATACCTGTCGATACTACGCGCCCAAATCCGAATGGCGAAGAATTCGATAACCTCTATCTCGATATGAATGGCATCGTTCATCCTTGTTCACATCCCGAGGATAGGCCTGCTCCTAAAGATGAGGAAGAGATGATGTTGGAAATTTTCAAGTACACTGATCGTGTAGTTAACATGGTTCGTCCAAGGAAGCTGTTGATGATTGCTATTGGTAAGAATTCCTCCAACTCGCACACTGGCTCTCTCAGTACAAGCAAGTTCCACTAACACTTCATTCTTTGTAGATGGTGTTGCTCCGCGTGCGAAGATGAATCAACAGCGATCCCGTCGCTTCCGTGCCGCACAAGAGGCAAAGGATAAACAGGCTGATAAGGAGGAGTTATTGAAGATGATCAAACAACAGAATGGCGGTGTTTTACCACCCGAAACATTGGCTTCGTTAACTAAGAAGGCTTTCGATTCAAATTCAATTACTCCTGGTACCCCATTTATGGACATCCTAGCTATCAGTTTGAGATATTGGTGTGCTTATAAGCTTAACACTGATCCCGGCTGGGCTAATATGAAAGTCATTATCTCTGATGCTACAGTACCTGGGGAGGGCGAGCACAAGATCATGAATTTTGTTCGTTCACAAAGAGCTTCACCTGACCACGATCCAAATACGAGACATGTGATATATGGGCTGGATGCCGATCTCATTATGCTGGGGCTTGCGACCCATGAACCTCATTTCCGTGTGCTCCGAGAAGATGTCTTTTTTCAGGAAGGCAAGGCCCGTACCTGCAAGATATGTGGTCAAAAGGGCCACGATGCACAAAGTTGTCGCGGAGAAGCAAAACAGAAAGATGGTGAGTTCGACGAGAAGGACAAAGCTGTTCCGCAAAAGCCTTTCATCTGGCTGCATGTATCAGTACTGCGGGAGTATCTCGCTGTAGAGCTCGAAGTGCCTGGTTTACCGTTCCGTTGGGATCAGGAACGAGCGATAGATGATTGGGTTTTTATGTGCTTCTTTGTTGGCAACGATTTCCTTCCCCACTTGCCTGCTCTTGAAATTCGCGAGAATGGCATCGATACATTGACTGCTATCTGGAGAGACAACTTGGCTTTCATGGGTGGCTACATGACTAAAGATGGGCATGTTGACTTGGAGAGGGCACAATACATTCTTGATGGACTCGGAAAACAGGAGGACGCCATCTTCAGGCGTCGAAAAGAGGTGGAAGACAGACGTGAGGCAAATTTCAAGCGACGAAAACTACAGGACCAACAACGCAACGGCCACAATTATTCCCAAGGGGGCAAGGGAGGAGACAAACCTGGAAATGGCCTCCCTGGCGGACTATCTGATTCTCTTACACACGACATGATTGTGAAACGTGGTGCAACAGCCGGCGACGCCAATACAGCAAACAAGAGTGCTGCCGCTGTTCTTAGAAGCCAGATTCAAGGCCTCATGCCGACACCGAAACCCAAAGAAGAGACAGAGAAATCAGAACCACAGGTGGCTTCCGGTGCAGCAAAGCGCAAGGCATCAATGATGGAGGCGGATGGCACTAGTACCCCAGGTAGTGAATCTACTGCAGAGGAAGAGCCAGAAGACAGCGTTCGACTTTGGGAAGACGGCTACGCAGACAGGTACTATGAACAGAAGTTTAAGATTGACCCGAAAGACCTAGACTTCCGACGTAAAGTGGCCTGGGCCTATACCGAAGGATTGGCGTGGGTCCTTAGATATTACTTTCAAGGTTGTCCCTCGTGGGAGTGGTTTTATCCGTATCACTACGCACCCTTCGCTCAAGACTTTAGGGACCTGGCCAAGCTGGAAATTAAATTCGAGAAGGGCAGAATCGCAAGGCCATTTGAGCAGCTCATGAGTGTACAGCCGGCTGCCTCGCGCCATGTGCTCCCAGATGTCTTCCACTCCTTGATGACAGATCCAGAAAGTCCAATCATAGACTTCTACCCCGAAGACTTTGTAGTCGATCTCAACGGCAAGAAGATGGCCTGGCAGGGCGTGGCCCTTCTCCCATTCATCGAAATGCCTCGCCTCTTGGCTGCTATTGAGGAGAAATACGCGTTGTTAGCCCCGGAAGATGCTGCTCGCAACGAGCCCGGAAGAGAATATCTTCTACTTTCCGAGGAAAACCAGGAGTTGTATGATGATATCATTGCACAATTCTATTCAAAGAAGCAAGGTGCCCCCCAGAGCAAACTTGACCCTCGTAAAAGTCAAGGTCTCTCGGGCAAGATCGAAAAGATGCCAGAGTATCTTCCACACGCCACTCTAGAATACCCGCTAGAACGCAAGGGGATGCCCGATATAGATGATGATCGGTCCCTGACGTAAGTCTTCTCTTTAGAATTTACAATATTGCAATTGACACTGACCTTGCCTAGTGTCCACTATAACATGCCGAGTTCCTCGCATACGCACAAGTCCATGCTTTTACGAGGGGTACGGCTACCCGTGCCAGCCTTGAACAGCAGCGATATTGAAGAGCTCAAGGGAAAGACGCGAAACTCGGGTCGGAGCTACCGCGGGGCTCCCCTTGGGCGTCAGCATCATGATGGGAGAAGAGAACGTATGAACTACGGTCCAGACTCGCGACGCGGAGGAAACAATCGTCATTATAACAACAGGGGCGGATACAACGGGCCCAATACATACCCGGGCTCAGCTCCTGTAATTCCGCCGGGATGGGCACCACCACCGCCCGGTTTCCCTGGGTTTGGCAGTGGGGTACCGCCACCGCCCCCGGGCTACCAGGGTGGTAGGACCGGCGGATACGGCAACGGCCATTACGGAGGAGGCCCAGCTTATAACCAGCGACAGGCGCCACCAGGCATCTCTGATTATCAAAACTATGGAGGACAGTACAATGGCCCCCCGCCTGGGTATCAAGGGCATGACCAGCGTCGTGGTCGCGGCGGATACGGTCATAGATGAAGGCCGATATAGGCGCGCCGTGTTACTAGATATGAGCTGAAAATGTATATATGTGAAGATGAAAAGTTACTCGTCACATTTGCGTCTTTACCGCTATTGTTCACGCATGGGAAGTATACCCGATTGGTCTTGGAGCACGCCCATGGCTTCGACAATACTCAGTAGAACACCTACACGTATGCTACTAGAGATAACGGAAGAAGATGTCTGGGTAGGCTTACCGTTTACCCCCGCATCCTTACCGCAGTGCCTACCTGCGCATGTTGATGTTGATAGGGTAAGGTGACCCCCAACGTACAGCTGGTCGTGAGTTAGGCATCCTATGGAGAATGCTGTATGTTTTTGAGCAGGGATTGGATTTGATGGCGTCTAGATACTCGGGTACTCAGTAGGTATGGCAAGCTTATCGGGATTTCCGACGTTGAATTGTAGAAGGATTTCGTAGGACACTTGTCAACCCCTAAGATGATTAGAATGCATACTATGTATGTAAAAATACAATGAAACAGCAAGAAAAGGTGTAGTGTACGGTACATCTGGGCTACCACATATCTATCTGTACAGTACTCAGTACGCATGTTCCCAAGTACCGAATTATCTCACCAGCAGCAGTGTGATTTATCCTTGGCTGGCTAATTTTCGCTCATCTGGCCCGTGCAGGACGCTACTGTAGCTAGCGTGCAGCAGCATGTCATGAGCTTACTTAATAGCACCACGTTTCAGCACCTTGCAGCGTCCCCCCCGCAAAATCGACATGGGAGTCGTGATCCTTTCTTCACCTTTGCCGCACACCCACCACCGCTATTTTCCAATAAAATTAAATTCAATTCTCGATAGGGCCGCCAGCTCGATTCCTTCGGTGAGTGACCGCAGCGTCCTGTCACTCACCCGTCACTCACCCCTTTCACGCGCAGCTGTGGTTGGCTGCCGCGCCTGTGGCCCATCGATAGTACTACGTGCGTAAGTACTTGTATATCTCTTCCAAGAACCTACTACGACACCAGGGTCGCAAACAAATGAAACAGATGTACAGAGATACATACATACATATGTAGGTATAAGCACATAACTACCTACATACATGTAGATACCGGTACCTCCTTGAATTACCAGTGTACATATGGCGGTATTTGCGCTAGGAGGTACTTCAATCTCCAAGACAGCCGCCGGCTTATTCGTCCATGCCCAGACATTCCTTCAACTTCCTGAACAATGTTAATAGCCTTCCCAAGTGTGATTTTGTTAGTGGGCTCAGAGCGGGACCTTTGCTGGAGATCTTGCCCCAAGTGCTTGGCCCTACCTCAGTTCTTACTCAAGTAAGTAGGTCTATGAGATGTACACTTACTAAGTAAGTAATCTGCTAGTTCAGGGCCGGCAATTAGAGTAATTGAATTGCAAGTCTACCTTAGGCTAAGGACCTTAGGTAGGTGAGGTAGGTAATCCTGTGAATCATAGTAAGTATCTACCAGACACCTACCTACATGCCCCCCCGCTGTGCCTGCACCTGCACCTGCGCGCGTGCGATACCTACATAGTACGTCTCTGGGTCTGTCTGTCTGTCTGTCTGTCTGTTTGTCTCTCGGCCGGAATCCGTTTCTGCACGGCCACCACGCACAACAAACCAATGTCTACCTTATCTACTACTATGTATGTAGAGTACCGGTCGATGGTAGATATGTACATGTAGGCTCGCCATGCTGTATGTATCTATCTGTACGCGCCAATATGCACACCTCGGTAGGTCGATGTAGTATCCATGATCCCAGGCAAGAAGAATCTACTTTGTAAATTGTAAGTATTCGTTCACAAGCTACTACGTGCTAGCTAGCATGGCCGGGGGACCGCAGTCTACCTTAATCCTCCTGCTCCACTACGCCTTGTATCTTATTTCGGACGCCAAATTCACAACACACCCAATGCTATGGAATCTGATCTGATCTGATCGCTCTCCGGTCTTCTATCTTCTGTCGCGCAAACCAACGACCGGTCAATACCTTGACACCGTCTTGTTCTGCTTGCTGGCGAGTCCCTTTCTCTCGTCATCGTGCGCCATTGGCAAAATATATAGCACCGGCTCAACCCCGCCATTGTAGTCCTTGGAGGGAAAGTGAAGGAAGACCAGGAGAGGGAACAAGAATCACACGCGGCCGCCAGCTCCTCTGCCCACGATTCGAGCTATTGCTCCGTCTCGCGTCTCTAGAGAATCGTCCTCCTGTCGCCGCCTTTCTACCTCACATCGTACCTGCTCGACCGCCCCAACTCGCTTGATGGCGCCGTCATGACGTTTGCCCGATCCCCTTCGACTGTGACTAAATGGTACCCGATCACAAGATGAATAGTCATGCTGGCCTAGTCGGTTCTCTAGTCGAAAGACTTACCACCAGGGTGACTATCCCTCCCTCCGCCTAGAACTCGGTGCTCGGCACTAGAGTTTGATTCTACGCCGCGTGCGACACTCGGACTACGTTCCGTTGCTAACCTCTTCCTATTTACTACAGCTACCGCACCGCACAGGCACACACAGTTCCGAGCTCAAGCATGACGATATCGTTACCATTACCCGTGCCAGCATAGTCAAGCTCAGCTCGACCTCAATATCCCATATTCTACACGCCCTCATCTCGTTGCTGGAAGACGTATCCCGAGCCTACAAGAGCGGCCACCCGTCCTACATTCTTCAGTCTGAAATTTACATTGTTGCGCTTGCTGCCGATTGTTGTTCCGCCCATTGGCAAGCGCTCCGTGACTCCAGTTCAAGCGCCTCTCCCAATGCCTCGTCAGTTAATTCGGCCACCCAGATCCCGGTGTTGCCCAAGCCTTTAGACGACAAGTTAGTAAAACGGGTCTTCAGCTACCTTGAGGTCCTCATAGAGCCCATACCCGATGGATACGTCATCCCAGCGAAGGTGATATTAGAGGATGAGTTTGTACGTGAAATCTTGGATCCGCGCTATGACGAGCCCGCGCTCAGTCTCGCCTCGTCCAGTGGTTCAGACACCGCTCGAGACACGATTAACTCGCGCGAGGCCAACGATGACTTGACAGCCGCCGAACCCTATATCAAGAAAATTGCCGAGTTTGTGAGCGCAGCGAATTGGTCAGCGTCCTTCGACTATGTGCGGTCTGCCATCCGTAGCAAGAGAACCACTGCTTCCACACAGTCGAACAGCACCCAGAGCCTAACCATGTCTGAAGATGACAGGTCTCTCCTGGTTACTCTCAAGTTCCTCTCGTACTTATGGGTTGACGCTCTCAAGCTTGGTTTGGTCATGCAGGAGCTTAGCTCTACATTCCTCCACTTTCGGAGGATGTTCCAGAATACTGTGGCCCTAGTTGCGCCGCTGCTTATATTCAAGTGGATTGAGCGCTACCCTTGGGAGTTTGTGCGACTGCATAGCCAACGTAGGAAACTTGATGGTGGACCAGACACTCTCGCCGATATGACCCACTCCTTGGGTGACAATGGCAGAAGGCGCTCGTCTCTTTATCCTTTTCAGACAACCCTACTTATGCTTGTCCCAGAAGTATTTGAAGTAGCAAGTAATCTCCGGGATACTAAGGGTGGTAACATGGCCAAGAGGGTAGCTTTTCTCGAGGGCCTCAGAAAAGGGTTGCGCAACAAGAACGAGACAGCCGGTGTGTGTCTGGTGATACTATTGCGGGCCGCTCGTCATTTCCCCCCAGAGTCGGAATCGGCCTTCTTAAGCTATGTAATGGATATCCAGGATGAGCTGAAAGATGCTGTGTTCCGTCGACATAACCCGGTCGGCGATGGCATCTTGTTCGAACAAGATTTGACAACGGCCGCATGTATAAGCCTCATACACCTGAACCTTAACGTCTACGTAGATCCTCTGGTGCAGATTTGTGCACAACCCTCCGCTCCTTTGTCCTTCAGAGTTGCCATCATGCAGACATGCTCCTACTTCGCTCGAAGACCAGATGCCCAAGACTACCGTCGTCTCTACATCTCTGTCTCTGGGTTTATCCAACATATGTTGAAGGTGGGTCGTATCATTCTCAAGCGTCCCGGCGTGCAGTCGCTGACGGATCCAGGCCATGTCGACTGTGTCGACCGACCTTTACATAGGCGTTCGTCGATCCCACCGCAAACCATCGACAGGCGACGCCAGAACAGCAACCGGGATTGTGATATGCAACATTCTCAAATTTCTCAATTCGTCTCCACTAAGTTTATTCGAAAGCACATCACCAGATGCCAAGAACTCGGACTCGTTCTACGAAGAGATTTATGAGTCTTTTGTTTCGTGTCTGGTGACAGCAAATGATACGGTGAGGACGTTGTCTAGACCGCTTGCTCAGAGTATCCTACCGACCAACGGCTTGCTCGCGTCTGTGCGTCAGGCGACCCCTCTCGATTCGGAGAGTTTTAAGCTGAAATTCTGGAAGCTGACGTAGGCAACGTAGCGTCCCAAGCTGTTGGTAACAAGTCTTGGCTAACGGGTATGTAGTGCTTCGGTCCTATTGGACATGTGCGACAAGTGGTACCAACAGGAAGATGTCTCAATCATAAAATCCATTCACTCATACCTGGAATCGGGTTTGTTGCTTCTCTCCTCATGTCGGGTAAGCTACCCTCGCTGCCACACTTCCCTGCCCTGTGGTCGATTTAACACATACCCAGGAACTATGTAGATTGAATGAAGACTTCCCTGAACGTACAGCCGTTGCCATCAAAGCAGAGTCACTTCTGCTGTTAGCGCTCTGTTCTCCAGAGATCGAGACCTGTCAGCTTGTGACATCTGCTTTGGGGCTCCTAAACGAAGAATGCCAGATTCTGCTGAACGAGAGTCAGGAGGCGAACGTAGCGACTTTACAGCTACCCAACTACGAGATATACGCTGATATTGCATCGCGTGGATTCAGGTTTACTGGCATGATGGCTTTTCAGAAGCGTACTCGAGCGCTTTTGCGACGTATTACGTTTCCTGGCCCAAGCATACTTGACGCTTGGGAACGTGCTTTTGACAAATGGATTCACTTATCAAAGGATGTCTCCACAACGCCAATTGATGCTATTGACGAGAGGACCTTCTCGGAATGGCGAAATCTATCTGGATTCCTGGCCTCTCTCGGTGGTGTCTGCACTGCAGAGCAGGCTTACGGTGTCCTAGAGGAGTCTGTTATTAGCGGGCTCAAATGGATTGACCGAGTTGTGTCTGAAGACTCCGGAGAACCAATTCTGAACAGATACCTCAAACAGAGCACGCAGCTTCTCGCATGCCCCAATGTTCGCGTGAGAGAAACCATAAGAGATGTTCTGTCTACAGAGATATCGCCACCTCTATATCAACCGCTGTTCAAGACTTTAGGTTCCGAGCTTACCAATCTGTTCGAAGGCAAACTGAATACTGTTAATGGTCCGGACGCGGCGATCATCTTTGCTGAGCAAGCAGCTTCACTACTCAGAACGCTCGTGGAAAAGTTAGAGTCGCCCTCTGAACTTGGTGCTGCAGCATGCATGGATTTTAGCTCCGTTGGTCTCGATTTCGTTAAATTCCTCGACGGTGTAACTGAAAACGCCTCATGCTTACGGGTCAAGATCAAGGCTTGCCAGCTGTGTGAGTCTATTACTAAAAAGAAAGAACATTTAAATTTCCATGACGACATCAGGAAGCGGAATCAGTTGTTGGAGTACATTTTCAGCTGGATTGCCCGACCTCGTTCTCCGAAGGCCGATCTTTCTCACGGCATAATTCGCCAAGACGAAACAGCAAGGCTCCAAAGGGACTTAGATAAGGCTTGTTTCCGCTGTCTTGCTAGTCTTACATACAAACTCCCTCTTCAGCCGGGCGAGGGACAAACTGATGCAGGCACTAGCGAGCTAAAGTCACAGATGTTCCATACATATTTCAATCGATTCCTCTCTCTTCTTAACCATGAGTCTGCCGAAAATATCAGGGGAGATACTTCGGCTCACGATGAGGCCGGATCGACCTCCGCGTTGGCCATTACTATTCTTTCGAACCTCTTAAGTGCAAACATCGACGTGGGCCTGAAGCATTCTCTAAGTATTGGCTATCACGAAAACATTGAAATTCGCACTGCTTTTGTGAAGGTGCTCTGTAATATTTTAGTTCAGGGGACGGAATTCAGTACACTTTCTGATAAGGCAGTCAACGAAAAATACAATGCCTTGTTACAGGTAAATTTAATCTCAACTACAGGATCTGCCTGGTGTGGTGTATGTTACTGACGATGAGAACGTTCGCAGCTACTTACTCAAGATATGAGTTTGGTTATTGCCATCAGTACGGCTTGTCCTAGCAGCGAGGTGGAAGAAATGACAGTAGCCCTCCTCAACGTATTTGAGTCTCGTGGACTTGCGTTTGAGCTCATGGAGGCTCTGATCAAGCAAGAGATCGAGGATACAGGTACGTTAGATGCCCATTATTCGGAGCTGAGCAGCATCTGACTTTACTTATAGAAAACGAAGCGGAGCTCCTACGAAGAAATTGTGTCGCAACAAAAATGCTTTCCATTTATGCGAAGTGGAAGGGCTCAAATTATCTCAAATCAACTCTACAAAAGGTAGTCGAGAGGTTGATGTTAACCTCGGAAGACTTAGACTTGGAGCTCGACCCTGCGAGATTATCCTCTCAAGAAGAGCTTCAAAGAAATGCTATGCAATTACGAATTGTTGCGAAAGTCTTCATAGATGACATATGCGCATCCTCTACTAACATACCGCCATCGTTCAGGAAAATATGTAGTATTGTAAGTTGTCAATGATTCGGTAACTGAACAGTACCAATAGCTAACCTCCGCGAGATCTCTACTGCTGTTATGCCGAGGTTTCAGGAAGCGAAATACACTGCAGTTGGCGCCTTCATCTTTCTTCGGTTCTTCTGTCCTGCTATCGTTGCACCAGAATCAGAGAAGCTTGTGGCCGAACCTCCTTCCAAGGAGATGAGGCGAGGTTTGCTCTTAATCGCTAAGGTTATTCAGAACTTGGCGAATAATGTTCTCTTTGGAGCAAAGGAGCCATATATGTATCCACTCAACGACTTCTTAACCCAAAATATTTACAAAGTGACAACATTTCTAAGGGAGATATCAGTCAGTATGCTCGCCCCCCGTTCCCAACCACTTGCTAATCTTTTGGTAGGTGCCGCCTGATACTCTAGATACTACGCAGTCTGAAGTTGAGAATTTCGACTTCGGTTCTTGCGTTGTTCTACACCGTTTTCTAAATGAGCACTGGGATAACATCCGACAGCGCCTCATGTCTCAAGGACGGAGAGAGCAAATTCGCACTCCCAACGAGCTCTCCCGTGGCTACACGCCAGCTATCGAGCGACTTCGAACACTGATCACCACGTTGGGTCCACCCTCTTTGGCAATTACCTGGAATCGTCCACAGATATCGACAAACTACTTGCCCACATACTCCAGATTCCAAAACTTCATGTTACGTAATGCACACCGAGACACCAGCTCCTTCATGACCTCTCGCACTATATATGAGGGTGGTGAAACCAAGGACGGCCTAGCAGTAATTTGCGTAATTCTTCGTCACATTGATCGAGAGGCTGTTGACCACGGTGCTTTGTTATTCGCCTATCTGAAGCTCGCAAGCCGTCTTTGGCATAAACCTTTTGGCGTGTTCATTGATGCGACGTGTGACCACGGCGCCATCGAAAACCACGATGATCTCATCAAAGACCTTGAGAATCTCATGCCGACAGAAATGATCAGCCAGCTGACAAGGATGTATGTCTACAACATGAACAGCACATACAGGAAAACATTCCGACGCAATCTGCGTCTGGCTGGCAAACGCGAAGTGAATATGTTCGTGGGACCAAATACGGAAATACATCTGCTTGGAACCGTTCAGGATCTGCAGACACATTTTGTGCTTCGACAAGTTCACCTGCCCAAAGAAACCATCGATGTAGTGAAGGACACTCGATATGTCTTCCAACCTGTCACCAGACTCTCGAAGACTAAAGGAAAGATAGAGGTTACTATTAAGGTTGGCAGTCAGTTTGTTCAAATCACGACAGTGAAGAAACAAGAAGTTCATCCGACCCACCGCCTCAATGCTATTATCAATGACATATTCCGCCTTAGCGAGGTTGACGAAGCGCCAACATCCATTCCTACCGAGGATGATTCTGCTTTCGGACTGCGAGCGGATAACGGCAAAATTGTCATGTACTTCCAGAGTTCGAAGAAGAATGAGATTCTCCAATCCATCCGAAGTGCCAAGGCTAAGTACGGGAAGGATATAAGGAGTGTCAAGTCATTTGACAGGCTCGTTCGACCACAAGATATACCTGGGACACTCTTGAATCTAGCCTTGATGAACCTAGCAGCACCCGATCACTCCCTCAGAATCGCGTCTTATAACCTTTTAGGCGCACTTTGTCAAGCTTTCAAATTCAAGGCAGCTTCAAAGTTTACGTGCATAAATGGTAAGCAATGATTAGGCTCTTATACAGTTACTGAATAATACTGATACTCATCCCAGATGTGTACATACCCATGGACCCCAATCATTTCATCATCAATATAAGCAGGACTCTAGCCCTCGAAGAGCCTCAATTAACGGCTGATTTCTTGAACGAGTTTTTCGTCGGCTGGGAAAACTTCTCTGATGAACAGAAGCCATTGAGCCTTGCCTACATGGCACCGTGGTTACCAAATTTGCGCACATCGCTTCTTAGCGACGAAAGTGATAGCGAAAAGGGTAAAGACAAGATATCTGCTATCTTCCAAAAGCTCATAGATACCGCGGCGGTCGATTCGTCTCTTTGCCTCATACTTGAACAAACAGTGTTGCCTGCAATCTACAAAGACGAAATCCTTTTGGACCTCTTTCTCGAAGAGATCACTAAGGCGGCGCTTGCGGTCGGTCCTTATGATGAGCAGACACAGGCCTTGACATCGACGGTGACAGCGATCGGTACAATGACACTTCGTGGAAAGGTCATCTCGCGTCTGCGAAAAGCGCTGAATCGATCAGTCCTCCGGCCCACGAAACACCTCCCTCAGAATGCTGTCTGGGACGAGATTGTAATCTTACTACAGTTCTGCCTTGCACTATCGTTTGACAGCGGCGTGCAGTCTCAACTCTACATGCCAGAAATATTTCACATTGTCACAATGCTTGCAAATACTGGCCCTGTCGATGTCCGCACATCTGTTCAACGATTATTAGTCAACTCTCTTCACGCAGCATGCACCTCTTTTACGCTAGATGACCACAGGTCATCCAAGTTACATGGCATTCTTGAGTTAGTTTCAGACCCTAAAAACGAAAATTTCTGCATCGCTTCAGACTTCATACCAGATGGGTCTTCCATGTTCGCATTTCTTGATAGTTATCAACCGCTCTTAGCTACGGAACATCTTGCGATTCTACTCTTCGACACCTGCACTGTCGCTGCACCTTCCATCGACTTGGCAAATGCGTGGCGGTCTAGGTGGATGAGTCTAGTTGCCAGCACTGCATTTCAGAATAACCCTGCAATTCAACCACGTGCTTTCACTGTCATGGGCTGCTTGGCACGCGAAGAGATTGATGATGATCTTCTTTACCAAGTTCTAGTAGCCCTTCGCCACAGCATCACCCGCTTTGGAGAGGATGGCTCTACCGATATGCTTATCGCCGTAGTATCGGCCCTCTCCAAGATGATTACCAAACTAACTTCGGCATCTCGTTATGGACTGCAGCTCTTCTGGCTTGCGATGTCCTTGATCCGACTCATGCCAACAGCTCGTCTATTTAACTGCGCAACGCAGTTATTGGAAGCTGTGCTCACTAACATCGGTATCTCAAGTGAGCTTAGGAGCGAGAAAACGGCAGCGTTTCTCCTTCAAGGCCGTAGCACATTGGAAGAGGCCACTCTCCCACTAGATGAAGTTTACGGCGTGCATTTTACACCAGACAACTTCCATTCTGCCGTCTGTGCCTGTCTAGTGCGCGGTCTTACTGACCCCATCACAAAGCCGTCTACACTACGTGTCGTCTCAACATTCCTAGAATTAACGACGAGTTCGTTCTCGTCCAAGTCGTCCACTATCGCACCGGCTGTCTTCTATCAATCTCCATATATGGCCCTACTTCAATCAAGAGTCACCAGCTCAGACAGAATTAAGGAGTGTCTCTGGTCTGCTGGCTTTGACCCAGCTAGTGTTGCCAATCTCACACTCGAACGAGGTGTGCGTCTTACGGAATATGTTCAAGATAAAGATATTCTTCTATATGTTGCTATTCAGCTAGTAGATTTCCGGAATCTAGAAGACGAGATCCAGTCACACATGTTAACGTGGCTGGGTGATCTGGCTATAGAACGGCCAGCAGTTGTTATCCCAATGTGAGTAATCAATCAACGTGTACTTGTAGACACTCCGTAATGACCATTGGCTAATATTTCGACTCCAGGCGTTCGGCTATCACATCTCTTCTTGATGAGATCCTGCTTCATGCCAAGAATCCAACAGCCGTCAAAGCAGCACATGGGTTGCTTCGGATGGTAACTACTAATCCCAAGTTCGCATCTACTAAGGACAACCATGACACGATCGATGATTTTCTTGAAGATATGGGATTCGAAGGATTATGGCGTTCCCATTCCTTCGTCCAGTCTCAAGAATTTGATAAGCAGCTCATAGTGCTGACAGAAAAACTGATTGAAGTAAGTCTCCGAATACGATTGCTGCAGTGAAATGGCATTATATGCAAGCAAATGCTAATTTTAATTCAGCTTATTATTATGTGAACCACGATAAGCGACCACGACTAAGAGGAACATCACCTCTCATTTTCGGGGACTATGAGAAGTACATTTTTTGCATAGCGAGCGAGCTTTGGATAACATTTCATCCACCACCGTCACATTTTGGAGTGGGGGTACCGAGTTATACTTGGTGTATAGACGGAGTAGGCGAGGTGGAAGGCAAAAAAGATAAAGACATGATGATCTGAACGAAAAGTTAAAAAAGAAAAAAGTATCCCACACATATCTGATATTCGCCCCCATCGCCAGCGGATTTAGCGCCCCATATGCATATAGCGGAATGAACCTGATGAGAGCATATGTGAACTACGAATAAAAGAAAAAAGAAATTCTTATCTTTGCAGACTATGTGAATAGTGTGTGGCGATGATCCTTAATTGCACGACGCGCTTATGTACCGCGAGTAAATGTGCCTGTTGTCTGAGATCAATAATTGACCAAGTCGTGATAGAACTATGGCAGTCATAGGTGGACTTTAACGCACAGCAAATGCTGATTAGTTAGGATACTGCAGCGGTGATCTAATCATCTTCATTTCTCCTCCTCGACAGAATCAACGGTACGAGGGTGTCAACTTGTATTTCCTTCCTGTACATCGGGTCCTCTAGCTTTGTGGTATCGAAACCATCGCGGGTGGGATCTACTTGCGCTCTTTCGCACTGGGAGAAACGAAACGTGTGTTAGGCGGGAGTTGAACGAGTGCGAATTCGTTTGATGTCCGGATCTCACGCCTAGACTATGGAGGAAGATGATAGTGTTTGTGGATTCGACACTGTATCGATCGCTCTTTGGTAGATGGGAGCCCATTATCTACAGTACGACGAGAAAGTAAACAGACATGTGATATTAACGAAGACTTTTCTGGTAAATTATGGTTAACTAATTGATAGTCGAGTGACCTCTAGCTGCTACTTAGACAGTCCAGCTCGCTTGTTTGCGTGAGAAGCTCCCGCTTCTTCTCACTGTCACATGCCTATTTTTCTTTTCCAATCGATACCCAGAAGCTGTTTACTACACCATGTGTTCGTATAAGGGGGTCTAGCTTCCGCCTTCCGCCTGTGGTACGTTGTGGGCATTGCCTTCAGTACCCAAGATATATTTGTTAAGAAAGGTGTTCGTGTACGATGGTTTTTCTCCTTCTCTTTTCGGGTTTTGCCATCGGAATTGGCGGTGTGTTTCCCAGGCTATGTGCTCATATCTGAAGACTTTCTCTTCTTTTTGTTTGCCCTTGGTTTGTATGTTGGATCTTCATCCAGTAGATAGCCATCTCAGTAAATATTCAGCCACTAGAGGCGTATAGTCTGGATTCCATTCCTCTGAATCTTCACCCCTTGGATCACCATCTTCTGGATCCCCATCCTCTGAATCTTCACCTCCTGGATCACCATCTTCTGGATCCCCATCCTCTGAATCTTCACCTCCTGGATCCGCATCTTCTGGATCCCCATCTTCTGGATCCCCATCTTCTGGATCCCCATCTTCTGGATCCCCATCTTCTGGATCCCCATCTTCTGGATCCCCATCTTCTGAATCTCCATCTTCTGGCTCACTGTCAATCAAGGATGCGTTCAATAGCTCTTTTAATTGGCCTGTGCCGAATGGAGTTGATGAGAGCACCTTATCTACTCGTTCCCATTGAATTTTTGGATTGATGCGTTCAAGGAAGGTATTTAGACCACGGAATACGGCGTAGGGCAGAGAACCCTCAGGGGTCGAGTCATCGAAACGGCGCAGCCAAACAGTGTAAGTGGAGTCAGTTTCTATGTCGCCGATCTTGCTGTCCTCGAAGTTGCCGCTAGATACAAAACTCCAGCCTTTGAGGTAGTACTTGATTTCGGATTCCATACGCGGGCTCTGGTTCTGCATGCATACGATCGTTGTCCGTCCGAGATTTGCAGTCACCTCCTCAAGCAGCAATCCGAAAGCAGCGATGCAGCACGGGCTGAATTGCGGCATATGGCAAGGGACGAAGTAGGGAACGTCTAATTAGCCGCATCTTAGCTTCACCATAACAGACCCCAAAATGAGAGGCCCTTGTGAGGAGACTGTTATGAGAATAATCGACACTTACTGAGAATACCATTGTCGCACCCCTCACCACGTATATTCTTAACGCGCTCAGCGTACTCGGGTGGGAAAACCCAAACTCTGTCGGGAGACAAAGCATTACATCTCTCATTCTCTGTCCATGGGTCATTGAAGCCTTGTGACTTCATGTGAAATGCCACTAGTTTTTGGTGTCAGCAGCCAACAGAGTTTCGAACCCGTTACGAGTTCTCCGACACAAATTGGCAAAGCATCAGAGAGGGAAAACAGACATTCACTTACAGACCCCCAGGACATTAGCACCTTGCTCGACTACAAATACCCAACCTTCCGTTATCATTGACGGTTTTATATAGTTATACATGATCTTGAAGATCGCCTCCCGGTGTCTCGACAGCGCGATTGTCCATGTCTGTTCCATAGTGTAGTTACCACATCGGATGAAATTTTTGACTTCACACGAATGATCCGCGCAAAATTTGGCAATTCTGTCAACGTCTTTTTCATGACGAGCCCATCTCAGATATACTAAGACTAAGTTAGTTATCACTAATTGAAATAAACAGACAATGAGTTCAGGGAGCTCTTTAAGGCTGCCCATTTCAAACTAGCGTACCTGGGCCGTCCTCTGTCTCCATCAAAAACCGAGGTTCCATCAAGTTGAAATTGTAACTGGGAATTTGATGTTTCGAAAATTCTGAATCCATCCTTCCCTTTCTTGTGTATGAATTCTCGTATTGTGCCGTGCAGAATAAGTGTATAAGTTCTTAAGTGCTTGACTAGTAGAGTATTTGTTGTAGATGCTGATCTGTGCAGAGGAAAAGATAGATGTGAAATGGGAGCTAGGAGACAAGACGAGAGATGTTGATGGATCATTCTCACTGGCTTATAGCCACAATCGGTGAAAAGGAAAGAGGTCCTGATGTCAGGCACGCACGAAAGTAGGGGCTCCCAACTATCTCGAACACACCTACTAGAGTTGTTGATTTGATAACATGCGCTACGTCATCAGGTCTTAATGTCTTCGGGAAGGAAAACCCCACAAAAGCAGGAGCATCAGACAGAATGCTCGTTCTCTTCCCGTTAATACTACTGTTGTAATGGATACAGGACCTCGATGATAACCCATGTGTCCTTCCAAAAGACCATGACACCAGAATCTGCTCAGGACAACGTGCTACGTAGCCGCTCCTCGAGGCCGGATTCGTTAGATACGATACGGATTCCTTCTTCACGTTGTCGACACTCGAGGGTCTCGAGGCTTAAAGTAAACTGTGCGCCTATAGACAAAAAATCTCTGTAGGCTAGGTCTATGTGCACTGTATATGAGTGAGCGAAGGGTATCAAGCTTGCCTAAGGTATGAGGACAGCATGTATTACACAGATAGCTAAGTTCTTGCTCGGCATCTATACCAAAGTGTCCACCACACCACACGTGATCCCGCACCACGCACCGATATAGCTTCCAAGTGAAAAGCAGCAGTTCACCATAATACAATAATACTTTACAGCTGGTTTCCCTCTTGGCCTTAATAGCTGACTTTAATTCTATACAAAGTTGTTTCTGTCTTTGCTAGCCTCTAAGGCTCGTTAACATGTCTTATAGTAGGGAAATTCTGTAAATATAATTGATTCCTCTTTCTATGCCTTATAAGCGGGACTCTTACAAGATTTGTTAGGCAGACTGCATACTTAGCCGTAATTAACGCGTATATAAGATAAATAGAAGTACATAGCTAATATCTTTAATCATGGCATATGATACCCATATCCACGGTATACTGCGGAAGGCGTTATTAAGTGTGACGGGCTAATGCTTCGTTCCGCTATACTACTCTATTCTCCCGGCCGAAGATACGAGCATGAATGAGTGCCATTTTCGGTGCCGTAAAGCAGGCAGCTACGCAAACCTCATGCGGCGGGTGTTTCATCACTCAGCACCGTTTTCTTTTGGTATAATAGTTATAGCATAAGACATACACGAGACGCAGTCTTGATCCCCAAATCACAGACCTACAGCACGTAAGCATTGTAAGAGGGGGCAAGGGCGGAGTAATACATTGCATCTGAGCTCCAAGACAATTCAACTACGGATTAGGTAGTTGCTATATATCGCAAATGGGTATGAGGGTATAAGTTCCAAGTCGAAAGGAGAAAAGAAAGAAAAGTAAGTAAAAGATGGGCGCATGAACCCGCGTGTCAGATAGCATGAACTCTTCCCGTGAAGAAACAAGCAAATCTCTTCTCATCACAAGTGTCACGCTCAGATCTACCACCAGTACATCATGAACACCCGACCTCACGCATATGTAATCACAGCGTGCGAAGCGACCAGGAAACAGAGGCCAATCCTTAGTCTTGAACTACATTCTTCTCACCAGCAGGCGGTATGTCGGTACCAGTGGTCGTGGCGATAGCATCGCTATCGTGGTTTTTCTCAACCGAGGAGCTGCGAGCTGGCTCTGGGGTTGATACGACAACAGGCGGACTGTCGAATTGGTACAGCGGTTGGAGAGTAGCGCTTTTCTGCCAGAGTACCCAACGCTTGAACCACCATGGAAGAGCCTTGGTGAACTGGTACTTGATGAACAGCGTAGAGGGCACGGCAAAGATGTAGTCCAGTTCTTCTAAAGTGCGCTGCTTCGTTTCTGGTACCCACAGGAAGATCAGGACAAAGCCTAAAACGTTAAATCCAGCATACAAGCCAAATGCACCCTATATTGAAGCAATTAAGTCAGTGATTTGTCCAGTTCTCTCCATCCTGTACTGGATCTATCTTAGGAGAGGGGAGCGTCCAAACAAGAACGATAGAACGAAAATAATGACTTACGACGACACCCAGCGAATCTAGAATTTTAGGGAAGGTAATACTCAGCACAGCAGCCCAAAACAGGTTCGTTGCCACTGCGAAAGCCATGCCGACCTCACGATGAGAAAGTGGGAAGACTTCAGCACTGTAGGCAAACGGAACAGGGCCTTCACCAGGAGAGTAGAATGCTGCAAAAACGTAGATGAACACGGCCACAAGGACGACATGGGTTGTTGACTGTTCGGGAAGAAGGTTGAAAAGACCAGCCGCAAGCAATGACCACGCCATGTTGGGGAATGTGAAAAGGAGAAGAGCGCGGCGGCCGAATGTATCGATTGTCCAGAAGGCAGGGAATGCAAAGAAGAAATTAATGGCACCAAAGCCGAAAGAGGCGAGAAGGGCCTGGAAGTTATTGGCGCCGGCAGCAACGAACACAGTCGAGGAGTAGAAGGCAATGATATTGATACCTAAAGAGACACGTCAGTTGAGGGACTTCGGACAAACTGCTGGATCTTATAACTAACCGCAGAGCTGCTGTGCAATCATAACCACAAAAGCGGCACCAGTAGCCCGTCGAAGGCGAGGGACTGTGAACAGCTCGAAGAAGCGAGTGACGTATGAAGCTTTCCCGATAACATTGGCCTCGACTTGAACCTGGGCATGGATAGCGTAAAGGTCGCGAGCTGCTTGGATGGGATTATTGCGTAGTTTCAAAAGCGATGTCATAGCCTCGGCGTACCGACCCTTTTTGATAAACCAGCGAGGACTCTCGGGGCAGAAAAGAATGAGAGATACCAGTGGTACAGCCGGAATGAAGGCCGAGCCAATTTGCACTGAGTTTTGGGTAGTTGTTAATACACGATTAATGACGCTTCTGTAGAGCTACTCACATCGCCAAGCAATCGGCCCAACACGTCCAACAACTAAATTGGCAATAGTCCCGAGCCAGATACCAAATGCAGTCCACATTTGCCATGTCATCGTCAATGCCCCACGGATGGAAGCTGGGCTGTTTTCGGCGGCGAAGATGGGCACAGTCGAGGCCTTGATACCCATACCGATACCAAGAAGCAGTCTCGTAGCGAGGAGTTGCTGCCAGTTCTGGGTAACAGCACCACCAATGGGGGTGATCAGACAGAAGATGGCAGAGATGAAAATGGTACCTGAACAAGTCAATACATCTAGTCACTGAATATGAGATCTAATTTGACAAACCTCGTCGGCCAAAGTAATTGTTTAAGGGGTCAGAGCACCAGCAACCTATCAGAGCTGAGCCAATGTATGGGGCCGAGTTGATCAAGCCAACAAGGAAAACGTCATGAGTCGAATTAGATCCAATGCCAAATTGCAAGGGAAAAGTTAGGTTGGCGCCATTGCTACCCTCTTGATCCCAGCCTTGCACGGCTGCTCCAATAGAACAGGTGATAATAGTCAGATATAGTGTTCTAGGAACACTCCATTTATGAGTGATTTCACGTTTGAGGGCGTAGATCTCGGCCTCGTCAAGTGCCTCGGCACCCTGAATATCTTCAAAGCAAGTTGGGTCCTGCGCAACGAGGGCTCCCTTCCGCAGGAGCGGTATGTGCTGGTCTAAGTTGTTCTCACGGGCAAATGCCTCGACATCGGAAAGCAATTGCTGCCGAGGAATACCTGCAAGCGGATTTCGGATCCTGTCCGTCGCGTTAAGTCTAGGTAGAAGATCACCAATCGGTTGTTACGTACTTAGCGTCCACGTTCTTGTTGATATCAATGTGGGCAGCAGAGCCACGACGGCCTTTCTCCGCATCATGGACAGGCTCAGGGCTGGACCAAGATGTTAGATTGATATTCTTATTTCAATTGAGCGACGCCTCTCGCGCCTGTACTTACGCCAAAGCAGCCGCGTCTTGTGCACCAGCTGTGCTGTGAAAGCTCCGTTAGATTCGACGCCCATTTCTCCCAATTAACCATGACGAATGATATCGTCTCACTTGGGTGAGGTGCTTACGTTGACACCGCCTCTTTCTCCGACATCTTCACACTTTTATATCGAATCTCCAAGGCAATGACGAAGTGTAGCTAGAAGGAAGCGTGGATATCGCTGAGCGGATAAGGTCCAGTCGGGCCACACAAGTTGGGATTGGAGTGAAGCGCCCTCTTTGCTCTTGTGGCGACAACGTCGTGATCGAGCGACGAAGGGGAAACAAAGAAGGTCAAAATCATGCGCAACACATGTGTAGCGATGACGCAGGGCTTTTATTACTTATTATTGCGGCGGTCGGCAATCAAGTAACATGTAGCCCAGCCGCAGGCGTAGGACAAAGTCGACCCTAGCTTCCTTCTCGATACCTAGGCAACGGCAGCTAGGCATCCTAGGTATATGTAAGTAAGGTAGGAAGTATGTACTTAGAGAGGGAGGCATACCGAGTGCCACCTGCACGCGGGTTGCGATGGCGGACACAGTACAGGTGAATGCGACCTAAACTGTCCCATACCTACGAAGTATCCCCTCATGGATGTCTCTCTGGTAAGTATGTGGATGCAGGGATACGAGCATGGGTCATTCGAAATGGCATCGTTACCTTAGGCCTACCATAGAGATTCTGGTGAACACCGGCTTAGGCAGTTTTGCTATGCTTTTAATCATCATATTTTGCTGCCCTGTCTGTCGGATGAGCCACGCGATGGGCAGAGTTTACCTAGAGTTGAGCCGCGATATCGTACCTTCGGTCTGCTCTAATTAATCTCCCGTCATCTACTACGTACTTACTATGTATCTTATGGAATGTCAGGATGTAAGTTGTCTGGCGAGGGTGATATTGCGGCAAGCCAAGGTAGCATCAGCAACTGAAGTAGCTTTGTTCCGTCTTGTTCCATGGAAATGGGTTTGATGTCCTTGCATGTCTAGCGTCGACGGCGAGCAGCAGCCCGCCCGCTCATTGGTGAATTAATATCCTGATGAGACTACAGGTCTCACGGCACATGCAGGTATCCAGCTTCGAGCTGAGAAGGCAATGGAACAAAGATACAGGACTTGACAACCCAGGTGATCTGCTGCCCAGCTGAATCGAGCCCCTAAGAAGTACTTACTCTGTCGGGCAATGTGTATGTATTTTACAATATATATACCGGTACTGGCAATAGCATTGTCGCCGTGTCAAGTTCTTTCTTTCTATCCATCGTCGAGTGCGGTAGGTACACAACAGAAACATGAGTTTTTCAGCCCTGACGATCACGAGAGCACAAAGCTATCTCGTACTCTGGACAACAACGCCTCTATTGGTCCCTTCACCCACTTGTTTCCCGTCTTGCTCGTACTAGATGGCAGTTCGATCATGCGTGTTTCACATCAGCTTACAAGCCGTTGGCATATCGTTCGTCGATGAGCTACCTATTATGTATTATGTTAGCATGCCGTATTGATGCGTATACATGCCTGTACACTTCAATTCTTTGCAAACCCACGGCGAGAGGAGGCTTACTATAGACATAATGTACGCAAGATTGCGCACAGGCAAAACTGACAAGGGTAGCTCCTAGGATGGTATTCAGAGGATTCGACAACAGGGTGGATGTTATCATCTACACATCTGTACCACCATCCTCAGGGTACTTCCCCAGTACTTACTTGTCTCTGTATTGAGATTCCATCGACCAACCCGAGATTATGCGGCCGGTTACTCCCCGGTAGAATAGGTAGGTGCCCATATCCCATATCAGAGCCTTGGAACAATGTTAGCAGGGCTTCTGTACGTCGCTAAAGCAGATTTGACAAATATCAGCACCACCCATACACGTGTGATGGGTGACATCACTTTTTATTCCTACGGCCTTTGGCTTGGCTGTACCTAGCGTACTCAAAGACCATTGGCCGGTCGTGCTGTGCCTCGTCGGACCTGGCGCACTGGGGTGGGCGGCAGAGGCTTTCACAATCCGGTGATGCTGTCAATGGCTGCTTCGACAATGTGAACTGATTGGGTGTTGTTCGGACTAAAGAATCCTACTTAGTATGGGTATATCTACCGGTACCGTGGCTAGCATCGCCTAGAAACCATCGTTGACGCCTCATAGCTTAGCTTTTGGCGCTGCCGATAATGATGGTGCCTTTGACAAGCCTTGGTATTCCTCTCATTGCGTATCAATTCCTTAGATCGATATCGCATGTTCGATCAAGCTTTTAGATGAATGCGGAGGTGGATTTCTAAGAGCGCTAATTAACTAACCTGTTCCCTGACCAACCTGCGCTGTGAGGTTGGTGCTAAGCAGAGCTGGGCAAAGACTAGAAGGGTCTGATCACAGGGATGTGGAAGGACCAGTGGAGCAATATGGAACGACTAAACATGCTTGACGACCTCAGTCAGACTCAGTCTTTGTATGATGAGATGAGTCGATTGACCTTGGCCCTGTGACACAAGCAAGTGACGGTGAGGACTGTAGCGAGGACTGTACTGAGTGAGTACTGCATAGGTATCTAGAAGCGGCCTAGGACTGGCTTCAAGCTGTTTTCGACTCTGGTCTGATCTGGCGAATGAACCCCCGACGCCATGGCTAGTTAGGAGGAATACGATGCCTGCTACCCGTGGCTTCAATGGCCTGTTCTCGGGTCATCTTTTTTAGGTCAAATGAGGGGAAAGCTTTCTCTCCAAGGGGGATGCGGAGAAGCTAGAGATCCTCCCGGTATTCAACGGCGTTGCCGAAGGCATCCTACTTAACTCGTTGCCTAAAAAGGAAACATCACACGGCTGCGAGAATAATTAAGCAGTTCGCCGCCGTAAACGCACGCACCTTCGCGTACATATATATGTACAGTAGCTTATACCTCTGCCTAGGTTGTGTAATACGGTAGTATACAGATGTCAGCTCGACACCTCTTATTTAGATTCCTGTCAGCTGATCGGCGCTGATGTGTACTTGTTTGTGCTCTTGCATGGTGCAGAAACGCAGGAATGAGGCGCTCCCATGTGCCAACGGAGCCTTGCCGCCGTCCTTGCCGCTGCGCAACACAAACTGCGAAATAACGCCTGTCCGGTCCTCGGAGGTGTGTGGTGAAAATATACGAGTCTGCCTGACTGCTTGCCTACCCGCGTAATCTACTGTATTGTGAGTAGACCCAAAGATGCGAAAAACAAGACGTGAAGAGAATCAGCAAACGGTAAGGCTGCATTGGAGCCCTGCATCTAATATCGACTCTCACTGCAGTCTGCATAGTTGTAGATATGTGCATCGTACTGTGTAAGCAACCTGTCAGTCATCGATACTACCTTAAAAAAAAAAAAGTCGAGGTAAATCCGAGGCTTGGAATTGGCCCGACACACAATTTCGAAACAGCCGCAGAACGCCTAACCTAGGCAGTCGTATAGGCAAGACTCGCCCGATAGGCCAACCGTAAATTTCACCTGTCGACAGAGACAGGTGATTCAGCCTTAAACTGCCGATCATCTCACAAATCCATGATCTATCTACCTGAGGAGAATCGCCTCCTCGATCGACGGTTAGAAAGAAAACGGATATGCTATTACTTGGAATAATCGAGGACTGTCAAAAAAAAAGTTATTGGTAGTGAATGTATCATTCTTCTTAAGAAAACATAGAGTGAAAATATATCACGAGTGCTCAATCAATCTCCCAGGCTTGAATATCCCTTTTGCCCGCAAATCTACACAAGAGGTTGTATGGACCATCCAAAAGAATATCGCTGATTTTCCTACATCTATCAAGAATGCTGCCTTATACCATTTCCCCCTAATGCGCCCACGGCCCCTTGATCAAGGACCGCTTCTGATTTTTCAATGCAGATTGTACATACAAAGAAAAACAATAATGTAAAGTAGAACAAAAGTAGGATATACACAGCACAAGCAACTAAACGCTTCAGCTGTAAGAGCCTGATTATATACCAAGTTTGGGCTTTTTTAAAAAGTAGTAGTAATGTTAATAAAACGAGCAGTGAACTGAAAAGGAAAGGGTATCTAGAAGTCCACCACTACAGTCCAAGGTGATAAGGTGATGACCACCATGTCCGGCATGGTACGTGACTAGACGAAATAGGATGACGTTTAGGCACGTTGTGAAATGACCTATATGAGTCGGTGCGGATCAACATCAGGAGTTCCCTTCAGAAGCTTCAGCGCGTTGGCTTTGGCGATTGTCAGGTGATCCAGCCGCCGTATAGACGTAACAGCTAGGCTCGCGTACTGCTGTTGCCAGTATTCGGCCGCCGGGATGCCCTCGGTGGGCATTTGATCTTTCTCTAGAGGTTCACCGGTAGTTTGGTGGCCCGGCTTCCATTTCGAATGTGGCACCGTCTCCGTAAGCGTAAAGGTACCTCTGATAGACCCATAGTGAAGATTCCATTTACACAAATATTTGGTGTAGTCGGGACCGATCTCGAGCCGGTGTACTTCTCTATCGGGCTGTAACATGAAGTGCCCGCCGACAAGTGCAGCCAAGTTGATCAAGAACGCTTCTTTAGTGAGAGCTTGGTCTGCGATGCTGCGAATGACTGCCCGGACTAGCGCCACAACCTCAGCCACGGAAGGGCGAGATCCAATTTCACCACTGGGGTCGTACCATGTACAACCCACTAAGGTCACAACGAATACACTCTCGACTTCGTCATGGTTCGTCTTATCGGGCCCGTCAAGCTCGATCTTGTCGATGCGGGATGGATTCTCTGGATTGAGATACATAGCCGAAGTTCGGTCAAAGATCGTGTAGCCAAGTTGGGGGTTGCTATTTGCATCGGTGGCGGGAGCAATATTACTACCGCTACTAGAGCTGGGATTGGGATTTGATTTGGGAATGGGGTTTGAAATAGGGTTGGAAGTCGGAGCGGGGATGAGATTTGGCTTGGTGTTTTCACTTGTACTAGCAGTATTCCGTCCGTTTACCATCACGACAGGAGCTGGGGGCGTCGCGAGTCGCACGGGGCCGCTAGGCCTTTCGGGAACTTGGAGAGACAGACGCCCGGGTCGCGGTGGACGGGCACTCTGTGCGGATGTGGGCTCCGGTGTCTTGACTACAGGTTCATGTTCATGAGCTGGCATATGCACAGGGGTCGGTGTGCTTGGGTGAGAGGAAGTGTCGAACACCATGCTTGGAGGCGGTCCGCTTACACTCCTATCAGAAGGATAAGCCGAAAGAGGTGTCTCGGCATTGCGGTTCATAGGTGGCCGTCCTCTGGCCTTGCCGCTTGCAGAAACTCCAATGCTTCTCCAAGCAGACGATACTGCCTTGGCCCCATGGCGGCGACCCAGAGGCTTGCTCTTAGGGCTCACTGCCGAGCGAGGCTCTCCATGCTCTGGCCAAAAAGACCCTCTAGTGGTAGGCGTAGCAGCAGAATGCGGATAGGCCGACAATGGCTCCCGAGGATCATGATGCCATGGATATGCAGACTCAGGTCCAGGCAATATGCTGGATCTTGGGTCAGCAGGAGGATATGCGAATCCTGGCCTGGAGTCGGGATGTGCTGTCCAAGGATTCAGCATCTCAGGACGAGGTGGGTGACCGTCACCACCGAAGGCTGGTGAATTAAGCCTCGGTTTCTGTGAAGGTGATTTACTCAGGTTATCGTCCTCTGGGCGCTTTCTACCACGACGAGGCCTGATGTGAGGCAGAAGGGCACGCAAGGCCATATCATCCTCGGCCGCAACCCCATCACGGCCTTCCTCGCAGACAGGGTTATTGTCAGCAGGAATTTGCGTCCAATAAGGATGTGGATTATCAAGCAGGTAGTCAAAGAAAGCATTCACGTGCATCGAATGCATCCAGCGCTATATTACGTCAGTTGTGCTCGCACGACGGGTAACAGATGACGTACTTTCAGTCGCACGGCATATTGCTGTATCTTCTGGGAGCTCTGACCTTTCTCATGGTCAGGCGGCTCAACGCCCAATCGGAGAGCTAACTCAGCCCAAGTTTTTATTTCTTTCTGATGAAGCTTGGCAATGAGCTCGAACAGTGTGAAAGTGCTGAAGCTCTTGCCCTCGCTCTTGGGAGGCGTCCGAAAGGCCTCTCTCAGGGCGGCCGTGTCTACGTCCAGGGGTACGGCAGGATTGCAGTGAAGAATGAAGCTTACGTACGCATCTTCAATGGACCCGGCAGTTACCGACCGGTTAGGTAGCATCGGTCGGACACCGGGGGATCTGGGAGTAGAGTTGCCATTAGAAGAGGTAGGAGTGAGATGGTTGACACCGTTGACGCCGGGCTGTGGAGTGAGCGCCGCCATCTCCACACGGATTGGACGAGTGTTCAGCTCAGTCACGGTTAGGTGTCCATGTACGGGGTGGAGCGGGACGTGTCAACTAAACGGAGATTTGGGTTGGCGAGGGGCAAATATTGCAGCAGCCACGAATCTATGACAAAAACGAATGCCGGGTAGCTGTTGGTCGAGGCAGCTCAATTACGAGAACAGAACAGCAATGAAACGGGTGATGCTCCGAGCGTTCGTGGACAACGGTTTCCGGGCTAATTGGAGGCTGTTGCCCAGCACCGCAGATCCACAAGGAGCAAAATTTGGCCAGTTTCCTAGTCGCGAGAAGACACGAGAAGCCAAGATGCTTCACCGGCTAAAAAAGACGTGAGGGGAACATAGAGAGGTGCGCCGAAGAGCTGAAGCAACGCGCGCAGAGCGAATCACGCTTGCATCAAGCTGGAGAGCTGGGCTCGGATGCGCAATCAGGGTCTACAGCACTGGTATCCCCTTCAAAACATTGGAAGGGCTCGTAAATGGCACGGTACAGGCTCAGCAGTCAGGTTTGGCAAGGCAGGCCGGGCTATTTTAAGAAACCCGCTCACGGATCACGTGAGGATATCCCTGTCGTATTTCCTGCATCATCGCTTCGCTGTAATGCCTCTCGAAGAGAGCTGTTACCCCAACGATCCGAATATCTCGACGGCGCAAGAGGCATGCAAATGGGCCAATTTTGAAATGCGGAAGGGAAGGAATGAACACGGCGAGGTTTGTGTATCTGGTTCCATTTCAAAAGGAGGCGCTGGCCGTAGCTTAGCTCATGACTTAATAATAAAAAGCAAACTTTAAGTGCTGTTATGCCGCCTAACGGATAATGATATAATCCTTTTTATGATGATAGCCTCCCGCAACTCTATACTTTTATAGATATATCCGTGCAAAAATATCCGTGCGTCCACGCAATATGGACCTAGATCCAACGGCAAATGCGGTTCTAAGTTCCGAGACAGAAGGCCCCAAAGAGACATCGAGTCAACGGCCTAGGTTACTTACAGATATATATATATGTATGCGAGGGAGATACAAATACCCCCATTCTACCGCACCAATCGTCCAATCTATGTCCGACCTAATAAATCACAAGCCTCACCTCCCCTCCCCGCCTTGTAGATAGCATAGATATCCATTTGACTGATTCGCATGTGAAAACCGCAGAGCAATCTTCAAGTTTCGGCAAGTCATGTGATCGGCCACGGTGGTAACAGTGGAGAAAGGGATCTCTAGTGGGCGGGGGGAGCCACTAAAACGCGGCCATCACCACTGTAGTCTCCCTCTGGCATCCCCAGGGCCTTAGGTACTTCGTGATGTAATCGGACCTCGGCTCAGTTTCCGAGGACAATAGAGCACGCCAACAAGATAACACAACCTTAAGCTACCAACTCCCTACTTACGACGAGATCCTTACTATCTCCAGCCCTTTATCCTGTATTTACCTAATTATCTTCTCATAAGATATGAGACCTAGTCATTACTGTCATCTGCGAGCTGATCACTATATTCTGATATCCTGAGCTCACCATTCCATCCCTCGACCTCGCAATAATAGTTGAAGTCTCGTAGGAACCGAGACTGCGCCGAACCAGACTAGACCAGACCAGATCAAATTGAAAGCATGGCCTCAAAACCAGTCATCCCTCAAAATGACAATGTTGCGCACGCGCTCGCTGGCGCTGGAGGAGGAGTCCTATCCATGGTTCTGACGTACGTGCCGCGACATCAACTACACTAACCAACCGCACACATCCTCACAACGAGACTGGTTTCACATACTATCAAGAGAAGAATCACTAGCTAATGAGGCGCAACAACGACAACAGATACCCACTCATCACCCTCTCCACACGCGCACAAGTCGAGTCGAAGCGAGCCGAGACAGACTTCCTCAAAGCCGTGAAGCGCATCGTGGCGCGCGAGGGCGTCGCCGGCTTATACGCGGGGCTCGACAGCGCCGTATTCGGCATCAGCGTGACCAACTTCGTCTACTACTACTGGTACGAGTGGACGCGCGCCTTCTTCGAGGCCGCCGCGGCGCGCTCGGGGCGGGCGTCCAAGAAGCTGACGACGGTGGAGTCGATGATGGCGGGCGCGCTGGCGGGTTCCGCGACCGTGATCCTGACGAACCCGATCTGGGTCGTCAACACGCGGATGACGACGCGGCGCGAGTCGCTCGAGGCGTCGCAGGAGATCGTCGTCGAGGGCAGCGGCGCCAAGGCCGTCCCGGAGAAGCCCAAGGCGCCCACCACCCTCGGCACGCTGATGGCGCTGCTGCGCGAGGAGGGGCCCCAGGCTCTGTTCCGCGGCGTCATCCCCGCCCTCGTCCTCGTCATCAACCCCATCCTCCAGTACACCCTCTTCGAGCAGATGAAGAACATATTCGAGGCCCGCCGGAAGCGCAATGCCACGCCCACCCTGGCCTTCTTCCTGGGCGCTCTGGGCAAGTTGTTCGCCACGTCCATCACATACCCCTACATCACGGTGAAGAGCCAGATGCACGTCGCCGGCAACGGCCAGAAGGAGGGCATGACCCAGGCTATAAACCGCGTTATTAAGGAAGAGGGTTACTCAGGGCTATACAAGGGTGAGTCTGCTTTTTTTCTTTTTTTTTCTCTGCTCCATCCAGCCACTTTTCTCGTCTACCAAAGGCGATATTCTCCACCCCCAAGTGCCATAAGCGCAGCAACCTGCGAACCTTTAAAACTAACGACTATTGTTCACGATAGGCATTGGTCCCAAGGTTACCCAGAGCGTGCTCACCGCCGCTTTCCTTTTCGCCTTCAAGGACGTCTTGTACGAGCAGACCATCAAACTACGGGGCACCATGGCCCGTAGGGCCGTCAAGGCTTAAGAAGTAGTTGCCCTGGACCCAAGTGTGTAGAAATATGGAGCGAACAAGAGGCGCTAAAGACTACAGGTTCAAGTCGGCGCAAGTGGTAAGTCATATATGTTGGGTGTGCGCCCAGCATAAAAAAGACCCCCAGTAGTAGTCAGGCACTGTGGGAGGAGAGTGGGTGGAAGCCATGTAATATGTATCTATGCTAGAGATGTGTAAGGATAGGCACTGTTTTGGAGACGTTTGTTGGTTATTATAATACCATTACAGCAGACTCCCCCTTTCTCCTGAAGAATTAAAAAGTTTAGAGCCTGTGGTGCACAGAGTTGTGTGTCCATGTATAGAACTCAATGGAGAGGAAATATAAACATGTATCACTTTTATATCACCATATAGCGTCAATCCATAATGTTTGATTTAATTAAGCCTATTTTCCTTACTGATCCATTAAATTTTCTGTCTAATTTGTGCTATCAGTTGATTTACGTGTTACCGTGGGTACTATCCACCGGTTGGAATTACTGTCGCCAGACTCCGGAATCGTCACCTTCAGACCAAGGGTAACCCCGTTAGTTGAGCAGTTCGTTTTTTTGTCCTCCATTTCTTTCAAAGCCTTTTGCAGCATTCCAATCGCCACGCCTGCTGAGATAGTAGCGTGCATGTCACTGCGGACACTTTTGGCCCAGTATGAGTGACTCGTAGGATTGACCGAGAACGACTCCTGCTTGTTGTAGTTGATATAGTCCCGGACGAATAGGCGAGCGTCACCAATTGTCTTCTCGGCTTGGCCTAACACCTCTTCTGTACTCATTTCGGGCTTTTCTACCTCCTTTTTGACCAGTTCGTAAGGCGGTAGCCCTGGGGTTCCGAGCTTAATAGGCCGCATGCGTAACTCGTATCTCAACGCATCGGTGCCGTAGGGTTGTGGCGGCCGTTTCACAAATCCTAGGCGCATAAGTGCTAGGTATAAGAGGTGCAATCCCTCAGACAGACACGATGTGAATGCGGCATTCAGCATCATCAACTGCTGGTACTGCGAAGATCGCGTAAAATCTTCGCCGATAGGTGTGGGTAAGGATTCGTCATCATCTAATAATCCAACAAACTTCCGGGCGCGCTGTTCCCGAGACGCCGTCATACGCCGAGTTCGGTTCCATTCCAACTTAATGAATACGGCCAATGAAGCTAAACAATGATACATTTCTGCAAGCTCATCAGGCTGGTATATACGAAGCTCGAATCCGAGCTGCACAATCCATTGCAGCTGCCGCAGCTTGAAGAAGCGAATCCAGCTTCGCAGTGGCTTATATTCGGGATCTTCAGCAGGGTACTCTTCGCTTGTAATGGTGGGGATATGTTGGTCTATGCGGTCTTCAATCTCCGCAACCTCTTGCTCCAGGGCGTCCCATGACTGGACATGGTGGCACAGCAAGCGCCTAACGCGACATCGGTTTTGACAGAGGACACAAAGTAGGTCAAGGTATGGTTCGGCCACTCGTTGGCGAAATTCTTCCATAGCATGTGCTATCTTGTGTCGAGGGTCCTCTGGCGCCTCTACATAGTCAAATGATTGGTTGAAGTGGGGTCCGCATGGAAGAACACTGAGGCATACATCGTGGTCGAGGAGCTGGCGAATACTGAGTCGACCTAGTACCACCATATCCTTAAACATAAGATTTTGGAGCATTGTTCTGATAAAAGCCAGTGGCTGTGGCTGTTTTTGTTGGAACAATAAGATGAAGTTCTGGAACAGGTCAGTGCTGTAGACAAGTAGAGATATACAAGGAAACATACCAATAGGCTTTGAGGGTCTTCATACTGAAGAATATCGATAACCTCATGGGCATCCTCGAAAAGACGACTGAAGTGTGAAATGCACTCCTGAAAGCCTAAACTCACCATGGGACGTGGTGGCATAGTACTAGTAAGTCTTCTCTGTAGCTTGGTGCTGAACGCCGCCGGCACCGGCCACCCCAGCCCATGTTGATTTGCAATTTCGTCTATGAATTTTCCCATCCGCGTCCAATGGAGTCTCGGCAATTCCGAAAGATTCATCCTTGTGGTATCCAGATCAAGGGCATCGAGAAACGCGATTCGGAGTTCAAGGCGAGATACGAGAGCGGCACCAATCGATTGAGAAAATCCATTCCGCTCAGCACAGACCTCCGCGATGGCATCGAGTAGCAATTTCTTGATGTCTGGTACTGGTATATTACCTAATAAGCCTCTCCCATAGGTATTTGTGACGAAGTCTTCTTCCTGTGGTCCGTCAGACAGAATACTCCGCCACCGAGTAAGTAGGCTCAATGCCTTACCTCATACGACATTTCTTCTTTCATAAACTCGTTCACAGAGAAGCATGCTCTCAATAGACCGGCACAGTACGCTCTCAATACCAATAACATTACTGATTCTGGACCGGGGCCAGAGGGCTTGTTCGAAAAATCTACATCTTGTATAGTTGCTGGGTCAGGATTCATTAATGCATCCACATGAACGCTTGTTAGGATTGTCTGCGATAAAGGATACCCAAGATGCCAGGCCATCTGTGGACAGGGTCAGAATTGACTTTCACCATTGTAAGTCGGTTGACAGAAACATACTTCAAGACAGAGAAGTTCGTCGATGATGCCGAGAATCTCCTGTGGAAGCACACTACTTGTTACATCGTACTCCTCATCAAGCGACTCATCTTCGTCTAGGATACCGCTATCCATTTTCCGGTCCATAATCTGTCATTCTGTTAGCAGGTCATAAAATTCGAAATAATGGCTGAGGACCATGATTCCAACCCACCTCCATAGCTGAAACTGAGTCATACAAATGGAAGGTATCATCTTTTACCACCTCGCCGGGCGACATTGCTGCAGGAGAATAGGTTAGCAAGCACCTAGTTGGAAAAGGACAAAAGTCGAGGTAAATGGGACGACCTACTCGCCACGGCAGAAGTGAATTTGTCGGTTATATCAATAGCCATGATGCCCGGATGTGAGATGTTTGGCGGGGGAGGTCTGGTGGGTTCAAAAGGCTGCATTGCTTAGAGGGGGGCAAGATGCGATTTAAAGCGTTGTTGGTTCTTTTGACGGCGCCCGGGGATGGCCGGACGGACGAATCCGTAGACAGCGGAAAGTTCAAGCAGGAGCAACAGCAAACCCAGCTCTGGAGGCAAAGTTCTAAAGACAGACCCTCCAGGTAATCGAGCAGAGTGCGGAAAGTGTAGGTCACAGAGCGAAAGACGGCCTACGCGAAAATGACAATGTCGCGCTACTCGAAGATTCGATTGAGGTAGGCACTTGGTCTGTATCTGACCTACCTGTGAAACTTGGTCGATCTATGAATGAAATGCCTGGCTACCAAGCAAGTATTGAATCACTCTGGGGTGTGTGACCGTTGAATAAGGTACCTAGGGAGGTAGGTAGTTACAAATGACGAGATGAATAGCGGTTGTTTCTGTTAGTGGAGTTTGAGAATCTGGTCGTCACCTAACCTACAGGACGGAACAACGGGGAAACCTAAAACCACCGGATCCTGCAATTTCCATAGGAGCGGAATCGTGACTAGATACCAACCCGGGCGTCAGTGGTGACATGAAAATGAGCCGCAGTCGACTTTAATTCACGGTCTCTAAAATGGCAACGCAAAATGTCTTATTTAGGTTATTGTGGGCAGCATACCTGAGTAGCATGTTCAAGCGCTGTAATTTGCCAATGCATCGCCTAACCCAGAGTCTACCTAACTGTGCAATAGTAATAGGCGGAGCTACCTACCTACTCTACAATGCAGTTATTTTACCAATGGGTTGGCAGCCCCGATAAATTTGATTGCCGCCATTTAAGCCGTCGAGGTCATTACAGAGTCGACGCAGTTGACGAAAATACTAGCCAACAACCGAGACTTGTCAAAACCAGCCAGTTAAATGTCTCGAAACATGACGATCAAGATCATCACAATGCGATCTCGTGATAATTCGCGGGACCAAAAAAAAAAAAAAAAATTGTAGCATGTCAACAACTAAGATGGAAATGCCTTTATGCGGTTTATTTATACAGCTTTACACGAGGGCTGTGCAGATAGTTTCCTAATCCCCATCGTGGATCTTCCCTTCATTCTATCGTAGCCGGCTCCGAGATCTAGTACAAGCGCCTTCCATCGTTTTGTCTATTATGTCGAGATGTTTGGGCACGCCGTTTAAGAGCTGTTGGCGGACTCAACAGCTTGAGCAGCGTTAGCCTCGGCCAAGCTCTTGGGTTCGCCCATCTTGCCGTTCTGTTGTTGCGGAATCAATCAATCAGCATTTGCTGCCCTGCTTCTGCTCTGACCTTCGTCCCCTTTCTCCCGCGTAGGCACAGTCAACTCACCTCCCACTTGGCAAATCGCAGTTCCATTTCGCCTCGGCGCTCGGCGGCTATGCGCTTGTCGTCCTTCAGGCTTCGGCGCACGACACGGGCGGCGACGGCGAGGTAGCGGTTGTAGCTGTTCGGACGGATGGATTAAGTCAGTAAAAGGCCGCACATGGCATCGGTCGTCGCATTTTCGGCGTATCGAGAATCAAGCTGGCTTGATCTGGGAGAATTAAAACTCACGTGAGGCCAGCGGTTTTCCACGCAAAAGCCATTTTGACGGTGGATTGAGGTGTGTGTTGAGGTGATCGGTTTGGAGATTGTTGCGTTGCTCAATTGAAGCAAATTCCAGGCGGGAGCTTTCGGAACAAGGTACCGCACCATTGGCCACTGGCAAGGCCCAAGTGCCGGCGACGTCGACGGGCCGCCACCTGGCAAGCCTGGCTGCGAACATGCGCTCTAACCTGATCCCAGGGCACGTGATTTCTCCACGTTCGTCTCCTAGCATCTCGAGTCGACAGTCCTTGGTATTGTATAGTTGCTTTCATCTTACCTATGATATTAATTGGTAATAGTGCTATGCAAGTATAATCTGCGGAAATTATGCGGACAATTTGCAAGAAAAAGCTTCCATTATTAAAGGAGATTCAAGTGACAGACCAATAAGAGAACAAAAGCATAGAATTGATCACGACGTCAGCCAGCCCTCTCTCTGGACTACTACACCAACTTTCACATGACTAGCAAAGATGTAAAAAGATGTGAGATTTCTCGTCCCTAATCCTCCTCGTACAGGGACTCCAGATTGGTCTGGCCATACATCGTGGTAGGAGTAGAATCGAATTATATACGCTATTCCTTGTACAAGAGCCCGTATTGCTAGAAAGCATTTTACGCTTCAACGCCATCAGAAGTGCGAGATTTCTAAGTCAATGCCTTAGAAGCACAACCTGCCATCGATCATGACACCACTTGCATTTGCCACACATGGCGAGATACTGGGTAGAGGCGATTTGATACTTGTGCCTTGACAACTTAATGTAAGTGAGCAGCCAGAAGATGTGTGGCCGCGAACCGCCGGGAGGTGGGAGAGTGCAGGCGCCGGTTTTCTTGGGCCGAGAAGGCGTGTGAGCTGTGGACAATATCGAGTATCACGAGCAAGCTCGCTCCAGGTTCTACGCGAAGCTCCGACTCCTCGTCGGTCTTTGACTTGACAAACAACAGCTGAGTTTAGGCTCCATCATTAGGGGTTGTTTTGTTGTCTCACTAAATTGAAAAATTGGGCGACAATACGCCCCTGATAATCTTTCACGAAAGATTGGAAGCTGGTTGAACCTAGAATAAAACACTAGACACCGCTGGCCAGATGAGTACTGGTAGCTTCTTTACGTACTTTGTTGGCGAGACTACCATGCCTATTATTGTGATGTGCATCCCATGACTGACTGAATGTAACACGACTTCGTAAAGGTTTGTTGCTTGTGTAAGATTTCTAATTCTCCGACTCATGCTTCCCTAGATCATTCACCCATACACCAATTCAGTTGTGGTAATAAGCTTCGTTTGCCACTAGACCTGTACCGTTGCTTTTCGAGACAGCGTACACTAATAGTTTTTTTTTTTTAGAATAGCTCAATTGTGCATGTCTATGGATGCGTATGTATGTATGGATCTTTAGTGACAGGAATATATGTAGAGCCTGCATTTGCTGGCGGGAATATTGGCTGTGAGAGAGACGTTGAGTTTGTCTCATCTATACCCTTCTTTCCGAAGTACATGCATAATGTCTCACTGGTGGTTACACGATGGATGATTGTTCGGAATCAGATTTGAGAATAGGAGGATTATGCAAACACGGAGATGCATATTGAAATCAAGCCATCTAGATAGAGTAAGGACCCGGCAGGATGTCTGCATGTCATACTACATGTGACGGCGAGTGCTCGGTTTGCTATTTTCGACCTTGGGAGAGCGCAATAGTATAGTAATGACACCTTAGAGCTCCCAAAGTTCTCGTATGCACTGGTATTGATGCATATCTCTACTAACAATTATCGCTGGCTACATATATATTTTACTCATATTCTACCGACAATTGTTGTTGGGCTATATATATTACGCATCCTTCAATACTATCTCACAAGGCGGTCGATCTTCTTTCCAAGTATAAGCGGTAACTCGAGGCTCTCTGAGATTACAGCTTACAATATTCGGGCAATTCAAAGCACCACTGGTAGAGGCTCTGGTATTCATGTTTTAATGCCTGAGCCAATAATGAGGGTAAGCATTTTCAAAGCTAAGAGGCGTATATTGATATTTTCCTTCCTGGTACAAGTTGTACATTACTAACACCTTATTTCACAGCGTTCACTTCCGTACCATCTTACTACGTTGTTCCTATTCACGAGGAGCGACTTCAAGACCGTCATACTTCCCCAAAGTGTTTTTGCTCTATCGTTGGTCGTTTCGAGGTCAAACTCGCCCCTGCTGTATGGATTTAGCCTTGGGGATATTGCTTACCGGATGCCATACATGTTGGTCTGGTTATGGTTGCATCTGCTCGTGGAAGACATATCAAATCAGAGCCTAAGCAGCTCAATCGTGGAAGATACCATCAACAGACCATGGCGTCCCCTACCGGCGCGACGTCTCACTGTGACGGAGGCTAGAAATATCACCCGAGTTGCGGTTGTGGCAGCACTGGCACTTAGCATCTTCCTCAAGAGCTTTCTTCCAAGTACTACGCTCATGACATTAATTTGGCTGTATAATGATCTAGACGGTAATAGTACTGGGCCGTTGATGAGAAACGTGCTTAACGGGGCTGGTCTGGCTTGCTTTGGGTGGGGGGCAGTCTGTGTCCTTTTAGAGGGTGCCACTGACGACGGCAATGTGCTAAGAGACTGGTTGATACTGGTCGCGGCTATGATCTCGACCACCGTTCACGTTCAGGATCTTGCTGATAAGGATGGGGACAAGGCTCGGAAGCGACAAACTGCAGCCTTAATTTATGGTGAAGGCTGGACGCGTTGGAGCGTGGCTATTGTCGCTATTTTCTGGTCGGTGGTCTGTCCGGCGTTCTGGGGCGTGTCTCTTCCTTATGCGACAGCTCCCCTTGGAATTTCATCAATCATGAGTGCCGTGCTCTTGCTTGGGAAAAGCCAATTCTCCAATGAGCTTGGGTTGCGACTATGGTGTTTATGGGTAACTGTCGTGTTCATCTCACCACTGTTGGGTGGTGAAAGTGTGTAAGTAAAGCGTATTTTCAGCATGATTAATCACATATCACCTCACGTACCTGCGTATGCCAAGTTCAATGCTCTCACCACGTACTCAGCTTTGAACGACAGCATGACAAACAGCGTTCCTAAACCCTTTTCGAAAGCGTATCTCACCAAACATCGCGACCTACCCTCTACGGTCCACTTTGACCTAGTACGTGGCAGTGAGTAGGAGTTTTTGCGGTTGGCAACGTTGTCGGCTATAGGACAAATCACATATCTTAACTCTGCTTCTCCTGTAATTTATTACTATAGGAATAATCATGGGGGCAACACAATTGATTGTTTCCCATCACATACAAGCAATACTGCTAGTGGTGTATTTGTCTCACATTAGGCTCTCTGCTGGAAGATAGGCAACAATAAAAGGAACTCTAATAAAGGGTGTTGACTATATGCACAAGATAGACTCAACTCTACTGATCTGTTGGTACAATTTTATTCCACTGCCCCAGTATCTATACCTTTAGACCAAGCTCCTCAGCGTAGGGTAATACATGTAGATCACCAACCGCAGTAACCGTAGCCTTACCATCAAGAAGAGCCTTGGCAGCCTGATAAATGGAAATTAGTAAAATGCTAGTAGCTAAGAAATTAGGGAAACGACTTACGCTCTGTAGCTTCTCAGCTGTGACACTGTTAATCGACTCAACGGTCTCGACAACCTGGAAAGGCTTGCCAGTCTGCACGATACCGGAACCAGCCGAGAGGAGTGTTGCGACGCCGGACTGGCTGGCGTCCAGAGCATTGAACTTGGCCTTCGCTATCGCCTTGGTTAGGTCCTCCTTGGCAACTGAGCCGGAGGCGATGCTCTTCAAAGCATTGACTGCTTCTTGCGCCGTCTTACCGACAGCCTTGGCACCACCGTTGATTTGAATAGCGAGAAGGCCAGCATCTGAGTAAGTAAGGTTAGTAGCAGAAGCGCTGAGGCCGGGAACACCCGCAGTAGCCTTCGACAGGATGGTGAATCCAGGTGACCACTTTACGTTAGGCTGTCCTCCGAGCAACGCGGTAAGAACCGCGATCTCGGGCTTGAAGGTGCCGAAGCTGGAGCCAGGGAAGGCGAGAACCAGAGAGTTGCCTCCAGTGTGGGAAGTACGTTGCTCACCACCGTAGTAGGTTGAAGCCTTGGAGTTGAGTGTCACGCTGCTTGTCGAAGACGAAGGGATGTTTTTGAAGAACTGTTCGGTCCAGTTGTGTAAGGCCTGTGGTGTAGCACCATCACCAATGAGGGCAATGTTTGACTTGTTGTAGACGGCGCCGGCGTAGTCGGCAATCGCGTTTTCGTCAAGGTAACCCTTGAGAGGAGTAGACGGCGAAGGGTACAGAGAAGCACCCAGACCAGTGTGGAAGGCGACCGAGTGGGCGGCATCGAGGGCGAGGGCTGACACGTCGAGAGCAAGCTTAGCCTGCTTCAGGTGCAGAATCCTCTCGACATCCTCCTGGAACTCGTAGGCTAAATGTAGGAATAAGTAAAGCTGGCCACCTCAACCACCCAAGGGATACTCACTGGTGTACTTTGTCTGAGAAATGACTTCGCCGAGCAATTCGGTGAAGTAGGGGATATCTTCGCGCAGGAAACTGGCCTGGATAACCAGGGCTTCTCGGGTGTGGAATGCAGCCAATTGGCCTCCTAGGAGTTCGGTCTCTCGGACGATGCGCAGTGCGGTTCGCGATGCGGTGTTCTATGACGGTTGCATGTAATTAGCTCAACTCTGGAGCCTGCAGGCGTCAGACTAGCTCACCTTGAAAGCAAACTCCTCGAGACCAACAGTGAGACCAGGAGCAGGCTCGTATCTAGTTCCGGCTTTGGCGACAATAGCAAGCTTGGTGGTCGGGCCGCGAGAGTCCCGGGTAGCAACCTTGATGCCAGCAATATCGGATGTCTCGTAGGCGAAGGAGGTCGGGACAGAGGAGGAGGAGCTTGCAGCGGCATAGGTCCGGAGCTGCGAGCCGCCTTGCCTGCGGGCGGCGAGCTGGGCGCCCCTAGAAAGAGCCGTTCTAGAGAGCATGATGAGGGTGATTTGCCGGGCACGGGTTGGCAATTGGAGTCGGACGACAACGCTTTCTTCGGTCAGAGGCGAAGGCTTGCAGGAGCAAAAAGATGCTCAATTCCGGTAGATTTTCGGCAACGGGCCACCCCCCAAGCTGGCAGCGACGTTGGGTGGGCGGAAGCTTGCACCTAAGCCAGCCTTTTGGGCCAATAGGAGGCCCGGCATTGCAGAAGCTGACCTCGAACCATAAAACAGCGCCGTCCACCCGGTAAGGCATCGTACTGGATCATCCAATCCGAAGCTTTATCCTGCCTACGCATCGCTTTCCCTTCAGTTTAAGAAGTATCTACATTCCTCAACACGTAGTTGTTGTCGTTTATCATTCTCGAGCTAGTTGCCTATTTTGGGTTCTACAAGACATGGCGGGTATATAACGGCGGAGCAGGTTCTTGCAAGACTCAAAGCGCTGATGTCTATAGTCTTCGGTAGACTTGATGATTGGATGTTTCAACCTGTCAATATTGTTGGCTGTGAGCACTTACGATGCAACTGCTATTAGCCAAGTTTCTTACGCAACTTATATGCGAAAGTTGTGACTGTTCAATCAGGTAGCTGAGACTGTACAGATCTGATATCTTTTAAAACCCAAGTTTGACCCAAGTTGATCAGCATCTACCCGGAAGTCTCCACTAACAGATTTAACTGTTGGAATACCTATTCATGGCGCTCCTGGGATCATTCTGTTACTACTTAGGTAGGGATGCTGTGCTTCGTACCGCTAATGAGGCTAATCAAAGCAAGGCCGAAAAACAGCAAAGTCAGTACTTCCCCCTAGGACACCACCAGCCAGCTTTCATCCAAAGGTTTAGCTGACCTCGTTTCCCGAGCTTAAGGGAAATATCATGCAACAGAGAGTTATAGAGAAACTGGTCTGTGTTAACTATAATAGCTATTCCCTATGAACTGATGTGTGCGCTTATACACTGTGAGCATGACGAAAGCTCTACCTAGGATGTTTAACACATCCATGGATCTTTTAACCAGGGCTTAGTGCTGTCTCTCCCGATACGATTAACCATGACTCACCCGGCATCGATACATATACGCTACTGCCTTTTGAGAGCTAGGTGTAGCATTTCTAAACCACGAGTCTAAGACGATAGGGATGAGAAGACGACGCAGCGATGGCTTGCCCATATACTGTATAGATGGGCGTGTCTTAGACACTGAATCGTGATCGCGCTAGTATGAGTAGCAATTTTTGATGCTGCACCTCGGCTTCGAGGATTGACCTGTAGAAGTGCCTACCTACCGGTATATCATTTCATCCTACAGCCAACAGCGGGACTGGTACATCTAAACTCATAGAGACAAAGAGCACCGGAATGATTCACAGGCAGGATCAGATACCTCGGCGCCCGAGGTAAAACAGAGTAGGTAGGACCATCATATATCTATAGCGAAGTATAAGTGAGTGAGTGATGCAAAGTCAATGCTTTAAATTAAAAACGTACCTACCACTTTAGGTTATGCACCATCCCCCAGCCATATAGCTTGGTGGGGGACGGCTTTTAAGGTAGGTAGTAGAGGCAGCTAACCAATACGTTCCCCGCCCTCAAGAAAAAAAAAGATCCGACTTGTCTTGTTAGCTTGAAGATTAAATTGATACCTATTGCTTCAATCCTACGTCTTCTTCTTCTTCCTCTCTTTCTTAAAACCCTCATCTTGGCACACGTTGTGACCAATTCAGCATTCACCAGACACCCCGACTATCAATGAAGTCACGGTAGCAATCGTGGCTGCTCTAGAGATAGTGAGAGGATCTCTAGAAGCCTTCCCCTCAGTCGGCGCGCGCGCGCATCCAACCCGAAATCCATCGTCGCACGACCAACCGTTTGCCTAGTCGTCATGTTGGTGGTGAGTCCCCTAGTGAATGCTTAGCTACGCGACGCAATCTGCGAGAACTATACTGATTTTTTCCTGCGCCATGGCTCTGCAGACAAGAAATGCTGCAGACCTCTGCACGCTGCTTGTAAATGAGCTTTACGGCCAGCTTCCCTCGGTACGTCTCCCGTGCGTTTGCTTGAAGCACTAGACCCAACTTTTGCGCTTACAATTTGGTGCATTGCAGCGTATAACTGCAGCTCTTCTAGCGAGGGGTCGATCAAACGTAAGGGATCTGTCACTTCATACCTCGCTGAATCCGAAGCAAGTTCGACATGGCCTTGCCCTTGTTATACAACACAATCTCGTCTTCTACCAAACCGACCGCGAAACCGCTGTGACTACTTACGAAGCAAACCCTCAAGCAGCCTATCATCTCGTCCGAGTTGGAAAGACTCTTGATGTTATTGGCCGAAACTACGGAGTTACAGCGCGAAATCTGGTCAACGACATCTTGATACTGGGCAATGTTGAAATAACCGAACTCGTCCGATATCATAGACTTAAACATGGTCGCAAAAAGGCAACAGTCAATGGGAATGATGCCCGCGGTCATGATCCTGTCTCCGACCACGAATTTGAGAATGGCAACGTCGATGATCCTTTCCACGATGACTCACACCATGTCAATGGAAATGGGGTGACGCACGGCGCAGCGGACAATGAAAACCCCATCCAGGCTGACGAGATCTACGATACGCTGGCACAACTTATTGCTGCTGGAGTCATTGAGACCGTGTCAAGCACGATGTTCCAATCTCCCCAGGATCTTAAAGCAAGCATTGAGCAGGAATGCGCACAAGAATTTCCGAACGGTGTTCGAGGTGCCAAAGTAATTTCTGAGTTTGATGCCATGGTCAAATCGCAAATCAAGGCGATCGGGGCGGAACGTTCAATGACGAAGAGGAAACTTCAAGAAAGCGCCATGTACGAGCCAAGTAATATCAAACGCCGAAAGCTTGCGAACGGAGGGATGTCCAACGGATTCGCTGGCGACAGTGGGGGCTCGATATTGCGAGACGAGGTAAGCTTTGCGGAGTTTTCATTAGCTGAGGTGCTCTTGTCTGATTATCTGCTTCATAGCCTAACACTGTCGTTCGACTAAATTTCGACAAATGTTTAGTAGAGCTTCGAAACCAAAAGCTCACCGAACACGCCGAGGATTTTGTTGGGGAGATCACAGCTCAAGTTTACGCAGCATTATTGGCTTCTTTGTGCAAAAAGGTGTACAGATGTCAACACGACCAACATACTATCATGACGGAAGAAGAGGAAGAAACCTATTTTACGGGCGTTCGCGTTACTACCGAAGAGGTTTTCGACCATTTATCCCCCGAGGTGGACGTAGCCACTGGCATTGGGACTGCGTCGGAAGAGGACATTGATATACGGTTTGCGGAAAAGATTCGAAAATACCCGCCTCAAGCCCAGGGCGCACATCTCCAAGGCGATCTCGATGCTGGGGACGAGATCATAGGCTCTGATGATGAGGATTATGACCCAACAGGAGAGCGCCCCAAGACTCAAGTGAATGGGAATGGTGGTTGGACTGCACATAATGGCACCAAATCTGGCGGCGACTATTCTGGAGAGGGCCCTTCGTCTCGTGTCGAGCAAATCTACCAAATGCGGCAGCATCTACTCATACTCGCTGAAGCCAAGCAACAATTCGTCCGTCATTGTGGGCACAACGAATGGACAGTTGATTTTGGCCCCCTTATCCAGCAATTGCGATATGTCGAACTAGATACGATGATAGAGGATAACTTTGGACGTCAGGGTCTCAGGCTCACCCGAATACTCCGAGAGAAAGGCAAACTTGACGACAAGACTCTCCCGGCCATGGCACTCATGAGAAAACCGGATGTGCATGTGAAGATGGCGGAGATGGAAATGGCAGGCTTTCTAGAGGTGCAAGAGGTGCCTCGTGACAACAATCGCGCGGCTAATCGAACCATGTTTTTCTGGTTCTTTGACGAGGCTAGAACGCTGAGACGGGTCCTAGACAATGGGTACAAATCCATGGTGCGTTGCTTGGAGCGGCTCGAGGTGGAGCGCTATAACAAGAGGCACGTAGTTTCGCTTACCGAACGCAAGGACGTTCAAGGCAACGAGGAACAGATGCTCAGAGGTGACGTTTACAACGAATACCTGGAATTAGTCGACATGGAGAAGAAGCTCTTCAGCCAGGTATCGAGACTCGACGATCTTGTTTCAATCTTTCAAGACTTCTGAGCGAAGAAGGAATAATATTTGCATTGCATTGCATGGCGGCGTTGGGCTTGAATGATTGATCAGACATTGTCTGATCTCCTATGTATCATTACCTAGTAGATGGCTGCTACTACGACTGCTTTCTACTTTGCAGCCTGTTGCAGTCGCAGGCCACGGCGGAGGAATAGTTTCTTTTCATGGAATACCTAGCCTGGGGTTTCGGGCTGGTGAAAGATTTGCTGCTTGTATGATACCTTCACATTACCTAGGCACCTATCGACCTATCTTGTTTCCCACGAGACAATCCGGTTCGCCGTGGTGTGTGTTTATAGCTCGCTCTGCACTTACTCGATCAAATAACGTCTTCCATACTATAGTAGTACCTGTATGAAATGCTATCATACTGTTTCTTAAAAGACCACTACAGTTGTTTCATGAACTACCTACTGGAGCTGGTTTATTGCTACCTATGTACGGGCAACGTTGGGTGCTTCCAGTGTCCATGTGGGGCATTGAAAAAGTTCAGGCTGTTGCTCTCACTTATCCTCCCGGCCTGATTGGTCTAGGCGTGTGCCGCGACTGGCGAGCTACACTAGCCCTCCCTGCTAGCTGCGATTTCGCTGGTGCGCAATCGCAACTTTGGGTAAAATTATTGTAGAAGCCCCCCCAACGCGTTGAATTTTTGCTTCGCAATTATCCTATTGACCCCGAACCCGCCCTCGTTCGTTCTCCCTCCTGCCCAATACTTTGTTGGCCGAGCCTGTGTGTATTTGGTATTGCCGTTGTTCATTCGAGAGTTGCAAACCTTCGGATTTTGTAGATTGACTAACTCCCCACCAAAAAATCACCCATCTCCGAACAAACCCAACGACAATGGCGCCTATGGTATCTGGCAAGGAGAAGGAGTCGAACGTCGCTCGATTCGCGGGTTCGGGTATGTGCCGTAGTCGAGACTCATCCAAATTCAACATATTCTAATCTGAGCAATAGCTTCTGCCGGTATTGCCGAATTGGCCGTCTTCCATCCTGTGCGTCACGACGAACTTCGAGGGGAAACCGTTGACTAACATGGTCCAAGGTCGACACAATTGCGAAGCGCCTGATGAGCAACCAAACAAGGGTATGGGAAATCAAAATTGTCTCGAACATCTCAAACTCGAAGAAAAGTTACTAAATTTTGTTAAGATCGCAAGCTCCACGGAATTGAACTCGGTCATCTTTAAAGATATGGCCTCTGCGCCGTTCGCACGGAAATTCTTCTCTTTGTTCCCTGGTCTCGGATATGCTGCCGGGTACAAGGTAGGGCTTGAATATATTTGGACGGATGTCACATTGCATAGCTAACAAGAACGCCAGGTCTCGCAAAGAGTCTACAAGTATGGTGGTCAGCCGATTGCGCGCGACTGGCTAGCTACCCACTATGGCAAGGACTTCGAGAGCGCATTCGGCAAGAAGACGGGGAAGGCCATCATGCACTCAACAGCTGGAAGGTAAATCATCTATATGCGCTAGTGATCACATTCGTCACTGACCTTTTTCAGTTTGATCGGTATTGGTGAGATCGTCCTACTACCGCTCGATGTCCTCAAGATCAAGCGTCAAACAAACCCCGAGGCGTTCCGCGGCCGTGGAATCTTTAAGATTATTGCCGACGAGGGATTCGGCCTGTACAGAGGATGGGGATGGACAGCTGCACGAAATGCGCCTGGCTCCTTTGCGGTACGTGTGCCTCGTCATTAGTGAAGCAGTTCATTTCTAATGCGATGTAGCTTTTCGGTGGTTCGGCGTTTACCAAAGAATATCTTTTCGCCCTCAGCGACTATAACAAGGCATCTTGGTTCCAGAACTTCGTCGCCTCCATCGCCGGTGCCTCGGCGTCTCTTATTGTCTCTGCCCCGCTAGACGTTATCAAGACCCGTATTCAAAACAAGAACTTCGAGAACCCCGAGAGTGGAATGCGGATTCTGTCTAACATGGCGAAAAATGAAGGCTTCTCCAGTTTCTTCAAGGGATTGGTACCCAAGGTAGGTCAACAACCACATATGTGATGTCCCTCATGCCACAGTTACTAATGATTCACCGTGTAGTTGCTCATGACAGGGCCTAAGCTCGTCTTTTCATTCTGGCTCGCCCAGACCCTTATCCCCGCTTTCGACAACATGTTGAAATAATTGATATTAGGATATGAAAAAACGGGTTGAATGAGACATGAAGGGAGAGGGGGCGAAATGCGGCTCAATCTGCAATTGTACAATATAAAAATGTCAGGGTATGAGGAATATAGAAAGAATCATGTATATAATAGGTAAAGCCGGCGTTTTCCAGGAAATGTCCTCTCAAGGGCCTCGATTAGAGATTTGGCTGTACAGGTCTCCCTATCTAGTCTAGAGATGATGAAGAAGCACTCGACTCATAGCTATAATAGAGAGATGTCAATCGCAAATGCTGTTCCATGAAGGTCTAATGAAAAGAGGAGTGTCTTCTGCTGATGAGGGATGCAAATGTCGGTCTTTTAGTTAGCCCCTTTGCACCCATCTTACCTGGCATGTAACAACGTCCACTCTGATGGTGATGTTGCCAGCACCGCTTGATCATGCACGTATCACAACAGGTGCTTACATCTACCTACCTAGGTTTCAATGCATATCTGAAAAATATCACGTAATTCCAATGTTCCTGTTATACTACGCATTGAGGGAAAAGGCACGGCCTTGATTTCATGTACCTAATTGACTTTACGTGTGTACTAGACAGCTATCTATCTATCTACCCACCTCAATATAGTGAAGTTCTCGAACAATTTGATTCCTCCTACCGTCAGTAGGTACTGTATGAAGACGTCACTCGTACGAAACAATGATAATGACTCAGTCTATCAATCAAATATGGTTGGGCAGCATCGGGAGATATAGGTACAATGGCATTGATTATTTACACATCTACCTTGGGCATGGTATCACCAGCAGCGGCCCTATCCGATAGCAGAGCGCATCAGTGGATACCTAGGAGAGGGGCATCAATTGCCCAATCACCGATAGCGGACACTCGGCTATAGAGTCTTGGCTGCAGTGATAGCTCTGTGATAGACAACCTTACGAAGCTGGACAGCGGTTGGATATGGTGTGAGATGGTGGTCCGAGCTGCGGTTGCCCGGCCAGCGGACTTGTGACGTTGCAGCAGAGCTTCGGCTGCTGGCATTGGGCGATCCTTCGTTTTTGTTTGTCCATTTTGGGCAACAGCGATAGTTGACAGGGCCCGCTTGCCGCCAATCGAGGCCCATCGAGCCATCGCACATCATCAACCGCCATTACAGTGTAGCACTCATATATACGCTTTTGCCAACCACACCCGGCTCCCTCCACTTCCATCCAAGTCTACCAAAGATCAATATCATCATTTTTTTTTTCGGGCTGTTGTTGCTGTTGTTGTTGTTTGATTGAGACCGTCAGTCATCAATCAGTCAGTCCCTTGCCCAGGCGGCTGAGTCAACTATTCGAATATATACGCATTAAAAACACAACAGCTTGATTTGCTTCCCAGACATTTGCATGCCAGTACTCGCGCGTCGCCGAACAGTCTGTATCCATTAGACTTTGTTTTTTTTCTGAGATGCCGACATTCGAGCGCGAGACGCCGCCTGACAGGCATCTAAGACATCAACATTCTGCTTCATCAAGCGCTCTTGTGCCAATGTAAGTCTAGACATCCCCATCATGCAACCGACCAACACGTAGCTGTCGCAGACATGTCACTTCTTCGTCGACTGACTCAAATATACAGGTGGGATAGCTCTGATCCCGATCGTGCTCCTCCACCACTACCCTTGAACCCACAATCACCCAGTGTCGGCACGTCGCGAAGCGGCACGTCATTGTTGATACAGAATGCCCACGCCGCGCTGAATGAGAAGGCACGAGAGAATGCTCTTGTCCCCGTCATTCACAAGCGCAACACCGACTTCTCACCAGAACGAGGGCTCGTCCAACGAACAAGCCCCCACAAGCGAATGCAATCCATGCAGCCTGGAAGCGTTCGCGACCTCAGTCTTATGATCGAGGCTGGCCGTGACTCGGCAAATACTACACCTAGAGGCTCGCCCGAGAAAGAAAGACAACCTAGACCAGAGAGACCAGAGACTCCGGTGCGGGGAAGAGAGCCCGAGAAAGAGACAAAGTCCGTTGAGAAAGACCCATCTACCATTAGTTCCATCTCAATACCTTCACACTTGACGCCCGCCATGCGGCCTACATCGCGATGGCCGCAACAGAGCATACTCGGCGAAAACACACCGCCACAGTCTGCAACTATGTTGGCTTTACAAAGCATGTCGACCCCACCGGCTCGTGAAATCGAGTCACCGCTTGCCAATGTCACAAATAATGCAACACCACAACCCAAGACCCCAGCATCTCACGAACAGCTTTCAAACCAATTATTAACCCTTACCAACATAGCTACTGCACTGCAAAAGGAGATGTCAGCGCTTAGCAGGAGAAGTCGAGATAATGCGACGGATCTAATGAGCCTCAAAGAGGCTACACATGCAAGAGACGAGGATATCCGGAAGACTTTGCGCGAGCTGTCTTCCAATGTGGATCCAACTAAACATCACCGCGACACATATAATGGCGGCCTTTACCTTGACAATAAAGCTTTCAACACCTCTCCCGTAATGAAAAACGCCCGCCCGTATGCGCTTCCTCGTATACCGTCACCAAACAGCTTTGCTGCATCTCTCGATAGAGAGTCAATTCTAAGTACGCCATCTCTAGTTGGCAGCGAGACTCCTGCCACGATGGCGTTGTTAGAAAAGATCATCAGGGAAATGGGAACAAAAGATGGCCAAGATATGATGCTTGATCGTTTATCGGAACTTGCGGAGAGGCTTGTAGGTATGGCTTCCGCAAATAAAGTCGAAGAACTCCTTAGCGATGTCAAGGCCATGAGGCAGGAACACGCGACAATCCCTCCTGCGGCCAATAGCTCGAGGAGCCTCAGCTTCGACAGTGGTAGTGAGGGCTCAGCATTGAATTCGCACAGTGGAGCCATAACCCATAGAGTTGAACGTTTTATAATCGACAAAGACGGCCGACGTGCTTCCGCTCCTTCACGTTCAAATGACGTCCTCAACGAGGATCTCATCAAAGTTATTCATTCCGTGAAAGATAGCGTTGCCCAGGGCGGCGGTCTCACAGCCGAGGTCAAAGCACTTGTCCGCGAATTGCGCGGCGAAGTCCTTGGCATGGGTAGAGAGCTCGGCCGCAAGCTTGAGGAATCCGGTGGCAAGACTTCTCACAGTAAAAGCGAGACGACGAATAGTAGGGCCGAGCTCGCGAGAATTGTTGAAGAAAGCTTGGAGCAGATGAAGCTTTACATGCAGCAACGGCTTCGGGAGCATCGGCGTGAATCAACCGAGTCCGAAAAGTCACTGGTTGACTACCAGGAGATATACAATGCTATGAGGACAGCCATCAGTGACTCTCAAGAAAGCAAAGATCCACAGCTGAGTCGCGATGATGTTCTTAATGCAGTCAAAGATGCTTGGGAGAACTATAAGCCTGAGATTGAAATACAACAGCTTGGCTTAGAACGCGACGAAGTTCTGGCTTGTATTAAAGAAGGTCTCCAAGAATATGCCCCGCAACCAGAATTCCCAGAGACTGCGACTAGAGACGAGGTCTTCCAAGCAGTTGTAGAAGGGATGAAGCATTTTGTACCCCCAAAGATCGAAACGCCCGAGACTCTCTCTCGCGATGAGGTGCTGGACGCCGTCAGGGAGTGTCTAGAGGAGTTTGAATTCCCTGTTGCTCCCTCCGCCACTGGGAATGAGCTCACACGCGAAGATGTGCGTTACGCCGTCAAGGAAGGCCTCAATGATTTCAACTTACCCCACCAAATTACTGCTCTAGTACCTCATGACACAGGAAGTTCTGAGATAATGGAGAGGCTTCAGGATATCATGCAGTACATGCAAGATGAGTTTAAAGGAGCTGCTGAGGAAGCCAAGCAGCGTCTCGCAGCGAGTGGACAAAATAATGAGGACGTCTTGGTAGCAACCAAAGAAGGTTTTGCATCATTACGGACCCAGATTGAAGAATACGCCGGCAAAGTTTCCGAGAACAACGGCGCCATTCCGCAAGAAGAACTCATGGCAGAGCTTGTCAGCAGTTTTGATAGTTTCCGCGACGAGCTTACTGACATGGTTACCAAAACATCAGATAATTCCAGAGACCTGGTGAAACAAGAGATAGAATCGCTTAGAGACGCTGTGAACTCGTCTCTTGTTCCCCATGTACCACCACCTACCGACAACAGAGAAGCCCTCGAAGCCATCCGTGATGGTCTTGACCGGGTTCGCAGTGACCTTCTTCGTCCCCATGCGGGCACTACAGACATCATGGACGCCCTACATGAGGGCTTTACTGAGATGCGAACCTGTATTGAAAAGATGAACAACAAGCCAGTTGATTTCACAGCAAATGACGAGATCCTCGATGCTTTGAAGTCGGGTCTGGATGACGTCCGTTCTGATATCGAGACTCTCCGAGGCAATGGCGACAATGACAAAGCCATTATAGCGGCCAACCCGCAGTCCATGGAGCTCATCCCGGCCGACCTAGTCAAGCATGGTGACATCAAGAACCTTGAAGAACTAATGACTGACTTACGGATCAAGATGGATACCATGGAAGTAGCACGGCCCTCAGCGCCTCCTGCCTCTGAAGGTGGGCTGTCAAAAGAGGCCTTGGCTGCAATGGAAAAGATGCTTCTGAATGGTCTATCCAAAGAGGACCTGAATGAAATGGAAGAAAGGCTTCGGAATGGGGTGTCCAAGGAAGACCTCAATGAAATGGAGGAGAGGCTCCAACATGGTCTCTCTAAAGAGGATCTCAACAACATGGAAGAGATGCTTCGAAACGGCGTGTCTAAGGAGGACCTAAATCAAATGGAAGAGACCCTTCGGAGCATGCAGGAGTCAATGGCAGGGCTGGCAAACGTATCAACCAAGGATAGGGGAGAGGGCAACGAGACTCCCGTCAACCTGGAAGATGCGGCCACTAAAGAAGATGTACAAGCCATCGAAACTATCCTCCGTAATACCAAATCTAGGTTGGATGATCTCATCGACGGCGAGCAAGCGGTCAGAAAAGATCATGTTGACGCCGTGGAGGCTCTAGTCCTAGAGACAAAGGACTCCTTAGGGTCCATCACCACTGAGTTAGAGACAGTCACTCGCAAGGCAGACCTCGTTACTATCGAGTCTCTCGTAACGCAAGCTACAGCAGCTCTTGATGAGATGAAGGCACGTGCTGAGAAGTCTCTTGAAGACCCTGAAAAGGTTACTAAGACCGATGTCGACGCCATGGCCCTAGCAGTTGCAGACGTTAAAGCCCTTGTTGAGAAGATGTCTAGCACTGATCTGGCCGAGCTCCCGACGAAAGATGACCTGAACAAAGTCGAAGAGGTCGTACGAGAGATTAAGGAACACAACACCACAGAGCTGCCCTCAAAAGAGGACCTGAAGGCCGTCGAAGATGTTGTGAGGAATATCAAAGATCACAACGTCGAAGTTTTGCCGACAAAGGACGAACTAAAGCTTGTCGAAGATGTTGTGAAGGAGATCAAGGATCACAATACTACAGTGCTACCGTCCAAAGACGATCTCAAAATCGTCGAGGAAATCGTCAGAGAAATCAAAGACCACAACACTGCTCAAGAGGAGGCCAACTCTACTGCTTTGGCGAATAGGCAGGCTGAAGTCGTCACTGTCAATGAAAGGGTTGCCGAAGTCAAAGCCTTCTTGGAAGACTTCCAGGCTATGGCCAAGGAGAGGCTCGAATCCGGTGGTACTGGCATGGAGACCTTGGGTCGGATGCTGGAAGGTCTTGGCGAAACCATTAACCAGAATGCCAGCGTTGGAAGTGACCTCAAGGAGATGTTTGAGCTGATGAAGACGGAGTTTGAGGACTCCAAAAACGGCGTAGTAGGCGCCAAGCTCGACACAGACGAGAAGCTTAAAGAAGCTACCGATCAGCTCAATGAGAAATTTGACGAGAAGATAGGGGCACTGCTTACAAAATACGAGGATTTCCAATTAGTGATTGAAGATCGGACAAAGGCCGGAGAGGCTCGGGATGTCGAGATGGAAGCCGCAGTTGTCGGCACCAAGGCTGTCACAGAGGAGCTCAAAGTACTCGTTGACACTCTTGGCTCTACCGTCACCGACTCATTAGAGAAAATGGAAGTTGCTTCAAAGACAGTCTTTGAAAAGGTCGAGATGCTTTACAGTAAAGCCGAAGACAACCACGCTGAAGGCAAGTCTGAGCACGAAATGACGCGTGATAAACTCAAGGAAGCCCTTGGTATGGTGGAAGGTCTGCAAGGCCACGTTTCTGATTACCAACCCAAGATTCTTGAAGCCGTCAAAGATGTCCTTCTCATCGTTGGACAACACTATGAACACTCTAAGGTCTCGGTAACTGATATCCAACGATACATTGATGACGCCAAGCCACCGCCGCTTAAAGAATTGCTACCACCACCTCCTGAGAAGTACGACGATACGCTAGTACGCACAAAAATCGACAACATGAATGTCGAGGTACACTCAAAATTAGACAAGCTTGTGGACCACACTCATGCAGCTGGCAAGGCCTATGCCCAACTCAGTACTTTAGACAAAGTGCATCAGCAAGTTGTACAGACAGCCGCCGATATCAACGAATTCCTGTCTTCACAAAAACAACGAATTGAAAATGAATACGAAGATCGCGAGAAGACGCTCCGGGAGACCACGATCTCTCTTGAATGCCAAAGGGCAGAACAAGAACACGTCTCGGCCAACCTGGCCATACTCAGGGACGAAGAGGCACAGCTTCGAGATAGCATACTCGCCCTACGAACAGAACAAGAATTCCTTAATCGACAGAAGACTCGCCTCACGGCCGATGTTTCATCTCTCGAGACTGCACTCCACCTACGCCGGGAAGAGCTGCACGCTATGGACGTGCGCGCCGAAGGCTTGGAACGCAGGATCCTCGAGGGTGTCCTCGACCACTCTCGAGCTCTACTGATGACCAAATCTAGCGCCAAGGGTCAGGAGGCTATGAGCCGAAAGCGCGTCGCCCGCTCGAGCTTGGGAGGTAGCGAGCTCCCCAAGGCAGGTGCCAAACAGCCCGCTAAGTCCCGCGCTGCCGTCAACATGGCTGTCAATAGCAATCGTGCAAGCCTCATTGCTCCGAACCCGGCGGGCGCAAGCCGTCGCATTCTAAGCCTCAGTCAGATTACCAACAACACGCCCACTGGTGGACTCGCCAGGAGTCAAAGCGTGCGCAACACAGCGGCTCCTGGCATACGAAAGAGGAGTTGGGCCCACGAACGAGCAGGCGCCGGGAAAGGTTACGGCGAGCTCAACAAAGAAAACGTAGACTCGGTCCGCGAAGCCGACGAGGAAGGCCGCGAACCTATAGGCTCTCAAGACAGAAACATCACACCTGTGGACATTGACATACCCACCCCCGTCGGCGAGGAGGACGAAGATCCCGCAAGTGATGGTGAAGAAGGAGAAGAAGACTCAAGCGAATCCGGCGAAACACTTCGTCGCACAAGCCTCGGCACCACGGTCATCACAGGCACGGAGACGGAAAGCGCATATAGCGACGAGGACGACGAGCAGTACTCTTCTGAGGGCAGCGGCATCAGCGTCGGCGACGACAGCGTTGTGTCCGAGAGCGTCGCTGATAGCGAGAGTATTGCTGGCGAGCCAGAGGTTCTTGTTCACGCTACGTGATGATGGTCTCTCAAACTATAAAATTTCTTTTCTTTTTTCTTTTTTGGGGGGACTTTGCGATCTTGGGTCAAACTGATTTGACTTGATTACGGGTGATTGGGATGGTTGATCGTTGGTTTGGTTTCTAGGAAAGGTGGAATGCAATGCAATGCAATGGATACGGCGCATAGGGGGTTTGAATTGTTTTTAATTCATTGACTGGTTGTTGTTGACCTTGATGGGTGCTTTTTTGCAAATCCCTTGCCGTTTCTCTCTTGCGTTTCTCGTTGCCTTCGAGCTTGTCATGTGATATCGTGTCTGTCTGGATTCATAAAGTTTCGGGGGAAGGAACTGGAGAAGAGGGAGTGTAGCGAGGCTCATGGAATTGAGAGAGGGAGGAAGGGAGTAGTAGGTAGATAGCTACGCAGATCGATGATGAAGACCCCTTTTCATCTATCTATCTGCCACACACAACACACCTTGTTGTTGTTGTTTGTCTTGTCTTGTCGATATTATAGTACATACATACCAATTACGAGTTTAATGAACGACCTTTCTTCACCGTCTTGCTGATTTGATCTATGAGCATAGAAATTAAGTGACTAGTGTAATGGTTTGAAGTTGTGGTTGTGATGTCTTGATGCTTTTGTGATTATGAGATTATTGATTGATTGATTGGTTGGTTGATTGATGAGGTAGGTAGGTAGGTATGTAGAGTAGTTTATATACAGATACAGACTATAATACAAGCTCGTAGGTTAGCTCCTTCGTCGACTGACTGAAGCAATTCGGCAATGCAGAGTAGTATACTCCCGTCCTTCCCCCACCTTAGTATCCCATCGCCAGGCAACCTACCTAGCTATGCATGATCCTCCCTCCGTCCACACGATACTCTTACACGAATCACACTTTTCATCCTCCGTGTGTGTACCTATCCATCGCCCGGCAAGAATAGAATAGAGCACATAAGCTTTTCAACCCATCTAACTCAATCTCGGCGTCTTCATCTCGATCTTCTCCTTGCCGTCCATCCACGGCCGCAAGCACTCGGGGATGGTAACGGCCATCTGCGCCTCGTCCCAGCCATTCTCGAGAATCGCGGCGAGAACGCGGGGGACCGCCAGCGCGGTGCCGTTGACGGTATACGGATACGCCAATTTGCCCCCGGATCCCGAACCTGCGCTGCGCAGCCGCGTCGCGAGCCGGCGGGTCTGGTAGTCCGTGCAGACGCTGGCGCTCGTGACCTCGCCCCAGCCGTCGTTCAGGCCCTGCGCCGCGCGCGACGGGAAGAACGCCTCGATGTCGATCTTGCGCGTCGCCGAGGCGCCGAGGTCGGCCGTGGGCATTTCGAGCACGCGGCAGTGTAGGCCTAGCGAGGCGAGGATCTCGGTCTGCGCGTCGACCATTTCGTCGAAGACGTCTTGCGTGGCTGCCTCCGTGGGCGCCGTCCAGGCGAAGAGCTCGACTTTTGTGAACTCGTGCACGCGGTACAGGCCTTTCGTGTCGGCGCCGCGGGCACCGGCCTCGGCGCGGTAGCAGCGGGATACGCCTACGCGTTTCGACGGGAGCTCAGCGGCTTCGAAGACGCTGTCGGCGCGCATGCCTGCGAGCGGGATCTCGGCTGTGCCGGCGAGGCTGAGCTCCGGCTTGCCGCGGGCTACGTCCGAGGCGGACTGTGCTAGTGCGTAGACTTGTGTCTCCCCGTTCTGGTCGCGCGGCTGGAAACCGCAGGCCGCGGCGATGTGGCTGTATACGATGCTCGGGGGCGCCACTTGTCGCCAGCCTGGTATCCGCGTCATGCTCGCGAGTGCGTAGGAGATTAAGGCCTGCTCTAGCTGGGCGCCTTCGTCAAGAAGGTAGTACCATCCCCATCCGGACGTTGTCGCTGCGCCCGCGAAGTCGAGGATGCCGAGCTCGGAGCCGATATGTACGTGTGAGTGCCAGATGCGGTCTGATGATGGGGAGGCGGACTGAAAGGGGTGAGGCTCGTTGATGTAGCTGAGTACTTCTGGCTCCTCGCCCCGCGGCGTGCCTTCAGAAGTCAGATTCGGAATAGCGAGGGCAAGGTCTGACATCTCGGATGTCAGGCGGGCTTCGTCCTCTTCTATGGCTGACAGGCCTTGTTTGACGAGGCGGGCCTCCTCCAAGAGCTCGTCTTTCGTCATTGTCCTCACATCTCTCCTAGGTCCTTCACCAAGCAGATGTGATTCTTGCGATCCGCCTCGATTTGATCCTACGGCGCCGCCATTATCTGCCTCGTCCTCGTGCTGTATGGTGGCCGGGTTGGCGATCTGTCGGCGCAGGGCGTTGCCGCGCTCGCGCAAGCTACGGCCATCTTTCTGGCGGGCTTGCCATTGGTTGAAAAGCGCATTGATGCGCGAGGGGTAGGTGGCTTGGATCTTGTAGTTGCGCTCGAGACAATTCTTCTCGTACAGCTCGGGATTCTGGCGGATGTGCTTGATATCAATGTTCGCCCGTGGCGCTATGGTCGGCCGTTGGTGTAGTTGTTTCTGACTAGCTTCGTCGCTGGGGGTAGAGCTGGGGTCGGAGTAGAGTCGGGTGGTTGAGCGGGGAAGCGGTGTCAGTCTTGTCGCTTTCGGCCGAGCCAGCCGGCACTGCAGACATGTGAAAGATGATCTCGCAGCTTTCATGGTGTCATTAGAGAGCTGCTGTCGTCGTTGCACGTCGTGATCGGATCCGAAAAGTTCGATGCATCGAAAAATGAAGAATGGATGCTATCTCGAGCTGCCGTATGTGGGGCAAGCATTTTCTGGAGTAGCTTGAGCTCCTTTGCTTCGAGGACCCCACACGCTACTTTCGACCAGATGAACCTTGTTGTTCTTAGTTCAAATTAATTCAAAGGATGAGAACAAGAGAGTAGTTGCCGATTTACTTTCTATTTACCAGTGGCATGTTACTATTGGGCATAAATCGCTTTATCTCAGAATATTATTCGACCGCAGACGTTGAGTGCTAATTCTATATCTACATGTATTAAGTTTATGCCCATCTATGCTTGACATTGCTAGTTGTCAACATTCCTCTAACACAGAGTCCATCTATCATCTACCGTAAAGTGTGAAACGCCCGCATCACAGCTAAGCTGACCACTGGATACGACATTATCCTATCATGAAGGCCATATTTCATGATCTCCTCTCGAATGACGCCCCTGCTCGTCCTTCGTTCAACCGCCCAGCCTCCAGCGTTATTGTTCACTCTGGAGGCAATCTTCTCCTCTTCCAAGTCTTCGAAAGTAATTCCTCGTGGCATTGACGCATTGACAGCATGCCAGAAAAGCTGTTCGCTATGCGACCATGGAATATTGTAGTCGTCCTCGGCGTGAATCATGGTAATATCGTACCCAGAGAATCCTTGATCCATATCCTCGCATCGCCGGATGAAATCCGCCAGCTTGCTCTTACTTGGCCATTTGGTTTTGATAAACGTATTGAGCCAGCATAGAAGACGAGGAAACCTAGCAACGGGGTCAAGGAGTGGTATCGTTCCCGCTATGCGGTACGTGGCTGTCAAGGACTCAACGTCGGCAAACGGGGCCACTAAGACGACGCCAGAGAACAGGACTGGCTCTGGTCGTGTGGCCATGTGATGAATAAGCGATAGCGAGACAGCTGTGCCCAGGGATTGTGCGAATATCACGATACGTGAAGGTGGGATCCCGGCTTCTTTCATCGCCCACTCAGCAAGCGTGATAGCATCAGTCAGCAGGCCTTCCTCCGAAGGACTGCCGCTGCTGGCTCCGAAGCCGCGATAGTCTATGGCCAATGTATGTATACGGTATGGTGCACCGGCTGACATGGCCCGGTAGCTCGGCGGTCTCCAACCCGACCCTAGGGTTCCCGCAGCGCCGTGGAAGTACAGCACCAGAAGAGAGGAGGGATCATCGCGAAGCAGCTTGAAGCTAATCCTCTCCTTGATATCCGACGCCAATCCATGAGGTTCGTCGGTTAAGGCCGTCTGATGTTGCTGGTACAATCCGAGCGGTAGAATGTGCCAAGCATGAAGCGACTCTCCGTCAGGAGTCTTCAGAAAAAAGGGTGAAACTTGATTCCGAAGAAAGCCCCATTGCTCTGGTATATTAACGTCTTGAAACCAGGTCAGAGTTACGCGGTTGAGATAAATGACCTGATCCTGTAACACCGGAATGGTGAGTAGACCAATGAATAGCGCGTACAATCCTGTAGAGGCAAGTAAGCCGTAAAATGTCGACCGTAAAGAAGTCAATAGGGCCACCATCGCTTCAGCTGTATTATGTATATAGTGTTTGTAAAGCCAGGATCTGCTGAGATTAGGGGGATTCTTGAGCTGGGCGGATATACCTGAGTAGAACCCACACCCACATCTGCAAACAACATACCAACAGCAATTCAAGGCTGACCAAGGCTGACCTTCCAAGCTCGTCTAGTAAGTATGTCTCGGTACCGGTGTATACACTTCTCAAATAAAACGGTATTACAGATACAGCTTTTCCCAATAATGGCTCCAACTCCCTTACTTCCCTTATAGCGTATCAGGGTCTGTCAAGGGCAGCACAGAAAAGCTCCAGTCATGAGATATACTAAGTCTCGTTAAGGGCCCCCTTATCTCCCACGTAAAAAAAAAACGGTGCCGGTCAAAATATGGCTGATCAAGCTAGAGATTGGCATTCCTTATCTAAGCCTTTGGCAATATCAAAGTCGTAGGAATAACTCGCATTGTGAGAACACTGGTGAAGCACTAGCAATGATGCAACTTTTTATCAAATTGAAATCATCTAAATTTATCAGCAGCATGATGCGCAGAAAGGGTATCTATGAACAGTATTTTGAACGAGCCATCTTGAAAAAGGGGCAACAGCTCGTTAGATTTAGAACAGTGATCCCCAGACACCCAATGTCCAGTTATTCGGCTGGACTGTTTGACCTCGCATCAACCCAGTAGGTCCCATGCTCTGTCTCTGTCCGGCCTTGACATCCACCTCACTTGGTCGAGATGCCCCATTGACGCCTTGTGACAACCATATATCTCTGTCTATGTTTGCCAGTGCCGGGATCTTCATCTGTGTCGCCAGACTCCCTCCGCACCACGGCCCAAGAGAGTCGATGGCCCGGAGTTGACCTTGGACCGAAGGCTTGTAGTTTCGTTCTCGTTTAATGAGATTCTCCACCTGATCGACCTCTTGGGGTACATCTGCGGCCTTGACCTGCGGCTCAGTCGCTTCTCCGCCAGCGCTCGTCGTGTCCGGATGTACAACAACGGGTATAGCGCTGTCACTGCCTTGACGGCTAGCATCACGGTGGAGCTTTTGGTTGGCCTTAAACTGGTTTACCACTTTGCCTCTGATTGGATCCCAGCCTTGCTCTTCTGCTAGATTTGAGACTTCATCAAAGATGCGACCTTTGAGTCCCGGGACTGATGAACATCCTCCGGTAAAAATAATCCGCGACATACAAATAGCACGCACATCTAGAGGTAACTGAAGCAACGCTCGATAGACAAGGAGATGTACTGGAAGCTCGTGATCATCAAAGCATGACGGAGAGAGTCGCGTTTCGAAGAAAGTATTTTCACACGGTTCGGCTAACTGCGAAAATGGTATTTCTACCGTTTTAGGGGGCTTGCACGAGCCAAGGGTGATGGTTATGGGAGAGTGATCCTCAGTCGGTGGGATCTCCTCTTCCGACTCCTCTTCGTGTTCGTGGACCGTAGGTAAACCTTCTTCAGCAGTCTTTTGGGGTGGCTGTCTTGCGGCTCTCCTACACCACAGCATACGAATAGCAACCTCCTCGCACTCCTCGAAGCTAACGGCGTCATCCCCGAGCTTATCTTCATTTCGTTCGGCGCGTGCCGTGGGTGGATGTCCGTGGGCTGCTTGTAATAAGAACTCATATGTCTCTTCTACGAGGAATTTGCCAGCTCGGATAGTCCTCCAGCTTTGCACCTCACGGTATTCATAGACAGCAGTAACGGTGGTTTCGTGCCAGCCCAGATCTATCACCATGGCCGACCGAGTGCCGGCCGAGAACGCCGTCATAACAGGCGATGAAAGCAGGGATATAGTGGGAGCCTGGAAGTGGTGGAATATGGTGTCGAGGGTTGATGATAGCAAAGGGATCGGCAATGTTGGAGGCAAGATCAAGGTCACCCTCCTCGATTTCGAATCGACTAGCAAGTATCTGCGGGAATGATTGTATTAGTTTAGCAACATAGCCATCACAGCAGGTTAGCAATGCGCCCACCTACTTGAAGAAAGCATCTCTCAGCTCTCGTTCCAGCTTGTCGCCGATCAGACCAAGGTCTTGACCTCTGGTCTCTAGGGTCCATAGCTCATGGTCAGCACCCCATGGCTTTCCAGAAGCTCTACCGCGCCATCGGCTCGCGAAGTCGGGCTCCCACACGCGGAAGTCGCCGGTGCGTCTCTGCTGATCCGGACCAAAGGCGACGATCCTCTTCGGGGCGGCGTCACCAGCGAAGCCGATACGTAGCTTTCGGGAACCAAGTTCGATGACAATGGGGTCGTCGTCGATTCGCGAGCTGCTGGAGGGAGAACCGAAGGTTGAGGATATGGGCCGTGCCGGGGTTTGGGGAGGGCCGGGTGCGGAAGTCGACTGGGCTCCGGCGCGAATGCTAGATACCGTCCGATGTGGGAGCGATGCCAGGCCCGCATTAGACGACATTATCAAGATTGCCTATCTATTTCTCGTCTCGCATTCTGGCACCAAGACTACCGATATACCGAAGTGGCCTGAAGGTGAATAGGTACCTAATTACGCTGATCCAAATACCCTAGCAACTGGAAATATCTGGTCCGGTAGCATGTACCTAGGTACTGCAAAGAGATCGGGAGGCGGAATCCAACCATTCCTCGCCTTCAGTGGTGCTAAAAATGCAGTGAAGCGAAGTATGGTACTTATTCCAGTAGCGATAGCTTGGTAGATAATCCCTGCAAGTGCATGCATGGTTGCCAGTGGATACGGGCCGGGGACAAGCTAGCCGAGAGTCAATACCTACTGATACAGCACCCAAAATGGCCACTGGACAGACACTAGACAAGCACATGTGAATGATCCAACAATTTGCTCGAAAAAGCTTCAACTACCTACACGAAACGAATATGCCCTGATTATAGTATAGATCCTGCCTAGAGCTGTAAATTGCTGTCTACTCCCTTTGCCCATGTCTTGCCTCAGGTAGCTTTAGACTTCGGGTAGTGTGCGTCATCAAAATGGGGATTAAAGGGTAAGATATATCACTCCAAATATCGAGCGTTAATATTGACATTCCATCACAGTATCTACAAGGAGATCGGCCCGGGGAAGCGTGTATCCCTGACCAAACTCGCTGTTGAAAAACTCGAGGAATCAGGCCGGCCCTTGCGAATTGCCATAGATATCTCTATATGGCAGTTTCAAGTCCAAGCCGCGAGAGGTAAGATGAAAAGCATAGATACTCATTCATGTAAATATCTGGGTGGTTCATTGATTGACACGAAAATACATAGGTGGCTCGAACCCTGCCATTCGCACACTCTTTTACAGGTTGTTGCGTCTTCTTGGCTTATCGATTCAGCCCATTTTCGTATTTGATGGGCCCAACAAGCCAACCTTCAAGCGAAACAAGCGCTCTGGCCGAGGCGATGGCGTGGCAACTGCCATGGCGAAGCGCTTAATACGGCTGTTCGGCTTTATAGTCCATGACGCACCAGGCGAGGCCGAGGCGGAATGCGCGCTATTGCAGCAAAACGGCATTGTAGATGCTGTGCTGAGTGAGGACGTCGACACCATAATGTTCGGCTGTACTCGGACGCTGCGAAATTGGTCGGCGGAGGGCACCAAGGGGGCGAAAACGCCAACGCATGTTTCCGTATATGACAGCCAGGAGCTTGTTGATGGTGCCTCGGGTCTGGACCGCGAAGGCATGGTTCTTGTGGCCCTGATGAGCGGTGGCGACTATCTTCCCGAGGGAATACCTGGCGCCGGCGTTAAGCTGGCTTGCGAGGCTGCTAGAGCAGGGTTTGGCAAATCGCTTTGTCAAATCAAGAGGTCCAATACCTCAGAATTAGCTAGCTGGAAAGAGTGGTTGACATACGAATTACGACATAATGAAAGCGGTTTCTTCAGAACACGGCACAAAGCTTTGAACATTCCTGATGATTTTCCAAATATGGATATACTTCGATACTACACTCATCCCGTGGTATCAACGATAGCGACACTAGATCAGTTGAAACAGCAAACGTGGGACAAACCTATTGATGTCCAGGGGCTTCGGGAGTTCGTACGTGAAACTTTTGACTGGAGTTACCGGATAGGAGCGGTGAAGTTTATCAGGGTTTTGGCACCATGCCTCTTGGTACGCAAAATGATGCAACAAAAACCCGGCACAAGTACAGCTTCTGGAGAATCAGGACAGGGGCCATCTGGCTTGGTCAAGGCCATCTCAACCAGGCGAGCCCATTTCAGTACAGACGCTACCCCAGAGTTGCGTCTATCATTTATACCATCTGACATCGTCGGCTACAATTTCCAGGAGGAGCCTGACGAAGTAATAGATTTTGGGCGTGATGGCCTAGCCCTTAATAGCGATGACGAAATAGAGGATATAGCCGGGGAGGTAGGCGATGCTGATTCTACATCGAAACCAGGTCCAAGGAAACCGTTCAGTCCCACGGAGTCAGATCTATTATGGGTACCGGAAACAATAGCCCGGGCTGGTATACCCTCAATGGTTGAGGAATGGGAGGAAGCACAGCGTGTAAAGGCTATATCTCGATCTAAACCGAAGGCTTCAAGGAACAAGGCTAAAACAGGAGCAATAGCAGCAGGATCACTAGATAAATTCGTCAGGATCACGAAGAATATTGGGCCGCAGACGGCGGCGGCCAAGCGGCCAACTCAGCCACCAGTGAGCCTAGGTTCATCACCTGTTCGGGCTCACCCACCACTGGACTCCCTCCGGGCCTCATCCCAGAGTACTCAACCATTCTTTACATCAAGTCAGGAGACACAGAAATCTCGACCAGTGAGACCTAGTAAGCTACCCACATCTAAGCCGTCGCGATCCGAAAGGAAACCTCCAGGAGGCCCCAAGGCGGACGCCAACACCAACCCTTGGACCATTGCCAGCTCACAAGGGACACCCAGGCTCACCAAATCTACAACATCATCATCAACCAAGGCTTCCGAACCGATTCTCATATCCTCTAGCCCGCCTTCGTCGCCTCCCGAGAATATTTCTTCCTCTATGAATTATACCAAGGGCATATATAACGACACTAGGGCGGACCCTTTTTCAATGCAGCCAGTAGGCCCGAGGAAAAGGCGATCACTGACCCCTATAGTAGACGAGGTCGATGTCTCGAGTCGTAGGAGCGCCAGAGACTCGAGTCCCACACCATCTCCCGCAATGAAACCACAGCGCAAACTAGCCCGCACAGAGTCATTACCCATTGACTCGAGCCCGCGTCGTCCAGAGCGACGAACGACAAGAGGACTCGCACGAGCACAAACTGTCGCAGTCGAGATTCTACCGTCCGATTCCGAGGACGGGGAAGAACACAATGGCGACGAGGATGATTTCGAGCTACCACCTCTCAGCAGTCTAATCAACAAACTCCCCGCCAGCAAAAAGACTCCAATAGAGACTCCAACTCCCACCTCTTCACCTTCTACAAAACCCACCGGGAACGCACAGACACAACAAAAAGACAAGCCGAAACAAACAACCCTAAAAGAATCCCTCAACATCACGAGGACGACAAAACTCTACATGCCCCGCAAAAGCCAGCCAGGATTCTTCCGCGAGATCGACGTCGACGTCGCCGAAGCCGACGCCCTCAAGGGAGAATTCATCGCCGCCGCAGCCGCTTCTTCGGGCGGGAGACGGCTGGGGGTGTGGAGGCAGAGCGATGTCTCTTGTATCGATCTCACGGGCGAAGATTAAGTCCTTAATCAGCGTGATTGAGATATACAAAAAGGTTATATACTTATATATAAGCCGACGGGGGTTGGGAGGGGGGTCTTGGAACGGCGACAATTTTGGTATTCAAAAAACAGCATCTATCTAGCATTTGCACTTGCATTATCCATTGATAGTGTTAACAGGAGGGGTAGAAGCGTTACATAGATATATAAAATGCATACTCATTTATTGTTGAAATATACTCGTAGTTATATCTATACCTAACATGTGTATATATGTACATATGTAGACATATCTATCTCCCCCGTTCTATTACCAGCACATGATCGAGGAAATACACAAAATCCAACCCATCTTGCTCCGAAGGTCCGTAAAGCCAATTATATCCCCATCCATAGATCCCACGCAACGGACTCATCACATAACAATCAATGCATTTCACCCAAGGAAATGAAAACGGGCAGGCCAAATAAGTCTATAAATATATATCTCCCACACTCATCCTTTCCCTCCCCCTCTCTCTCCTCTTTCTCTCCTCTGTCTTCCCCTCACACCCAGTTCACATATAAAAGGCTCATATTTAGTAATTTGGTATCTATCTGACAATCCTTCCTTCCCTGCTACACACGAAAAACAACACTCCCACATTCTCACTACCACCATCACTTCCCACTACCACAACAACATCAACTAACAAATCGCGTCAAACAAGCAAAAGATCATCAACAAACACATATGATAAATAAAAAAAAGGGTATCGTATCCACGCAATCCATCCAACCAACCAATGCCATCAACCACATAAGTTTAGTCAAGTCGTCGTCGTTGTTGTTGTTATGGGGAAAAGGAAAGAGAGAGAGAGAAAAGAAGAATAAGTGAGGGACAGAAAAACAACAGAAACAAACATGAAAGATAGAAGAATGAGAGAAAATCATCCCCTGAATACCAACTTCTCTCTCCCCACCTAGCATCCGTCATACATCATGGCATGATATAATTTTCTCATCGTCAACAGAGGCGAAAAAGCGAGACAAGGGAGACGAATGAGGAGGACATTGCCATGCCATGCCACACTAAACCACATCTGACGCCGCATTCCTACAGATTTCTATACGTAAGATAGAAATGCGAAGCACCATCATCCTCGTCGTCCTCTGAACACAACATGCAGTTATTATCATCATCATCTCATCTCTGATCATCATCAAAATCCTCAATTCATCATGATATCATCGCTGATCCTGTTCATTTGCATCTTTCCTTTCCTTTCCTTTCCCAAGGTTATCCGCTACTGTTCGCTTTTCGTCTCTCGTCTTTTTTCTTATTCCTCGGAGTTCCAGGGTAGATCTCTTCCCTGCACCTCGATACAGGTGAGATAGTTCGTTGTGCCAGCAGCAGGTCCGGCCGTGCCGTTCACGACCCTATCGAGTTCGAGCTCCAGCCTGGTTCCCATGAGGGGGCGGACGACCTCTCGTGCCGCGCATTTGAGCTCGTCGATGCGCTTCTCGAATCGCCTTAGATTATCGCGCGTGTACAGTTCGGGCGTGAGTTTGAGGAAACGCTTGCACTCATCGTGGCCCAAATATCCAGCGCCCGTTGCTGATCCTAGCGTACGATATGTACGACCGACGTTCTCTAGCGTGGGGACAGTTGCTCTACCTAAAGTCGTATTAACCGTTGATGGCGGCGGGGCTCTCCCGCCAGCGTCACGGGTAGAATGGCTTGAAGCATGGTGTCTTGAACTAAATGAAGAGGATGACTGCCGGACTGGTGGAGGAGGTATGGGCGGCGGACTTGTGCTATCGGCTAGCCACTGCCGGAATAGAGACACGGCAAGCCAGTCAAGGTACGAATTCTGTGGGCTTACGCGCTCACCGCGAGAGGTTGTGAGACTGAGTCTGAATAACTGACCCTCGGTACGGCTGACAGTTTCCTCGAGTTCCTCTACCTTGTCTTCAATGATATCTAACACAATCTCCGGAAATGAGGTGCGAATGGTATGCTCGTTAGCCGGCCACTGCCCGACAATGTGAATCAACGCCTCTTGAAAAATGACTTTGCTACGACTGAGATATCCCAGACGTAGATAGCTGACCGGGTATCTTGCAATCTGCTTCCATAGCCGGCCTTGAAACTGCAGGAGATGATGATCGACCCGAGGCCCAACAACAGCGAGAGCATCGTATTGATCTGCGAGCCTCAGCAGCGATTTGCACTGAACGTAGGCATCGGGTATGCTGATGGAGTCGAGCACTGGTGGGTAGTTGTAAAAGATGCGGAAAAGGTTGTCATAATCGCGCAATAAGTCGGCATCGATCTGCGAGAGAGGTTGCGCGATTTGAGATTCTGGTTTCGGGGCTGAAAGTGATAGGTTCGCGACGGAACGGAAGAAGGAATTCGTCGAGTGCATGCGTGAGTGGTCTCCTTTATTTCGCGGTACGTTCAAACTAGATGAATTATTTCCACCGCCGAAGAGTGAGGTTGAGGTCGCAGATGGTTTTTGATTATTTGTTTGATTGCTTGCATTAGCTTCCCTCTGCACCAGCATTGGTATGTCGTCTCTATCCACGCCTGCGTCTAGCTCGTAACGCCATCGCCTCCTCGGTATGGGTGATGTCGCGCCCTGTCTAGTAGCTACCTCACTCTCGGTGGTACTGCCGGTGTCCTCTCCAATCCTTGACAGCTCTCTGGACGATGGTTCCGGGAGTGGTGGTAGCACAGTAGCTTTGGACCATTCCTGGCTGGTGCTCGCCTCGAAGAAGCCCGAGCATCTCGTCAAGGTATGCCTGTGCAGCAAGTACCGATTCTCCCTTCCACCGGCAGCTATTATAATCTCAACATCGCCGGAGTAGCTGAAGACAGGAAACTCGTTCTGAGGCACATAGGAAGCGCCGCCGGCGTGCGACCGGTTATACCGCTTGCTGCGGGACGATGCATGTGGGCGGGAGGCGGAGCGAGAAGAGACAACGGAGGAAGGCCCGCGAAGGGCAAGGGAGGAGTGGTTATACTCGGGTTGTGAGACCATGAATACGGAATATTAATAGATTATCAGGTAACGCTGGAGTGCTGGAGTGCTGAAGTAGAGGAAAGGCCGAGAATGAAGCTATTATCGGCGTATCGGCGTGCAACGCAGGTGGCCTCGACCGGGGTCTATAATAAGAAGTGACAAGACTTGATTCGCACGAAGCCGTACATATACAGGGTTAGGGGCTCCAGCTGGGATGAGAAACGAGGACGAAACGAGGACGAAAAGAAGAATGAGGGAGGTCGGGCAGGCGGTGGTTGCGGTGTCGACACCGTCGCGTGCACGACCAGCGTGTAGAGACGGGATTGCTCGAATGGATTGGTTGTGAGGGTACCTGTCGCCCCGTCACCCCTGCCACTCCAGTGTTTCTAATATACTTAACGCTCCGACGGCGAGCCGATGATGAGCGAGTAGTGTGTGAGGGGCAGCTCTGGGGCAGCTCTGGGGCAGTTCTGGGGCAGTTCTGGGGCAGTTCTGGGGCAGTTCTGGGGCAGTTCTGGGGCAGTTCTGGGGCAGTTCTGGGGCAGTTCTGGGGCGGCTCACTGGGTTTACTGGTCAGCAGATGTGGCTTACTTATGTACCAGGTTTCTGTGCCGGGATAGGTAGAGCAAGTATGGAGGTATGATGTAGCGTGGAAGAAAAGGTGTAAGTAGCATCTGAAGATCCTTCACTCAACCCATCGCGGAGAAGACTTCCCACTCCCACTACACAGACAGTCCGCAGGTATCCTCAGCGATGGATGGATGGATATGCTAGCCAGGACCAGGTAGGTAAATACCTACTTAAGTAGCGTACCGCGCTACGGTACACACACGACCGATTGATGAACGCAGTTCGCTCAGCCACCCGAGACAGACGGGTATGGACGGTAAGGTGTTCTTCAGAGGGACGGAGTGGGGAAGCAGATTCAAGATCATCGCCTTGGGCCATGAGTAGGTATAACAGTAGAGAAGGAAAGGGGAAAATATTCTACGCACAGATATCGAAGGGAGCCCAGTTGGGCTTTGAGCTTTATTAAAGCTGCAGCCTTCTCCCGCTTCTGCTTTCTGCTTCGTGTTTGGGGCCGTGGTGATGAGCGAAGCGGCCTGCTGCAGCTTTGACTTTTGGCTCTTGCAGGGTCGAGTGAGGCTGTGCGCTCAGATCTTCGCCACAAGTTTCTTTTTGCGTGCGTGCGAGTGGTGGAAGGGCCGCAGGTAACCTGTAGGGATCTCGGGGGATCACTGGAAGCAATGCCTCGGTGCAGCCGTCTCCGGTACGGTAGGTAGGTATCTGAAGTGAGTGAAATCCTTGCTCTTTAGAGAGATAGAAAGACAACAGTTAGCGATACCAATACGTCATAACCTGTCGCTGACTGACTTCCTTCTATTTTCGATTCAACTGATGGACATCTTTGAAAGAGGAACAAGTGTCGCTATATAAGGAATAGAAGTGCGAGTCAAGGAATTCAGAGTTGTCTTATCATCGTCAGTCAGTCATTCTGCATTTAACAGAAGACCAGATATGCATAATGCGCAAAACCAAGTCTTTATTTTATGTTTCTATATTTACACTTAACTACCGGTATATGTACATATAAACACAATCCAATTCCTGCATCGTGTTCGACATAAAAATCTAGTCGCGCGTCGACGCGTCGTCGCTCACTCACTCACATGCACCAGTATTGGAAGCTGATTGTACTAAAGGTCACACACACACACACTCTCTCTCTCTCTCTCACTTTTAGTGTGCTTGGCTCAAGTGGTGTCCTAGGCTCCCTGAGGTTAGGCCGTTTGCACCATGAGCTCTCTGTATGCAACGATTGGCCTTGAAGAAAACGCCGACACCCTATCAAGTACTAGCGATGGCTATTCTTCGCTCAAGCCCCTTGAAAGCTCAATCCTGTGAAACGTTTGAGGAGTGCTACAAGTCTGGCAGTCGACAAATGCCCAGCTCAACCATTCCAGCCAGATAGATATGAGCCACTTGTTATTCAGATATGTAAATGCCGTCCTTGCATCTGGCAGCCTCTGATTGTACTGTTATTTAGGCAAGGGAACAATTCACCTTCACTAGTCTTATCATCTATCCATATCATAGGCAGGCGTGCGACGACTTCCCAATATGGTGGAGACATGCAGCTCATAACGTGGCCCAATTGTTGCCCAACCCTTCAAGCATTCATAACATAAAAAGGCAGCTCTGCCCAGTCAATCCTACGTTGGCTGAGAATGCCGCGTGCACTCTAGCATCAATGGCATGGAAAAGAGACTTTTCAAAAGAAATAATCCGCATTGTATCGGGATAGATTACTACTATCGTACAAGCTAAGTCCGTAAGCCCGATGAGTAACCCCCAGATTCCCGATCCGTTTTGATTGCTCCAATTCCCACCTTGGGATAAAGTTGTAAAAGACAGTTAAGAGAAAAGAAATGCCGAAAAAATCGATACGGGCTCACATGCACCGCCAAATGCTCCTCATAGCAACGCCGTCATAACCACGCCGAGACACACCTAAGTCAACTTTGGGTCACTTGTCTAGCTCATGTCCATCTCCACAGATACTGGCACTTGGGGCGAAGGCATGTCGATAGGTCGCGGGGATTCTGCAGCCGTCATGACCTCGAGACCCTCAAAGACTGGGGGTGTCGACTTCAAGTTGAGAAGAGCTTGGTCAACATTCCTGCTGACAAGCTGGCCCTGGCGCAAGTCTTCGGCGAATAAGAAAAAGCCTTCGGAAGCCTCGACAAGATAGGATTGAAGCCCTTTGCTTTCTAATCGGATTTGAGCATTGGTCACAGGGAAGTGGTTCTCGATGTAGCGCGACCAGCCACGAGCCGCAGCCTGGATATGTTCATCTTCGCTTATGCGACGCCACCCAATGCCGAGATGAAGTGTAAAGTTGTCGACGATAGGCTGGGTGCTGGCATCTGTGGAAAGACCAGGCGTAGATACCGCAGGGGCGGTGTCGCGAACAGGGCTAGTCCGCCTCGCTTGGGTCTCGGCGCTAGAAAGCGATACAGAGTTCATATCCAATCGTTGAGATTTGTGACTGCGGAGAGATGGTCGTGCTTGCTGATTGATAGCTCGAGCCTCTTCATTCTTGCGTTTCTCGTCTGCGGCGGCTTTTTCCTCGAGCCAGGTTCCGGATTGACTACCAGCGCTTGCGACATACGATGATGGTGACTTGATGAGCACCATGCCTTCGCCATAAACCCACTCGTCTTCTGGTTCTTTGACGGGTTCGATAGTCTGGAGCTTGGCTTCCTCGACATCAAGATTGACGCCGGCTTCATCTCTGGAGCGCTTGCGGCCGGCCGTTGACGAGGTGCCATTGCTGTTGGACATGTATGATGAGGGTCCCAAGGAATGGACATGGCTAAGTGGAGAGGACTGGTGTGAAAAGGGAGGCATGGCAAACGCGCCGTGAGGCGCACTTGGGGCCATGGTGAGGACAGGAGAAGAGGTGCGTTCGAAGTATGACATTTTGACCTGTTGACACTAGATTCAGGTGAGATATCAATAACAGTGCTAGAGGTTAAGGGGTTAGGAATATGGGTGACCGGGTAAGTATGCTGGGAGGAAGGAGTCAACTGATGCTGATCAAGCTCAACGATCACGGCGGCTGAGAGAAAGGTGTATCGGTGGAGGGCAGGACCAATTGCGTGGAACAGCTGGATGGAGGAGACGGTGAGATCTGTGTCGACGACGGCAACTTGACGAATGCGAAGTCCCAAGCCGCAGGGTGGCAATGGCCGGTGATGGAAGGGACAACAAGGTTGAGGTTGTATGTCAGTGTTGAACGAGACGGGTATAAAGTGAAGAGATGGTAGGGGAGTATAGGAGTATATGAGTATGGATGTATGTGTAAGTGTAGGAGAGGATGGTGATGTGGGAAGGGAATGGGAGAGGAGGGAAGACGGGAAGACGGGAGGAATGGTGTGGGAGGAAGTGAATATTAAGGACGAGCAGTGAACGGGTAGGTCAGGTCAGGTAGGATGTGTGTGGATGGGGATGGGGGCATGTTGGTGTGTGTGTGTGAGTGTGAGAGAAGAATGGGCGACGGGCGATGGGAGATGGGAGAGCAGGATGCAGCAAGAGGCGGCGGATGTCGAGCAGGCAAAGCAAGCAGCCGTACTGTAAGTAGTCTGTAGGTACGAAGTAGGTTGGTAGGTACCTACACATAGTACTTTGTAGTGTAGGAACTTCGCATGTGCAGCTCGATGGGACGCGCGAGGATGGGACAAGCCCAGGATCACCTCCGTTAGAAGTGGTCGCAGCTGCTACGCTAAGTAGAGAGTACCTATCTTCACATACAGTTTCGATGACCAATTGAGGTTCCTGGATACATTGGTACGTAGTAAGGCAGGCAGAGAGGCAGGTCTGGGAGAGGCACAAAGCGGACGGACCACTCAAGCCCTCCAGCGAGCCAATCAGCGAGCATGAGGCGGCAACTGGGGCAGACACAGAGGCACAGCAGGCATGACAGTGCGTAGGAGACTGAATCAATCGACATACGGTAACCCGCACTGTACTTGCATCTGCCTGACTCGTCTCTGTCCGCCCACAACGCCCCCCCCGGGCGTGTTTCTATGGAGCAAGACTTGCTCCAAAAGGCCCTTTCCACAAGAGGACTAGTCGCTCTTGTGTGAGACCAGGCTTGCCCAGAGTCTGCCCAGAGAGTCCGAGCCTCCAAAAGGGCCAGACTATCCTCCACTAAGTACATAAGTACATGTATATCCAATACTACCGGGATACAGTCAATACTACTCCGTATTGCATGACATTTTATCTATTCAATACCTACTGTATGTACGTTGTGGACGAGTCAACATATTCTGTCGTAATAGTACAGTACTAGCAGATTTGAACCAGAATCAGGTAACCCGCTGCATGTGAGAGCCCAGTATTACCATATCAAGTATGACTAAGTTCCGTTCACCTACTACGTACACTACAAAGGTGTCTTACACAGCGTCTCATCCAAGTTGCCCCCTCACGTTATCACAGCCAGCCTGTGACTGATGCATAAATGATTATGCAATATAGGGTTGGTATAGGTGGTATCTGGCCTGCCGTGTGAGCAGTAAGGTGCTAGTAACGGGACAGATCATTTAGTACGACCTCAAGACAACTCCCTCGGAAGACTGAGTTACCTACCTACCTGGCTCGCCTGGATTATATTAGGACGCATATACGCATCTAGTGTACTGTTGTACCCGTAGCACTGTCAGCACTGGGAAACGAATAAACGAATCAGCGGCGTTTGGGGCGTTATGCAGAGCATCCCATATGGCAACACCACGGCCAACGACAATCGCCGTCTTAGCAGAGACATGATTCGTCCAAAAGGATCCATAGTCAGGGTGGGGAGGAAGTCTCCAGTCTGCCCAGGTCCCTTCGTCTTGGCGAATCTGGGGCCAAGAGATAATAACATATGATTGGTCATGACGCCCGGACCGGAAAAATCCGACTGGAGATCATCGTGGGCTCTTTGTCCCCCAGTCAACACACGATGCCGTCATCCACTAGTACTATTGAGGAAAAGTTCTGCGAATAGCTAGCTATCGTTGAGTCCCCACTCACCGGAATGGACCCCAACTCTCTCTGAGAGTAAAGTCTTGGTTGCTGAGTGGGGACAAGGGCTCGTCTTCGCCGGAGGGTGAGACGGATATGACGGGCAGAGACGGGAGACAAAAAAATAAGGCTACTTAAAACGGAATAGAAACCTGAAATCCTTTGCTCCGATCCGGTTGCTATGGTATCAACTATTTCCGGCCATGCCAAATGAGCAGAGAAAAGTTCTTTAATAATGGCCTTAGTAATAATGGTCTGATCATTTCTTGGAACTGTTCCTGGCAGGTCTTGGTTCAATGATTAATATTGTTTGTTCTACAGAGGAATTCCGACCTGTTGATGGATACTTACACTTCAGACGGGGATTTCTATGACATCAATTCGACACTCATTGGGATGGTGTGGTGAGTATACGCCGATTATGTGAAATAACTATGTATACTTCCAATGTCCTTCCTTCATTGTCTGCCGTAAACAAGCTCTTTCGGTTATACTTCAGCCTGCCATATGGCTAAGAGGAACCTTCGTCATTCAGCTGAGATGCGTCGTGCTGAAGCCTCGTGTCGTCCGAGTTCTCTATACCTCCGTAGAGACCTTGAAATCCCGGCGTTGCCAGGACCGATGGGCTCTGGGTGTCGCGCTGCCTAAGTTGACTGATAGTAGGGCGCTGAGCGGACCGTCTCATACCAACGGGCCGCGCGGGAACCGTGGAAAACCCATGCAAACGACTCTGGTGACGTGTCTCGGGCAGGTTCATCGGCGTCTGAGGCTGTAAAGAAGCTGGAAGAGAATCATCGTAAACTTCGAACCTGGCTGTGTCCACGATCGTGCCGTCGGACTCGTCCCTTCTTGGTGGCTGTGAGGTGGATTCTGTTGCCACTTGTCGTGCGGTTGGTGTCGGAGAACTATGTCTGGGGAAGCGAACGATCGACTCGACAAACCTTGCAGCAGAGCTAAAAATTCGTGCTCCCGTACTGCTTGGCTATTAAGCATTTAGCTGTGTTGTTGCTAAGCTACGAATAGAGATGGACCTACCTGTGGAGGCTCGTCTTGAGTTGACTGAGCCGACCGCCGTAGGGCTGGCCGTCTTGTTGGAGTTGGCAAATCATATGTGACGCTCTCCCGCGCTGGGGTGGCCACACGCATCTGTTCAGTCATGTCGGTCAATACCTCTCGTACAACACGTAGAACGTAACGCAGACGCACCGATGGAAGAGACTGGACATCAGATACTACACGCCGTTCTAATGAAAATGGGGGTGGGAGAGATATTGGTAGGAAAACATCCTGGGTCAACTGTGGCCCCACCGAGTAGTTTGATACCCGGCTCAGCGATGAGCTGGACTCGGTCGGGTTGACGCTTCCTATAGAATCTCCATTCTCTGGGGGACGTCGTGGAGGGCAGGACAGCAGCTTACGGTCTTCGCTGTGCTCTACCAACTTGGTTTTAGATGGTCTGGGGGTTATGGTTTGGCGTGTCTGCTCAGGTGCAGATTTCTCTGACTCAAGACCATCCTGCGCAGGAGCTTGAGATCGTAGCCTATATGGAAGTTGTCCGAAAGCATCGTCTTTGGCAAGATACTTCTTGAACCGACGGCGCCGCTCAAACTCCTTGACTTCTGTTATGGTTAAGGAGATAGTAGTCGGCGGTAATCGCAGCATCTCGCAATGACGTTCAAGCAGCTTATACTGGCAATGCAAATATTCACGGGGACAAGTTGTCTCGCTATTCTGCGAGAAATCAAAGAATGTTACCAAGAAGCCTCATCTAATCGACTTTAGCAGTGAGCTCAATTCGAGGGTATTCAGACGGAGAATCCTTGACATGATTGATTCATTCAAGTTCTATTACAAGCTAGGACATGGCTTCCTCAAGCATGTCCATAGCCTGGGATAAACAGTCATTCAACAGAAAATGGAAGTTTGGACCGGATGTAATGTATACGGCATGCACTGTTCCTTCGACCCGAGACATTATGTATTAAAGTGGCTTCCGTTTCTCATTATACACCGTCATGAGAGGTTACAACCGATGTAGAGTGCCGTTTGTTGCCAAGAGTGCGCGGCAGCAGTTTAGTAATAAGCAAGCAATTGCCTCTCTGTTTACCCTCCACATCATGGTCGTGTTCTGTTTGCGATATTTCTCCCTTACCCAGACAACGTGAGCAGCTACCCATTAAATAGTATATGTAGTTGTACAAACTATCAAGTTGTTGAGTCGGACTTCGCTAAGAACGGCCCAAACACAATGTTACTATTAAGGCTGAAGGTGGTTTCGAGTAGCAGAGGCACCAAGGAGTATTTTTGAAAATATTGTTCGGATTCCATGCTACTTATCTAAATATTTCCTTGCAGTGCTAGACTGGCTGTGGTGCTCCTCCTCTACCTGAGTGGCATTCTTGAAAACCGGTCGGTTGATATGCATGCGATGTTACCAACGCAATTTCTCCTGAACCCAAGTGAAACAAGCACGTGTAACGGGTTGGAACACGAGTAGTGAATGACGTTGCTTCTAGGTTTTATAGTGCGAGAAGTCGCTTATATACCGTACTTCAATATTACACGCAGGGAAGTAGCAGGCATTGCTTGCGAACAGTGTAGATGAAAAGTCACATATATATATATATATTTCAATGTGAGAACACATTTATCAGAGTGTACCGGAGGCAGAATAAAATATCATAATTTAGAAAGGAGAGGACCTAAAATGTAGATCATTGTCTTACTGCAGATCACCTAGTTTCTAGTCTCGCGCTTCTCCTCTCTGGCGGGTCTCAACAGGAGAGCCGCAAGCTCGATGTATTCAGTACTCGTTACTACTCTGGTTCACTACATATGTAAGATAGACTCTATCCATAGGTAGGTGATTGGAGAAGGGTTTCAAGTGTTGATGATTGCTGTGCTCAGGTCACTAGCTAAACTACACTACCCCAACTGAGTCGCATTTTAGGCTCAGCAATCTTACGTAAATTTTTATTTACAGCAGCTATTTCAAGCCCGGAAGAACTATTGAAGCTGAAGCTGACTAGCATGACCAGAAGTTCTTCGTATGAATGCGTCTACACTGCGATAGGGTTACTTTTGAAAGTCGCCTCGCCTGTAAGATAATGATACGAATATTAATTCGGATGGTTGTGGCTCAGCGCAGAAACTGCATATGGATCTCTACGAAGTATGGAATGGTCATCCAAGAATGGCATCCTGCCAGACCACACCACGTTCAGCCATATCGACTGACCTCTACTAGGTACCGAACAGGTTAGGGACAACGTACATAGTACCTAGATAACCATGTGTTGTTGGCACCTAGGTAGGTAAATATAGGTACGCTCTAGTACTACCTATGTAATGTATGTAGATACGCAGTTAAACTGTCCGTCTCGCGTCCTGTCTTATTAATGCCTAAATACATAGGACAGATGGACGCGTGTAACACTATAATTACCTCCTACTTGATAAGGTATGATAAATAGTAGGTACCTGGCAGTGCAATAAGCAACATTACGAAATATCGGATACCTACGGGGCTGCCTACATAAGTACATACTTACCTCTTCCCTACCGTATTTACTCAACTCTTCCACTCGTTCACTCAGCCTTGCCCGGTGCAACTACCTCTCTAGTAGGACGCCAGCTAGAGGTGGTAAGCAAGACAGATTGAAGGCACCCAGGGTATGGATTATTCAAACTGATATGCTTGCTTGCTCTGAGTTGCTTGCCCTCGCTTGCACTGGCGGCTTGCTGCGTATTGAGAAACGGCTATTGTGGCATGTTGAAATTACTTGCGGACCTTACCTGACGTGACCTGACGTGCACTAGGACCTTAGCTGGGTTAGTTCTGTGCTGTTGTACCTACAGTACTGTGGTGTCTAGGTGGTCTAGCCTAACCTAACCTACATATTGTACCTACCTCTACCGGTACCTCACCTCCTGCCTCCTGCTACCCACCCTCTTACATGTGTGCTACCGATTGTACCTGGTACTACCAACCTGAATCTTGGGTACACCTCCATCTTATGCCATTGATACCTTTCCCTGTTCCCTTCCACCAGGTTTAACAAGCAACTCTGGCTTGATGGGTCTTGATGGTATGGCCCTGCGATCCGTCTCCTGCCCAATCTACCGAACTACATCCTCTCAACTGTTCGCCATTGCGCAGCAGCGTCTACACCTGCTGCTGCCACTGCCGCCGCCGCGACCTCCGTATCCTGGTGCCTGGATTGCCTGGATCGGAGATATCAAATCGTCTTGAACCTCCCTCGACGACCTGACCTCTGCCAGTGGATGCCGATTACCCTTCGCCCTGCAGTTTCTCGCCGACTGCGCTTGCCAGTTACCATTGATCAATCGCTTGGAGCCGTGGCAGAGTACTGCAACCCAGATTGGTTGGCATATGCATCTAACTCTGTCCGAAAGTCCTCGTATCTATAATTATCCCACCACTTTATGATATACACGTCCGATTACAACTAGCAACGGAGTACCGCTGTTTACAACCACAACTTAGATCCGACATACTCCTTCCACGTCACCATGAACAATGACCTGAGCCTCTCGAGGGCTCTGGGTGGCCTGCGCATAGCAAACCCGGACGATGCCACCCCGAGTCCTCCCCAGCCACACTCTATCGACTCCGACCTGTCCACCCCAGGCCAACCGAGTACCGACATTTTTACCCCCGACACTCAGCTACACAAGACACAGAGTGTACCACAAAGCAGCGAGCCAGTAAGAACAGGCGTGGGCTCCGTCGAACCAGAAGCCACAAACCAGTCTACTTACAACCAAAATGGTTCCCTGCCATACTCCAATATATCTTCACGCCCCGTATCAGCTCTCTACAATGTTGTTCCTACAGCAAGTGTGCGCGATCAAGCCGCAAACTCTTACCACATTCTAAGAACCGAATCGTCTCGACCATCTGCTCACAACGAATCAGGAAGGACAGCTCCAGAATATTCGGCCAACTTACCCTCTAGAGAATCTAGCCACAGAGATCGTTCATATAACCAAAACCGCCAGGCCCAATTACCAAGTGGTAGTGGACCATTACCTCCTAGGAGAAGCTCAAAAGGGATGGCTACCGGATATGCGCCTATTGCTGGTGTACCGGTAGCACCCGAACCTCGTGGTCGTGGACTTGGACCTGATATACCTGGGTCAACTGGCAGTGAAGAGTGGAAAGATCGGGGAGCTGCTGTAGGAATGCGAAAAGAAGTTGATGCGAATGGTAAGACGATAATGAAACCTGTTAAAAAAGGGGTTCGTGACTTTTCGTTTGGTAGGGTGCTGGGAGAAGGGTCCTACAGCAGCGTCTACCTCGCGACAGACCGGCAAACACTCAAGGAATATGCAGTCAAGGTACTCGAAAAGAGGCACATCATCAAAGAAAGAAAGATCAAATACGTCAACATTGAAAAGGACACTCTTAACCGTCTAACAGAGCACCCTGGTATCGTCCGGCTTTACTATACTTTTCAAGACGAGAACTCGTTATACTACGTGCTAGATATCTGCAGTGGAGGAGAGCTTCTCGGGGTCCTAAAAAAAACAGGGACCTTTGATGTTGAGTGCACAAGGTTCTTTGGGGCTCAGATCCTAGATGCTATTGAGTATATGCATTCCCGCGGTGTGATACACCGTGATCTCAAGCCCGAAAATGTCCTTTTAGACGACCAACTACATGTCAAGATTACTGACTTCGGTACTGCGAGGTTGTTGAGTGATCCAAGAGCACCGCAAACCCCGTCAAGGATTGAGGATACAGGCACGAGCTCCAGGGGTAAAGAACAAGATGATAGCCGAGCAGCCTCATTTGTGGGCACAGCCGAGTATGTCAGTCCTGAGCTGCTCACAAACAAGAATGCTTGCAAGGCTAGTGATCTCTGGGCTTTTGGATGCATCATCTATCAAATGCTAGCCGGTCGTCCTCCCTTCAAGGGCGGCTCTGAGTACTTGACATTTCAGAAGATTGTCAATCTTGACTATGAATTCCCACCCGGTTTCCCGTCAGCTGCACGGGATTTAGTCGAGCGATTACTAGTTCTAGATCCTGCTCGAAGGCTCACAATTGAGCACATCAAGAATCATGAATTCTTTGACGGCCAGCAATTTGGCAAGATTTTGTGGAAAACAAAAGCGCCTCGGTTACGTCCTTATGTGCCTCCTTCCCAGGAACCAAAGATAATCCAGCTGAATGGCATGGCAGCTTCTCAGCAGTCGAACCCAGGGGCTAGACCGCATACCGGCGGCAATGGCATCAATGGCGGCACGCGTACCCCAGGACGCCTTATCACCGACATACCGCCGCCTTCTCAACTCGATATCGAATGGTCACCAGTATTAACAAAGCCGAATGAGAGGATACTACGACTTGGTGATCTCTTAGTTATGTCATCTGCGATACCAAATAGTCCATACAATAAGGGCGAAGAGGGCCACCGGAAGTTCACCCGCTTTTTTGGTGGGAGCACCACAAAAAAGAGGCAGAGGCTTGTTATGATCACCTCTAGTGGGAGGATCATCCTGGCGCCAGCGGGTGGTGAAGAAAAGAAGGCGAAGCAGGATATATCGCTTCTTACCCCCGACTGCTCCTGGAAAACTCAAATAGACGCCAAAGGACAGGTGGTCTGGTGTGTTGATTCGGTACGTATTGATTCTTTTCTGCTGTATTCTTGTGCTTATATGGACCAGGCTGGCTATCATTGGACATTTGAGGATATAAAGACGCCTTCCTCCCTTGACACGTCCGGACCGACGCCTGACGATTGGATCGAGACTCTACAGCAGGCCAAGGATATTGTAGCTTCGACGAACATGTCGGGTTCTTATGTCAGCGACAACGCGTTCGGTGAGATATCATCGTCCATGTCAAGTCCAGCCAGTACCTTTGGACCCGAAGGCTACAGCGTAAGCGACCGATCCCATCGCAATCCGCTTAGTCGGAGCCAAGCAAGTTTGGAGGACACGACTACTACCAAGCGGAATCGTTTCAGCAAACGACAATCCAAACAAGGGCTAGGCTCGGCCTTCTAAAGCACGCTTACAGAGGTGTTACATCATCAACCTCGACGTGTGTGTTTGCTTTTTCGGGTCACTCCGACACATAACATTATTACCAAGTTCTCGTCTAGTTTTCTTTCCGGGTGTTATAGCGAGGCGTCGGCTCAGGTACGTTGGAATGATCTTGGAAGAGATTAAGTTGTGAGACAACAAAATGCATACTTGGCAAGGATCTTGTCGTTTTACCACCCAGCATCTGCGAGGCACTCAGAGTGCCCTGCAATCCTTGTCGCCGCTTTCTAGATGGATTAGAAGGAACATACTGCATGCAAGGATATATCATATTACGGTTCATATAATACACCTTGACGACAGGTTTTTTTACAGGTTTATTATTGTAGCGTGGCATTCTATGGCTTGCGCAAGCAAATGCAAATTGATAGGACATGTCTTTGGGCATGGAGGGTTTACGCTGGTGAATGGTTGAAAGATATAAGTGGAAACAGAGAGAGACTGGAGGGCTGGTAATATCCGATTAATAAATTCCAAAGACGCCCTCAGATCCAAGTCACAGGAGACGAAAACCAGGTCACCAATCAGCGAATACATGAGATACATGTAAACGCTACCTAAGGCAGCAATACCTGGGTAGCGGGTTGTTGAATACCTAATATTTGCGTATGCCCAGAACACCGCATGGAAGTGATACCAAAGTTGAACCTGATGAGGCATTCTTTTATTTGCCAACAGATGTTGTACAAGTAGATCTCCGATGTTACGGTGCGTATCTGTTACAGTGCAGCTTGGGGTAGTTACACACGGTAGAGATGCGGGAGCCACGATTCAAAGGGCGATGTTGGTGACCTAGTTACCTATTAGGTATTAGGTAGGTAGTTGAAGCCTTCCAATGAAGCCAATCAAAGATGCTGAATCGAGAAACAGTGGGGATCCGAGATCGCACCAGCCACGTCCCAGCAGACAGTGCACAGATAGGTACTGGACCATGCAGGCTAACTTAGCTCCCTGGCTGAGGCTTGGGACTGGACTGGACTGGACTGGCGCGCTGCCTGCCCGCCCATCTCACTACCTACTGCCACTGGTGAGTTGCATATTAATTTTAATACACGTGTGTACGTTAGCTTGAGCGCTCTCGTCCATTATCTAGATCAAGCAGCTGCTGGTGCTCCACAAACCGAGATCCTACGGCAACACTTTCGGATCTCGAGAGCGCGCACGCGACGAGGCCGACGCGATTTGACGACACGAGTAAATTTCCGACAACGTAGTCTCACGCTAGACAACACCGTAGCCGAACCCCAGTTCTCATCCGTCCACTCGAGTGGACACCCCATCCGCGATCCCAATCTGCCGTCGCTGGTGCTGGTGCTGGTGCTGGTGTTTGGCGTCTGGCGTCGCACACCATCGTCGCCCCTGGGCCATCGACGTCTCACAGAGTCACAATAGGTCGCAGAGCCGTAGAGTCACAGAAGACACCACAAACACAGTCAGGCGCCCAGGCAGTCGGTCATGATGCAGCCAGGCTACCGTCCATACCCGCAACAGCAGCAAATGGTGGTGGCACCACCACCGCCGCAGCTCCAGCAACATCATCAACCGTCACTTCACCAACAACGGGTGTCCCAACCTGGAGGGCCGCGACGGGGTGGCATTGGTAAGTGCGATTCACTTAATAGATTGCGCCGTGATTACATTTCGTAATGATGACGACGATGGTCATGATGGTGATGATGACGACCAAAGAGGAGAGGGAAACAATGGCAAGGAAAGAGCGAGAACGCTGCTTAGGTTAGAGCAAGACAGAGATGCAAAGGGAGGAGAACATGGATTGGGCGCTACCGATGTATCGCGACTCCAAGCAACGGCCCGCGCTTGTGATGTGAAACCCCACAACGCGAGAAACTTGCAGCTCCACTGGCCCTTGGCTCCGGCTCTGGTTCTTTTCTCGGCCCTTGTTGATTGCTCCTTGTCTCGTCTATCCATCGATGCCCACGTATCAGACCGCAGATCCGGCGCATCCTCTGTTCCGTCACCGTCTATATTCGCGCCTGTGTGCCATTGCCGGCCTTGCTGTCGCATTGTGTCCGCTTTTTCGTACCACTACTCAGCACATACTATCCCCCCTTTGAACACCAATTCATATCAATTCTTATATATACTTCGTCTCCAATTGCACCCCGTCGAGCTTCTTTCTCTGATTATCTGTGATGCAGGTCCCATGATGTCTTCCGGCCCACATCATTCAGTCGCGCTATCCCAAGCGCAGATAGTGAAGCAGCAACAAGAAGCCGCCATGCAATTTGAACACGCCAAGCGTCGAAGTCGCAAGCCGACGGACAAGAATCTTCCTGATGGAATTGATAACTGCATAGTGGGCGATGTGGCAAAAAATTATCGAGAGCTTAGAGACTTCGAGCGAAGGCTCGATGCGACCATGACGAGGAAGCGTCTCGATATCGTTGACGCTGTGACTCGCAGTGCGAAGGTTTGTGATGCATTAGCTTCCTACTGTATCATCTCCTCGGCTAACAATTAGGCTTTGCAGCGTTGGAAGACACTTCGAATATGGATCACCAACACGGCCGAGAATCAAATCTGGCAGGGCAACGGTCTCAACGTGGACACCTTCGATTTTAACTCGAATCTAGAGCCTACTTATCGTGTCAAGATTGAGGCTCGTCTTCTGGATGACGACGATGACAGGAATAGCGATGACCCTGAAGACACGAAGGATGGTGCCGATGACCCAGACCGAATGGAAGAAGATGGTCCGTCAGATTCGAAGGCCAAAACCCCCAAGCCACCTAGATACCGATTCTCGCATTTCTTCAAAGCCCTTCATGTTGATTTCCCCCATAGTAGGGGAGGTGCTGAACAGGGTGTGGAATGGAAAAAACCAGAGCGAGTGGGCGGGTCCCCAAACCTGCCTGCTGCCGCCGACTTCGATGAATTGACGTTTAAGCGAAATGGCGACGAGAATCTCAATATCACCATCAATCTTATTAGGCACGAGGAACCTGAACGCTATGCCCTCAGCCGCGAACTCGAAGATATTGTCGACATGCGAGAGGCGACACGGCAAGAGATTGTCATGGGACTATGGGAGTACATAAAGATGATGGGGTTGCAAGAAGACGAGGAGAAGAGAAATTTTCGCTGTGATGAACTTCTGCGAAATGTAAGTCATCACTACTGCTATCACAAATTTCAAATTCAAGTCCAAGCTGACAACGAACAGGCTTTCGGCGGCATTGAGATGGGAGCCATCCCTAAGCTCACAGACTACATTTCTCCCCATCTGCAGCCCCTTCCCCCGGTACAGCTCCCTTACACGATTCGACTTGACGAAGAATTCCACAAAGACCCTCAACCCACAATCTACGATGTACGAGTAGCAGTAGATGATCCTTTGCGAGAACAGATGACCGCGTTCTTGAATAATGCCGGGTATGCAGGGATGTTGAAAGAAGTGTCATCTTTAGACGAAAAGCTGGCGATCATTGTCCAGGCTATTCATGTGTCTAAGGCAAAGCACAACTTCCTTGAATCATTGAGCGAAGATCCGGCCACATTTGTGCGCAATTGGCTTAGCTCACAAAAAAGAGATCTCGACGTGATCTTGGGCGAAGCTGTGAGGGGCGGCGGCGAAGATGCTAATGGAGACGAGTGGCGCAAGGGCGGGAAAGATAGTATCTGGGGCACAGTCAATGCTCGTGAAAGTGTTAATTCTCTGCTCTCTAGAATGCCCACCCAGCCACAACGGTAAACGAGGGGAAAGTCAAAGACTCATTTAGCCTCCAGTCATGTTGGGCAGTAAGGCGAAACGGTCGGTTGTTTGGAAGCTACTATTATTTGAAACTTGGGAATAGGAGACGGGCGGCGTTATAGGGAGGTTCTATCGTATTTTCAGTTGTGTTGGAAAAGGTATTCCTTTACTCAGAATGGGGTGTCGTGCGTCTTGTATCTTGCAACTGAGGGCACCCTTTGTTGCCAATATGTTAGGCAGAGATATAGACAACTGATTGATAGGACAAACCCGATAGAACCGAGTATCGGAGAGTCACTATCATGTTACACGGGGCGAATAATTCCTAAAATCCTAAACCCGAGCCTGGAGTCGACCTTGGCTTAAGAACAGACATGGCCATTGAATTGAGATATAAACAAGCAGGAAACCTTCAATGATTTCTTGACGTGTGAGCTAGGCTCGTCTATGCACCGTTTTCCCTTTCTTTGCTCATTACGTGGCACCTTTTACATCACCGTGGCGGCGGGGTCTCAAATTGTGCCCATATCTACCACCAGCCACACATAAAAGCAAACCAAACACTTCCTACCTATCAATTGATACATTCAAGCGCACCTGAGATTCATATAAAAATGTCTGCAATCTACGCCAGCCAGAACACGGCCGTCATTACAGGCGGCGCGTCTGGCATCGGCCTCGCGCTCACCAAGAAGTGCGTTGGCTATGGCATGCGCGTGCTCGTTGCCGACTTTGACGAGAAGAACCTTGACGCCGCGAAGTCGGCCCTGGGCGACAAGATTGACACCATCAGGATCGATGTTGGGAAGATCGAGGACTGGACGGCTTTGAAGGAGAAGGTCGAGAAGGACTTTGGAGGTTTGTTATGCTTTTTTTTCTTATGGCATTTTGGGGGATGCTCTTGAGTGCGAACTTGCCTCGTTGTCGTCATAGCACCCCGCAGAGCTCAAGGGAGCGTGTCTCGACAGCGATATTACATGACTGCATTTACTTTTTTCTCAAGCATGAATGAAGAAAAGCAGACAATCTCTCTATTACTTTAATATATATAAATCCAATACACCAAGTAAATTATACTGACACCCCCCCTCCCAGGAAAAATCAACCTCCTCGCCCTGAACGCAGGGACCAGCCTCCGCGTGTCCTTCTCGGACGCAGATACCTCAGGCTTCGAGAAGATCATGCAGACGAACCTGTTCGGCGTGATCAACGGGATAACGACGCTATTGCCCCTCGTGAAAGCGCACGCGACGACGGCTGAGCCCGCTGCCGTTGTTATCACGGGCAGTAAGCAGGGCATTACTAACCCGCCGGGCAATCCGGCGTATAACGCTTCTAAAGCCGCTGTTAAGGCCCTCGCCGAGCACCTCTCGTTCGACCTTGCCGCGTCGCATCCTGGTGCTGTTGCTGTCCATTTGCTTGTTCCTGGGTGGACTTGGACGACGCTTGCTGGGGCTACGGGCGGAAGGGAGAAGCCGGATGCTGCTGTGAGTGTTTGCGAGCGAAGTTTTGCCATTTGCTTTCCCTATTACTTTTCCCATTTCATTTAGTTTATTACCTTTTTCTTTTGATTTCTCGTTTGTTATAACTCAGCAGTTCCCCTCCGTGCTCAGCTCCATGGAAACAAGTCTATCAGTCTATTCTATGTGAAATGTGCTAACTAGATCATAGTGGACGCCCGAGCAAGTCGTCGATTATCTGGAGAAGAAGATGGCCGAGGGCCAGTTCTGGGTCCTGTGCCCTGACAACGACGTCACGGAGGACATGGACAAGCGTCGGATGCAGTGGAACACGGACGATGCGATCCTCGGTAGGCCACCGCTAAGTCGTTGGAGGGAGGAGTATAAGGATGAGTTCAAGGAGTACATGGAGAAGAAGTAGGTGTGTGAAAGGTAGGGTTACAGTATGGATATGAAAACTCTCTACCATGAAGGACAGAACGCCAAGTCTTGCGGTCCAAAGGGGATGGGAAAATGTAATTCTCTAGTGGACTGAAATCAACGACTATATGCATTGCTGATTAAAAAAGAGTTGACTGAGGGCAGCTGGGTATGCTAGACATGCGCCTTGACAAATGCTCTCTTGCATCTTTACTGCGACTGAATCAATACCCGCGCCTTAAACACCTAACTGCATGCATGTAATCTCTGTCATAAGGACAATGCCCCCCCCCCATCTCTCTATATCTCTCAGGGCCCCTCACGAGGTATCTACATTACTACTCCGTCGATAACCTTTGCTTGCATGCGGATATCCTGATCTTTTTGTTTTTCGTATTTTTATTTTTCAGTTGTTACCCTCCTTTCACCCCTGGGCTTCTACCAGCAGGCTTCACATACCCACCACGTTTCATCAAACGGGTTGAGCATGTCTTGTTGGTGCGACGGGATTTGAAGGCATGTTCCTGATCTGTTTAATGAGAAATTCACGCTCATCAATGAATTGTTCGTCGTCGGTGCGGTCCTCTAAGAAATGGGACAGAAAGCTGAGGAGCTTATCTCGATTCATAAGCAAGATCTTCTGCACAGCGATCGACTTGTGAGGATTGGCGACGAAGACTTTAAACACGTGGAAGCCCTCGTACTGCACCATCTTGCGGTCGCTCCGCAGCAGGTTCATGCATATTTTCAGGTGCTCGCCTCGGTCCACATAAGCTGTCATGACATTGTAGTTTGATCGGTCGAGTAATATCTCGCCAAGTAGTTTGATGGACTGGCGTTTAGTAACGTAACTGTTCGACTGTACTAGGATGCTGTTGTACTTTTCGAAGAATAGCTCGAAGTTGACGGCTAGATACCGCGGTACAAGCTCCTTATGCTTAGTTAAGATTTCCTGTGAAGCACCATTAGTACTCCAACTAGTAAAGCCAGGAGCATCGAGAGGACTGTACTCGGAACGTGGTAAAAGCATCGGCGGCAACTTCAAATGAACTCTTGTCAATCCAGTCAAAGAATCTCCAAAAGACTCCATTTCCCGTCTGCGGTCGCTCTCTATCAATGGCCGTAACGCCCTTCAAACTGGATCCAGGTTGCTCTCCATCATCGTAGAGAATTATGGCGGCCGCTGCCTCGCTCTTGAGGACTTCCCTCAAGACAGAACCCGCCGGTGTTGCGCTCTCTTTGTGTTCATAGCCTCGACATAGCTCTAGCAGTACTTCGGGTCGGTTGTTTACTACGTAACTCAGTGCAACAGGATCCGTTTTCGGTGAGGCTGTCGGTGGCCGGAACCGGAAGACGTATGAGAAGATGACCTGGGTATCTTTGCGAGCTTCGAAGGGGAGGCGGTGCAGGTTTTGCGCGAGTAAGAATAGAAGGTCTTCCTCTATTAGACCCGTAACTAGTGAATATACCTGCTCTGGCGTACTCTCGTACTCTGCCCATCGTCACGGCTGTCAGCTTCTAGGCCGCGTCCAGCTTTGATCGCACACATGTTCGTTCGTACCTGGCACTCCCTGCAGGGCGAGTTTCATCTGGTTTAGGACTTTGGCCAGTTCCTCGGCCTGGTCAGAGAAAGGGCACCGTCAGTGGTCGATGTTACGGTACAACCAAAGTCTCGCAACGTGATGGGATTCACCTTCGCAGGGCCACCGGGGCCGTCCAGTCTGTAAACATGGTCCTTGGCTTGTTTAGCCAGGTCAATGGTGTTTGTCCGCCCCCTGCCCCTCCCGAAGAGGAATGCCATGGTTCACAGTCGTCAGGAGGTCAAATTATTGGGTCAACCAACAAAATCCAGGTGCGCAACCGGCGTGGCCAGCCAAAGTGTACAATGTAAGGAATTTTGAGAACAGCTAAGGGGCCAATCGACTGGTCCTGGTCTTGATTAGGGCGGATGTCGCCTGGGGGCCAATTATCATTGCGCGTGAAGTAGGGAGTATAAGTAGGTAGGTACTGTATCTATGGATTCTCTATGAAGATTCCTCTAGATGTCGCACGTCATTGCTCCAAACAAGGGACAAAGGGAACTGAGTTGTTTGAATAATCGAATCGTCCCGAAGCATTACAAGAGAATCTCAATTATGTATCGCCGTTTGTTATGTTCTGTTTCGACAACGATGGGCCTGGGTAATTGTCAAGGGCTGTTTAAAGAGGCTCGGCGGTTGTAAATTGTAATGTTTATTTACAGCCAAGTAAGGAGACCTACCAATTCCCTTGTTCAGCCGCTAGAGTTGACCCCTAGCACGTTGCCACGAGCTATGAACAAGCCCCCGCTTGCCGCTTACCTGCCTCTTGTGGGCTAGTGCGCACTTGCAGTGCTGCAAGATTGGTTGCCAGCCACATCTCAAGGATTGTCGGGCATACTACAACACAGCTTCATGGTATTTCCAAGCGAACCAGAGTTATACGAACTTACATTATACGAGGGGAAGGTTTACACCAACCTAGTCTTCTTGTATTCGTACCGAGATGATTGCAATTGAACTTTGGTGGAATGCAAGTTGTTTATTAGCAAGGCATCATCTATCGCCCGTGGACTCCTTTAAATAACTTACATATTACTGTGTAGAATCAATAAGCTAGTTTAGTCCTGATTAGGCAACACGCGGGGTGACTCAAAATTTATTGCTGAGAAAAGCACAAGCGCGGGTATCAGCATAGAGACCCCGCGATTAGTGCCTCTGGCCAAACTGCCCCGCGGTCGGATTTAATTTCACATCGTATTTTGCATGACACCTTGGGCTGTGACTCAACTCAGGGCTGTATATGAAACTGTGATCTACTCAGTTCCTGGCTCTTAACCTCCAGCCCAGAGAGGTTGCGGGAAATCACTTGCGCATTTGGTTTTCAGCAACGCTGATATAGGTCACCATGTCTATCGACTTTCCCAAGGCCGAGGTCGCCGTCATCGAGCAATGGCGCCAGATCAACGCCTTCGAGAGACAGGTCAGTGCCGGGCTATAATTGTCCTTACATCTAACGATGCGCCTTTCGGGCATTGGCTTACATGCGAGCACTACCTAGGTCGAGCTATCTAAAGACAAGCCGCGATACACTTTTTACGATGGCCCGCCGTTTGCTACGGGTAAGTCATGTGCTCGCCCTTCGCTTCTGTATCTATACTCTATTTATATAAGCACTTTGAATAACACCATCAAGGTCTACCGCATTACGGCCATCTCCTCGCCTCAACGATTAAAGACATTATTCCTAGGTATTGGTCGATGAAAGGTCACCATGTCGAGAGGCGATTCGGTTGGGACACACATGGAATTCCCATCGAGCACGAAATCGACAAGAAATTTGGTCTTTCCGGCAAGGAGGCAGTCGAGAAATTTGGCCTAGCCAACTACAACCACGAATGTCGGTCTATCGTTATGCGATACCGTGAGGAATGGCGCCACACCATCGAGAGATTAGGCAGATGGATAGATTTTGACAATGAGTACGTCGAACCTGCTCCCACTTTACCTGGGTAATTACTAACTCTAGCGAACTGTAGCTACAAGGTTCGACAAACGACCTTCCAACTATGAAGTATGAAATAATGTACTGATATTAGCCAAGACTATGGACACCAATTTCATGGAGTCAGAATGGTGGATCTTTAAGCAACTTTTCGACAAAGGAATGGTGAGCTCTTCTAGATACCACTATTTGTAGTCAATATGCCTTGATTTATCTCTGTTATACTGATTACAATCATTCCTAACAGGTTTACCAAGGACATAGAGTTATGCCGTACTCAACAGGAATGACCACTGCCCTCAGCAACTTCGAGGTACAGATCAGACTGCATGGCCCTATATTAATTTAGCCTCGCCTTCTGACGATTTTTACCAGGCGAATCAAAATTATCAAGACGTTACAGATCCCGCTGTTGTCGTGAGCTTTCCTTTGGTATCTGACCCGACTACCCACCTTTTAGCGTGGACAACTACCCCTTGGTATGGACATGATTCTCTGTTTAACTAGAAAATTGTCTTTTAACCATTGCTGTTCTTCTAGGACCCTCCCAACAAATTTGGGTCTTGCAGCGCACCCTGACTTCGAATACGTGAAGATTCTCGATGAAAAGTCTGGGACCAACTATATCCTAATGGAGAAATTATTGACGACGCTCTACAAGGATCCCAAGAAAGCGAAATACAAGGTCGTGTCAAAGCTGAAAGGCAAGGAAATGAACGGCTGGAAATATGAACCATTGTTCGACTACTTCTATGAGGAGTTCAAAGATGTTGCATTCAAAGTTGTGAATGCAACATACGTCACTGATGATTCCGGTACAGGCATTGTCCATCAGGCCCCATGTTATGGTGAGGATGATTATCAGGTCGCCGTCGAGAATGGTATCATTGACAAGGCCCGTGCGCCTCCCGATCCTATTAATGACCTTGGAATCTACAACGACCAAGTCCGAGACTTTGCCGGCATGTACATCAAGGAAGCCGACAGGAGCATCATCAAAAATTTGAAGGAGAAAGGCCGCCTTGTTGTTGATTCGCAGTTAAAGCACTCGTATCCCATGTGCCCGCGTACCGATAAGCCCCTGATTTACCGAGCGGTTCCATCATGGTTTATCAAAATTCCTGTATGCTGCCCATATCCTTCTCATACCCTCTAGAAGAGCGGTTACTGACTCAAGTGAACCGTAGGAAATTGTACCGCAGATGTTGAAAAATATTGAAGGAATGCACTGGACACCACATGCTGTTAAGGAGAATAGGTTCGGAAATTGGATTGCAAATGCTAGAGGTTTGTTGCCCGTATTCCCTCTCTCGCTTTATACTCCGATAATGTCATCCGCGGCTGACTTTAATTTTCTCACTGTTTCAAGATTGGAATGTTTCCCGAAATCGTTACTGGGGAACTCCTATTCCATTATGGGTCAACGCCGAAGGCGAGAGAGTGTGCGTCGGTAGCGTAGAGGAACTGAAGAAACTCAGCGGATACGAGGGCGAATTAACCGATTTACATCGAGACAAGGTGGATCATATCACCATCCCTAGTCCAACCGGAAAGGGTGTATTAAGACGGGTAGAAGAAGTTTTCGACTGTTGGTGAGTTAAACGTACCATTTTTGAGATGGGCTAATGAAAATAACTAACTTTAAAAAGGTTTGAATCAGGCAGCATGCCCTATGCTAGCCAACATTACCCCTTCGAGAACAAGGACAAGTTCGCAGAAAGCTTCCCTGGAGATTTTATTGCCGAAGGTTTAGAGTAAGTTCATATGGCATGCCTGTGTGTATCCTATTAGCTAACATGGGTGGCAGTCAAACTCGCGGTTGGTTCTACACTCTACTGGTGCTAGGAACGCACCTTTTTGGTGTCAGCCCCTTCAAAAATTGCGTAGTAAACGGCATAGTTCTGGCGGAAGACGGAAAGAAGATGTCCAAGCGACTGAAAAATTATCCCGACCCGGGAATCATCATGGAGAAATACGGTTCAGACGCACTTCGACTATACCTGATCAATTCTCCCGTTGTTCGTGCCGAGCCCTTGCGCTTCAAGGAATCTGGTGTTAAAGAAGTCGTGCAAAAAGTTCTTTTACCCCTCTGGAACAGCTACAAATTCTTTGAGGGACAGGTGGCTCTACTGAAAAAGGTTGAAGATAAGGATTATATGTTCGACCCGACGATGGAAAGCTCCAATACCAACGTCATGGACCGCTGGATCCTTGCCAACTGCCAAAGCCTGCTACAATTTGTCAACGAAGAAATGTCAGGATATCGTCTCTACACAGTTGTTCCGAGGTTACTAGGCCTCATTGACGATACCACAAACTGGTACATTCGGTTCAACCGAAGGCGGCTGAAGGGCGAGTATGGCGTTTCAGATACTTTGCATGCGCTCAACACGCTGTTCGAGACCCTTTTCACTTTATGTAAAGGCCTAGCACCCTTTACGCCTTTCCTTACAGAGACCATCTACTCAAAACTGCTGCCTCATATCCCGAAGGACCTGCAAGGTGAAGACCCTCGAAGCGTCCACTTCCTCCCATATCCTACTGTGCGACAAGAACTTTTCGATCCTGAGATTGAACGCCGAGTTTCCCGCATGCAAAAGGTTATCGAGCTTGCTAGAGTATCTCGAGAACGCCGAACCATTGGTCTCAAAACGCCTCTAAAGACGCTGGTAGTGATACACGCCGATCAACAGTACCTGGACGATGTCAAATCGCTAGAAAACTACATTTTGGAGGAGCTGAACATCAGAGATCTGGTCTTAACATCAGACGAAGCATTGTACAATGTACAGTACTCGGTGGTAGCCGACTGGCCAGTCCTTGGCAAGAAGCTCAGAAAAGACATGGCAAGAGTGAAGAAAGCTCTTCCTAACGTCACCAGTGAGGAGGTCAAGGAATACACTAGAGCTAAGTTCATCATAGTTGATGGTATTCGGCTTGAGGAGGGTGATCTACGAGTAAAGCGAGAACTCAAACAAGAGGAGTCACAAACCCTCGAGCCTAACACCGACGACGACGTTCTTACCATTTTGGACGCTGGAATTTATCCCGAGTTGAAGGAAGAAGGCCTAGCACGAGAGATTATTAACAGAGTTCAGCGGTTGAGAAAGAAGGCAGGCTTGACCCCGACGGATGACGTCAAAATGGAAGTGAAAGTCCTTTCGGACCCCGAGGACATTGGATTGGCAAGTGTCTTCGATAACCAGACTTCGGCGTTCGTCAAGGTTCTGCGGAGACCGATAGAAAAACAGGTGGCGGGTGAGGCCGGTAATGAGAAGGAGCTCATTACGGAAGAAGAACAGGAAGTCCAGCAAGCGACTTTCTTGCTCCGATTGCTGAAGTTGTAGAATAGATGTTTTCTAGAGTTCTAGTTCAATGCTAGAGATTAGATATCTAAAAGAGACACTGGTCTAAATCCAAATGCATCACTGGGTCCTTATATGGTTGATGTTGCGTAATACCATCTAGAATATTTATGACTGTTTTAAAGTTCTAAGTTGTTATCTTTTAGGCGTCGGCGTGTCAGAATGATACTTAGTTGATAATTGACTAAACAGATGACGGTGCATGGGTAGGTATAGTACTTGGAATCAAGATATTCAATCCCCTTTTGTGAAATGTACTTTCTATGGGGAAAATACTTGATTTAATTGTTTTATTTGAAGATTTGATCTATAATTATATCACCGAGTTTTCTTTGCGTGTTTCTAGCGCGGAAAATTAGCATCTTCACAAAGTTTGGTATAGAATGTTTCATGATGTCACTTACTAAATAACAGTCTTTGAGCTTCATAAACTCGTTGGCACATTTGTCCTTATGTACCGAATTATAGTCTGCAACGATACATTTCCCGTATATTGAAGCCTTTATATATCGCCAGCCGCGGTTAGCTGTTTGAACTGGGCTACCTAGGAGACGTGTACAGGGACGGAGAGCATGCGAGTTGGAAACATACCTCGGCTGAGCATTGTGAGACCGCCGTGGCCAACTTTTGAATTGGGCGTGTGCGAGGCTGCATGTTTATGGGGGTTTTAGGTGTAGGTATAAAGCACGGGGCATAGATGAAAGCTAGCTGCTCTGAAGCTTTGTGTATGATTTACCTGGGTAGTGTAGGTAGATATTGAAGGTGCGGGATGATGCAAGCAGTCAATGGAGATCAAGGGATGGCTAAGTGGGTCTCTAACTGCATACCTAACAGATGTGGGGGATGTCAGGGGGTTTAATGGCTAACCGCGACACGGACGCGCCTAAGTATTCCATCTCTCTCCAACTACATTCAACTCCTCGTCTAGACTGCACGAACTGTTTGTATCGCAAGCTCTATTTGCTTGTTGCACTTTTTGAATAAATCATACATCATCGACTTGGCACTACTCTGCGCGACTTTCACATTATCTTGAATCAAGCTCAATCGACGCAATTGCTAACAATAAACAACTTGTCATTGGATCTTCAACATGCGGCTTCCGCCTTTGTTTTTTACGACCGGCTCTGCTTGCGATTAGAGCCCGCAGCAGTTCCTTACTCTTGCCAACAACGACTCGCGGGAATGCTCTTCTACGCGTTCCTCGAGTCTGGATATATACAGTGACACACTCTCCATTACTATGAATGACTTCTCCCAGCAGGAGCAGCCCACCAGTGATACCTTCGATTTCTCTGACAATGGGGCTCTCCGACCGCCACTCAACCCCCAATTTCAACCCCGTTTCCAACCGCAACCGAGTCGTCATGGCGGTGGCGTCTTTACCGTCGGCTCATCCGACATGGCTCACATTGCGAACGTTGACCGCAATGAGTACTCGGACGAAGGTTAGCCCAGGCCCAAACTTCACCCTAGTATTGTCTGTCGTAGGAGTCTTCTCACTAACATTCACATTCACCCTTTAGACATTGGAATTATGTACGAAATAGTCGTCAGGGCCGAAACCATCCTAGCTGAAGATCTCACACCATCTACCGGGCTCCCAATACATGCGCTTTTCCTTGCTTACGAGGAGATTATCGCGGAACATGGCCTCGATCCCAGTGAGCGTCATATCAGTAAGCTGGTCTTTATGGTCGGCTATATCAAGAGCGAGAAGTCCATTATGGATAAATTCAAAGCAGTTATGGCTCAAATGAACATAACTTTGGCAATTGAGGAGCCGCCGGCCTCTGACAACGGACATGGATATCGTGAAGGCTCCTATGCTGGTAGCGATTCAGAGGACTTTCGTAGTACCGATGACGAGCACACTTCTATTGCTCGCATGAGCGAACCCGAAATTGATGATCATAGGCCTAGCTCTGAGAATGTGCCAGGTCTATCGACGGAGCAACTGAACTCGATCAAAGAGACACATCTCGCTGACACCGCCCTCGCCTTTGAGAAGCAACGACATGCTCGCTCTCTGGCTGTGGCCACACTTCGTCGATGGCATAACACAGCCCACTATATCAATTATCTGCGCGGACAATCGGACGCGATACGTAGAGCGGAGTTGAGTCAAGCGCTTGCGGACAGGTTCCATAGCTGGAGGGCTCTTGCCGCCGAGGCTGCGCAAGCAGCACCTAATCGCGTACCCCAAAACGCGTATTCAAAGCGTACGGAGAGAATTGCGATTAGGGCACACGACATCTTGTTAACAAAGAAAGCTCTGCTAAAGTGGCGGCAATCAGCGCAAGCGGAATACCGGAGAGATAGAGAGGCCAAATTACAGGCACATCGTTTGGCCAAACAAGAAGAGTATGAGGACGAAGATTTTAAGGACAATCCCGAACTTGCTCGTCTTGCACAAAGAGCCCACAAAAATCTGGTTTTGTCGCAAGCTTTTACGAAATGGTCAAACAGAGTTGAGGAAGAAGCTGCCAAAGCTGAAGCTGCTTCTAAGGCTTACGAAATGAGCTTAAAAGCAAAGGCTTTGGGGTTTGCCAGAAATCGTTCCGCTATGGATGAGATGAGAAAGTTATTGGCCAGCAAAACGAACGGCGCCGCTGATTCTGCCGCCAGTCAGACAGCCGCTTCTGGTACCAAGCAGCCTGAACCGGCGGCTCCAGCTGTTGTGAAATCTGATGCTCCTGTACCGGTTGCTTCTACATCCCGTCCTCCACTAGAACGGCCGTTGTCTTCTGCAGCTATTACCACTTTACTTCAAAGCAGACGCAACCTTGCTGAGAAACGACCTACTTCCTTGGTGGCGCGACCATCTACTGTGATTCCTATCCATACTGCAGCACCTACCACTACCCCCATTGATGAGCCCGCCACAGGTACTACGGCTACTTCCGCTTCACCGGTGGAACCTGTACCTGCCGACAAGCCCGCCCCAGATGCTGATAAATCTGATGATGAGCAACCGGATGAGCGGACTATGCTAGCCCGAAGACACATATTGCGTATGAGGTATTTTGGTGCCTGGGAGAGGTACACCAAAGAAAATGTTGTGAAGGTGGAACAGTTTGAGCAAGAGAATCAAGACCAACACGTTGCAAGCTCAGTTTCAAGATGGCGCAACGAAACGGCTTCTCGACAACAGCAGGCTGTCGAGTGTAATATCGAATTTGTTCAGACACAGTGCTACCAAAGGATGACACAAATAATTCCTAAATGGAGAGAAAAGACCAGCCAAGAAGCATACCATCGAGGAAAGGTCCTCGAACACTATGCCGAACGAGCCGAATATTACCAGAAAATCACGAAGTCGCTTCCCGTTTTAAGAGAGAAAGCAGGGCAAGCTGAGCAGAAAGAGAAGCTGCTGAGGACTTACGCAGAACGTACCAATTATTACATGAGAACTACACAAGCGTTATCAATTTGGCGGGAAAGGGCACATGAGGTATCACAAGTGCACCAGCTTCATCAGAGTTACGGGGAGCGGGCCGATTATTACTACCGAACCCGAAGCACTCTTTCTACGTGGCAACATAGAGCCAAGCAAAAACGAAAGGAGAGGCTGAGGGAAGCACATCTAGAGACACGCCGCATGGTCAAAAAGAATATGGGGGAACGTTGCATCAGACAATGGCGCGAAAAACTGGAACCAAGTTACCAGCGCTTCGAAATCATGAATGTAGCCTTGGTAGAAGCCCTTGAGGATCGTGAGTGGACACACGCGTCCCGGGCCTTCAACACGTGGCGACTTCGGGCTCAAGAGCGAAAAGAAGCGGCAAATACGGGCGAGGCTATGCTCAAGCAGAAAGCTCTAGAGCAATGGCGAGAGAAGGCAACGTTGCATAGAGATTTGGAAACAGAGGCTGGAGAGCATTGGGAAGTAAGGGCAAAGTCGCGGGCGCTGAGGAATTGGAACCTTGGCTCCCTCCAAGGTGCGAACCGACCAGAAATGGTTGCCAACGCACTAGAGAAGAAGGAAAGAAGACTTCTACGACAAGGGTTTGAAACATGGTATGGACGAACAGCGGACAAACTCGTCCCTGTTGAACTGCCCAACGGGACGTACAGAAACGTAGGTCAAGTAGTTGAAGGTGCGCAACACCAGGCTGCTCAACACCAGGCCCGGGGGCTTCTACAGAGATGGAAAGCGGCTGCAGCAGACAGCGGGGCGAGTAAAGCGCCAGATGAAGCATATGCGCCAACACCTGGGCGACCACAACTCTTCCTCGGGTCTTATGGTGGGAGGGAGACCACGACACCCCTTGCACCAGTGCCGAGCTATACTCGTTGGCAGGCTCGTGATTCGACGATGGGCAGGTCGGAATATGGAGCAAGAGTTGGTCGTTCAGAGCGCACAAAGAACGCCAAGAATCTTCGAGTTTCTTGGGCGACTTAGGTGGTAGATGGATCAAGTCCAAGTACATTAATCTGTTTCAAATCTGTAGTGATGAATCTAGGTGTTCTGGCTACTTCAACATGGTTATATAACTTGAAGCCGCTACAATAGATAATAAACCACCAATGAGAAGACCTCTGTTGCGTTGACGTTGGTGATTACCGTACTAGATCGATCCTGCCTAGCCGCTCAAACGGTTACTCAATTGCTTAGGTTGAAACTAATAAGGAATACTGCATTCGGAACGTGTATGTGCAATAAAACGTTTAGAACTGCTGAACGCTTGAAGATGTGTTGGAGGTAGGTATTGTATTTCTTCGGATCGCATACTCACGTCATGTTGCAGTTTGCAGACTCGGCACATGCACTGATTGGTGCCGCCTCGGGTCACCCGTCGTCGGACTTAGCTAACCTCACTTAATTACTTGGCACTTAGGTAGGGTCTTGATTGTACGTCAGCTTCAAAAACATCCATACTACACCTCGCGCTCGGTATGAACTGAATAATACTAGGTTAGCTTGGGTGTTTAGGTATTTTATGTGGTAACAGAGTGATATTATTCGGAAATCCTCGACGATACGTTAGCTGTAGCAAGCTCGATACACGAGAAACTAAGATCGGAAACCGCAAGCCTAGCAAGCTACCAACTCCACCGGGACCTTGGGAAGCTACATACCGTACATTACATTGCCTGATTCAACCCCGTGTCGCAAAACGCGCCTCTCTTTCCAACAAGCTCGCGTCCTTCCGCCGTACTCACGGGTACGATCGCTTAGCAATGCCATACATGATTGACACGCGCCGATAGTATGAAGGGCGTCCTTCCAGGCAAGCCAGAAGCTAGTCTTCAAGCTGTCTCGACCGGATACTGGGACGGCAAGCGCATCATCGTCTACATTACTGGCAATGCCCTCACCATCCTCTCCGACCCCGCCACTATCCTGCAGACCATCTATGACGATGACAGTCGCAATCTCGAGGCCGTCGCCTTTGACGAATCTTCGGGGAAGATAGCTGTGTGCACAGACGGAACTGTCAGGATATATCGGCCGCTGGGACATACACAAGACTCCCTTAAGGTTTGCCTAGCTCAATCGCAATACTGTTGCTTAACCACGAAGCTAATGTATTGTCCGTAGTGGGCGTTACAAGCTACATTTGACGTCGAAGAAGGCCCTACACCGGCTTCGCTCTCATGGGGTAGCTCTGAAGAGCTTCTCGTTGGAAGGTCTTCCCTTTGGCTCTACGACACCGTCTCAACAACCCCTACCTGCCACTGGACACAAAAGTTAGCAAGTCCGACAAAATCTGCGCTCCTTTCGTACGACTCGTCCTATATTGCGTCTGTCGGCTACCACGACCGTCTCGTCAAGATTTGGCGAAGACTGAACTTCGGCTCCGAAGAGGTCCACTTTGATTACGGCTACCTACCACACCCCCGAGCCGTTACGAGTATTCAATGGCGGAAACCATTCCATGTTGACCAGACCATCGAAAACGTGTTATATAGCTTTTGCGCCGACAATACGCTGCGAGTATGGACTAGCGTAGATGGGATCGGCAGCTACACGCTCCAGCTTTGGGGGAAGCTTGATCTTCGAGGCGCAATACCACAGGATCCGGACAGTCCGCAACAGGATATGAGATGGGCTTTCATAATCAGCCAACGAGACCTCGCAAATGCGGCAGAAAAGGTCGTCCAGGAACAAGGAAATGGCCAAGAGAAAGAAGACGTGGCGCTTCAGTATCTGTTATCTATAGCTAACAGAGACACGGAGATATGTGTCGTTTTTGATGGTAATGGAAGCATGTCGGCGTGGGCCTTGGAAAACATCAGTAGCAAACCAAGAGGAGCCGATAATATTGACAATGTCGCACTCGCGAAGTCGAGGGACTTCGAGTTTCTTAGTCACTCTACTACAACCCAACATGTCGAGATATTGAGTTATTGCAATAAGTGTTCGGGGCACCTCCACATTCTATTCCATTACTTTGACGGCAAGGTTGAAGTATTTGAGAGCAATATTGCAGACTTGCTCGACCCTACATCCAGATCCGGCAGATTAGCTCACCGGGCTACATGGTCTGGACATTCTGGTGCTATCAAGAAAATAGTCAGAAACTATAGCGGAAGTGCTGTAGTGTCGCGGACAGAGAAGGGTGAAACCATTCTCTGGAACCATCAACGAAGCAGACTGCTCAGGCACAACATCATATCAGAAAAGCGGCATATCCATAGAATATGTCTACTGAGGGGTGGTCGATTTGTTGTTTTCCTTCACCACGATACTATCTCAGTATGGGATTGTAGAACCCCTGCCCACAAGCTACTCGGAGAGTGCAAGTATAACGTCCGAGGCAAACCACTGTGTATTCTGGTCCTCCCCCGGAGAAATGCCAAGGACTTTTCCGTGGTTCATGTAGCAACTATCACATCGGAACAACAAGGCATAGTGTGGGAAATAGACCTACCCTGGGATCCTAAAGACTGCAATGGCGCAAAACAAAATGGAGCTCAAAACCCATTACGTGAGTTCTGCACTTTCGACTTAGATGGCGCTGGGGACCTTGCCTACGTTTTACCGGTCGATCCGGCGGGCTCGAAACCTGTTATATTCGGATTTCTAGATGTCTTTGCCCGTGACGTGGCAATCTCTTACACTCATAATGGGCGTGTCGAATTTTGGACGGCAAGGGTGGACGACAAAAGGAACCGGGTCGAGTGGCTTTCCACATCATCCATGGAAACCGGAGTCACAGAACCTGCCCTAGTTGGTGGCAGCACGATGAAGAAAGCTGCACTTGTGAATCAGAATAGGTCAGCAGTGACAATTTGGGACATCAGAGGAGCGCGACTGGAATATGAACAAGATTTTGAAAGTCACAACACGGTCCAGGACCTCGATTGGACTTCTACACCCGACTTGCAGTCTATTCTTGCAGTAGGGTTTCCATACCGCGTCGTGCTGCTTTCACAGATGCGTTTTGACTATCTAAATAAAGGCCCAGCCTGGGCTCCGATCCGCGAAATCAGCATTCGGGATTTTACGCCACATCCCATTGGAGACTCGACGTGGTTGAGTGATGGTAATCTTATAATAGGCGCCGGTAACCAATTGTTCTTGTATGACAGGGAATTCGGGGAAACGAGCGCTGCTGTTTCAAATGTACGGCCAACACACCACAACCCCAAAACTCGTGATTTGTTCGAAGTCGTGCAAAAACTGAACGGACCACTGCCGATATTCCACCCGCAATTCCTCAGCCAGTGCATTTTGGCAGGGAAACACAAGCTTGTGAAACGGATTCTCTTGGCTCTTAACCATACACTGAAATATCATGTCGAGGGTGATATAATCGATGCTTATCTTGGCCTGGATCTAGCCGAGTTTTACTGTGGCGAATTGGTAGGTGACCCGAAGATGTTTTCTGACGCTTGGCTAACCATCCAGTCTGGTGTTGCCAACACCAACGATTCGTCATATATAACACGACGGACGTCATTTGATGACTCTGATGAAACATTCACAGAGGAACTGGCATTAAGCATATGCGAAAAACTGCAGAATATAGCTCTGCCGCAACTCTCTGGCCATGAACAAATCCAACTCGTTGACATTGTTGAATGCTCTGGTGTCGTAGAGAAGCATCGGAGGTCACTTGATGAGAATGGAGCGAGATTTATGGTGTTCTTCCGACAGCACGCTTTGCGTAAAGGCAGAGTCAATGAGATTCACATGTCTTGGAGAGAAATCAATTGGGCATATCATTCCACTAGCCAAGATATTCTGATGGGCTTTGTGTCTCGTAATTATCATGGAACTATGCTCTGGGAAAACGCACGCGAGAGTGGCATATTCATGTGGTTAACTGATGCCAATGCTGTGGTATGTCATTGTTTCCAGAACACGTCTTGGCAAGAAAACTAAGATAATTGCAGAAGGCACAATTCGAGGTCATCGCCCGCAACGAGTATACGAAAAGCGAGATGAAGAACCCTGTCGACTGCAGTCTATTTTACTTTGCCCTGAAGAAGAAAACCGTCCTTCAGGGTCTCTGGCGCATGGCGAGCTGGAACAAGGAGCAAGCCATGACACAGCGACTTTTAGCAAATAATTTCGAAGACCCTAAATGGAAGACGACGGCCTTGAAGAACGCCTATGCCTTACTTAGCAAACGCCGTTTCGGTAAGTCTATCGCCGTGATATTAGCACTTCCACTGACATCTGGCACAGAGTATGCGGCAGCCTTTTTCCTGTTAGCGGATCATTTGCAAGATGCGGTCAATGTCTGTCTAAATCAAATCAAGGATCTACAGCTTGCCATTGCCATTGCCCGCGTCTATGAGGGCGACACAGGCGTAGTCCTCAAAAGACTCCTAGAAAATGAGGTGTTAGCTGTAGCAGCACAGGAAGGAAATCGATGGCTTGCCTCATGGGCCTTCTGGATGTTGAAGAGGAGAGATATGGCAGTCCGCGCCCTCATAGTAAATCCACCCCATCCCTTTCGTTCCCTTCTCCGAGCGATCCGTTATCGGAAAACTGACTATATGTTTTAGACCCCCGTTTATACACTTCTGGACACGCCCGCGTCTCCGGACCTCAGGTCGAAACTGTTCCTTACCGACGATCCGGCATTAATCATCCTGTATTCGCAACTCCGGCAACAGAGCCTGCAGACCCTCCGCGGAGCCTCCAAGGTCACGCCGCGGACGGAATGGGATTTCGTAATCCATAATGCGGGGCTGTACGACCGCATGGGCTGTGACTTGCTCGGTCTCGACCTCGGTAAGTTGTTCTTTGCGGTATCTCGGATTTGCATCATATTTCTATTTTCTTTACTCTTTTCCTGCCTCTCCGTCTATAGTTTAGTATTCATTGATTGGACCTAATCTGACATGGATAGTCCGCAACTGGGAATTCCTTCGCCTCCCCGCGCCGTCCCAGAAGGGCATCGGCGGCGACATCGTCGATCCAACTAAGTTGCTTCGTCGCCGTAGCTCGCTCATCGTCCAGGATATCCCGCTTACCCCTGCCGTCCCCGGAGATATGAAGACTGGCGGACATGGCGTCAAGCCGCCGCCGACGGTGTTCCAGGAACCTGATTCTAATTCCCTACTTGATTCATTCGGGTTCTAATCTGGAATTGCGGTAGAATGGTACTGCCATCACAGATGTCTATGTCTATCTACGTAGGTGTGCTGTAGTGCTAGAATTTAGGGAGCCCCTTGCTGTATTAACAATATTATCATTATTCACATTCTTGGCTGCGGCTTGAGTCCGGGGACGGGGCGCGGTAAATAGTATATAATTCGGGTAGAGTAGTGTAAGGTGATGATATCACGTCTTCTTGATATGGAAGGTATTCATTCCATGGGTGATAAAATCCATGTAGCTAGCGAAATATACAAGGCTCGGGATTCACGCTAGGGCGGTCGATGGATGTTGTTTGCCTGTGTAATTTGTGGGGGCCGACTTCCTAGGAAGTCGGTCGACACTTTACTTTACTTTACTTCCGTTCCGATGCGGACTGGAGATTAGGACTCAGCTGTATTGTTACGACGACTCCATTACTGCACTGTATAACCATAATAGATATGATTACCTATATGATCACAGTTACATAAGTGGTTGTGTCAGTGTTTATATCATGGTTGTTCACTTTTAATTACTTGCTACTCCTATTAAATAATTAGCTTGCACTTTGACCATATATAATAGAACATTAAAAAGCCTATATCATCATGCCAGATATTTGCTATTAACGGCCTCTATGAACTCCAGCTAATCTCACGTTAGAAACATTGTCAAGTAATTTTCAAAAGTGGGCAATGTTTATCTTGAAATCCCGTCTTTAAAAGGCGCTGATTGGGATGAAAATGAGATGGGTATCTAAGCATGCCATACCGTACCATATTATTCATCCTCCGTCCTTTGCCTTGCCTCGCTCGCATGACAATAAGTTCAGGCGTCAATCTCGCTCACGAGATGATACACTATGATACAACTGCTTACTTCTAGCTAAAGATTATATATCCGCGTTTTTAATACTGGGTAGAAATGACCTTCTTCAACTTGCCCATCTCGCCTTCATATCCCGTGATCTTCTTCTGCGCGCCGTCTATCTTGCTCAAGAGATACTGGACGCGCTCACGGGCGCCCCAAGGCTGACTCGGTAGTGAGCCTAGCATCACCAATTCTTTCTCCGCCTTGTCGATGTTGCCCGTCTCGATCTTGACGAGCTCCTTGAATCTCGCCAGTTCCATCTTCGCTGACAATACCTTGTCGGCCGCGAGTTGTCGGAATGCGGCTTGATACACGGGTTTACCCACCGCGATACTGCGTGGTCGGCCCGCGTGGGAGCGTACTGTGATGAGCTCTGCGTTGGAGAGGCCTTCGAGGGCGGACTCGCCGTTGGGTGCTGTGAGGGAGGATGCGAACGTGTCAGAGAGGAGCACCTCGTTGTATCGGAGCGTATCATTCTTTGAGAGCTGGTTTACGAGGTACCACGCTTGCTCCATTGACCACTTGTGTTCGCCGTCGCTGGTTACTTTGCCGGGTAAAAGGAACATCTTCAAAATCTCAGAAGACGCTTGTTCCGTGATTTCTGCGACAGCTTGTTTAGGCGATTGGCCAGCTTTGATGCGGCGAGCGAGATATTCGAGATCAGTGAGACGCCCTCCAAGTGTGCCAATACATGCGTCTAACTCTGCTAGATCAGGAACCACTGCGACGCTTTGTTTTTCTGCAGAATTATCATCAGTTGATTCGTCTGTCTTCTGGTCTGCGCTGACATGGCCAAGAATGAATCTTCTGGCTACGTCTGGCGAGAGGTCGCCTAGTGCGACATGACGGAAGACACGATCTGGGAGGGATTTAGATAACACTTTAGTATACGACGAGTCGTTGGTGAGGAAGATGACATGAGCAACGTCAGACTGCACGAGTGCTGCAGCCCAATCAGCAATCCTATCGTAGATCAGAGTGTTGGCATCGCTATTGTATACAAAATTGTCAACGACAACCACGGCTCTTTTCTCGGGATGGGCTTCCAGATAAGCGTCTGCTGGAAGTGAAGCATCTGCGTCGTTCTTAGATCGGCTTTCTAGGTCGAGAGCTTGTAGAGCACCGGCTGATGCTTGTAGAATTTTCTGTAGCTGTGAGTCGAGCGTTTCCGAGAAACCTGCCTTCACACCAGTGGTGCTCTGAATTGCAAGATCAACCATGCTACTCATGCTATTCGCCCATGAAAATATGGGTCGGTAGCCAACTTCCGATGCCATCTTCTTGATGATTGCTGACTCGCCTCTGGCTTCGATGATCTCCTTGCAGTCGATCACCAGAATATTTTCTCTGTCTTTAAGAGCTTGCTCCAGAACAAGCTCTCTTTTCCCTGAGCCACGAGGGCCCTGGATCACAATAAAGGTCTCGGCTGTCTCCATCAACCATGCCTGTATCTGCTCGATTATGTCCTTTCGATGAGACCAGACTGCGTTCAAGCCAGCCTGCTCAGCTCCCCCTCGCCTAAAGGCAAAGATGTCAGATGTCTGCTGCCGAAGCCATCGGTATACCCTGTTATTACTCAGGCGGTATTTGCGCGAAACATGAGCTTTAACGAAGAACGAGCGGATGGGGTCGAAAACAACGACGGTCAGACCCGTGAGCAGAGCTACGATGACGGGAATAACGATCCGTGGATGATTCGTAATCCATTCCCAGACCCGATGAGGCTTTGTTCGTCGCTCGTAGGAGATGCGAAATTTGGTGCCGAGTTTGCCTCCACCTAGGTCCTCTGGCACGATGAATCCGTGAAGGCAATTCCGTGCCATAATAGCGTCTCTGACAAAGAAGAAGTCGACATAAGCGTACTTAGGGAGAACCTTAGAATCCCAAGGCTGGGAAATGATCTCAGAGATAGATCCGTATCGGCGGAACATGCTATACAGACTCTCCTGAGATAGCTCGACTGCTTCCTCCCCAGGATTCTTCGGTACAAACTCAATACGTAGTCGAACCTTTGGATATCTCTGTAGATCCTCCAGCCATGGAACGCCTTTCACCAATCCGGCCTGTACACCACGAAAGGGGCTGAAGAATCGCTTAATGGGCTTCTCAGCCAGCAATTTGGCGACTTTTCCTTCTACTTCCCTCGCTGTCACTCCAGGTGGGTGGACGAACTTGACAAAAGCACCGCCGTCCTTGACTCTCGGTAAAATCTCAGTGACTTTCAAGGGAACATCGCTAGGTAGCGCACGCCTCACTATGCTTGCTGGATCCATGATGCCCAGGCTAGAGTTCTCAAATCGCTTCATGAGTCCCGGTATGTCAGTTTCGGGATTACCCCATGGCAGACGCAGTCCAGCCAGCCTGAGTGGAAATATGTCTGTCATAACAGAGCATCAGCACACAATGTCATGATAATGGCAAGCAAGGCATTTGACGCTTACTATCAACCCAGAGAATGGACTCATTGGGGGCTGTTTCTATATGACCATCCTTTTCATCTTCGGGCGATATAGTACTATTCCAAGCCCTCCGGGTCAAATGTATCGGCGGTGCCCATTTTGCCTGTAATCTGGGGCCGCGGTTCAGGTTCAAAGCAGCTTGAACCCTCGAGCCGGGCAAGGACCGGAACCCGAGTCCGATCTGTCTTGTAGCGAGCATTATCCAAGGCACCTAGAGTAAAGCAAGCCCTTCTCCATGCCCTGTGTCGAATCAGAAGGTGATTCGCAGGAGAAAAGCCCTGTCTTACGACCTTGGACGATCGTGTGTGACAGGCTGCTCATACAATTTATTATTACATACCACAACTCACTCGGGACCCGCGCCAAAAGCCAATGATATCATAGGGCAAGCTGCCAAGGCATGTACTTCGAATACCACTTTCCGCATAGCGAGGTACCTATCTAGCTAGATGAGCCACACCTAGAGAAAGCCACACAGTTTCGGCGCCACAAGATTTTACAGTAGATAGTGGAAAAGCCAAGCTCTGTCTTGATGCGCCAGCGAGCGATGTGACGATTCGGAATGCAAATGCAATTGGTAGCTATATAATGCCAAAAGTCGCCTGAATACGTCTTATGGAATAAACTATCCAATCAATTCTCTTTTAATTGTCAAAGAATACTTCTATACGCCCAACTCGCCATTGTGGTTGACGTTGTATCCAATTGTCTTCGTCCAATTAGTCAAGCCGGGCGGTTTCCGAGGATCATCATACCACCCTTACATGACAAGACAATAGCTAGCTACTCCTTACAGCAGCGATCCAGAAACGAAGCCGCATAAAACCAGACTGATCACCATACCCCGCGTCCATTGTCCCCGCACAGCCAACACTTCAGTTCAGCTCAGCTCATCGTTCTATTCCTGTTCATCTCCTAACATTACTGGAGACATCGGGCGCATCGAAGACAAAGCATAAACCAGACGCATCCTAAGAGACCAAGCCCAGAACACCAGCCATCGACACATATTGCGCAAATTTAGCAGAGGGAAAGAAGTGAAAAAAAAAATGGGCTGGCTATGGTCATCAGGCGCTCCTGCGTCCAAAAGCAACGCCGCAGAACCAACCACTCCCAACAATACCATAGTCACAGAAGCCCGACCCGTTCCATCGAGGGCGGCTCCCGTCGAATCTACTACGTCCGACGACCCAGAGATCGCGAAGTTCTTGGCGCAGATACAAGCAGAATTCGGAGACAGCAACAACACTCCCAAACCCGCCTCTGTCCAAGAATCAAAAGCCACAAATCCAAGCCCACCCACAAAGTCGTCATCATCATGGTGGTCATCCTGGACACCAAGCGCCGCCGCCCAAGAACCCTCTCCCCCACCCACACTCTCCCCCCCGCAACCATCATCCCTCCCAGCCCGTCTAGACCCCGTCTCCGAATCGCTCTTACCAACAACCATGTCCTGCCGCCAGGCCTTCGACCACGCCTTCCACTGCAACAGTCTCGGCGGCCAATGGACATCAGTCTACCGCTCGGGCACCGTGCGCTCCTGCAGCGAGCAATGGGACGACTTCTGGTTCTGCATGCGCACGCGCGCCTACACGGGCGCCGTCAAAGAAGAGGCCATAAAGGACTACTACCGGCAGAAGGAGCTGCGCAAGTACGGCCCCGGGATGCCGAACAGCACAGACGTCTGGGAGCCGCGGGCCGAGCGGCTACCGCCGGGCGCGGCGTTCCAGGAACGCTACGAGAAGCCGGACATCAGCGACGAGGAGTGGCGTCGTCTGGAGATTGAGCGGCGCAGGATGATACAGCAGAAGCTCAGGGAGGAGGAGGAAGGGAGGAAGTCGTTGTCGTCGTCGTCGTCGTAGTAAATAATGAATGTAACAAAATAGTAATTAGCTTCGAATGGCAAATTTCAAGTCAGTTAAGTCTACCACGCGGCCATCATGCTCTCCTTCGGTGTCAACGATGTTAAGTTCAATGCTTCTCTCGTTTCCTACAAATTGCAGTTGTACGCTGTGTTGTACCCTGACTATGCCTAGGCATTAAGTAAAGTATACAGCCATGATAATGCTAGCAACACAGCTGCTGAATCCTTGTATAAGCTAACATTGGGGGTCCCAGAATAGGTGAATGCCCTATAAATCGCAGGAGACTTGATGTTGTTTAACGTACCTACAACAATATAATAAACTTGTCGTACGTATTTATCAAATGTCACATTGAAGAGAGAAAACAGGATTATATGAAATTATTTCTTCATTTACTTCATCAGGGATGAATCGATACTAAGGTACATCCATGGAGAGTCGTGAAATCACAACTTTTCGTCCTGTATCATTACCGCAGGAAAATCTAGATAGAAGAACCGCATTACCCATTCCGCCATTCATGATGCCGTAGACACCAAATAACGCCGTAGAAAAATCAAATCATGTAATCGGAAGAGTGTGAACGAATTTAGTCAACCTCCTCAACAGTGGGGCCGTCATCACCACCAGAGCCGGGTGCCCCACCAGCGCCAGGGAAGCCGCCGGGACCTCCACCGGGCATACCACCAGGCATACCACCGGCACCGCCAGCACCACCGTAGAACTTCATCATGATAGGGTTGGCGACCTGTTCAAGATCTTTTTGTCTTTCCTCGTATTCTTCGCGAGTGGCTTGCTGGTTCTCGTCCAACCATGAGACGACGGTGTCGATCTCGGTCTTGAGCTTCTCCTTGTCGGCAGCATCGAGTTTCTCGTCAACCTTGGAGTCGCCGAGGGTGTTGCGAAGAGAGTAGGCGTAAGACTCAAGGCCGTTCTTGGCACTGATACGGCGACCCTCAGCCTCATCTTCCTCCTTGTACTTCTCAGCTTCAGCCAACATGCGCTCGATCTCCTCCTTAGACAAGCGGCCCTTGTCGTTGGTAATGGTGATCTTGTTGGACTTGCCGGTACCCTTCTCGACGGCGGAGACGTTCATAATTCCGTTGGCATCGAGATCGAAAGTGACCTCAATCTGAGGAACACCACGAGGGGCAGGAGGGATGCCAGTAAGCTCGAACTTGCCGAGAAGGTTGTTGTCCTTAGTGCGTTGACGCTCACCCTCGTAGACCTGGATAAGCACACCAGGCTGGTTGTCGGAGAAGGTGGAGAAGACCTCGGACTTCTTGGTGGGGATGGTGGTGTTGCGAGGAATGAGCTTGGTCATCATACCACCAGCAGTCTCGATACCGAGAGACAGGGCAGCAACATCGAGAAGCAAGATCTCGTTGGTAGACTTGGAGCTGGTGTCACCAGACAGGATAGCGGCCTGGACGGCAGCACCGTAGGCAACGGCCTCATCGGGGTTGATGGACTTGTTGGGCTCCTTACCATTGAAGTAGTCGGTGATGAGCTTCTGGACTCGGGGAATACGAGTGGAGCCACCAACGAGGACGATCTCGTGGACCTGAGACTTGTCGATCTTGGCGTCGGCCAAGACACGGTCAACGGGCTGGATGGTGGATCGGAAGAGGTCCTGGCAGAGCTCCTCGAATCGAGCACGTGTAATAGACGTGTAGAAGTCAATACCCTCGTAGAGCGAATCAATCTCAATGGAAGTCTGGGCAGACGAAGACAGAGTACGCTTGGCGCGCTCGCAAGCAGTGCGCAGACGTCGGAGAGCACGAGCGTTGGAGGAGAGATCCTTGGAAAGTTAGTTAAATTGCTCAAAATACCTGATAAGTGCATAGAATATAGCTGTATGAAGCAGAATGACAGGACATTTTAAGATATACATGACAACATTTGAGATTTGACATGTAATATTTCACTTGAAACCCCACGACGTGGAGCAGGTAAGAGCAGGTATTATGTAACTTGGGGGAATGGTACATTTCGAGGAAAATGATTTCATGCTCAGTAAACACAGAAAACAGAACCGAATGTGAAATGTAGGACCACAAATGCGAAATGTCGTATCAGAGTAATGGAAATGTCGTGGTCATTCAATTGAAATTTTGAAAATATCAATTGAAATGTCGTGAGGCACCAATGGAAATGTCGACGCATTATGCGCTATGACTGGATAGAGGCATATTGCATATTGCGACACCGCGATATAGCGATATTGCAAACACCATGACATGAGTTGTGTGGGGGAAAAAAAATAAATAAAAAAATAAAAAAATAATTTACACCTCTGCTTCAAGAACATAACAAGATTGGGGATTGAATGGGGAGAAAGAAATAGGGACTTCGAACCTTCTTATGCTTTCTTTTGAACTCAGTAACAAAGTGGTTTACGAGGCGGTTGTCGAAGTCCTCACCACCCAAGTGAGTGTCACCGGCAGTAGACTTGACCTCGAAGATACCCTCCTCGATGGTAAGGAGAGAAACATCGAAGGTACCACCACCGAGGTCGAAGATCAGAACGTTGCGCTCGCCCTCGACCTTCTTGTCAAGACCGTAAGCGATGGCGGCGGCTGTGGGCTCGTTAATGATTCGGAGGACGTTGAGGCCGGCAATGAGACCGGCGTCCTTGGTAGCTTGACGCTGGGCGTCGTTGAAGTAGGCGGGGACGGTGATGACAGCGTTGTTGACGGTGCCACCAAGGTAAGCCTCGGCGGTCTCACGCATCTTGGTGAGGACCATGGAGGAGATCTCCTCGGGTGTGAATGTCTTGGTCTCGCCCTTGTATTCGACCTCGACGATAGGCTTTCCACCCTTGTCGATGATCTTGAAGGGGAAGTGCTTCATATCGGCCTGGACTTCCTGGTCGGCGAACTTGCGACCAATCAGACGCTTGGCATCGAAGACTGTGTTCGCAGGGTTCATGGCGACCTGGTTCTTGGCGGCATCTCCGATGAGACGCTCGGTATCTGTGAAGGCAACGAATGAAGGTGTTGTTCGGTTACCCTGGTCGTTGGCGATGATCTCGATGCGGTCGTCTCGGTAGACACCGACGCACGAGTAGGTCGTGCCCAAGTCAATACCTACGGCAGCAACCATAGTGGGCAAGTTTGTGATGTATTGCGATGGGAGAAACAGATGCGAAGAACAATTGCAATGTAGGAAAGCGTTGCGTGAGTTTATAAGTGAGGAATTGGGGTATCTCAGAGCAGTTGTTGGTTGTTTTGATGATGTGGAAAAAAGGATGAGGACTGTTCGAAGTTTGTGAGAGTGCAAAGCCTTATATTATCAGTGGTTGAGTGCTGGGGTGGATCCGCAGCTTGCTCGGAAGCTTCTGGAAAGAACTCCCCAAGGCGCAAAGTAGTCTCTGGGTCCTTCCAGCACCGCCTAGCAGTAGAATTTACCGGAAAGTTGGCCACTGCAAGTACTGAACGCGTAGAATTCAACGGTACTAATTTTAATCCAATTGAATTTCATTAACCTGCTTATTTACTGGTAAATCAGCAATTTTCTACGATTCTGCTGGGAGCTGTAGCGGGGATGATGAGGTCACTATGAACCCCGCCATCTGGCCATCTCGAAGTACCCCTGCCCATTTCCTGAACTCCCTTTGCCTCAGGCGGTGGGCAAGAACCTATCTGACCTACCATCTACGGTACCTACAGATACCTAATGGCCCAAGCTTTTGGGCAGAAAATTTTGGCTGCCTGGAAATTCTCCTGCCATCAGAGGGTGGCTCGGGTGGCACCCAGGAGACTGCAAGGCAACCCTGAATTGTGAGGACCCGCCGGGCTCCCCCTCCCCCACTATCAAACTCTTTAAGCGCCGTACCGCCGATGTACCTCTCCAGGCATTGTAGGTACTAGTGTACTTAGTGTCCAGGTGTATGTGTACTTGCTTGCTCAGAGCTTGCCCGAAAGCTGTTTGCGACCAAGTCCCCTTGTGTTAGCCTGACCACCTGCGAAGAAATAAGAATTACGAAGAACAACCTGCACCACCAACCTCTACTTCCTGCCCTGGTTTCTCGTGTCTGGCATCAAGTCACTCGGACTCGTACAGGAGGTACCTACCTAGTCGCAGCATCACATTCTGCTCATATGAACATCAGTATCCGGGCAAACAATAGCGCGGCATTATTCTGTGCCATGCCATCTACAGCTGTCATCGAGATTTTTTTCATGATCGGCCTTGTTTTCTTATCTGTTATCGAAGTAGTCTGATCAAGATTTCGAGGGACCCGCAAGATGGTTGTGACATGATGTACCTAGGCGATGTTTCATTGGTCTATGTGTATCTCCCTGTACATACTGTACCGCCACATGCAGGCACCTCGCTCAGCATATGTAAGTGCCTAGGTACATGTACATACTGGGAGGCTTCGATCAAAGTGCGTTCGATCTCAAGTTTTGCAGCGCTTGACGAACCGGGGTTAGCGCATCTACCGCTTTTGCTTAGACTCCTTTCCCACTCTCGTTGGTTAGGTAACTGGAGATTTAGTTGTACATCAAGGAGGCAAACGGAGACGAATCACAAACAGTCTACCAATGTCTTTCATCGTCGACAAGAGTCATGTCGCACAAGCTTCTACATAGTAGTAGAGTCTTGATACTCGGTGTAGTTACGTAGGTTAGGCGGAGAAAAATAAGACGTGTCAGTCAGTTCGATAGAGCTATGTGGATCGTATGGGGAACAAAATGGAACGGTTGAATCAAGTTTTCCCCCGTGTCTCGTTGTATGTGTTTTTACTCTCAACTAGGTATTCCGGAACACACGAGAAAACAGTCCAAGCTACTGGCTACATCTAGTTTAGCAGACGTGCTCAATCTTTTCAGGGTTCGTGTCACGCGGTCCCAAGTCTGTTTTCAAGACTCTTCCAAACAATTCCAGTAGCACCTCAAAGCAAATTTTGGTGATGGCCGGATCGTAGCGGCCTTTGCTGAGCTCGTCACGGATGAAAGCGTGTTGCGACCATGCGAACTCGTAGAAGCTGAACACGGTGCCAGCCTCTCGCAACTTAAGCCGGATAAGATCACGTCCAGCGTCCGGGACATGTGTGTCTTTGATACCCCATATCATCGCAACCTCTCCCTTGATCTCTTTGAGTCTGTCGATTGTATGGTGACTATCTGGCGGTGCTTCGGCTGACATGTTGGCCGCTTCATAAGGGCCCAATGTGCGGGAGTGCACATCAGTAGCAAAGTACGCGACGCAGGCACTGATTCGGGGGTCAAGCTGTAAGGTGCATAGAGTCAGCAAGGCTTTGTGATGGATATCCAACAGCCGCGGGTCATAGGAAGGGAGATATTACAGTAGCGCGCAAGGTGAGATGGCCACCTAAACACATGCCTGTGCTGCCTATCCGCCCAGAGCAAGTTGGCAGGCTGAGCAAGTAATCAACCACCTTGGAGGAGTCCTCATCATATGAGTGGAGGGTCTGTCAAAATGTAAGTAAAAGCAAATTCTCAGGTGAGGCATCTGCAATGCAACACTGCAGGCCTTACCTTTTTTATTTTCAGCGCATTCCCCAGGTCTGTTCCCGGCTATACAAAGTCAACGGTTGGCAAGTCACCATTACCAGGGAATAAATCATGACAAGATTCGGGGTATTATCGTACTACGTCGTATGCCAACGCCTCAGGCCCGACGAAATCATGATATGACGAGGGCGCCGCAACGATGTACCCTTGCCCAGCTATCTGACGAGCGAACCGCTCAACGGGGCCGGTTACTGGTTATTGAGCCGTTAGCAGGTGATATAGATAGAGCATCTGGGCCATATGCCATATCCAGATCATATGCTTGGTTTGAGCTGTATGTTAATCAGGGTAGCTTGGCAAGAACGCACGCACCTTGATAGATTTCGCTGAACAACACGACACCTGGGAAGCGTCTGTAGCACTGCGCGTTAGTCACTGCACGTGTCTTCTACAGTACGAATGGTTATTATTGTGAATACTTACGCCTCTGGATATTGAGGGACGGTCGGGTGGAAGACAAATATCCCTATTCTCTACTTAGTTGACCATGTTCTGGATCGAGTTCAGACGAACATGACATGACATGACATGACATACTCATGGATCCATCTTTCCCATCCGCCTTCGTCACAACATCGACAAAGCTTTCTTTGATCAGCATCTTCGAGATGGCTTGTTCCTGGTTTGACAAGATTTGGTTGACAATATCAAGGCAGTCGAGCAGAGTCAATGGCACACGCAGCCTACCTGTATATCTCCGAGTCCAGAGATATATGCATTTGTATATACCTAGGTAAGTATATATATATAGGTAGGAATGGATTAAAAGGGCAATTGTTGCCTCGGGTTTTACCCCACCATAGTGGTGCGATTCTCCCACTGTAAGTTTGGTTGTGTGAGGGGCTTGAGAGGGGCCAAATATGGGGCTTGCGTGATACCACGACGAAGCTTATACTAGGAGGTATCGTAGATATTGTTCTACCTATCCCAAACCACAACACTAGACATGCGTAATACCATTTATATATACCTACTTCAGTACAGCAAGTGCTTATAAGTGAGGCACCTGGGAACTCTGTAAAATCAGATTGACGATGCTCAAGAACCCTTCGCCTAGAATGAAGCCCTATCATGACGGTTAGCATAAAAGTACGACGACGTTGTGACTGTTTCAAACTCCAAGGGATTTACTCACAGATGCCAACACAATGAGGGGTGTGTCATCCTTCCCGAGACGCACTCTCCAATACCAGTTCATCAACCCACCAATGGTCCTCGCCAGGGTAAACGAGGGAACATTGTACATGCCTATCACACCAGTCAGTCCGGTGACGACCCCAAACGCGGTTCACAGCCAAGTTCACTTACCAACTGCAACGGCAATGCCTCCGGGGATGTATGCGTGCCACTTCCTCCCCATGCCTTTAATCCTCAGGACTGTAAAGACAGCGAATATGAGAGCAGCCCCCATCGCAAACTCACGTGCCATGAACGGCAACCCCTTGCCCGTGACGAGTCTCGCCGTAAAGATCCATACGAACGCAGTGGGTACCTGGAATAAGTCGCCAGGGACCTCGTACACGGCCGTATAGAGCCTGTAAATCCACGCACTGACTACAGCTCCAACCGTAGCACCAATGATCTGACCCCAAAACTGGGCCTTCGGAGCTGCACCCAGGAGGTGCCCCGTCTTGAGGTCCTGCATTAGGTCTCCCGCCTGCAGAGCCCCAGCTTCTGAGACAGCACCGGCAATGAGATTGATGAGCACGCTGGCTTTGTTGGTTTGTGGTATGATGAGCGCGAAGAAGAGCTGCGCAATCTTGCTGATGCCCGATACCGGATTCAAGTCCGTCTCGCCCAGCGCACGTACACCCATTATAGACAGTACCATGGCCATGAATACTGCGATGATGGTACCATATAACGGCACCAATTCTCCGAAAGTGATATGAATGCTGCCGATGCAGAAGAGAACCGAGAGAACTAGACCAATGCTAACGGTTTTTGTGCCCACCAACTGTTCTGGAGGGGCATCATCGTGGTCCCAAACCCTTCGGTCTACGTGTTCATGATGTGAATTTGACACACTACCTGGTCCGCCTCTGCTAGACGTCGAATGTCGGCTATCAATGGCTTCGTCGTTAGCAACAGCCGTATATCCACTAGGACGGCGTCGGAAAAGACCTTGCAAGCCACCGCGGTCATATTTTCGCTTCAGTGATATAAGTAACGCCGGCCCATATTCAAACAGAGGGCGCAAGGCGACGTGACCAAGACTAATGACCGCATCTGCTAACATGATGGCCAGCGAGGTCCAGACAATCCACCCTTTGCTCCCGGACTCCCAGTCGTTAATTGGTCCAGGTGCCCAACCCCGACTTTTCGCCAGTGGTGATAAGACACCCCATCCGATTACCGCGCCTAGCAGCATATGGATGGTGGTAGCTGGTCCCATGATGATACCCTGGCCGATGTAAGCGAAACTGGGGTTGAGGGTCCACAGCCAAGTCTCGGCCGCGACAGTGCCGAATATAGGAAGATTGCGCAGGATTGGAAAGAAGTATGTGCACAGTGTATAGATGCCCGAGATACCAAACGTAATCAGCAATAGCCTTATGTTAGCAGCCCAGGTCTGCTTCTTTGCGGAGGACGCGCAATGCTCTTCAGTTGCATCTTCGGACTCGAAAAGGGGTTGATTCTCCAGCGCTAGGCTTCCGAATGTAGCGGCTTTGGACGAGTCCAACGCTCCGCTGCTCTGAGTGCCTCCTTTGCCATGCAAGACGCCGATCAGCACTGCCGTGCTGAAACCACTTGGAAATTTCAGTTGTTCTCTTATGATGACTTGTCGTCGCCTGTTATGAATAGTCAGTGAGCTGTTGTAATTTCATAAGAGAAGATCAACTTACAAGGGGACTGCAAACACGACTCCAAAGTAACAAAGACCAAGGGACCAGATGATCAGCTTGCCCATGCTGAGAGTGATGGGACCCTGCTCAGAGGGCTTCAACAAGTATTCCATAGCCGGTAGCTATATCGAGTATAAGTTAGCAAGCTGTCATTTTTTTCATATGGAACAACACATAGATCCTCATCACATCCGGTCTCGCTTCTCAACAAGACTAGTCGCGGGTTCGGAAGGTTCGGGATGGGACTCACCACGCCGACAAAGCCACAACCAAGCGGCATAATAGCCATACCACCGGCGACAGATTGCACCAGGACGTTCTCAACGGGCGTGAATGGGAAGCTCAAATTGCGCGAGAGGGTACGGAAGATGCCGAAACCCAACAGACTCGCAGGCATGGTCATCATGCTAACCCAGCCAGTTTGGAGGCCGAAGTACATGTTGGAGAAGACGATGACAAGACCGACGAGCAAGCCAACGACGACGCCTCGAATGGTAAAATGACGGCCCTCGGGAAGGAACTTGACAGGCAGATCAGCCTCCCCGGAGGCCGTCGGCGGTCTCATCCGCTCGGCATCGTGCTCGACTTGGAGGTCATCATCTGGTATGGGCTCTAACACGGTCAATCCTCTATCGGGAGCCATGACGACGGCCGCGGTTCACGCCAATATGGCTCGACATGTACTACCGGTACTAACTACTAAAAGAGCTCATGAACCAACGCAAAGCACTTCAAATTATAAGATATCGTGATGATATATATATATATATATATATATGAGGATATGAAGAAAGAGAAGGAGAGATGATAGACCCATGCGATCGTCACGAGTACCTCGCCAGCCACAGATAGGTTTTACCACAGGTGATGTCCCCAAACGGGATGCCACCCTGAGCCACGCCGCTTTTAGCCAGAGCCTAGCCTGAGGCGAGCCTGAGCTGGCCCCGCTTTTGCGCAAGCCTAGCTGCATAACTGTCAGGGTATGGCCATTGTGGGTTGTAGGTATCTTCAATATATAGAAGCCGGGGCGGAAACGCTCCCGACTATAGTTCAATTATACGTCAGGCAATAGTATTCTCTTCAGACATCGTAGGATTTCGACATGCTTGGTTCGTGATGTATTATGGTTGTATACCATCAAATCTTCGCTAGAGGGTATGCGCACAGACAAGATAGATCTTAGCAAGTGTTACGAACCAACAGACGAAGTGACCTGTCGGCGAGACCAAGCGAACGAACAGCCCAGTAAGGGGTTGAGGATTGGACTGTGGCGAGCCAACAGTCAAGAAGGGGTCACGTGATAAATGCACTCGACTCACGGGGCTCACTCGGCACACAGGACTCACTTCGGGAGTGAGCCAACCAGGGACAGTGAGGATGGTGAGCCTAGACACAGGAGTGAAGGAAGGACGGTCTATATAATGAGAAGCATTTCCTATGTAGCTAGTCAGTCGGTCCTTACTTCACTATTCAATCTAAAAAACTATAGCCAGTTCTCGGAACCAGACTATGATAGGGGAGTAATCTCCTAACGACACTCAGTGACAATTGCACAGTTCATACTCAGATTTACCACGTCAGAACAACAACCCGAAGGCATCCTGCCTTGCGAATCTCAGCCAGTAAGTCGCCTCTGCAGCTAAGTGCTAACGATACGACACTCTATAGTGAGGATCGTTACAGCAAGCTTGCAAAAAGAAATATCAGGGTCGCGTTTTTTTAGCCTGAACTGCTAGCTGCAGAATAGCTTCACTAGAATTTACGAGGCATGTGGTTGTTAGTTAGAAATGTATAAATGAACAGAGAAGAATAGAAAATGTTAAAAAGTGCGACACTGACTTGTGGATTGCGTTAGTAGGCCTTAAATAACTAGGATAATTAATTTACATCCGATTGAGTCCCCTGAGAGGATAAGAATTAACACCAGCGAACAGGAAGGCGTGGATGACGCATTAGTTGAATAATGTGCTTATTCGTCTTGGGCTGGATGTGACTTATGGTGCTATGAGGTTCACTCCAACTATTGTACGCAGTGACAGCGCTCGCTTGCGAACAGCTGTACCAGGCCTCCTATTCTGCAGCAAACCAAGGGTGCTGCAACGCCTTCCGCGCCGTGATCCTTCGCAAAGGATCCATGCAGGTCATCTTGCAGACGAGATCCCTGAACTGGGGGTCCACCTGCTGCCACCTCCCAAAGGGCAGCCTCGGCTTCTCCTCGGTGAAAGTTTTGCAAAGTTCCTTAATACGCTCGACAAACGGATTATCTTCTCCCTGGTGATAAGCAATAAAGCCTTCGAAATCCTCCTCGTCGCTGGCGAAGTAGGACAGGTGGCGGCTGAGTATCAGCTTCGCCTGCTCCTCGGGGTAAGCACGGTTTGCCTTGTCTGAAAAGAACACCATGCTCCCTGTCCACGTGAATATTGCCTGAGTGCCTGCCATTCAGCATCCGTATGCTGTGTTTTCTGCCCATGGAAGAACTCACCACGATGGCAAAGGAGTAGATGTCTGATGGGGTGTTCTGGATTCCCCGAGCCCAAGCCTCCGGGCTTCGCCAGAAGTGATTCCCTGACAAGCGGTCTGTGAGGCCCTTGGCTTTGGGCGGAAGTATCACCGCAGCTTCCAGGTCGGTGATCTGGACGTTGCACCATTCAATGTTACCATTTTGCTGTTTGAAAGCATCCATCATGATGTTTGTAGGTTTGATATCTGTGAACTATGTTAGCACACATGTCACAACCTTGTAAGGGAGGCACTGACCGGTATGGATGATGTGCTCGTCGTGTAGATCAGCGAGACCGGTAAGAGCATCCCTTATGATGGCCTTTTTGGCGACCGAAGAAAGAGCTGCGGTGTCGACATGGAGCAGTCCTTTTTCGAGAAAGGGGAAGACGAACATATGCCGCTCAGGAATGCTATCCACAGCTGTTCGGACATGGCGAGAGCGCTCGACGTGTTTCTGTAGCGAAATAATATAGTCGAAGTCGCCTGGGATGATATCCTTGAGAATAAACTGCTTCCCATCATGTCTGAAATCGGGAGGTAGTTAGGATTTGCCGCCTTCTGGCCATGCACTGGACAGATCTCAAGGAAAGGGTCAACCTACGTCGCGCGGTATACACACCAAATCCTCCCAGCGGCAGGTCGCTCCGAAAGCACTTCGTCAATGATATAGCACTTGTCCAGAGATGACTTGAGTTGCAATCCCCTGGGCAAGGGCTGCTGTCCGATGGCGGACGTAGAAGTGGGGATAAAGGCTGAAGACATGCTGACAAATCGATAGAAACAGTGTGTTACCTTTCGAGGCGAGTTTTGTGCCCGAGAAAGAGGGAGTGAAGGGAGAACAGAGAACTGTGAAAGTGACGGAAGATGGAGATGAAGCGTCCGCGCAGATAATGGGACTGCGCGGGGTCCCATGGCAAAGTACCTGCTCAAGTAGAGAGATGATGTGGATGGATGGTGGTTTTGCTGGGTAAAAATTTATGTTGGGTGAAGTGCATGATAAATGGTAATAACCCCATCAATGTGGGATAGCTCATGCACCTACCTGTGCTGTTATATAGTGTAGCTTATAATTCTAAATGAGGCAAATGAATCATCACAATCACACCGAGGACATGGCGAGCGCTATCAAATGTGGCGTAGGGATGAGCTTTTAAATAGGCGTCTGTCTTCGTTCATTACCTATGTCTGCGATGTCTTCTTCCTACAGACGGATATGGCAGACTTCTTTCAGTCGGTGATGTATCTAGCTAATTCCCAAGCTGTTGAAGGCAACGTATACACACTTGTCAAAAATGACCCAATACAAACTCATACTCCAAACATCTGGAAGGTATCTTTCATGTCCTGTAAATGCTTTTGCTGTGCGGACTGCATATTCTCTTCCTGCTCTTCGAATAGTGCCTGTAGCTGAGCCAATTCCTCTGCGGATACTCCCCGGGACTCGAACAGTAATTGGACCTTGAATTTGAAGGCTCAGAATTTGTTCCTCCTAATGAGCCTGTTCTCCTCATGTACAGACTCTAAATGTTCTGATAGACCGGCACGGATAGTCGTACTCGCGCGGGAGGACATGGGGGGGGGGGGATCTGGAGGGCGATGTGTTCTTGTCGGCGACGTGTAGGGGGCGGGGCTTTCATGTGGGCTAATAGCAATCCGACTGCCGGATGAAGCGGTATCATCCTCTTCTTGTTCCCTAGGTTGGTGGACAAAGTCCAGCAGAGGCTCGCGAAAATCCCGGTGACAGTTAGGGCAGCTTGCACCCGTCATTGCCCAGGTACAAATGCATTCGGTGTGAAACCAGTGGCCGCACGGCAGTTTGAGGACTTCTTCTCCCGTTGGTATAAACTCCAAACAGCAGAAACAATCAAGGCCTCTGCGTATGTAGCCGAGCTTCCCTTCTCCCACCACCAGGCGAGGGAAGGCCAATATATCATGTTGTGGAATTTCGACTGGCAAATTCTCAAAGACCCGATCCTCTTCTCTCATCTCAGGCTCCATGATGATATGACTGGGAGCCCACCCTCTCTTGTGCTGACCCGTGATGTTGGTGATGCGGGAGATTGGGTGCGTGTGGGTGGGTGAGTGGGAGAAGAAGAGGAAATCCCAGATGGTGGGCTTGCGAGAGAATAAATACCTGTGGAAAATATAACTTCAAAAAGTGAAAGGGAAGGCGCAAGGTTGCCTGGACCAAAGTACCTCCCAATGTACTCCTGCCCTCTCTTAATTCTAACAAACAATGTCATTCAATTATACCACAGTTACATAGGTGATCATACTATGGTTATATAGTCATCATAAGCTTGGTGATATTATGCTTACACCACATGTTAAATCAGTACTCATCACTAAACTAAACTAAGAATAAATCCTAGACCAGTGTTGAGAATAAATTTGAATTCCACATTGCTAAATTGGTATCAAGTATTCATAACATAACTTCAAAAGCCACAAGCAGCAGCTCAACACAGCAAAGAGCATGTCCACCACGAAGAAGAGGACATGGGGCAGATCATGTATGAAAGGAAGGCAGTTACTAAGCCTCGTGACTCTTGATACAACCCCCTGTCTACGATTCGCATTGAACAGCTTCGTAAAGTAGTTATACATCAAGCTGCAGACAACAGACATCATCTCAAAAGCGTGTTCCAGACAGTAAAGCTGAGCTCAAAGTTTTCTTCATACATCGTATTGTCCAGGTTGGACTCGTTCAGACACGCAATCACAAAGCTCTCGTAGTTTATCTCGTGCCACTCAAAGTTGGTCTTCCTAAGCCTCCCCCTCAGCGGCAAGCGGACTGAGAATCTCACAGCCTTGCGCGAAGAAAATCCGCGCAGGCCGGTCCGTTTCATTAAGGATTGAATAAGTATTTCCTACACGGGGTTTTCGTTAGCTTTTCATTCTTGATATCAAATGCCAACTGAAACGCAGAAGCGTAAGTAGACAACATGGGGAGGTAAGACGAACCTCTAGGTACGAAGAACATGCCACCATTGGCGATGCCGAATTCTGTCTGGGCAATAGTCACCTGGACGTTGCCGGTGTGCACGAAGAAGACCATATGTCTCATGCGTGTGTTCTTGGTCCTTTTCTCGGCGCCCGGGGGTAAGTCCACGACACCGGCGCCGAAGAACGGCAGCGTGAGCGTCTTTGCGAATTTGAACGTTGCGTCCTTGATATCTTTGAGTTGAATGGCCTGTTCCGAGATGGCTAATTCTTCTATCTCGATCTCAACCTGGTCATCTTCCTCTGGTGGTTCGAGCTCGTGTTCTGGCTGCCATAAGACCACTTCGCCTGCCACACGTCCGGGGTCGAATTCCCAGTCATCGCGTTCTACTTCTTCTTCTACCACAGTTGGTGGTCGTCGCCCTGGTTTTCGTCCAGTTGCGGGTCGTCCACGACGCCTGGTTCCCGGCTCTTCGCTCTCTTCTGCGCGTACGACACCCTTCACGCTGCGCATTTTAAAGTGTCGTTTGCCAGAGTCTTCAAAAAGATTTTCTTGATCTTCATCATATTCAATATGGTCGCCCTTCCACCATTCAAGTGGCTTAAATGAAGCCCGACCAGATCGCGTTGTCCTCATGGCGGCAGTTTCTTCGCGCCGTAGAGTCACAAGGCCACGACTCTTGGGGAGTGGCGGACCATGCTGAATCACGGGCGAATCAACGCTGACGCCTGAAGATTTCCGCTTTCGTCCCGGTTTGCTCTTCTCCTTAACTGGCGCGGATTTTGATGCAGGGCCCTTCTCAGCTTTGACGGCTTTTGCCGACGTCTTCTGGCGCTTTGCGTCCCTTAATTCAGCACTGTCGTCCTCGACATCTTCCGTAGAAGTTCTTGCCTTTCTCCCACGTTTGGAGGCTTTAGGTGGAGGGTTAGGGTCAGCGGGGGAGGCTGCCTCTCTCTCTGGCTTGGAAGTGGCCTTTGGCCGACCTTTTCTCTTCTTTACAGGCTCTTCATCCTCTTCGGCCGCTTCCACTTGGGCATCATCCAATGAGGTATCCACTGGCTCGTCATTCCCCTTTTCTACGGTAGTTTTAGGCTTACGCCCTCTACGCCCTGGGGGAGGTTTTGATTTATTTGCGGATTTAGTCTCTTGGACGATAGGAGCCTCCTCTTCCTCCTCAACTTCCTCCTCAGGTTCTTCGGGGAGATCATCCTCTACATAACCTCCATCATCAACCGCACCGGCATCAAGCAATTCTAGATGCTCATCTTCATCCTCCTCCTCTTCAGGTTCATCTTCAATATGATTGGGAGGATCAGAAGAGAAGATAGACTGCTCGGTAGAACGGCTGGGTTGCGCAGGGATAATCTTTCGCACTTTGTGGTGGCCATTGGTGGTGGCCTTAGCTTGACTACTAGCAGCCATTGTTTGGTCTTGTGAACTCTTTGAGAAATCCAGTCTGCGTTTCACCTCTGGCTTGGGGCTTCGTTCACGCTCTGTGACAATGGTCCCTCTTGTTGGTGAAGATGTAGGCTGTAGATGAGGATTATGGCGAGCAGGTGACTTGAGATTTGTCTTGATGGGTGATCGAGCGCGTGGAAGGGACGGCCGGCTTTGTTGAAGTTTGCGTGTTGTCGCTGGACCAAGTTCTGAGCCTGTACCAACATAAGCCCAGTCAGTTCATATGCACTGTTTGCATCTTGCTCCATTGCGATTCACCACCTACCGTCATCAATTTCCATGTCCTGCTCATCCTGTTCGTCCTCTGATACTGCGGGATTCCGGCCATTAGTCGCATCTAGCAGTTCTCTATCGGGCGAAGAGAATAGATTGTCCAGCTCCTCAAAGCCATGTTCGTCGCGTCGGCCATTGTCTGGTATTGTGATTCCCGTTTTCCTAGTTCACCATGGTCAACTTGGCAGGTCACAAGGAAGATGCGCATAATCTAGTTACCTTCCGACTTTGCCTAGAGCAAATACATGCTCGTTCTGCGACTGGGTTTGCCGGCGCTGCACTGAGCCGCGAGGCGCCATGGCTGCTTGCGCTGAAGATTGTGTTCGCTCTGATCTGTCGCAAAGCTAGCGCCTAAAGCTTGGGTGTTCAGAAACTATACTGAATGTTCTCAACAGCAACGAACACCGACACAGGCTAAGAATACACCAAATCGTGTGTGGTTCACAATGGCAAGGCTTAGGTGAATGTGTAGCTGGTGGGGAGGATGATGAATGAATGCCGCAATCCATTCAGTGGGTGGGATGGCAATGTACACAGAGCACCCAGCGGCCTTGTTTACTTGTCTCCCTTTTCGGGCTGTTAATTGGCCTTGTCCGTACAGCGGGACGCTACTTCCACATTTGGCAGTCTTTAGAGACGCGCCTAAGAATTTGGGCGACGCGTTCACTATAACTGCCCGCTAGACATCGCCCTACAGATTTCAGGTGGGTCAGCCACCTACCCCTACCTATTAACTAGTATCTTGACCTAGAATACATAGCATCAACCACGATATAAATGACACAGCCTTACTTTCTACACTGTACTTTGACACTGAGATATAGGCCGGAGGTCTCGAGCCTTCAATTGTGGAAAATAGAATCAAATTGAGCTGTCTAGGAAAGAAGAAACCCCCTACCTACCTTCTCCCAACACCCCACCACCACATAGTAAATTACAGCAAAACCAAGCCAAAGGCGAGACGAGACACAGCAAAATCATGGAAGACACACAAATGGACGAGGGCAATATTGCCCTCGAGACGCCCGTACCCGACGTATTCGTGCCACCATCCATCCACCACGGCACGACAATCCGCGGCGAATCATACACGCACTTCTCGCCCGTGCCCCCATCCCTCGCAGCCAACGAGTCCGACTCATCAACAGGCGTACCCTGCGTCCTCGGCGTCGACGAGGCCGGCCGCGGCCCCGTGCTCGGGCCGATGGTCTACGGCGTCTTCTACCTGCCGATCCCACAATCGGAGCCCCTGTTAAAAGAAACACACCACTTCGACGACTCCAAGGTCCTGACGCCAGCCGTCCGCTCCTCGCTTATGGGGTCCCTCTGCACAGCGGACACAGATCTGCACGAGACATGCGGCTGGGCCATCTCGAGCCTGTCGGCGCGCGACATCGGCGCGAACATGATGCGGCCCGGGGGCGCCACGTACAATCTCAACGCGCAGGCCATGGACGCCACGGCGGCCCTGATCCAGGGCGTCATGGCGCGCGGCGTCAACGTCCGCGAGATCTACGTCGACACCATCGGCCAGCCCGCGACCTACCAGAAGCGTCTCGAGAGCGTCTTCCCCACCGTCAAGATCACCGTGGCCAAGAAGGCCGATAGCTTGTATCCCTGTGTCAGTGCGGCCAGTGTCTGCGCCAAAGTCACGCGCGACGCCGCGCTCGAGGTCCTTTACGAAGCCTGGGTGAAGAATGGCAAGGAGCAAAATGCGGATGGAGACGAGGCAGCCGAGGTTCTATCCTGGGGTTCCGGATATCCGTCCGACGCGCGGTGCGTAGCCTGGTTGAAACAGAATATGCATCCCATCTTTGGCTGGGGGCCAGAGTGCAGATTTAGTTGGGGTACGGCGAAGGATATGCTAGAAGCGAAAGGTGGTGTCAAAGTGGAATGGCCCGCCGACGATGATGAGTCCACAAGTCGCTTGACAGATTTCTTCGCCGCCAGCGGCGATAGGGAAAAGGACGCCGACGAGCTCGGCACATGGTTTGGGACTCCGGCCGGGCTGGAAGCATTTTGATTGGTACATAAACTTTTGCATTTATCATGGCGTTTGGACATATGGTACTGTACTTCTGGCATTATGGACAGTCTGGCTTTTAAGCGGTCGTCCCTGACATCAACATTACATGTGTATACTATGATTCTGCATCATACCCTCATATGCAATCCGAACCTATGCGTACATTCGTGCTCTAATTAGAAATCGTCATCATCATCATTCGCAGCCGGGCGGGCCTTCTTGCCACGGCTATCCAGGGTGTCCAGACTGATTGAGCTGTTTTCCCGAGCGGGCATGGCGATAGCCTGACGAGCCGTCTCATTGTTCTCCAGAAACTCCCGAAGTCGCTGCTTTCCAATTTCGATAGCTTGGTTCCAAGCCGCGCTGCTCATCTGCATCATTGGGCCCAGCAAATTCAAGTTGTAGGCGACATAGGTTCCTCCAGCTATGATGATAAGGAGCAAGAAGAGAATGGGGTTGCGTAGGACTAGACAACGTCAGTAAAAAGAAAGGCGCGGCTCGCTTTTAACAGCTCCAAACTTACCGGTCAATAACTCGTTCCAACCCAGCGCTAGCAATACGCCATAGAAATACAATGGCACTTGAGTAATTCCGCCAATAGCACTTCGTTTAGCCTCGACGTATACACCATCGGCCATCTTCTTGAACCGCACCACTAGATCTTGTCGCTTGCCTTCGCTCAAAACCGTCATTTCTTCTTCGAGACTCTTGCCGTCCTCTTCATCAATGCCGCCAATAGGAGCTAAGTCATCTTCATCTTCAGGCTCCACCCCAGGAGGCTGATGACCGACAAAGGCAGGCAGATCCGGTGGGGCATAGGTAGTAGAGAGTCGGAATCTGGAGAGAAGGGGAATGAGAGTAAGAGTTGACTCCCGTGCCCGGGTGTAGATACCCTCAATGTCATCGGCAGGTCGCCATATCCGTGGGACTCCAGCTTCATCGTATCTGAACTTATCCTCGAAATTCTCGCGGAGCTTGAGCAGAATGTTTCCCTCCATAACTTCTTCGTCGACCTTTTCCCTCAAAGCAACCCAACTTTTGCGTCTAAGGCGCCAAAGTCCAACCTCGACTTCGGCCTCACTTGCCTCAAAGCTCCTTGCTCGATCGGTGAAGCGAGTTTCAGCTTCTTTGACGATGGAGATAAAGACATTCCAAATGCGATCCCACAAATCTTTCTCTGTAGGCGGGTTTTCACCTTCCTCTGGCGCACCGGATCCGCCTCTCCCTGATCCAAGCTTGTTGAATTCAAGACCTACGGCATCGCCCAACCGTGACTTGACCCATCGTTCAACACGTGTAGCAAGTCTCCGCATCTCTTCTTTGCGCAAGCGGGCACTAACTTCATCAAGTTCCTTTTCGAAAAGAGCAAGCTGTGGGTCAAAGTTGGTCCACGCAACACCGGGAATAGCCAGATTCTGAACCTCGGTCTTGAATTGACTCAAACACTTCTTCTTTTCGGTAGCGACAATCTCTGCAAACTCGTAGGCCGCTCCTGATTTTTGGCCAATTTTTACAGCACCAGAGACAGCATCGCTAAAAGAGGATACACCGGACTTGTGTGCTGCCGTGAGCTGACCCTGGTATAGGGCTTTTAGTCGTTGATCGATCTTGCCTTCAAGTTCCGTGCGTTTACGAGCATAAACCGCCTTGTGATATCTACTAGCTTGCGTTTCAAACGCCTTGACGCATTTTTCCCTAGTTTGTTTTCCGGTCCCGCCGAGGTCTGCCAACACAAGTGGCTTACCAATGCGAGAAGCTTCGGCTTGTTGTTCCTCAAGCGGGACGATAGCAGCATCAAATGAGACCAAAACCTCTCGAGAGATCTCATCGCAACGGAATTGCGCAAGAAGTTCCTGCTGTGTGGGGAGATCGAGATCTTTGTTGTTGACAATCTGGTCCCAAACACCTTCGGCGTATACAGAGAAACCATCGGCCGGAATTCTCCGATGATACTCAGCCAGGAAAACGCCCCCGTCGAGTTCTTGTTCTCCATGCTCTAGTTGCGTTTTTGAATTACGGCTCCCAGGAACGAACCGTTTACCCAATTTCTTCACCTCGTCGGTGAACTTATCTGGCTGTAGGATCTTATGCGGTAGGGCAGCAAAAGCAAAATCAAAATAATCTTCAATGCGGGCTTTTTCTAGGCCCTGTGGCTTCGCTATAGATGACCAGATTTTCGTAAGATCTTGGATTAGCGTATTTCGAAGGTTGGCTAGCGGTGTGTTACCGATGTGATCACGAATCACAAAGAATAATAGGGACCTTGGAGTGGACCTAGCTAAGGTGTCAGCACCTGAATCTTGTTTCTTTCCCTGCCTCCCAGAACATACTGTCTGTCCTTAAGGAATAGCTGTAGATTGACCTCGAACACAGTCTTCAGGAGGCCCATGTTAGCACCCTGGTATAGACCAACCTGGTGTTCCCAGATGTTAACGATTAGGACCTCGCTGGTCGCCAGAGCAAACAGTGCGCTCTTTCTCTCAAAGTCCTGGTCCTCGCCTCGCTCGCGTCCATCGGTACCCTCAACATCCATGACGAGGATGTTGTCAGTCATAGAGGCCGTCTTATTTTTGGACATCCATATTCCCTTGGTAGTCTGACGGCGCTCCGTCTCGGACATGACATTGAAGCTGGTTCCGAAGAGGTTATTTAGTAGGGTGGACTTTCCGGTCGACTGGGAGCCGAAAACAGAAATCAGGTGGTAGTTGAAGCCGGCGTCGGCAACCTCGGTGGCTTGTAAGTATGAAGTCAGGTTAGAGCTATTAAGTTGTCGCACATATGGTTAGTAGCGGAATAGACGACGAAGTAGAAGGCGGGCGGCGCACTTGAACTCTTTATCTTCGTCAATGACTTGAACGCCATGGTCATATTGCGCCTTGGTGGGCGCATCGCCGACTGCGGCAAAATGGCCGTTCATTCTGGCGGCGGTTCAAGCTACGACAAAGCTACAGCAATCTTGAGAACAGGCAGGTGGGTGGGTGAGTGGGTGTAAATCAGAAGACGATGAGGGCAGCCGTTGCCATCGCAGAGACAGTATTTTGAAGGCGCAGAGCTCGGGATGCAGCAGCAAAGCTCAACAAGCTTCAGTGGCGTAAGGGTCTGGAGGGACAGATTAACACTACTTGTACTGTAATATTGACCTGGTCCAATTGAGAAAGGCATGCACAATGACAAGCGAGGTGAGGTAAGGACATCCCCTGCTGGTGTGGTAAATGGAATGCCAAATACGCCGAATAGGTGGGTGGGCGCACTGTACTGCATCCATTACTGTATCAATTCGTGCGTACCGATACCTCCTTGCGCACACTACTGTCAGCAGGGGAGAGGTATGGGGTACTGCATAGCACTAATAGATTATAATCAGGTACATGCATCTGTACCTGCCTACACCAACTGGCCACTGCAGATGTCGCCAAACTCTCTGAGCTGTTCTTAAATTTGTGCCTTTTTTTATGACGACTTGGGAGTTAGCTACGTAGTCGGGCAGCTGCCAGGTCATCCAATGACGGGTGTCGCCGTCACATGCTACTTGAACATGATGTCACAAGGCTGCCCCCAATGCTTTCAGCACACGTACCCCGTGATAGTATCCCATGTCCACATGTGGCTTTCTCTGCTTCGGTCATGCCAGTGGTTTGATGTTAATCAGTGTGGTGGCAGAAGACCTCGGGGCTTGAGTGGCATAACCTCGTTCCAAGCCGCCACCATGTATGTATGTATGATTTTCTAGTAATACACTTACAACTGGTTCTACAACAGGTCTCCTATGTCGGCTCTGTTTAACCAGTAATACACCTGTTCTTCCTCCTTTGCTCTGTGTTGATGCATTGTTACGACTAGCTTGACAGGCTCTATAGCGTATTAAAATATCGGCCTCATGCCCAAAGCCACTGCTCATCAACATGGTCAAAAGTCGGGTCCAACTCAAGTAGCCCAGCAAGAGATAGCATCTGCTCAGGCGAGAGATCGTTAAACGTTCCCATATCGTCAAGTTGGCTAGGAAGTGCTTGATCGTATTCCGCGCTGCTAGAAACCGGGGGTATCGCCACTGCCGTATTCGTAGCAAGCGAGCTCCGCTGTGACATTTCCGTACCTACGAGGTGCAAGAGGTTAATCAGGTGCTCCAGGTCTTGTCTCCGAAACTCTGCGATGACGTTTCCTTTGGCGACCATCTGGTTCAGGAGGAAGAAACTGGCGTCGACGTCCGTGGTGTCCTCGAGCGGGCAAGCGGGAAGGGCTGCCATTAAAGATAGTACGAAGGCGGAAGAGAATGTGCTTTCTAGATCAAACGGCAGGAAGTTTTCTGCTTCGTCATTAGGTACGCAAAACCCATTTGATCCGACAATGGTTTAACATACCCAGTAAACGTTGTGAATGAAGCGCTGTCAGTATTCTCAGAGATCTCGCCGCAGAGTCCTGAGCTGCTCGTAACAAAGCCTTGATTGGTTCGGTAATATCTATGGAACCGCCCGTGAGGAGTCGTCGTAGTGAACATAGGAGCAATGGTCGAGTTGATAGAACAATACACTATGAAATAAGAATCATCAGCTTTGGCCTTAATACCCCAAGAGAAAAATAAGGATACGGGATAACAAACCTGGTGGTAGTAGAGATTAAGTGAAGCGGAGGCCCTCGAAATCGGCCCATCGTTGTCAAACTGCATCCCAAAAGTTTCCTTCAAATTGGAGGTGATATCAACCATGCCCTTCAAGACCTGCCTTGTGTTTGCCAGATAGCTAGCTCGAAGATACGTGTCACTACTGTAAACACCTAGTCTGATGTTAACTGCGAGTACTTAAGGAGTAAGATTGGAGTGAATGTAGATGTCGTACTGCTTAGAACCTGTGCGTGTAGCCTTGCAAGTGGTACCTGCAAGCTCATTGCCTTCATGAAATGACAGTCACTCTCAAAGTTGGGCAGTGGAACTGTAATGTCCTCATCCCGAATCGAACTCGGCGCGCCCATGAGAGTTGAGAAGCGTCGGTCTAAGATGTAAATTGTCCACCACAATCCATAATGCCGATTTTTATCCTCTGCAGTAAACTCGTCGCCGAAAAGCTCACGGTGCAAACCTTGGCTCAGCGCCATATTCATGGCTTGGCCGATCTTGGGGGTCCAGTTAGGATACGTTCAGGCAATTCAGTCCAGCCCGGGGCACTCACATAAATAAAGGCGCTGTTCCGGTGGTCGATAGACTGGAGATACAGAGCCAAGCAACACAGAACCTCCGTAGCTAACACCGGGTCTTGATTCAATCCGAATGCATCAGGCATGAGTTCGATCGCCCGTGACACTAGCTCCGAGCCGGCTGGCTTCCGCCCGACATAGCCAGAAAGTAGAGCGTGTCCAAACGCCATAATCAAGAGAAATTGGACGTACCATAACCGGTCGTCTGGCAAGGGCTCTGAATAGGGACCGTTCTCATAGAACTTGTGGAGGCCAGCGATGAAGGACTTTTCATGAAATATATGGTATAGCTGACCGAGATGGAATTTTACGGTACTTGTTAAGTGCAGGGCAAAGTCCAGAGTTGGTAACATGCTCAGACTTAACGGGCCAATCGCGCCAGTGGATGGCCACTGGAGTATATCTTCTGGGCCCTCGGGATTAAGAGGTATTCTTGGTGTTTCTGAGTTCTTAAGATGCTTCTTAATCAAATTTATGACCTGCTGACTATAACCCCAGGTCGATGTAGGGCCGAGGAAGCCTGTGAGAATGAGTATCATACTAGGTAGATGGAAGAATCAGTTGACTTACGCCGTTTTCCGCTTCCATCTGTAATGAAGGCAGACGGCCTGCTGGCCAATAGATTTCGTATATTGGGGGAGGTGTTACTGATCTCATGCTCGTCGACATTACTAGATTTTTTGTTCGTAGTAGTGGTCTCATTGGCGAGAGGAGCGCTGGGAACTGATTCGATTGGGGTTGGTTCCCTCGTGACTCGAGACGACGGCTCTTGATCTCCGTCGTTCAGCGAAATACGCCTTCGTTTGCTAGATGTTTCATTGTTATCCTGTGAAGAAGTTGATTTTCGCTTTAGTTCGGCAAGGTATCTAATTCATTAAATCATCAGAAATGCCCTTAAAGATCTAGCTGACAGCAGCTGAAGAGATTGATTTAGCAAGGCAGTAGCCATGGCAGTGAGAGATAAAGTAGACTTAAAGGCAGAAGTGTGAGTATACTTATACTGCGAAGAAGCTGATCTATTGCCCGATAATGCGACAAGGAACCGTTCGACTATGTGAAGGACGTGCAACAAAAGCCCAGTGACAACGCAAATAGGCTATAGGGAAAGTGCCATGAGATCTAGTAACGCACCGTCTAGATACGAACACCTTTCGCTCTTCTAGCTCAAACACACATTCTTGATGTCGTCGGATACAAGTACTGCAAGGCTGAGTGCCACTACATTTGACTTTGCGTTCTCGACACCCTCTGCACGCATTATCCGTTCGTTTAGGGCGGCTGCCGCTCGTCAAAGCCTCATCATCCCGCGCATCGAGAGCGTCCATCTCAAAGTGATTAATATAATGCTGCGATATGAAGCCTTAAGGCTAATTACATGGATTCGCGCGATTGATGCTCGAATATAGGCTTGGCACAAGAGATGCCTTACTGTAGGCGACATTGTCTAGGTATCGCCAAGCTATTATAGTACAATGTCTGTCAAGCGCCCCTAGACTGCCTCCCACTAGACTACTTCGTAAGTGAGTTGGTAATCAGCGTTAGTGCCAAGAAAACAAGGCACGTCGAATGTCTTCAATCAAAGGGTCTCAGCTTATTCAATACGTAAACCCAGAATTCACATGTCACGACGTAGGGCCGATTTCGGCTTTCGGCCGTCGCGAAGGCAGTATAGTTCCAATACCTAGGTAGGCACTCAATTACAGATATAGATGCATTAGGATTGATCAACGTGTTATGTTGGTTCAAAAAACAATGGCAAGGGAGCATAAATACGAAATTATTTGGATCCTGAATATTCAGACACAGAAGACAGGTAAATAAATATATGCATTGGTGCACACGCTTAATCCGTGCGTTATTAGATGTCACAAAGTTATTACATTGCGGGCATGTGCATCAAGACAAATCAGACTCCTTGCATTCACCCATCCGTGGGCGCTTTATGGAGGTACGTACAACTGATAATTATTACAGCAGCCCCCTAGGACAAAATCAACATGGTACATTCAGTCTATTGCCGGTTGAACGGACGCGCTCGTCTTCAGAAACGCAAAAGCCCTTTCAAACACCAGACTCCAACGCAATGCAGTGGCTAGTGCCGTTCTTATAACCGAGTCCATCATTGCATAGGTCGCCCTATCGAAACCCACAATCCTTATGTCCCGTTTATTCCGTGGTATTTTGACTCCCGCAACTGACGCCACACCGTTGTTCTAGTAATATACACTGGTTTGAGGCCCTGCTAGGTGGTGGCCAAAATATAGTTGTTTAAGCATGTCGGTCGACTGTTTTCTGAGGTCTATAATCTGGAATCTCGTCAAACCATTGTGCCGCTTCGTTGTATTTATATGCGTGAAATTCAATGCCATAGGGTTTCGGCTCGATAACGTAGACCACTCCAAGAGGCATGTCGAGATCCGCGATATCGTCTCGGGTAAGATCCATGAAGTACGCCATGAGCACTCGACAAACTGATCGGTGGCCAATGATGACGAGATGATCTTTGATTCGCTCAATTTCACGAACCATATCTCGAAGGCGACTGATTACCTGCAAGTATCCTTCACCTCCTACCCCGGGATAGACGTAATGGAGCTTGTCCATTTGGCGCTTAGTGTATTCATCAGTGTGATCACGAGCAATTTCCTCGTAAGTCAAGCCCTCAAACTTTCCTGCATTCAGCTCGTTGAGCATTTCCCAATTCTTGACATCATAGTCATCGTCTGCCTCAAAGTATTGAGCTGTTTGTATGCTGCGAGTCAACATCGACGTCCATACGCAAGTGTTCTTATCCAGTTCCTCGTTTAATACTGGATATGGCGGTGACTTGTCGCCAGGTAGAGGAGGGAAAGATGATTGCGCGATTTTGTTCTTCTGATCAATCAACCATTCTTGCCGTTTTTGAGTGATGAAATTGTACAGAACGCGACTATAAAGATAGCCACGGTCCGTCAATTCAGAGTTGCCGCCAATTTTTCCAAGGTGGTTATCCACAGATTGACCGTGACGTGTAATCCATATTTGCCGGGGTGACAGGTTGAAAGATGACAAGTATGTAGCGATTCCAGTACTAAGGAAACCCTCTAATCCGAAGTGTGTGAGTTTTTTGCCAACGTCGATCATCTATCTAAAGTTAGCCATTGGCGTAGCACGAGGACGTAACAGCAAGTCTTTACCTTGATGTATTGCATTCCATGCTCCTCCTCGTAGTCTCCAAGAGGGACATACGCACTTTCATACGCCTTGACCCGTTCTTTGAAATCTGCCAAAGATTTGACCGGGTCCTTGTCTTTGTAGTCAGGACCCGACAATTTAAGACGCATATTCGCTTCCAAAAGCTGGGATATGTTAGCATAAAGCGCCAATGTTCTTGATCGGTGCTAATTCATACCTCGGGATTCTGGCAAACACTCTCGATGTATAGAATCCCTAGTTTGGGCTCGCGGGCCTTAATATGGTCAAATATGTGTTGGCGGCGTTCGATGGTGCTATTTGTTGCGTCGAGAATACCAATTGAGCCACCACCATTGAGTACATAATCCAGCAACTCATCGAGCGTTTCCATGGCCATTTCTTCCCTGAGTTTGAAGGCCTCTTGATTTTTGGGGTCGAAGAATTTGGCTGAGTGGTCTGTATGGGACGAGCTTTCGTGATTTTGTTCCGAGGGCTTGTCAGTTGTGGAAGGATCCGGGTTTGTCTGCACCCCATTCGACAGGCCGGTTGTGGCTTCTCTGGGCGCATCTATTGGATTCTGTGGTACCGCCTTTGGGGATAGCACGTTGGCCTGGATGCGACGACGATTACCCACGTTGAAAATCTTGGTATTATGTTGTTGCCAAGCCAGATATCTACGGAGCTTCTTGGTGATATAAGATTTGCCTCGAGCCGGAAGTCCAACCATGACTATGACCAGCTTTGCGGCGACATCCCGGTCGGCAATTCTTCCGTCAGGAGAGACGAGCGACCGGGTCATACCCGGGATACTAAGAGTTGTTGCATGTGGCCGCACTCGTGGCGTTGCGGAGCCGGAATTCTGTCGAATAGGTGGTCTGCAGCACACAGTGTTAGCTACCATCCAAGGCGAGGGGATCTCTAATTCGAAGCTACAAGCAACTCACATCCTAGGCGAGGCAGGGGCTGTTGACGATATGCTCTTTGTATAGGGAGAGCCCTCCGTGGAAGATGTTCGTCGAATAGGAAGGGAAGCAGTGTTGGCTCCATTGTCGATGGCGCGGAGTGCATTGGCAAGAGACGAGGGATGCGCCGAGAGACCGAAATTGGGATTGGATAGAAGAGCAGGAGGAGGCATGATGTTGGGATCTAGAAGCGGAAATGGGGAGGACGTCATACTGCTCCCAGCTGAGGATGTCGGCGTAGGTGGTGATGCGCTGCCATCTTTGGGTTTTGCAGCACCTAACTGTGGACTGCCTGTGGGACGTTGTTGGGCCTGTGATGGCACAGATCGCGGGTTTGCGGACGCATCGACATTTGAGTTAGCGACGAGTCGCTGATTCGTCATTGCCACTATGGCGAGGGTTGAGAGACACGACTGCTTGCGAGCGATGCGGAATTCTGTTGTGGTGGTTGCAAGGCCCTGTTAGCAATTGGCAAAAAAATATATGGTGAGTTGCCGATATTCGGGAGCAGGCAAGTTTTCAAACAAAGGCGGCGTGTGCTGCGATTGATTCAACTTGATGGGATGGGAAGCTGGGAAGAGAAGAGGACTAGGAAATGGCAGGAAAATGAGAAAGAGAAAAAAGCGTGTGAGTAGGCTTTACTATATGCACTCTACAAGATTGAGGGTTTCGGGAAAAAAGTTAAATTGCAGAGGGGAAGATTCTAGGTGAAGCAAATAAACCATAAAAACTCACCAGCTTTGATGGTAGTGGTGGTGGTGGTATTTGGAGTGCGGTGCGTGTTGCTGCTGCAGCCAAGTGGGAGGTAGAGAGCCGGTTGCGCAATGAGTGGGCCGGAAACTGCTTTGGGACGGGGAGTCATGGCGACTTCCATCCTGTCAAGGGGTCTCGACATCATCTGGGATACTAAGTAAGGGAGGGACCTGGGAAGGAGCCGAGTACCTGCCAGTGACACGGTCTAGGAGGGTGCTACCCTTGGATGGGGGCAGGTAGCACGGAGGTAGAGCGATGGAACCTTGCTACCGGCGACTGCTGCTCCTGGTCAGAACGAGTTTGGCGATGTGGAGTGCAGACACATGCGCTGCATCAGGGGTGGGGGGTGGGGGGTTTATACTATGTACAGTGGGGTCCCTACTCCAGCAAAAGCATGCAGGTGTACTCAAGCACCCAGCAGCGGGAACAGCTAGGTAGCTCTAGGTGCCTTAGGTACCTACTTAGTAGGTCGGTAGGTACCTAACTCAGGCGCCGTGAGGTGTGAGACTAGAAGCCCTAGTCAAGGCACTGCGCTGCACGAGGTCCTGCAGGAGCTACCTAGATATCTTGGTATCTTAGCTGCAGGATAGAAGCACAACGAAGGCTTCTAAGCAGTAGCTAATGTACCTACGATGTAGGTAGGCGTCAGGTGGCGTAGAGGAGCCTTCCGCGGCCTTGCGAAACCCGATCCGACGGACGCCGGGCTATTTTAGGGCGTTGAGTATTACAGAACTTTGGAGACAGCAAGTGATCGATAGCCTAGGTATGTAGGTATGTTCAGTGTACGCCAGGTCGCTGTGGCCTGGCGATACGCAGCGCTTCGGTCTGGCCTAGACAAACGAGTTTGGAATTTGTTCGGCTGGAATCAGACGAAACCTGTGAGGCGAAACCAGAAACGACTGGTGGGCACTTTATCTAGGCACGGGCTGGGACGTCGCACTTTCAATAAGACGGCACCTTAGCACAGGGGTTCATCTCGAGGCTGCGGGCATGGCATGGAGGTACTACCATCAGCAAACTGGCTGGCAAGGTTGTGTCCTGTCCTCGAGGCTGGAGGCTGTGCTAGGGCGGTTGTGTCGAATGCTATTCACGTCATCTCTGTCCACTTTGCCGTCTCGTAGGCTTCAGTGCAAGACAGGCGCAGACGCCAGTCGGCTGTTAAGTGGGCTGTTTGTTTGCTGTATGTGGGCTCACACTCGTCTAGCGGTTCCGCAAGACTAGGCATTCGCGTGAAGCTCGCGCACATATATATACTTAGTAAGTCAGTATATATAAGTAAGATCACGTTGGTGGACCTCGGTCATGAGGTTCTCATCAGTCGTCGGGTAAGTAAGCCAGTGCTGATGCGGTGTTGGAACCCGTGTTGATGGGCAACTTTGATCAGGAACTGGGAATCTCGGGGGTTCTGCGCGCGTGGGATCAAGAGTTCTAACTGGGTGAATACAGTAAGACCCCAAGAAGTTGTCCTTGTCAGACTGAGTGCTGGCCTGGCAATGAAGGAGACAATATGCAGAGTCACCTGGGGGCAGAGTCCACGCTCGAATGAAATATTCAGAGATGTCTTGAGCTAATATATCATGGCTGAGAAAAGAACGGTGCTGCAACCTCTTGGCCCGAGATCTGTTTCGTCTATTGCCGGTGGCAGAAGATGACCATGGCTAAGTACAGTATAGATAGATGCAAATGTAACCGGAGAACAGTGCCCAGGCGATGAGCAGCTTGGCGGGCAACCCAAGACTCGGACAGCGAAGCGAAGCCTCGCACATAAATACACATTCTAGGTAGGTACATAACAACACCATACGCGGAGAGACTAGGTTGGTATGGATGAGGTTTTTCTTTTCAGAAAAGGCCGCAGCGTTTGTCGCAGGATCCCAGGTCGGGGTGGTATGTAGAAGACGCATATGAGATATCGATACATACTGTACTTACCTGCCTACCTACCCTCGCTACCTACCTAACCTATATTACAAGGGCCCAAGTAAGCATCTGCTGCGTCAAATCTTCTTCGCAAATGCACGTATTTGCCTGCATATCTTTGCGTCCCACCAATGGTTCGAACAGCGGCCATCTCCCCCGCATGCCTTCTTCTACACACCCCTTGCTTAGGAAAATATGTTATGCGGACATCTTGGGGGCCTGCTCACGGAGGCTGGTTGTGAAGACTGTACACTGCAACTACATAGCATCGAAGGGCGAGATCTTCCCTCGGACACCTGTTCGGACGGCTCGGTCTTATATCTTGCTTGGCTGTGTTGCCCTCCCTGGGTGTCTTATTCTGCCTACCACTTAGACGTATCTTGGCAAACCTCACTGCAGCGCCGAGACGGTACGGGTAAAAGCCGGCGAGGCTGCACAAGGGTTTCGCAAATCAGTCTTGGCTTCGCACTTGACAGATACCTACCGTATGTTGTACCAAATCTCCAATAAGTGAGGCTGGGAGGCGCGTTATCGGTGATACCTGGTTCAGTTCCTCTCATCTCCCCCTCCGCGTCCGGCGGTCTTCTCCAAACATTCAACGCCCATGTTCACCTCTGAAGTCATAGTGTGAGGTCAGCGTGCGCATGTGAGGTTTGGTTGCAAGATAAGCCGAGCCGACCTGTACAGTAGGTATTTCCTGTCACCTATCGGATCTTATCACCAATCCTCCCACCTACAAGTCAACGATGTGTGGCATATGTAGGTACTTTGATAACGGTATCGGGTAGTTATAAGCTACTAGATAGATCCACGATTACGCAATGCAAACGAACACACGGTATTCGGCACTCGATGGACGACGTTTTGACTTCTGATCGCCGTAACACAACTTAAGATGTGGAGTCTCTGGGGGATGTAGGCTATGACCTCACCACCACGTCTGCTCCCTCGAAAATATGTCCACCTACTATTACGCTTCACGTAGGTATGGTAAACACAAGCGAGGGCCATCTAATAGCCAAGGGCCAGCGCACGTGGTTGGGCCCAACAGCAACATTCGTTCCAACTGAAACGGAGATATAGTAGGCTCCGTGAGGGATTTCTGGGCGCTTATAGAATGCGACTTTGGGATGGTGTATAAATGGATGATTTTGAAGCACCGTATCGCTCTCCTGGATGAGCCAGAATGCAGGGTGTGCTGCAGGCCATGATAAGCTTTGGTGATATTACCAAGTCCCGACAGATATACCACCCTGCGGAGAAGTCTGGGCACCGTCACATGCCCAAGTGTGCTAAAGCTGAGGGTGTCGTCTGAAGACCGATAACCAGCACGACGAATCGGGTGTCCCTCTACCGCATGTCCCTAGCCCTTGAGGCATTTCCCACTCTGTTGGTCCGTACTTAGAAACATGGGGTTGGTAAACTTATCTTGCCTCTTCAGCTTAGGGCTTGGCAGGGGTGTCTTAGGTTAGTATTGAATGATGATATCGCTTCTCTGGAATATAGTCTGTGCCAAGTAAAAACTAAGCTCTAGCCAATACCAATCCACATTTCGGAGTTACCACACATCTAAATACTAGGAAACTCTCTGAAGTAGGTAAACTACATAATACGAAGTTAAAGTTAAGGCTGTCTAATTGTGGTGGTCAGGATATGCTTACTAGATTATGTTTTGTATCCAGAGTCAGCAGTGTAGGTACCAAATAGAGTCAAAGTCAGCCCTATCCTAAGTATGGAAGATCATAATGTCACCAAATGGCCCCTACTTATGTCCTGTAGGAAGTCCTGAAGTTCGAGTCCCTAGTCCGAGCTTAACTCTGGATTGGGATGAGTACATACTATGTTTATATATAGATATAGAATTTGGTCAGACACCTCTACACAACTAGTAATACCGCGTATCTAAGTCCGCCCGTGCATTTAGCTACCCAGGAATCAATCCTCCTAGATGAATGGCCAACACAACTGCCAGCCTAGGTAGTAATATCCCATGTGTCTGCAACATTCGTCGAAGCCGTTATTACTAGAAGTACTACACGCAAAGGATAACACGGATCTACAGTACTGTAAAGTATGCAACTTCGGGTTTAGTACGCTTAACTGTTCACAGAAGGTTCTCAAACGATTGGTAACTCTACCTGAGCATATCAGCATATTATACGTACCGGGGAATTAAGTTGCTAGATAAATGCCTTAGGATATATACATATATAACCTTGGAAGGCGGGAACCTAGTACCTAGAGAGTCCTGCCTTATGTTCTGTCTACAGATTCCTCAGTCAGGGGTAATGGTACGGCTATGGTGGCCAAACTGATTGTATTGATGTAGGTACCCTAGTCCACTGGCCACTTCCCCACGTCTGCCATCAGCAATGAGCGTTTAGTACTGTAGGTATATGCCTGTAGGTATTTAGACAACTCTCAGAAGAATTAGGTACCTGCCTGATACTGTACATGCCTTAGGCACTACCTACCTATCTACATATGTAGGTAGATATTCAATGTTATCCGTCCAAAGCCCCGGCGTCAGTTATAGTAAGTACCTACTGTATGTAAGTAGGAGGTGGAATGACACCTTAGGTATGTACTCCGGCGTCAGGTCTCTAAAAATACCCGTCTTATGTCCCCACAAAGATCTGCTGTAGGGTAGAGGCACTTAGGTATGCAAAAATCGCTTATCGATATGCCCCTCCATCTTCCCTCCATTTACCTACCTACATTTTTATGGGTGTACCTAGGTACCCTTATGAAACATTTGTGTAGGACAGCATAATGTGATTTTATTGTCCTCACGCTTTGTCTTTGGTGATGAAGTTTGCGGTGTTAGGGGTTGTTGCCTCGCGAATAGTTGTTTTCTGTCTTCCTTGTTACCTCCTCACTGAACCTCAACGATCTCATTCTATCCTGTCATGAAGCTACACGCAACCAAGAGAAAAAGTAAATTACGATATCTCGCCACACAAGCTTCTCGGCTAGGTATTGGAATTGTCATGGAAATCCTATACTGAACCCTAGCACCTGGGCAACTGCTGGTTTGTTCGATTACGACCAACTCCTCGTCTACTAAATCACAAAGCAGGTGCCTACAGATTGCTACCTTCTCAAGTAGTGTTTGCTTTCCACGAAGTCCACAACAACCCCCAGACTCTCCATAAGGTTCCTTGTATGCACCTTCCCCCCTCCACGAATAGGCTAGACATTTTCTTCCAAAATTCGCATTTTGAGCACGACGCCTACCTTGTCTCAAGCTTCTGCCACCAGCCCATCAAACCTTCCACCACCGTCCCCGACTCTTCGCCAAAGCAATATGTTTGGAACGACTCCTCCTAATAGAAACCACCCATCGTCCTGTTTGTGTCTGTCTGCACTGCATCAAACCTTTTGCATCTCCCAAAATCTGTCTTTGTCCGGTCGTACACTAGACAACGTCCCGCCTCATCTAATAGCCACACGCCTGGCCCTATAATTGTAGACACCGTTGCATCTCTCCTCTTCTGACTTCTTCACGCCTTGTGTGCTTGCTGCAGGTATCCGCTATGAGCGATTCCATGAAGGAAGTCGTCGAGACGCTCGACCCCGTCTCGAGACGGCTCATTCCTGCAAATATTCATTCGGGAACTCTGGTGCCTCTTAAAACTACTCTTGAGTTACGGGATAACCTTACTCTCGGCCTAGCTTACATTACCCGGGCCCCAAATCGCTATACCAATGATGTTGTGACGTAAGTCTTTCACTCATATGGCTTATCAAATACTACCAGTGGCACACTAACCTCGTTGCTTGCTAGGATTGCACGAGCCCTGGCCGGTGACGATGCGGCTAAGAACCTTCCTCACTTGCGCCGGTGCTCCAAGCCTGTCGATCTCCCTCCTCATCTCAAATCACAGTTCATGAACGAGGGCAGTGGAAGAGCAGTCCATACGGGGAAATCCAACTGGCTGTACATCTTGCTTGGCGCAAAAGATGAGCTGCCTTATGACGAACTCCTGAGAGGTCTTGCCTCTGTTGATGGCATTAGAGATGACATCTTCATCGGCATCATTCCGGTTCCTCTACTGGCTCCGACATCACAAGTCCAAGCCAATTTGTGGTCGCAGCAGTTTTGGCAAACTGTATACAGAAAGAACAACCCCCTTGGCCCTCATCCGAGTAATATTTGTCGAACTACCTCCGTTGTTTCCCGCGACGCATCTGTGTGGATGACCTTGGCGCATCAGGTGGCGAGAAAATCCCGTGATGACGGGCTTGGAGAGCCTATTGGTGCAGTTATCATCAAACGTACTGTCCCTGGAAAATTTGATGCTACCAAAAACGTGCTCATTAAAACTGAACGTTCAAATTCAAATGCAACTCAGAGCAGTCAGATTGCTACAGAACCCTCTTCCCATGAGATATCTGAGAACACTACTAGTCATGGTTCCCGTGACACTAGAAATACCGAAACTACTGAAGATGTTATAGACTCGGAGACTTCAGGACAAGAACCAGAAGATAAAGAAACTACCCAGATTGTCGCCCTCGCGGGAGACGCTCGCTGGTATCAACAGGAGAAAACTGGCCGTACTGGAAATCCCATGGGGCATGCAGCTCTTCGGGCCATTAGCATGGTGGCACAGAAACTAGTTAGAACCGAGAACAGAACCGAAAACAAACCAGCCATTATGGAATTTGAGGCATTCCAGGATGGCCCTTTACTTGATGATGAGCAAGTCGTTTTTGAGGCTGAACATCCGTGTCCTGATGGATACCTCTGCCACGACCTCGAGCTTTATCTCACGCATGAGCCTTGCGTCATGTGCGCCATGGCCATCTTGCACTCACGCATGGGCCGCATCGTATTCCGTCATCGCATGCCACTTACCGGTGGCATGAGCTCGGAGGATCGTGGCTACGATGCTTGTGGTAATTCTCTCGCGTGTGAGAATGCCCCGTGCGGAGGTGGCCGCGGGCTTGGGCTGCACTGGCGCAAGGAGTTGAACTGGAGTATGCTAGGATGGGAGTGGGAGACGGACACGGTTGAACGGCTCGTTGTTGATCCTCATCTGCATGCATGAACCGGAATCTTCATATTACTCCTGAGCACAGGAGACCTTCTAGAAACTTTTGATTGAGGCAAGCACAGGAATTAGGTAATCCTCTTGTCTGACAGTTGGCATCGTGGAAAGGCATACCTATTACAAAGAAGCCGCAAGGCGAGAATCAGCATAAAGGTGCTTGACCCACCTACGACATCTTAACCGAAATGCCGGGGTTCAAGAGCAGTTTTGCACTCGATGCTTCCACCAAGCTTGGTATTCTTCTTGATGAGCAAGCATATAGAAAAACAATAAATCAATTTCTACGCCCGAGCCAGAAGATTCGTATTATTTCCCTTTCAAGTGCATTGAAAGACATATTGTACAACAGGTCAACGATTACCTACCTAGGTACCTCGTGCAGACTCGTGCTTGGTTGCCTCAAGTGTCGCTTACCCCACCTAGCAGGGGTTGGCGTCTTATCTTATCGCAGTGACTCCCTGCAGTCCTGTAGGTAGGTATGAGGTAGGAGCATTGTGGCCCTGACGCAAGCTCCCCTTCCCTGTTCCCTGTTCGCCTTGTTCTTTATCGCATTGACATCTGTAGCGAACCGTACTGGAGGTGGAAAAGGCGTACCGTAGCAAATGGACGCGACCGGAACCTGCCTTTGATCTGCTTCCTTAGTTCGTCCTCCACAGGACGTTCTAAAATGTCCTTTCTTTGACTGCACAGGTCCATCATTCTGCGTACCCTCAGTCTCCATGTTCATTGGCGCATCTCAGTCGCTAACAAAGCCCCGTGTTTCGAACAAGTACCAGTGTTCGCCCTGAGGGGGAGCTGCAGGCTGGTATGGACCACTAGAAAGCTGATAGCAAATGTTATAAATCACATACTGTCGACCACGATGCCTACGAATACAACCAAGAAAGGGCAGGCTTCCAAGCCGAGCGCAAAGTCTACCCCGGCCACGACCGCCAAAGCAAGCAAGAAACGAAAGATGGATGCCAATGCTCAGAAATACTACGCTGTGCGTGCTGGGAACCAGCCCGGCGTCTATCTTACTTGGGCGGAATGCCAGGAACAGACAGCAGGTTTTCGGGGCGCATCATGTACGTCTAGAAGCAGTCAGTTAGAGGACCTATCAGCTAACCATATATACTTTAGACAAAAGCTTCATAAGTCGAGAAGATGCCGAAGCCTTCGTCGCGGGGAGGAAAACATCCGCAGCGGCCGATGGCGAGGAGAAGTTCTATGCTGTAGCTGTGGGCAGAGTACCCGGCATTTACACCGACTGGGATGAAGCGTCCCTTGCGATTGTAGGCTGGAAAGCCCCAAAGTACAAGAAGTTTTTGACTCGTGACGAGGCGATCGAATTCATCCGTACTTATGGTAATGAAGAGGCGCAAGCATGGCTCCTGAACGAGAGCGTCGAGCCGCCGAGCAAAAAGACCAAGAAGACTAAAACATCGGACGAGCTTGACGGCGAAATTGTTGAAGACGAACCGGACGTGCTGCGGATTTTCACCGATGGAAGCAGTCTTGCTAATGGCCGCGCCGGGGCAACAGCAGGCGTTGGGGTCTTTTTTGGCGAGGACGACGAACGGTACGTAAAATAGCAGTTTTTGTTTCATGTGTCGACCAACTCATTACTTATAAATTCAATAGAAATGTCTCGGAACGTCTTGGCGGGGAGCCGCAAACCAACCAGCGTGCCGAACTTACTGCCGTACTTCGTGCATTGGAATTGTCGAAAAAGGACGCGAAGATTAGAATCTTCACTGACAGCAAATATACTATCGACTGTGCGACGAACTGGTATAGATCTTGGGAAAAAAACGATTGGAAGAAATCCAACGGCGTTGACGTGTTGAACCAGGATCTCGTTAAACAAATTCGAGTCTTAATTGACAAGCGAGACAAGGCGGGTTTTGTGACCTTATTTCAATGGGTCAAGGGTCACAGTACCAATGTTGGAAACGTTGCCGCTGATAGACTCGCCGTGGCGGGTGCCCGGAAGAGATGATTCGCCACATTGGTACTGAGTTTACAGGAATACTGTGCAAACTCAGAGTATTTAGATCACTGGTGGATTGAAGAACGATTTAGCTCACCAGGTATTTTCTTATTGCAATCATGCGATACCCAAGTACATAATCCATTAAATTCACTGCTCGTGAATTCGTAGCCAACCCACCCGAGTTTATGTATCTAGCTACGGGCGGCAAGCAATTTCATAGTCTGTTCGGTTTACAATGGCATTAGAAGTCCATGAATCTGAAGGGTATACTCTCACCAAAGAAGCTATTCTCATAGCTTAAACTCTCTGATATAGAATCGAAACACGATCAAGCGCTAGTTGAATAGTACGATCGCTTGTTGCATGCCTCATATTGTGTCTAGGACGGATGTAATATTATAGTATGTGCTGTCATGTTGCATATAGGACATCTCAACCCTATTTGCCTCTTAGATAAATTTATCAGAACCACCGATCTGCGTGTATCTCTCATCATACTACCAGTGAGAGGACCGGCCCTTTAAATGAAGACTGTCCGATATAAGCGACACCCTTGCTTCACGGGCCAATTGGCAGGTACTACGTTCCGAACATACCTCTCAGTCGATTATGGGGGTTTGGAGCAAGTTGCCACCCTGTATATATGAATGACTGACCTCTGCTCCTTACATGTCCAATGAAAGTGAAGATATCTAGAGGTTCATATAGATTCTCCCCCAATTGAGGGGTACCAGAGAAAGACTGGGATTAGTATCTTGCTTCCGACATATTCTCGCGCGCCTTTAGCTAGTAGAATGATGGGCGAGATCATCATGGTATGCTTCGGAAAAGCCTGACGAGATAATCACACCAAGAAACCCTTGGATCAATGTCTACCAAAGGAATGATATTGCTTTTACTTGGCCTTAAGAGTGGGGTTCATCCGGAACACGAGGTATACTGTAGGTATGCATAAGCATAAGTCGCGAGATGAGCCCATTATAGTAACTACACGCCTCTATATAGATAACCATGCCAATGAGTTTGATCCGATCGATTTCGTAGATTAATCGGCCGACCAAAATCCCATAGTTTTTGGTGCAGTACCACCGCCTTGGCTCAGGATTGTGTGGAGGTAAGTGCGGAGTAGGCATCTAGATACCGGTAGAACCTTGCCACTAACTCCGCCTTGGTATGGTCGGTAGGCAGCACTTACTCATACTCCGACCATACAAAGTTTACCGACTAATATGCGTCCCGACATCTACTGTTGACGGCATCCCGACTCCTAGCAGCGACGGTAACCTTGCATACATGCTGAGAAATTCTCGTCAGCTACCTAGAGACACAGCGTCGGTAACATATACTACCAGAACGGTCGAGCCACTTGGGTCCATAGGTTTAAGATCGGTATATCATCAGCCTCGACTCGCTTTACATCGGGAACACAATCTTGGCACGGATTTCCGTCTTATCATACCGTTGCAACAGCCCCATTACTTTGTGTTTCCAATCCGCCGTTGCGTCTTCTCTTGACTATCATCTACTCAAGACATAGTCCCAACTAACCGAATCCCTCCTTAACCTACCTACCTCACTGGTTGTATTGATTTATCACGCCTTCGACTCCCCCGAGACCAGGCACCACCACGTCACGCGAAACTTTATCTTGTCTCTGCGCTTCGTTTAAAGTGGCAGGCTTCAGCTCTTCATTGCCCTCATTAATACGCTCAAATGGTTCAATAACATCAGTTTCATACTCGCCGGCTTATCACTGTTTTCCGGCGCTACGGGCAGCAGTAGACGATTCGGGAGTTACTTGACAATAGTGTTGTTGCTGCCGGTGAAACCCCCGGCACGTCGTTTTCACCTCATTCACGATGCCAACTCTGGACTTGTCCAACTTCAACATCGTGGTCAGCGTTCTAGGGGGGTGGATCTCCCTGTTTGGCTTGGTATCCTATCTGCTGAAAGAAAACTTCTACCTCTCAGAAGCTCGTAAGTTCAAATCCTCGTGTCGTCCAGCCCTCATCCTATATCGCCATTATTCTGCTCGTCTTGGCTAACATCGCCCCATCTCTCTTCAGTCATTTCTCTCTTAGCTGGCATTACTTTTGGGCCTCTAGCACTCAACTGGGTGCGGCCCATCGAGTATGCCAGATCTGAAGAGAACTTGGAGAATGTGACTCTGTTCTTCACCCGGTTGGTTCTTGGCGTCCAGCTTGTTCTCGCCGGTGTGCAGTTGCCGAGCCGTTACCTGAAGAAAGAATGGAAACCACTCGCCCTGCTTCTTGGGCCCATAATGACCGCTATGTGGTTGGCAACATCCCTCCTAATCTGGGGACTGGTCCCGCATCTCCCTTTCCTCCATGCGTTGGCGATAGGAGCTTGTGTGACGCCCACTGATCCTGTTCTTTCGAATGTCATTGTCAAAGGTAAGTTCGCAGACCACAACATCCCCAAAGACTTGCAAAAAATCATCATTGCGGAATCTGGGGCCAATGACGGCTTGGGGTACCCCTTTCTGTTCCTCGCTCTCTACCTCATCAAATATATCGGCGATGGCGGGGTCTCCGAGTCCGGTGGTGCAGGCCTCGCAATTGGTCTTTGGTTTGGAGAGACGTGGGGTTACACTATCATTCTCAGTACTTTCTACGGTGCCGTGGTGGGTTGGCTCGCTAAGCGTTTACTTCGTTATTGCAAGGATCGCGGGTTCGTTGACCGAGAGAGTTTTCTGGTATTCGCCTTGTCTTTGGCTCTATTCATAACTGGTACCTGTGGTCTTATCGGAAGTGATGACATTCTGGCCTGTTTCATTGCTGGAAATGTCTTCACATGGGATGACTGGTTTCGATTGGCAACGATTGATGAGGTCCGTATTTACACTGAACCCCTAGTATCGTTTATATGGTATGCTGACTACTACAGTACGCCTCGACCCCAAGTTACAATAAACATATATTTTGTAGGCTTATATCACTGACATTGATTTCTTGGTGCTAGCTCTCTTCAACCAACTATCGATATGCTTCTTAATGTGGTCATTTTTATGTGGTATGGAGCTGTATGTCCCTGGCGCAGCTTTGTAGACAACAGCGTCATACCCATTTATCGCCTGATACCATTAGGCATCTTGGTCCTGATACTTAGACGACCACCATTCATTCTGACTCTGCATAAGCAGATACCGCAAATCGAGGATATTAGACAAGCTACTTTCATGGGTTTCTTTGGCCCTATTGGCTGCTCCGCCATCTTCTACCTTTATGTCACTGTTGATTTCATTGAAACCTTGAATCCTGGGGTTGGAGATGAACCGAGACATGATGTGGCAAAGATGGCAGAGGCGGTCAGAGTAATCGTCTGGTTTATGGTCGTCGTTAGTGTTGTAAGTTTTCTCGCATCCCTGGGCCCATTACCGTAATTTACAATCAAGAAGGTTGTTCACGGTTTGAGCATTCCCTTGGGGAAAGTTGGCGTCTACCTACCCCGAAGTATCTCGAGAAGTCGGAGTATGTCCGTGAGCGCTGAGCGGCCATCTCTGCAGGCAGGTAATTGTAAGTGATTTTACTACTTCAATCACTCCGCACAACGCACCTGCACCAATTTCATATTCATATAGCTGGGGTTCTTGAACACCGGCGACAACAAAGAGCTGTATCCAACACCTGCTAACAATCTTGATTCATTCTCAGTCATCATTGACTTACGATTACCAAGAGGCCGGTCTAGGAGCCGCAAGGGTGGTAAAACGTTAGAGTCACGAGTCCCTTCTATAGGACATGCGTACAGAATTGGTGGTTCTGTAATTGTCCCACCAGAGCCGGTCCAATACTCATTGTCGTCCGAACACCACGCTCAACCTGAAGATGGAAACGGCGTGGCTCCACGACTTACTAGAACGAGTTCTCAGCCGAGCCTGCACATATATGGCCCTCCGGGTCGAACAGTCCGATTCCCAGATGAAGCGTCTCCTAACAAGAATCAGCAACAAATTGGGGTAGAGGAGCAAGGTTCTGAACGCAGTAACGTCTGATAGGAACCGATCACTGGACAAGGGAAAAATCGTCGACTGTAACGGTGAGGTTGGCAGAACGTCGATTGTCAGGTTTGAAAAATTGGTTAGTAGTAGTCATATCAAAGTATGGACTACCTCCTACATTAGTATTCAACATGATTGCAATATTTTTATGGCTTCGCTAGTACCAGCTCCTGCGGCTTAGACTGCCTATCAGAGCACCGTTGTCCTACAAATATAGACATCTACATCTATTCGCTATTAAGTCTACACGGTACCAGACTTTGTTGCTAGCATTGCGACCTTGTTAGTACTTTGAAGAATCGAGGCTATCAACATTGACACCTGCTAAATATCACCATCTCACGCTACCACCTCGACTATCTGTGTGTGGTAGGTACCACTTTCCGATAGCGGGACACGACTCATTAGCGTTTGATTCCAGCGTGGCTCAGGGCCCAGGTGCGTCTAGTGTATACCTAATTACTAGGTACCTATGTAGATACTGTATGTGCATCTGATGCAGAGGTTGGCAGCTATATTACCTCTTAATTAGAAGGAGAACGCCGGCTTCGTGAACTCTATTGTACAGATATTTAGGCATGAATGCATTTTTCTATATGGCCCTGTCCGCGCGTTACTACTTGCTTCCATATCAGTGCATATAGATACATGTAGATAAGAATTATACATGTACTTATGTATGTATGTAGGCGACCAGGTACCTACATGCTTACATACATACTATGTAGGTACATTCCTAATCTCTGGAAGAGGGACCGGCCCTTTTTTGCCGAGATAGTGAGTCCCTGGAGGTTCTTGAACTCATATTAGTCAGGTGACTGGATAGACTTGAGCTCACCTCAGGCTACCGCAGTCAGTTTAGCATAGCAGTCTGTGGAAACATCACGGTAAATCCTCACAGCCAACATCCTACCTACATCCTACATCCTACATCCTACATCTGTCAGGAACCACATTCTTGGATAACCCAAGATCCCTTTTCTTCCTAGTCGCTCCCCACTTCTGCTTTTTTGCTGTCGCTGGCGCCGCGTCGACTCAGCTACCGCCTACCGGGATCCTTAGGCAACGCCCCAACCAAAAGCTAGCCCCCAACTTGCTGCCATCCGAACCGCCGCCACGATACCCTCGCATTTTCATCTGCCACCCCCATCAGCCACGCGGGACACTCTTGTTGCGAGGCCGTCGACTACCACCATCAAAAGACACCCTGATTGAGCCAAAACCCTGCAAAACGCTGGTGTCATTTCGCCTCGGTCACTAGCAGTCTTCTGCTGATAGTCCACACCTCCCGAAACCCATCCTGATGCCAATTGCGGGCTCGACTTGACACCAGACGGAGACGCAGACCCCGACGCCTCTCCAATTCCACGACCACGCGACAAGCCTACTACGCCGCTCTGCAACTGTCACCTTTTTGACGGGAATAAGGGGACCGACGATATCTCTATCGCCCTGTGTCTTGTCGGAGACCTGTTCATCTTCGACCGCGACTGTGATCTCCTAGCGTCGTCATTCGTTGACTATCACAGGTGTCGGCGCAATGCTTTAGAGCGAAACACACAGCGACATTATTCGAGTCCATTCTTTGTGTTACGAGATTTTAGCTGTAACAGTATTGTCTCACTACGCATGCGATCTGTCCCGACATATTTAGTAGCCAGCTACTTTCATTCATAAAAACCGGTCAATTAAAAGTGCAACGGAATCTATATACAGGGAAAGAGACTAAGCACCTAGGTGGTGGCTGAAGCTTCTCAGCAGAAGCCATGCCTTCCTCCGAGTCCTTTATGTTTCCCGAAGAGGATCAAATGACCGATATGTTCTCTTCCTGCGAGTTTAATTCCGCGTTTCACTTCAACGAAGCCGCCAATGTCAATTCACCGATGAAAGATGTTGGTATCATGGATTTCCAAGGAGGCGATGGTGATGGCTCTACGATGTATGGCGGCTCTGGGTATACTTTCCCCCAACACCCTGGTCAGGTTATTCCCACTACGAATAAGCCAAAATCCCAACTACCTTCACACCGGGGATCGACTTCTTCCTCATCATCGTTGAGAAGCACCGACTCGGGTTCGCCTCAGACTTCAGTACACGCGACACCGATCAAAACTTCTCCTGGCGAATGGCCAGAAGATATTGGTGGTAATGAGGACGATTTGAGTATGGACTCCTCTATTGATATGTCTCAATTCCTCACCTTGTCTGGTGAAACGAGCAGCCCAACTCCCCCTGTTCCAAACGAGCTATCGCCAGAATCCCACACCTCCACCGAACCTTTGTCTCAAGGGCGCGCTGTTAAGAGACGAAGAGCCCGGTCGAAGCGGCGCACGGTAAGTTTTCTAATTGAACTAATTATAACAACTCATTCTCACATTACTTAGGGACAGGTATCGAGTCGGTTGCCGAGCAAAGTCACAAGTCAGGGTCTAAGCGAGCTATCCCCTGTTTCGGCCTATATCCCCAGCACTGAGTCGTCACCAGGTACTGTGTATACCAACATGCCGTCGCCTGATGGGAATTTCAACAATTTTGGGGATACTCTTGGCGGTATGAACATGCCTGCAAACTGGACACCCATAGTGAATGGTCAGATTGGCAATCAATTGTTCCCAGTGTCAACTTCCGATTCTACCTATATACCGCAAGTTAATCACTATAACCCGCCCAACAGTAACACACCAGCACCCATATCACATTCGTTATTGCCTAGATTAGTGATACATCCCATGCCAGCTAAGTCCCGGGTCGAAACACAAATCCCGCTTAAGATTACTTTGCATAATCTCCCAAAGGGGATAAAGAGGGTACATCTTCCGACTCACACGATAGCTAAGCCGAAATTGTTGCAAAAACCTCCAACAGGACCAAGCCCGGACATGCTAGAATTGACAACAATGTTGGTCTGTACAAGTGCCATGACCGATGAAGGGAAACAGAAGCGAGCATTCACACGTGCTGCTGGGAAATCTAACAGCAATGAGCCGAATAATTCTATTGATGGCAGTGAGGATGAAGAGAACAAGCCACAGAATGGAGGTGAGGTACGAATATGTAATGGGTGCATCACACGGGAAAGGAAACGTGCTGGCCGGAAAAAGCATAAGAAGCCGGAGGAAGAGGAACTTTGGGATCGGTACGAACGGGAGCGAGCCATTGTCTTCAATACGCTGGAGGTTAAAGAATGGCAAACCGTCACAGCGGTCATGGCCGACCCCACCGGAGCTGGACTTAGAGAGGCCATTCGTGAAGGCACAGTGCAAGTTGACGCCCCCATGCGCATAGCGTGTTACTGTCGCCATCATGGCGAGAAACTCGGGTTTCAAGTGATTATTACACTCAAGGACTATAATGGGAATGTCGTCGCCCAGGGTATGTCATCTTCAATAATGATAACAGATGATCACAAGACTCCTACCCATACTGGCCCTACCACTACAACCCAACTGGAGCAGTCGCCTCAACCCCTGACTGCCAATGCATCGCCGACATCGTTGCAGTCAGGTGCTCCTCAGCCGCCGACGACACAGCCCACGTCAATGGCACCTAGCGGTGCCCAGACATTGGTTCCCTTTCAGTCACATTCTGATGACGTTTCTGCTCTGCCTTTCCGTCAGAATCATTCTACATCAGATTTACGAACCCACGAGCAAGGCTGCTCCTTGGATATGTCCTTTGGTCCACACGGAAGCAGTTCACAATTGACATCAACAACAGCAACACCACACAATCTCTCGCGCCAAACGTCGCCGGCTAGTCCTTTAAGTACAAGTAGTAGAAAAAGAAAGGCCAGTATGGTTGGTAAGGTACCTGCCGGCCTTGCTATGACGAAGATTGAACCAAGTCAGCCATCACCACCAATGGCCCATAGCATTCAGAATGAGTCCGCTGTCATATCTGCAGGAACATCGCCGTTCTCAGCAGCTATGGCACATACACCGTTACATGGTGATCTCTCGAATCCAAGCCAACAGCACATACTCAATACTGTATCCCATCAATCGCTTGGTGCGGGGCCAGTCACTCCAAACAATAACGGGCCAGAGCCCTTCGTTTTCACTGGAATGAACAACAGAGTCATGAACATAGAACGACCGGTTCATCAGTTATTCTCTGCTCCAGTATCTGCACATCCCAGCCGTGCCCCCAGCCCAAGCCAGCTTAGACCTGAAGGCATGCATCATTCCCAAATATCCCAAGATATGCTTCCCGTACCTATAGCGCCACCACCGTCTATACTCAGAATAATTCCTAACGAGGGATCAAAAAGCGGAGGTGCCGAGATTACCGTTCTCGGCAGTAATTTTACGAATGATGGCCTGGAAGTTTATTTTGGACAAAACAGGGCAATAACCACGACGTTCTGGGGACCGACATCCCTTGTATGCATGCTTCCGCCCTCGCCGGTACCAGGTCCTGTTCCTGTGTCAATAAAACAACCCGGAAGACGACCGGTCCCACAATCTGCTCTTTTCACCTACAAGGATGACGAAGAGAACGAACTCATCCGCACTGCGCTTTCAATACTGGCAGGCCAGTACGGGACAATGGGCGCAGATCCTATAGGAATTGCCAGGCGTATCTTATTCTCACAAACTTCGGCATCTGGGTCAAATAATCAATCTCTCCATGGTAATGGCAACAATCCCTTTACCCACCTCCGTTTGGAGTCTGGGGAGGCTGTCGAAACCAGTCTTCTTCGGGTTCTTGAAGTGTTAGATCTTGATGAGAGTGCTGACACAGCTCGAATTAACCTCCGGGGCCCTAGTGGGCAGACTATGCTACATCTAGCATGCTCACTTGGGTTTATACGTTTTGTTGCTGGTCTATTATCCCGGGGCGCCAGAGTGGATGTCAGGGACAAGGGAGGGTTCACCCCACTTCACATGGCAGCAATGAATGATCGCCCTGAGATTGTACGTCGACTTATTGCTAAAGGGGCGGACCGCAATCTGCAGTCTCGATCTGGCCTCACACCTATGGATGTCGCTGGATCCACAGCTGTCTGTCAGACTCTACAACATGGCGAAACTCGTGTTCGTTCTCGAAGTGAGTCTCGCCTTAGCCGGGCTAGTAGTCGCACCTCTATGCGATCCCTCTGGGAATCTTCTACGATGCCACCAATGCATCGCCAAGAAGTTTTGCCGGGCAAATTCGATTCAGTGGGGAGTGTCAATGACGGCGATTCTGATGAAGAGGTCATGACCGAGAATGTCACAGATTGGCTTAATAAAGGCCGCACCCTCTCTGGACTACGTCGTCGGTCTACCGTGGAAACGCATCCAGTGAATGAAACAGAACAAGGCCCAGCTTCTCCTGGTGCCACAATGGCGGCTATTCGGGAACAATTTGCAGCCCAGCTGCAGCAATTTCAACATTCCATGGCATTACATCTTCAAAACCTACCCCAGTTCCAGATGCCCAACATGCCGCAGATCCCGAACCTCCCCAATCTTCCGCCTATGCCCGTATTGCCTAATTATCAAGCTTATATACAGTCGGCTCCGATGATGCAACGAATCAGTTCACTTGTTCCTAACATGCGTACACAACGACCAGATTCTCCGCAGGATCCTGCAAGCAACACTAGCGAAAACAAATGGGGGGTCTTGCAGTTTTTTGGAAACAAAGAGTCTCCTCCGGCTTATGAAGACATCTTTCCCCAGAAGGGTCTCGATATTAAACAGTCATCGGCTGCTCAAGCCGCTGCGGACTTCGAAGCTAATACGAAATGTGCCTCCCTATTCGATCAAGAGCAAGGTCAAGATCAAGATGTCGCGGAGAGCTCTCAATCCCAAGAAGTCCCTGCTGTCCTTCAGATCGGACGCAAGCATCTTATTACTAAAGAGCAACAAGAGACTCTTCAGAGAGCTCATGCTCAAAGGCTCAAGGCGGGTAGCAGTGATAAGATGCTCTGGTTTGTCTGGGTAAGTTCACAATAAACTCCAGAAATAACGATATAAAGCTAATGATGCTGTAGATCCCTATTTTAGTGCTTGTTCTTGGTGCCATGCTTTGGAGTGGTGCCCCTACACTAGTTTCCAGTACAACTAGTGCTATCAAGACACTCGGTGGTCTTATAACAAATCCACGAGATATCAGTAACCGAGTCCGCAACATCGTCCAAGAGCTAGTTTAAGCCCCAACTCCAAAACGCACACCGGTTCTCTTTCAGCTAGTGTCATCGGTCCCTCGAAACTGCCTTAGGGTATTCATTCCACATATAACATCCATGCCCATACATGCCCATACTTTACGACCTTAATTAGCTTTATACTCTCGGCCCAAGCCATCACAGTTCGTTTTCCCACTTTTCCTTTCTCTCCGTTCGTTCGACATGTGTACATAATCATATGATGGGTCATGAGGGTTTGGGAAGGAAGCGCGTCTCAGGTTCGTTATAAAACTGAGGAGGCTCTTGCCGATAATTCGCCAGCAGCTCAGGAAAGGTGCTATAGAACGCAAATACTGTTTTCAAAGCATAGCTTATTACCATACCGGGTTTGGGGGGTATGGAAAACGCGTAGGACAAGGTTGCAATAGTTATCGGCCTGTTGAAAATCTAGCAACTGTACTAAAGACTAGCTGCTGCGAAATGTAATAAGTACAGCCGTTATATATATATGAAACTCTTATATTTTAACGTACCTTTTATATCTAGGTCTATTTTCAAGCGAAGTCTATTTTTAAATGCAATTCATTTTTAAACGTACGATTATTTTGGCTTAATAAATAGTTACAACTTAAAGCTACTAGCGATATTTTATGAAGGCTGCAAAATGTTCCGTCAAAGGTCTGAACTGTGAAGCGATTGCAATAGGTTTCCTAGCCTTCAGGGGTCCATACATCTTCTCTCTCAACTATACAGTGTTGTTTCACAGTGCGTGTGGTAATTTTATACAGTGCACATGCATCACATTTAATAACGATAAAAAATATTTCCTAACCAATAGGCTTACAGTTTTAAATAACAGTTGTATGTCTTTGCTGCTAACACTATTTTTACTTCAAAAAATATTAGCCACGGTTATTTTCAATACCCCCCAGACCTGGTATGGTAGGTAGTGTCGAAGCCTAAGGGTTAGGTTTTGGTTGCTGCATGGCTCGCGAGCTTATATAGTTTCTATCGCGTATTATGGAGGGCTTGCGGCTGACATTTGGTCAGGAGGAAATTAGAGTATGAGAACTGATGAAGATTAAATTCAAATAAAGTCATTTCAAATCAAACACTATGAGCGGGTACGTGACTGACCTTGAAATGGTGGTACAGCGTGGGAAAAGTCGACTGAAAACCTCATTTTCACACCATTCTCGTTCGGATATGGGTGATGCACAGCAAATGGCATATGTCGAACTTATCATCGTTGCTGTTAAACACATTCAATCAACCCCCTTGCTACATGTAATGCTAAAACTCAGATAGATAAACAGACGGACAATTACAACATGTCATGAAACAAAGAAGATACGGTCTACTGTTCTCTCCTTCTCGAGCAACAGATAAATATAGAGCACGTAAGATTCATATATAACTAGGTATATAAAGTTGTGAGAATATTCTATAGAACAAGTTTCTTCTCCTGTTATCGTGATCATGAGGGAGTCTCGAGTGAAATAACTCAGAGCACGCTTGCTTGCTGGTTTGAAAAAACAGTGCATCAGACCGAACACCAACACGATCAGACAAGCCAGTGAAACGCCCATATACATACAATATACCCTCCATTCATTCCCACCCCACGCCGTCTATCCCCCCAGAGATCGAGGGGACACGGAAGATAGGGAAGTAAACGAAGAGGAACAAACAAAACAGCCACATCGACAAAACTGTCAGGATTGAAATTCCATATCATTTCCTGTTCCAATTTAATCAACCCGATTCAACTCAAACCAAAAGAACCCGAATCAGACAATGGGATTGAACAATGTAAACAAGAACAGAATCCCCCCCAAAAAATCAAACCAAATCAAAAACCCGGATTAAACCGGTAGTGTGTGGCGGTGTAATTCGTGATCTCATTCATTACCTGCCCAGAACAAAAATTTATCATATTCATGATCATCATGATTTTCGTGAAGAATCGAATCGAATCGATATCGATACCAAAATCGAACAGACAAGATATCGAATAGAAGAGAAACAAAAACACATCGCTCTACAATGTTTCTCTTTTTCCTGTGCCATTTCCCCCTCCTCCCCATCTTTCAAGCTTTCCAGGATAGGAAAGCGTTGTTCGGGATAGGAGAGAAGTAACCGCTGAAGCAGGGGAGAAAAGAGGAATAACACCTGGAAGTGGAAAAGAGAAGAGCAGATGAGAACGCCAAAAACACCTCTGGTACCCGCCATTGGTCTCATGAGTAGTAGTAGTGCACATGCCATCCATGTATGCATTCCATCCATCCGTGCAAGAAAGAAAGAAAAAAAAGTCAAATCAAAACCAGATCAAAACCAAGCCGAGCCGATCCAAGGTAATTTGATTCGTTCCGTTTTTTCCCCTCCCATTTCCATTTTATTCCCATTTTTATGCCGAGCGAACTTGGTCGCTTGTTTCATGAGGAACTGAATGAAGAAATCAGAGGATGTAGAAGGAAGTGGCATATATCGTGATGGGTAAAAGCGGGCTCCCGATGGAACCGAGAGAGAGAGAGAGAGGTTGAGAAAAGACAGAAGGTTAGTAGAGCATTGAAACTCACAAGGCACTTCCTATATGCCATTGCGGAAGCTCGTGCTGTCGATAATGCGCCTCTCGCGAGTGTCGGCCCCGGTTCTCGTCCCCGTCTCCGTCAACGGTCGCCGTACGTTGCTGCCAGTCAGCGTCGTTTTCCTTGCCGTAGTTCCTTCCCTCGGCTTTCCCGCTGTCCTCGGACCGACGCATCGCCAAATCCGGCCGGGAGCCGCGGTCTTTGAGGTGATATGCCTTGCCCGTGTTGTGCCAGCGCTCAGGCGCCTTGGCCACCACAGCGGGCACGCCGCTGCGATGGTTCGCGTCTGTCATCGTCTGTAGAGGGGATTGCATCGTCCTTCTCGTCTTGGCATGTGTTCGCTCCTCAACCCCGACGCTACGTGTGCTGTCGATGGAATCCCGGTGGATCACCGGGTCTTCGAGCGACACGCCCTGCCATTGTCCTAGTGCGTTTACAGGCTGTGGAGTGTTGCTGCGCGAGGTTTTTGCCCTGCTGTCGGTTCGCGTGGTTGATGAGCTACGCCTCTGAACTCGATAGTTATCGCGTTCGCGTCCACGCTCGCGATCGGCGGTCCTGCCTCGAGTGCGAGAAGACTCCATCAGGTTATATGAGAATGTCTTGCGAGGACGTCTCACCCCTGAGCCAGCTTTGTCGTTGTCTGCGGTTCTTCCGTTCCTCTGCTCGTCATAATCGCCCATCACTGTGTCTGCCATACCCGGTGATGGAGAGCGGAGACGAATGGGACGATCATCGGGATATACTGAGCCGCCTGACGAGACGGACGGTACAAGCCGCACGACTCCATCCGCTGCTGACTGATGACTCGAGTGCTGACTTGCAGAAGCGGCGCTCTTGCTTTTGGCTTCGCTGTTGAGTTGTGAGGACGAGGAGGGCATCTCCCGCAGCTTCTTAGCCACTCTCTTAAGGGGCTGTGAGAAATATCCTGCGGAATTATTCGTCGTCGAGGAGGATTGTGCGTCTGGGGTGGGCGTTTCGTCACCGTCACCTCGAGTACGCTTGCGTCCACGCAGTGTGTACCACGAATCTTTGGTGTGGAGATCTGGGATTGAAGGTCTGAGCAGCGATGATAAGGAAGGTCGCTGTGATACTGGTGGTGCCATTGTTGCAGCTGAATACTCGCGACTATCCCGGCCTTGAGGGATCGGACTTGGCCTTGGGACTGGCACAGGCGATATAGAATCAGAATGATGACTAGTCTTTCTGAGAGATGGTATACGGACAGGCGGGCGGGGTGCAGGCTGGTGATCATTGGATAGCACGGGTGTCTGTCGTCCCCCAGCGGCTGCTGATGGAGGAGCATGGCGAGTTGACTTGATGGCGTGGGATTGGAAAAAGCCCGAAGCTACTAGTTCATTGTACGAGGCCATGACGTCCTCTCGCGACGGTCGGTCTGCGGCACCTCTCGGGTTCGGTAAGATCTGGGCGATGTTGACTTCGGACTGCGTCCTTCCTGCGTGCAGGTAATCAGGTCGTGGAGGGGGCGGCGGGAGAGGTTGCTGTATGGGCTCTTGCAGGCTGCTGTGCTTCCTACGCACTTCTTGCTGCTTGGAGCTGTGGCCATGGTGCCCTCCACCTCCCCTATGAAATAGAGCATCGCGAACACGGCCGAAGAAGCTCGAGGACTTCTTGTGTGAGATGGCATGTCGCTGCTTCTGCTGATGCTGGCTGTGTTCCTGCTCCTGTGGTTCGTCGATGCTGGCGTGCTGATATACAGCTGCAGCGGAGAAGGGTCGTGTTCTACGTGCCTCGCGTGGTGTCGGAGGCTCGTTATAGAACTGGTCTTCGTAGTCCTTCAACTGGTCAGGACCTAGGAACTGGACGGGAGGTGCGGCGCTGGCTCTGTCGTTCATAGAGCCTTCTTGAAAGCGAGACGTAGGCGGTCGGGAGCCGCTGGCGGTGCGCGTGGGCGGGCGTCTGAGCTCCGACGCCATTGGAGATGAGTGGCTGAGAGTAGAGCTCAGCTACCTAGCTTCTGTCTTGGGTATTTAGAGTTGTATTTAAAGTTTAGAGTACTAAATTCTGAATTCTGAGTTGAGTTCGTGATGCAAGCGTGGGAGGCGCGTAGGTGTATGCCTGGATGTGCATCCGGATAGGTAGGTATTCAGATTGCATTCGAACTACAATCAGGATGGTGATAGGTTATGGTGAAGGTAACAATGCAGTGCATTCTTGACTTCAGCTTCGAGTAAGTAAGTATTGACAGTGGATAGCCGAGCCAGGGGTAGGTATCTGTTTTGGTTGACCGGGCGCAGGGGAAATTATGGTTGGGGGGACAACCGGGAGCACAGGCACTCGGGTGCTGCTGCACTTGCCAATGCACTGCCAGCGCACGCTACGTACCCACTGCAACTACCTACCTACTATAGGTACCCCCACTGCCACTGGCACCTAATTAATCCAATACCATACGACCAGGTAATCGGATGACTTCACTCGCTCCGTAGTAAATACTATTAGTATGTGCGCATAAGTACTTCGTACTGGTCGCTTGCATCTAGGTAGACATAATGATCAAGATTGGTGACTCATATCAATTATTCACGAATCACGTTGCTGCGAGAGAGAGAGAGAGAGGGAGAGAGAGAGAGAGAAAGAGACAGAGAGGTTTGTACTGTGGCATCATGTCCGGGAGGAAAAAAGTCAATTGCAATCATATACTATCAGAATATGAAGAAAGCTATTCACCAATATATACAGACTGCATTGAACCTCTCATCCCCCCCTATGGGCATCTTCATTGGTATCATTGTTTTGATTCACCCGTCCCGCCCCGCCAACAACTCATCGCTTAACAACAAATGATAAAGGGTAATTATGCGAATGCTGCAACTCCTTGGTAAATAAATCAACGCTGTCTAGAACGCACCTACGTCTCGTTCTCGTGACGCATATAAATCCATTCACTCATCATCTTCATGCATGGCATGCGTGGATGCGATCAACTCGACGTAAATGGGACTCCTCTCCTCCCTTTTCCTCCTTTTCTCCCCCGTATGCGGTAGGAACCCAAGTCGTCTTGATCCAACAGCTTGGAGAAAGGACACGACCTAAGAAAGTAGTCCCGTCGTTGGACCAGTTGTGCCTATAATAATAACCCCTAACGTTCCGCGAATAAAAGTTAACACATGGAGATGAAATAAAAGTGAAGCCTCCTTAGAATGTACACATGAGTCGTGTGCTGTGTTGGACCAGACCACCGCCTAAACGCCGATAAACCTAGGGCCCAGACTCGAGCCCGTGTATGATCCGCCCACTAGTGATAAACCGTGAGACACAAAAGTGACTGAGAAAAAAGAAAAAGAAAAAGGAATATATATATATGTGGAGCTTGAGGCATCTACGGTAACCAGAGGTGTTGAGGAGCATACACCTTCTTGCCGTCGGCTCTCATGTAGCTCGAGGTCAATGGGTACAGAGGTTGTTGCATGGGTAAACGTTCACCCCGGATATCACGCATTTGCTGCTGATGCGACGCGAATGATTCGTCAGCTGTCCGCTTGACTGGTCGTGTTTCTGATTGTGGGTAAAGGCCACTCTTCAGTTGATATGCACTATATTCGGAGTATGTTGAGTCGGATGGACTAGGGAAGCTGATGGATGGAAGAATAGGACGCGAAGTATTCTCCACCGAGATGTTGGAGCTGATAGATGATCTGGGCTCGCCACCTCTCGATGGCTTCGCCGAAATATGAGGATAAGAGCTCGAGAGCCGCTTGTTTTCCGCTTCGGGTTGCTCATACGACTGATAGGCAGATCCCGAATAACTCGGCGAAGGGGGAGGAGGCAAATTCATGCCTTGGCCCTGAGGGAAAGCTGTCTGTGCAGGTGAGACTGGCGTGGATTGCGGATTTGAAGCACTTATGGGCCCGTATGACGGTTGAGCAAAACCATTCGTAGGTTGTCCAAAATTCAGCATGGCACCCGAAGATTTGCTGCCCTGGTACGTCGGTGGTGGAGGCGCAGTGGCGTATTCGACATTTGAAGGCCGTCTATCAGGGAAAGCTGTGCGCTCCATGCTCGAGTTACTCATAGATCGGGCCCGGTATCCGTCGGGTGTTTGTGTTCCCCGTCGTTTAGCATATTCTTCCTCGGCATTATTGTTATACTCCTCGCCACCAGACGGCTTCGTGTTGGTGTCACGTCTTCTCATACGGACATCACGTCTGATACGTACACGACAACCTTGCTCAGCAACAGTTCGGCTAAGTGTAGTGCTCTCGGTGAGACCCGGGAACTTCTTGGCGCTGAATACCGTGAAATCGGCAGATCGTAAATCCATTCTATGACAAGCATCTGTTGGAAGTTGATGGGATCCAGACTCCGGTTCCGGGGCGTCTCTATCAAGATCTCCTTCATTCTTGATCAACTCGTATAGACTAAATACCAGCCGATAGCGGCCTTCGTGTCGGACGGAAAGATCTGGAAACAGGAAATAGCCAGCAGGATCAGGCCGGTCGAGATAGCAGCACCCTGAAACGGGGAAGCCAGTAAGAACGGGAGGCGATGTGGCTGCAGGCGTCTGAACCCTTCCATGGGCCATTGGACGTGCATGTTCAAGTGAGGCATAACAGAAGAAGTCAACGTTGTAATCGAACGTGATGTCTCTAGCTCCATCGAAGTTTTCCCCTTCCAATACCCTCAAAATAACAACGGGTGGCGGATCTACAGGACGACGATCGGCAGAGGCTACAACGAATGTTAGAACTCAACCGCAACTCCACACAAACCGGGATACTACTGACATTTAGGGCCTGAGCCACAGGCTCGAGCACGCTCGGGTTGCTGAAGGACCTCGAGCTGATACCACAAATGCCTTCCGTCTTTCGTGATGCGGCGTTCGCGGGCATAGGGCTGAGTTTTGCCCAGCCGCGATTCAGGAGCAGCCATCATACCAGCCAAGTTAGAGTCGGGCTGCGAAAGTAGAGTTTTTGTCAATTTAACGTTGTTTTAAGCACAGACGTGACAATCGAGCTTGTGAGAAGACAAAAAAAAAAAGAATAATATTGACATTCCAGCATAGATCCGTCCATTGAGGGTTCGCATACTGATCCCTCAAAAGAAGCAAATGCGTTGTATATCCAGTCGAGCAAAAGATGATATCTTACCTGTATAGAGAGCATGGTGAATGTTGTCTAAAAAAGATATCACAGAATTGTAACCAAACTATCGTCGCGTTGCAGATCCCACCAGGCCGGACTGGGGGTCTTGGTTGGTGAGAAACCAGGTCAGTGGGACAAGGAAGAATTGAGTTGCTGTATATCTGAATATATAAAGCAATAAAAGGCGAAAGTATAAAACGGTAAATCGGCACTCTCAATCGAGGACACCGTTGTGTTGGGTCCTTAGTCGAAGTTTGTCCCGCGGCGAACACCCGGAAAGCTGGCTTTCGGCGATGGGCAACTGACTCGTCGTGGGCGAGGCGATTTCGCAGCTAGGCAACCTTAACACATTCCCGGGTCGAGGGAAGACACATCAGACGAAGTGAAACTCGAAAACGAAGGTTGCAGGACTCGGGGCGCCCAGGGCATTGAGGGTTTGGCGCGACAGAGACTGCTCGGACAAGGTCGTCGGCGGAAAAGGACAAAGCCAGGCAGGCAGCCACAAAAGCCTCAGAGCATTTGAGAAAGGACGGAAGTGAAGATAGAGCGAGAGGGTGAGGGAGGGTAGAGGCAAAAAGAGTAGGTAATAATAGTACTAGTAAGTAAGTAAGATAGAGAGAGAGCCAGAGCCAGAGAGAGAGAGACCTTGAGTCGCAATGAAAAGCGGGCTGGGACGCACATGGATGAACCTGATTGATTGATGACTCTCTACCTAGTTTCTGGAACAAGCAGTCCCGCGCTAGCGTAGTGGACATAGTGCACCAGCTACGCTACCTAGACACTGTGTACGCGCTGGCGCCGGTGGAGTCATATGTATGCTACGTACTGTGTATGTACTGTGTGTCGACGAACTGTGCATCTACTTACATATGGAGGGAAGTACCTAGTGTACTTCCTCAAGAAAGTACTGTAAGTATGTGACCACCACTAAGTATAGCACACAGTACATGTAGAGCGTACTATGTTATGTACAACTACCTACATAGGTAGGTATATGGTAAGTAGATAAGACTCCAGGGGACAATGGTGTATGGCGGGTAAATTTGGGAGATAGAAAGTAGGTATTTAGGCGAGCACTCGTATCACCAACATCCCATAATTAGTGCGAGTACGGTATCTGATGGCAGCGGGCAAGGGTTCGAGCTTGCAGGGCCGTCCAATCCAGTTAGCTCAGCTAAGCCCCCGGAGCAAAGGCAGTATTTAGTTGGGTATTACTCTGTAACAAAAATGAGTGAATGAGGGATAATTAACACGGTCCATCATCTAGGTACCTACATTGTCATGATGTACCCGGCCTACTTACCCCAACCTCACGGAGTTCAATAGGTATCTATCTCAATGGAAACATCTTGCAAAAGCTGTCAACAATATAGGCTATGTGTAGTCTATGTGTAGTCTATGTGCAGTCTACCTATGCTTTAGGGTTCTACCCATGTAAGTACCTACCTACACCATCATGTAAGTTTGCTAAGAGTCTGAAGTGATACTAGTACACAATTAAGTAGGCAGATGGCCTGCTGGGGAGGGAACCGAATGGTACAAAGTAGCGCAGCACAGCACAGCACAGCGAACTGTTGTATATACAGTATGTATTATATAAACACTGTATGTACCCCAGCAGACGGGACCCAGCCCGATGTCCTCGGGGCATGTCTGGGGGTGGGTAGATGCAACAGTGCGCGTAAAAAAACACAGCACCGGTAGCCTGTCAACCCTGCAAGAGCCCCCCGCTACAGCACGAGACATGCTACCTAGAGTAAGTGCTGTATGCAATCATGATTGGTGGCAGGGCCAGTTTAAGCGGGGCTCTCGCTGTGGAGCTCTCCAGTGGCCCATCCTTGACAGCGATTCGGTCCTGTTTGCCCTGGTCTTTGCCACCCCTTCCAGTGCAGAACGGGTGGTCATAGATCCACTCTTTCACATCTCTAGGCCATCTCTAGGCACGCTTAGGGTCCCCCTGACATCTTGGGTCGGTCGCCCATTCTGAGTGGACGGACCAACAGCCGGTAAGGCGGGCATTGTTAGGTATGTATATGTAGGTATCTATCTGCGTGGTGTACCCGGCCGTACGCTGTCGAGTCTCGCTGCCTCCATGTACACCTTCCGTCCCGCTACACGTACTCCGTACTGTACTGTGAGTAGGTACTGTATGTACTCACATGCAAGGATAATAAGTGTACCTAGTCTTGTATTTACGGGCCCTGATGGGGCAGAGGGTGGTTTACTGCGGTCACGTAAGACTAGGATCAAGCGGAAGTACCTCGAAGCGAATTCTCGAAAGATACTTCTTCGCAGGATCCATAAACGCTAGCGCGTAAAAAATACCTGACTAGGTACACTTAATCCAACATGGCAGAGTAAGTAGCACATGGGCTGCTGTAAGTACTGGGGTTCAGACAAGGGACTCGCAGGAAGGGAACCCCCCGACTGGGCGGAGCAGGACGTGATCCCACCAACGTGGGTTCAGCACATCGACCCAAGTTCATCTGCTTCTTGGGGTCCATTCTTAGAACAGTTGACAAGTGTGCCTCAACTTCGTGTCTATCTCACTCAGACTCACTACTTCGTATGTACGTAAGAATGCAATACATATGTAGGTATGTAGGTATGTAGGTATGTAGGTATGTATGTAAGTTGTAGGACTACGTCAAAACCTGGAAGCATCCCTTGGCTATCGGTTAGTCTTGCCGCTTCATGTAATAGACGTAATAGCTGTAGCCATGGTGTCTATTAGTGCGGATAAGCAAATGCGCGGAAACGCTTCATTGGGCAGACAACCTCGACGCTATTTAGCTACATAGTAAGTCAGTATGTAGGTGTCTACACCATGTCATCAGCACAGACAGAGGCGAGAGGTAACACCACAGACACATTACATACTTTGCTACCCTACTACCGCACCGACTAGAGTATGCCTCGGGGCAATCATTTGGAAGCAGGAATAAGGGTAAATTAGCAATTATCTCGGGTGACTCCAGATTCCCTGTTTCCCACTGTCCGGCTCACTACTCCTCTTCCTCCTCGCCCACCGAACATTTCGAACCATAGCGGCCAAAGAATCCACACTCCTGCCCACTCCTGCCTCCGGCGGGTAGAACCGAGTCTTCGGGCGCGCGTCATTTTTCCATTTTCTCCATTTAAGTATTCCATTCGGTATTTCTCTTTACTTAGGTATTACTGTATTCACGCTACTCTGCGTAGTACACTCCTACAGCCCTCCAAGTAGGTTAGCACACCGAGTCTTAGTTCATCCTCCTTTTCATCCCAAGTCAAAATCAGCTTGTCAACCCGTACAGTAGATGCTCATGCTCATATTCTTACATTCTTATACGCGCGGATCACCCGTCTATCAAAGTGCGCGCTAATGCAGACGATTATGAAATGATAACCGAGGTAGAAAGAGACTCGAGCTTCTGAACCTTCAGAGACTTGAAACAAACTAGGTACAATGCAGCAAACTCACCTTGTCTCGTCTATCTAATATTATTTAACATGTAATACTTACAGGAAGCAGTTCCTGAGTTTCCACACAGATGCATGCATGCACCGCCCCATGTTTGGAGTGGCTTCATCATCTACTTACTGACCTTTCTACCTGCTTACCCAGATACCTAGTACCTAATGAGGGCCAGTTGGAGGGTAGCCCTTCGCTGGAAAAATCGGATAAAAACCTGCGTTGCGCTGCTTGTCCCCGATCCAACCTGCCGGGTGTGCCACACGTTACCTTGGTACCTATCGGATCCTAACCTTCCCACATACCAGGTAGGTAAGTACTGCAAGTACTTCGTATGGCACACCACCAACGCTCATTTCCACTGCTGTTTGAGAACAAATGACCTCTCCCTTGGGTGGCTTTCGCAATCTGGCCTTGTCAGTATCCGCTGCACACGAAGTACATTAAGTATTCACCGCAGATGACAAACATCAGGCCACAATAGTCGGCTTTCATTGCCACCAGCTTGGGACAGTGAGCCCGTTGTTGAACTACCGAGTGAGGCTATGGTGACAGACACTTGGGTGTGCCAGAGTTGTTCTCACCTACTACGTAGGATCAGGAGGAGAGAAAGCACGAGCAAATCGTTCCGATCTGGCACTCTCTCGCCTGCGCTCCCAAGCCGCTTAGCCCCGGTCCCCCGTCAGTCTGACAGTGATACACTCACTGTTGGATCTCACAGATCCCAACGGGCATTAGGTATGTTTGTGCAATACCTACCTAGCATGTTGAACGACTGAGTCCTACGACACATTACCTCCTCACACTGTAGCACACCTGCGTCGTCGTGTAGCCGTAAGCACGCTCCGCGCAAAAGTGGGCAAAGTAGCCAAAGGTATGTAGGCGAGGCGAGACGAGACCATGTAGGCAAAATGGGCAAATTTGGATGCAGGCGTCGTAAGTATGGAACAACCCCTGCCACCGGGTGTCGCCAAGGGGTGTAAGAACTTTTTTTATTCTCCTGTTCCAGGGGACTACATCTGTACCTGATAGGGGGATTCAGTGATTCAGTCCGCCCGCCTCTACTTCGTAAGGCTCCTCTACCTACCCACATTCCTCTCGTCGGGACGATGTGGCCAGTGGTGAGCGAGCCCATGAGTACGGAAGACACCGTGTTGTCACAGTGTCATGCATGATGCAACCAGTACAACCATCCCATGATCCGACAGAGTCCTTTTAAAGGTTGGTCCTCATTATTTCCCGTCAAATCATCCAGATCTGCTAGGTCATTCGGCAGTCGGACCAGTGTAAGTATGTGGGTGTGGGTGTGGGTGTGGGTGGTCATCTTGTCTCTGTTCCTCACAAACAAACGAGATAACATAGTACACACCAGAACACACCAACAGTCGTACTGAGTATACTATTGCAGCCATGTCTCAACACCGTCACGTCAGCGTATGATCCTCTGGCCACGCTAGCCCGAGTACACGCAAGTCTCGTCGCTCATTGATAGCCAGAAATACCAACCCTCAGCCGCCGATGTGTCAACCGGTTTACGCCACCAACAATCTGAGATGCTTCGTAGGTGGATGGGCTGGCGCTTCTGAGATCCAACAGACTTGGTCACTGTACTTTGTACCTACAGTAGTGTGAAAACTCTGCCAGCATGAGCATACATGTATCTCGTCCTTATCACCCCGAAACCTGGTACCCAGTTGTAACACATCTCGGCTGAATTCTTGTTGTCTACTTAACGTACATAGTATTACGCCCCCCGCAGTCGGCGCTTGAGCCAGACTCTGGTCCCAACACATCGGAACCCTCACATCATCCGATTTCCTGGCTATGGGGTCGAAGCGCAACAATTGCGGGCAACAAATTCAACTAACTGCCATCTTGGTGCTAGTATACCTCTCCAACATCACGAGCCGCCCAGCTGCTTGGCATCCACAATGAGATCTAGAAGCGATGAAATCTAGGTAGACTAAATCGCTGTGTCGTCTGTTCTTCGCATGTCCACAGATCCAATCCAATGAACTGTAATCCCATCTCACGTTGAGTCGAGTGAATGGAAATGAATTTCTGGATTATCTACACTAGATACTGGGAAATAAAGTCATTGGTCCTCTCATCATATCAGTACCAATATGAGCTTATTTAACGGTGGGTTTCATGTCTGATCGATGAAATGACTTGCAGCCAAAACTCCATAGCCCCACCTATATTACTCGAGAGCAGTAATATCACATTACCAATTTACTACCTACCTACTTAATGAATCAATGCCTTTGTTGTATATACACGACAAGTTTAATCCAGAGTATGCCTGCAGCCGTGCCATTGCTCGAAATGAATGGAAGGCCTTTGCGTTCTCACTACGCTAGGAAGTCATACCCAATTGCCAAATCAACATGAAGACTGGTGGCCTATAAGCATCAAACCAGGCAACATCTGCGCTAAACTTTCTCGGAAACCGATCGGTGTTTTAAACCTCCCTAGGTATTCCTTTTTTGACGCTGGCGAGCGGCTATAAATGGATGGTAATTTGTCGGTACAACGTCTCAGGTATCACGGAACAAAAATGCGAGGACCAAGTTTTAATTGGTTTTTGGGGGGGCTTTTGTTTTTCTGCAATTGGCACTGCGGATGGTAAGCCCTACAAAGCAAGGACCAACCGAATAAATGACCCAGCATAAACTACTTGCTTGGATGATGCAGGTAGTATAGGTAGCACATTTGTTTGCCAAACTCTTTAATGCCTACAACAGCGGTACGGACACGGCCCATGGTGGCAAAGAGTAATTCCTCGATCACCGTCTTGAATAGGTACCTAACGGTCATGACATTTGTTCCCCCTGCTGCAAGTATGCATGAAATCGCAAGGGGAGGGGATCTGAGGGAGGGGTGATCTACTTCATTTCTAACACGATCGATCTTGCATTCGCTCTGCGGAAAGGAGAGGAAAGGGGGGCTTGGAATCTACCATGCGTAGATAGACACGATAACGTCAGCGATCTGGACGCCTCACACGTGCATTTATTATGACATTGTTAGTTAGTTAGTTATATTCTTCGTCTTCCGTGCCTGTTAAACATACTGTATAGAACCACGGAGAGAAAGACAAGACAAGGCGGCCACGCTATTTTTGTTTTCTTCCTCGTGGTTATGTGTAAGTAGACAACTACTCACATAACATGCCTGCCCCCATGCCGATGAGTGAAACACCACCACCACCATCTACTCGGGAGCTTGCATACAGTAGAAGCCATCAGTGACTGAGATGCGAGTCTCACAATGCCCGCCTCCTTTCTCTCTGTTATTATCTCTGCATATGTGTATGGTATGTGGATGCATGCATGTCTCTCTCATAGTCGAGAGTAGGCAAGGTACACAGCAGTGCGCCTCGTCAGGTAATAACTGACAAGTCATATCATCTCCCGCCCAAGCTTTAAAAAAAACAAAACAAAAGGAATTCTGAAACGAAGCGCCCCCCCTATGCACGTGTTAACATCATGTGCAGCAGATCAGATAAGTAGATATTTCATCTACCTAGGTTATCTATCTACCGTTCACTGCAGAGATATGGTTGACATGGCGTAGGTAGGTAGTATTGTAGCGGCAGTGAAAGGAAAGTTAGGTAGGTAGGTACCTTGCTTTGCGTTTACATCGTCTGTATTTCGGCCTCGGGCAGAACTCACGCAACGCACGCGTTTATTTGCAGGATCGATGGGGAGGGAAAGGGTTTTGCAGTGTCGCTGTAGCACGGCGTCGTAAAATGCAATGCAACAACGTTGTGAACCGTCCGTCCGTCCGCCCGTCCGTTTGTCCGTTCTATCCATCGGGCTGACTGGCCACAGGATACACCCATTCACCGTGAGAACGCCTAGGAAATATCTGGCCAATCAGCCGTATCCCCGTTCTCTCGTGGTCAAGCCGTTGTGTGTTACCTGTCAACTGACTAACTGGTGTCACTTACGAGATCTGGTCTGCTAAGGCTAATTTACCCCCCCCTTTTTTCTCAACTTCCTTCGTTTCATCTTGTATACTAGCTATAGCTATAGTTAATCTAGCCTAGGTGCCGCAGACCAGAGAGATTAAACGAATTGATTGGAAAAGGGTTGGGTGCCGGCTTCTGTACCGCATGTCTAGATTCTATGGTTCAACGGGATCGCCCGCTACTGTACCTGCCTCCCTCCATTTCTCATTTGTCTCGAAGAGAGAGAGAGAGCGGTATAGTGGCGAGATGATTGAAGGGGGAGTCGGCCCATGTTACACGGAGAGGAAAGGATGTATTAGCTTCGAGTAGGTAGGTATCTTCGAGCCGAGTCCCAAGGGCATGGACTCGAGTGGGAGAAACAACCAATCCCCTCTGCTCCCAAACATCGAGAGATGGGTAGGAATATCAGATTCCCCATCTCATGTGGGTAAGTAGATGCCGTACTGTATACTACTTGCTACCGTACGTACAGTAGGTCCCATTGAGAGGTAGGTAGTGCCTACTATCGTGTTACATTGTACTGTGGGACGGTGTTCGGTCTTGCATATTCGACAAACAGTTTTCTCATTCTAGTCCTTTGCCTCGACAATATGATTCAACACCGTTTTTTCGAGATACACGACAGCATACATAAGGTAGAGTCGCTACACGAACTCACGTCTGCACTGCCTAATCGGAGGCAAGAAAAGGGTCTGCGCAAGCAAACAATCGTCCGGTGTCGAATGTTGTTTTTCACTTTGTCGTTACCCAGCACCATCCTGTCGGGCCATTTGCTACCCAAACTACTGATACAGTATGTGTATGTGTATGTGTATCTCGAATAAATCCGCTTGTAATCCTCTCGGAAGTTTCCGTCGTCGGCCGTTAGAATCTTTCATTTTCTTCCCTTCCTCCCCTTTCCTAACGGTTGAGCTGCCGAGATTGGGCTGTGCGGCGTCCTTGGGTTTGTCAAACGCCATACGTACGATCCAGTGTGTCGGTATCGGTCTACACGTACCCGGTCGGTCAGGATGCTCTTCTTCATCATCGCGAGTTTTGAGACTGCCTTGTTTGCTAGTTTGTTGGCGACGTCTGTTGTGATACCTGTCAAATATATAGTTTGACGTAGTGGTTTGGACGTCGAAGAGTGAAAGCAAGGGAAGGGGGGCTGATGTATTCTAGAATAGACAGATTGTTTACGACGTATCACTAGCAGGCTTATTTCTGTGCGCCTGAGTATTACTGGCGGTGAGATGGTATTTCATTCATGGGGTTTCGAGTGTAATTGAGCTGAATAGCTGTGGACAGGAGGCGACAGATGATAGCCTTGCGGTTTTCCACATCATCTCTAATATCGAGTTATTCAAGTGCCCAATAGATACTAGCCAATTTGACCCTAAGTCTTTACAATGTATCGGAATTTTCAGAACCCAAAAGCATGTATTTCCTGTATATTGACATATGTGCTCACTTCCTCTATGCTAGTTTCATAAGTCAAATTGCTTTCAAAGAATTGAAAAGACCACTTCCGTCTGATTAATTCTATATAACTCTCCTATCTGTCATTTCTCTCGGTCTTCAATATCGTCTGGTTATTATATCCGCTATGTATAAAGTGTTGATGTATAAATAACTACACCAAATACCGAAGTAATCGTCCTGCTGTATTTGTCTTCCTAGAATGAGGCATAGATATACCTTGGTTCTAACGTATGCTAATAATGATTCTCATTGCTCTAGACGCGAGCGGATTATGGATTGTGTGAGTAGAAGTTTTCCAAATACTAGTATTTCACGAGGGTTGCCTCGAGTGAGTCCGGTTGATGTCTGAAATAGGGGGCTGATGTGAAACCTCCACGGGATAAGCACTTGGTTTTCGTATCATGGCTACTAGATATCAGTTATATATAATTTCTCGATATAAAACAGGGTCAATCTTATAGTACCTACCATGATACTGCAAATCTTCCATCGGCCAAGGGAATCAATGTCGTTCCAAGGCATAGGCAACGTTAGCGGGGCATTCAATCTCATCTGCACCAGCAGAGCTCGGTAGCGTTGCGGTCGAATCGTCCCAACGGGTCTTTGATCTGGTCCGAGGTGCAGGCTTACCCGAGGATTTGTGTATGGCGGGCGAGACAGGGTTATGGCACGGGTCGGCGTAAGCTCCAGGTCGACGGATCTGCTCAAAGGGAGACGACGACGCCGGCTCGGACTCTAGGCGTTGTAATTGCGGCATTGTAAATCCACGATGACCTGGGAAGACCCAGGTGTTTTCATCTTTGCGTAGTCTCCTTCTTTTCTTAGCGGCACTCCTCTCACGACGACGTTGGCTACACTTGACTATCTGCCGCCAGCAGTGCGCGAAAACGCAGATCACAGCCATCCCTATTATCACAGCCGCCGTGATTATTCCCATCGCTGCTGCAAAGTCCAGGGTGAGGTTCTCCGGCTTTTTATGTGAGGACGGTTCATCCCTAAGGGCGAATTCTGTAGTATACACGGGGATGCCGTATGCATACGAGGGATATACCAGCAGGGCCACCAGAAAAGTGAAGAACAGACGATCGAGTCTTGAATGACTCCATGTCTGTCTTCGTGCTGATAGTAGTGCTAGCATCTCTCTCCGTGTCTGGCGAGATCGAAACCTTTCACGAACAAATACATCATATCAGGACACTCTTAGGTCGCAACCTATCCTTATATCAGTTCGGGTATAGGTGGTCACAACAAGGTCAAGGATCATAGAAATATCGTTTACACATTAGGGTTCTCATTTCTCTTTGATGTCTCTCGCCTGGGTGTAAAATCGAACACGGAGCCTGAGAGAACCCTAGTTCTAGGCTACAAGGAAGCTCGTTGATTCCATCTAGGGTCATTCGTAGAGATCCAGCTAAACGGGAGAGACCCTGGGCTTGAAAGACGCATCGTGATGATTCGGAACTCTAAAATGACGAGCAAATCTCTGGAGAAGCCGGCATAACTTTCAAGTTACGTACAGGTCCTTATAACTTCAGTTGGTATTTACTTTAATGAAGTCCGAGAAGCGGACAGACACCTCTCTCGCGACAGCGTGCGGGTAGATTGCAAACTAGTTCCATGTATTATAAAGGGATTGTTATGATGGAGATTGCGCGAGTATTACACGGACTATCAATAATATGGGTATAGACGTAGTACTATCTTCTAGGCCATCGTCGTACTGGTTGCTCAGTGAAGAAGAGGTCGGGTCGGAAGTGAAAGATCCTGGCTACTTGATGCATGCATGCATGGCTCGTACTAATGCACTCGTGCCCGCATACACTCTTTTCTTAGTTTGGCATACCGGCTTCCTGGCCGCTGTCGGAGTATCGATAGATACTGTTATGTATTCATCTTTCTTCTACAGGCACATGGTTCCTTGACGCTGTAAGCGACACCTCCTGCGAGCTGTGGTTGGTGAACGAGGGCATTGTTGAAGAAACCAGCTTCCTTGCCACCTCACTGCGTCTCACTTCCTAGGAATATGCATGAAAATTCGGATAGATGATCCGATATTCTGCTAAACTCGCATTGATTCAGTAGGAGTGGTGATGGTTTCCGAGAATTCGAGCTACCCAACCTGCCAGTCGCCGTTCTCAGGACCGTGGGCAGCTTACGAAACGATTCGGCTTTCGATTCACCCGAGCCACAAGGTCTAGAATATCAGTCCTCAAGCGCAACTGATAATCATTGCCTTCTATAGCGGTTGATGCGAGTTGGTGTCCATTGTGGCCAGTGGCGCTGGAACGCTGATCTGGGGTAGCATCAACTACTTTCGTCCTTATGCTGCTCGCTTACTGACCATAATACATCGTAACTGGATAAACTACTTAGCCTAGGTGCCCGTGGTTAGAAACTCTCCATGTCGTATAACAATACAATACCTCTGAGCATGCAATCCCAGATCTATACTCCATGCGGCTGAACGGTTGGAGTAGGTAGCAGAATGCATGCTCTCTAGGTAGACACCTTGGTGAGTCTGGTCGTGGCTTGACGCGTGGCTTACTAGTAATTCCAAGATCTTGCATCTCGATTGAGTCACATGACGAATCACTTGTTTCCATCTCTCTAAGTTTAATGTAACCTCGAATCTGCTCGAATGCTAGGCAGTGCACAATTTCTACAATGATGGCCAGGTCCAGCTCATTAATCCGTAGACGCATTGATGTCTCAAAAAGGAAATTGTTCAACTTCCTCGCTTTGGTTTTGCATGTGGATAACATTTTCCGTCTCGTTAGGCATAATGGCTAGATCTAGGCTAGATAAACCTCTACAGCAGACGTCATCTAGAGCATTACACCTCTTAATACGGTAATACCCGAGAGGCGAGTTTGGAGAGAGAAATTCACGGGTGGCCAATAAATGTACGATTATAGTTGATCACCACAGCCGAAGTTGCGGCTTTCATAGTCTACCAAACAGCCTCAAATCTTGGGACATACGCATGCAAGGTTATAACAGTAAGACCAACGGTACCAATAGTGGCTTGTGAGCATGGTTTACTTGTACCCGGCGGACATACCCTATAGACCATTCTACTGTGCTCACTGGAGGGTGGACTTCAATGTACTCGTTTGATGTGAGGCCATTTATCGGGTAAGATGGATGGTATTGGTTCCTCACACCGTCGCTCATTGATCGTGACAGTGGCTCGCTTCCAGCAGCACGACTTATGTGATATTGTAACAAGGGCAGATGACAGGGCCTGGAATTGAAGGTAATTACATCACAATTACCTGCTAGGGCTGCAAAGATCCTTTATCATCCTATTCCTTCCTGGACTTGTTGGCTTGACTTTGACTCTTTATACAATTGGACAGTCTGTCCCGGCCGCCTAGATCTAACTAGTCTGCCTCATGAAGCGAGGCCTGTATAACCTCACTTTCAATACTGACTGCATGTCTCATGAGGGTGATGAGAAGGGGCCTTTTGCACTGCATACGCCCCTAGCCGTGTGGGCGTGTAGCAGATATTCAAAGTGCAAGTTTACGGCCAGCATAGCCGGTTTTCCATTTGCCACTTCACAGAGCGGTGTATGGCCAACAAGCATCGGGCCGTTCTTTATTAGGGTAACAGAAGAGGATGGCCGTCACATGCACATACGCTGACCAACTTTATTTCATTGATACCATCGAGGCCCGGAAAGCGCCCTTGGCAACCAATGAAATGCGACCCAGAGCGTCGGTACAGTAGTCTTGGAGGGGGCCGAATGTTTCGAAGTGTGCCCACCAACGATCGTGAGCCTCTGAGGTCGTAAGATTCCTTGTCTGATTCACATCATTGGACGACGTTCCGATCCCATGTCGGCTGAGAAGTCGAGATCTGTGCCAATACCAATAGGGTGGATAGATAAGCCTGGCCCTCGACTCTGCAGAGCTACATTGCATTGCACGGGAGTCTTCGCTCGTTGCTATGGGTCCATCATCGTCTACTTGCTCTAAATAGCGTCTCTGCTTTTCAGCATTGCCGCGCCGGGCGCAGCTTAATGCAGTCTTTTGTTATTCTGCAAGTACGCTAAGTAGAGGGGGATAGTGGAGAGAGTCTTGGGATTGATTAAAATGGCTCGTCTTCTTCCTTCTGTCCGCGAAGCTATAAGGAGAATAATACTCAGCATCAGTCCTTATTTCTTTTTCACTGGTATGAAATATACAACACAATTTCGAAGCGACAACTTACAATGACATCTGGATCTGATGGAAAGGCCGAGACGGCTGATCTACTGCCTGCCTGGATCAACCCAGACCTTAGCCGGCTTCTGATAGTTAAAGAGGTCAAAGGTGACGATTTCAAGTCATCAGCTGAGTCTGTCGTCGACTTGCCGGCAGGGGCATTATTTGCGCGCATCTCGGGCGTGAAGCGGGTTCCCAAACCATCTTGGAGTTCGGTGCAGGTTAGAATTCGTCCCTTTTCTTAGTGGAACGAAGTAGTAGCGAAGCTAGCATCAGCTAATATCGACCTTTTGGAAATCATCAGGCAGGCCGCGATCTACATATTGAGCTCAACTCCGATCTCGTTAAAATCAACCATAGCTGTGCCCCAACACTCGAATGGGACATGGAACGAATGGAGATACGGGTTAGTAGGCATCGTGATTTGAAGAAGGGCGACTGTGAGTAACAACCTGGAACCTTATATGACTTAACCACTTCGCCGAAACGCACGCGTGCTTGAAAAATTGATGTTACCTCCACTTTCCGATAATTCCAGGACCTCTCAATTACAATTCAAAAGAATTCCCTTCAACTTCATACTCACATCAAGTATTCTAACGCCATATATTGCAGCACTGAGCTTCTTCTACCCAAGCACAGGTCAGTAGTCCATGGTCTCTTAGTCTCATTCTCTCGTATGCCGCTGTTTTGAGGAGGTGCATACAATTACATGTTCCTTGGGATTTCTGGAAACCTAAGGATTTGACGAGAGCTAATGACAATTACTGACTTTGGGTGCTTGTGTATAGAGTTCTGCATGGCGCAACCGTTCCAATGCTGGTGTGATGCTGGTGAAGACGTGTGTCTCGGGCGTATCTCCGGCGCTGCAAGTATAGATCCTCGGAAGTTGGATGGCTACTGGATCAATCGGCACATAAAAGAGATGCTCGAGGAAGCGTCAAAGAAGAGAAACTCTCATTTGTGATATGGTGTTCACTAGAAGGTTCTCGGGTGTCTGCCTAGGGCGTTAAAGATCTGGACTGGTCATGGTATGGATTTCTAGATTAATACCAGTAGAAACACTCAAGTCTTTGAATTGAATACATCATCCGTCTGAATATGAATAATGCGTATCGTCTGCTGCGTGTTTGCGCGACGCGTAACTCTTAGTGACTCTTAGGTACCCCAGACAGCTGAATGCCCCGAAATAGACACGCCGTTAAAAGGTGGTGAGGATGTTACTAATCAGTATGCGCACCCATAAAGAATGAGGGGATATGGGCCACCTCTAACTCGTCGGCGACATAGTTCTAATTCATGTGTTTAGTGAAGGAATTATCGTGATTGTTGTTGACTCTGCGATTTACAGGTCTGAAGCAACATGGTCCAGATATGCTTACAAACAACTCTTAAAACCGATTATCTCCGCCGGACAATTGAGTCTACACTTTCTCCAGAATCTACTATGTAGAATGTTAGAGCCATTGAATCTTTGTTTTTAGTATCGAGCTAACATGCTAGATCCCGGAAGATGCGCTTCACGAGTATCGGCGGCAGTGGGCTTTGTGTCCATATGGGAGTTAAGCTGAACTCGAGAAGTCCGAAGTCCGTGGAGCCAACATCGTGGATTTGTAAGTGAAGCAATTATGCCAATGTGCAACACGCGCTTGAGACTAATGAGACTGAATATGTAGGTATATGAGAAGACGACTTCGAAAATGAGGATGAATATAAAATGGGCATGCCGTCGCTATATTCTCAGACGACCTCCTTAGCTATCAACCACCTCCTCATCAGCCTGAATTCTAAACACTACTGTCCATCTTTTAACACTATCTTCTTCAGCTATTTTTGTACGCACTAGAAATCTGTCACAATGGCCTTCCTACCTCCTGCTGCACCTAAGAGCCTGCTTGGACGACACCGTCTCCTCGCGCCATCCGCATCCGTCCGTGTTAGCCCCCTATGTCTGGGAGGGATGAGTATGACCTACGACCCTACCCCTATTTCATACTTTCGATCGCATACTAAGTCTTGTGTAAAGGTATTGGAGACGCATGGTCTTTTGGAATGGGTCAATGTACCAAGGAGTCCGCATTTGAGCTCCTGGATACCTTCTATGATCTCGGGGGCAACTTCATCGACACTGCCAATGCCTACCAAAGTGGCCAGAGTGAGCTGTGGATCGGCGAATGGCTACAGAAGTCTGGTCGCCGTGACGAGATGGTTATTGCTACCAAGTATACCATGAGCCCTAAATCCGGCCAGCCAGTCCAGCAAAGCAACTACGGCGGCACGGGGTCCAAGTCACTGCACGTATCAATTCAGAACAGCCTAAAGGCCCTTCAGACCGATTATATCGACATTGTAAGTCATTTACATCGAGATACTAAAAGGAAAACTGTCTAACGCCGCTCTTCTGTAGCTCTATGTTCACTGCTGGGACTACGCCACCGAGATTCCCGAGCTTATGCATTCCTTGAATAGTCTCATCAATCAGGGCAAAGTCCTGTACCTGGGCATCAGCGACTCACCCGCCTGGCTTGTCGCCAAGGCAAACACGTACGCGCGGCAAAACGGTCTCAGGCCTTTCTCGATCTACCAGGGCCGATACTCTGCTCAGGAGCGGGACCTAGAGCGAGAGGTCATCCCTATGTGTCAAGCAGAGGGCATGGCGTTCCAGCCGTTCGGTGTTCTTGGTGGCGGGTACTTCAAATCGCCGGGGAAGGAAGACACTGGTGCTCGCAAGGTCCCACCTCCCATGTTGGTTGGCCGCGAGGAGCAGATGTCCAAAGTTCTCGACGCCGTTGCTACGCGCCACAATGTGCCCATCACGAGCATCGCTCTAGCATATGTTCTCCATAAGGTGTGTTTCTAGAAGGCCCAGGAAAGCCTTGAAATTCCGAAAATAAAAATCACACGCTAATAATAGCTATAGACTCCTTATGTCTTCCCGGTCCTTGGAGGCCGCAAAGTCGAGCAACTGAAGGCAAACGTCGAGGCCCTTGGCATTGAGCTATCACCTGAGGATATCAAGGAGATCGAGAGCGGCTACGAGTTCAATCTTGGCTTCCCTCACAACTTCATGAGTCTGACTGGATCTATGATCCGAGGACCCCAGGACATCAATGTTCTGGCTATGTTGGGCCACTTCGACTACGTTGCACCTGCCAGCGCGGTGAAGCCTCATAAGGGCGACCTTACGGCGCCCTGGCAGGCACCAGCCTAGATTTAACCTCGATGGTTATGCTGGGTCAGCAGTAGTGGTTGCCAAGCACGTAGGCCTTTATAGAATCAGATTCAAACCTATGTAGATTTATATATATGTACATATATATGTGTGAAATACAAGCCGTGTGACTTACTGCTGCATATATTGCGCCAAAAGTGGATTCTCGACCTGTACATTTTGTTGTCCTGGATAGGAGAGTATGACTTCGATATACAATCAATTCAGCCTGATAAATAAGAGACTCAAATGCCAACGTAAACCCATTCTCGAGAATGGATTTAGTAATTCAGCTAAGAACAACTCCTGGCTGCGCGTTATGTGAAAGCAGTACTACTTTTACAGGAGATACTAGGTTGGAATCTTAACACGTTCACTGAATTGATGATACTAGGAATGAGACATAATCACTCATTGAACCACGAGAGCATCAAATATCATTAGTTGCATACGTAGATTATATTAATAAGGGTTTTTTTTTTTTGCTCATTATATAACATCTTCTGTCTCCATTCATACCAAAGAACACCGCGCCATTAGTCGTATAAATGGGTATCTGCCACCGAACTGAACGAGGGTATATATTTTATAGGAGTATTACGAAGAAGGGAAATCATTCATGAGGTCGTGAGTGAGTGACGGTGCCTAAGCTAGAGCGCAGACGAAGAAATTTTGTTTGATTACCCGCTGACAGTTCGATATTCGACCGAAGTCCTTGTCCCTTAAGAGAATTTCGTTTGGGATGATGTTAGGATCGAACAGATAGTCATTGTGTCAGCATATACTACTGTCGAAAGTAGTTTAGACAGTCACGGCAGGGTCGGCAGCAGCGGGAGCTGCAGTCGTCTTCTCAGGGAATGTGCCAGCGTTGTGGACACGTCCGTATCGTGTGAAAGCTGCTTGAAGTATTAGTATGGGCGCTGATAGTTAACGTATCAAATTTCGTTGTAGTTTTGTTTACTTACCCAAGTTCAGCTGGCCGTAGTCCCATCGGCGAGCGAGGAAGATAAAGGCGAAAGACAAGACGGGGACCAAGAGGACATCTAGGATACCGAAGAAGATAAAGCCAGGGGTGACTCCAATGCGGTTTCCGCCATCAGTAAGGCCAAATGCAATGGGATACAGAAGCCATAGTAGGTTGACCCAGCCTGAGAGAAGCGTGTGGTCTCGCGACACGCCTACGCGCTTAGCTGAAGAACCGGCACTGAAGGTGCTGAAGGCCAGCATCAACCAAGAGACAGTGCCAAAGGCGTAGAATCCCCATTTATAGTTCGAGACGGTGAATGCCGAGACTAAGTATGAAATGACCCTACACCCGATTAGTACCAGCTCTCCAACTTTCCGTTATGTTAAGCTCTTAAGAGGTTTATTACTCACCAGGTCCATGACAAGAAGACATTGAAGATGATAGTGGCCCACGGTACACCACTGAGGAGACCGAGAGCAGTTACAACGGCTGGGAAGCTCACAGTCCAGTTGACATACTTGGGCCAGAAGATCTGTCGGGTCAGAGCTAATCTTGGGCTCGAGTTGACTTGGCTGACAAGATTATAACCGAGGTCGGATGCCTGAGCGAAGTAGGTAATCGAGCCGACGAGCAGGGCAATGGTGAAGAGGTAGTGGAATATCTTCTCGCCGGACCGGGCCACAAAAGTCAGACCAAAGAAAGCGAGGAATGAAACGACGTAGATAGCCGTCACCGCCCACAGCCAATCACTGCCATTCACGCTGAGCTCTTCATTTCCCGCCGGTGGATTCACATCCAAGGCGGCGTTCCCTCGACCTAATAGGGTAGGCATATTGAGATGTAAGTTGAGCTGGTCGTTGTATAGATTGAGAGGGTATCCTATATGCTCGTTACTGGGAGAGAGCCACTGGTATCTTAGCTATATCAATTCACACGAGGCGTTGCTGGACTCGATAGATGATGAAACAGGGCAGGCAATGACGAGAGGAGGGGTAGCATTTATATCTACGAGCAATGACGAACTCCGGGTGGGCGAGGGCGAGCTCGGATCTCGATCCAGGGCGAGTATTGATTTCACCTCGCTGGTTGGAGAGCTTTCTACGCGGGCAACCACTGTGGTGTAAGTCCGAGCTGCCCGAGTGGGAGGCAGTCCAATCTGGTGATCGACTGACGTCTTACAGACATGGTGATGATAAATCACACCCAAACACATTCTCCTTCACCGGAAGAGCCAGTGAGGTTTCTGCGTTTCGCGCAACCATCAGGTCAGGTGTCGACCTGATGGCGGGACGCGAGTGGATCGAGCTGCCTCGCTGCATGAAGTTTTCAGCGGCCGACAGTTGGGACCCAATGCGAGCAAACTCCCATGGAGCTTGTCTTCACAAAGACCAAAGACTTCTGGTCTGTCCCGCGTCGCATTGAAATACCGAATAGGAGCAATTAGCTACCCCGGCCAGCAGGCTTGGTGGTACCTGCTACCCCAGATACTATACAGATCGGCGTCATAATACTTTAAATGACGAGGTTTTGATACATGATCACCGGTCGTTTTTACTATGACTAAGTGTGTACGTGAGTAAGCCTAACAGCGAAAAATGCAGGAAAATGGGTAAAGCTCATTGAGAAGGGGCAGAAAATAAGGTCGGCAGAATCCTCTAGAAGCGAGGCCCGAGATCAATCATCGTAGCACCCCCGGCAGCACCGGATGGCATTAACGATGATAGTGCAGTAGAGCAAAAAAACCTCAAAAGGCAAACTGGGAGAGCGCAAAAACCGACCAAGAGTGGTGTGCCGGCAATTGCCGGAGAGTTCCGGGTCGAATGTCGTCGATGTCGTGACACATGACGATCGAATCAGACGGTCGCATAGCTACAGCATGCATTGGAACATGTCCGACCAGGCCGGAGATGGATCGAATAAGAAAGAGTGTGGACCCCAATTCAGGCCCTGGCCGCGGCCGATCGCCAGCACTACTACCTAGGTATTCTTATAGTATTACCGACGAGTAACGACGTCGACCTATGAGGGGGATATCACGAACGAAGAATCCTCCCAAGGTTAGGTCAGAGGTTAGGTAGTAGTTGTTACGCGAAGACATCATGCATGGGTAGGCGTGTCGCTCCATACTTGCGAAGTATGGGACAGAGGCGAGAGGGGCCAAGACAGTGATGAGCACTGGAGAATACTGTCCGGGTGGAGGAGCAGACATCCATCCAGAGCCTCACATCTTATCCTATTGCTCGGGCATGTCGGTAGTTGAGGTGGTATGGACTAGCTTACCGTTCTGTCCAGGGTTAGCTCTCTGCATCTCAACGTGGTACCCTGTTTATGCACAGGCCAGAATCGGGTGGTGATCAGCGGCTATAACCGTCATCAACTATATATACCAATGTGTTCTTTTTGCTTCTCCTCGAGGTGACTCTATTCGGAGATCGAAGAAGCTCGGATGGGTCGGCATACCGTCATTACTCATGTTGGCATTTCGTATTTATTTATTTGTCTGGCTGGCTGACTGATTGACTGACTAACTGCAAGAGTAAGTGTTCGTCGCTTCGAAGGATTTTGATACCTTAAGTGCTTACATGATGATCATGTGCGAAAGCCACAATTATGTGGAAACAAGGACCACATCCCGTGTGCGAGTAAGTATGTGGCGCTAACAACCTCACCCGCTCTGATAATAGGTATCATATATTTGATACAAACAGCTCCCTGGCTGGTGGATGAGATGCGACCACCATCATTACAGCAGAACCTGAAGCATCGCAGCACCAACCCCACCAACGTTGCCGTCGAAGAACCTAAGTACCAATAATCTACCTAGGTACCTACATAGATCAACCTGTCTTATTAATCACTGCAACCAACAATGTCAGCATCGCCTATCCCACGCGTCTACCGCGTGCTGTTCACGACATTCGAGCCTCTGCTGGCGACGGCCGGCGCCATCAACGCCTTCTTCTTCCCGGCGTCCCTGATAAGCTCGACAGTGCCGAGCGTGCCGTACTCGCCGTCGCTGTCCCCGCTGTTCACGCAGATGACGGGATCGTGGCTGATGCTGGCCTTTCACGACTTCGTGACACTTCGCTCTGCTGACTTCAAGGACGACGTCCGTGTCTGGCGGCATACTCTGGCTGCTTCAGCCGTCAGTGACGTCTTTTACACGGCAAGTCTCGTACAGAGCATGGGGCCTGCGTGGTTCTTCAACCCGCTTCGCTGGAACGTAGTGAACGCCGTGGCTATCATCACGACTGTTGCGCCTTTTCTCGGCAAGCTGTTCTTTCTTGCGGGCGTGGGACTGCCGAGGCGTCAGACCAACAAAAAGTTGCAGTAGCAATAATTTCGCATGTGCTTGGGGTTAAACACAACTAGCATTGGCTGTTGCTTTTGCTTGGATTTTATACTATTCGGTGCTATTGTACGTGGTTGAGATAACAAGCCTGTCGGACATAACGCTCGCCCACCTTGGTTGAGACAGTCGCGTCGGTTTCGCTGAACACTGGAGAAACAACTAATAAATACTTTCGTTCCAGACGCCCGACGCCAGTTATGCTTCCTTCCTTCCCGCTGCATCTAACGTTAATGCAAATTTAAACTTCGACTGTCATTCGAGTGCCCATGCTGTTGTATAGGAACAGCTATGATCATTAATCCAACTCTTGCTGCTGCTATTCATACTCTTAATAATTGTTTTTCATTTGCCATAAAGCAGACTTGGCGCGCTCCCGTACATCTAGCTCGTCGTCACTCTGACCCAGGCTCTCTAGCTTCTTAAGGAACCCTAGATTCCTGAGCTCTGTTGCCCGCTGTGAACACGCACTCGCGTCACTCATATCATCCTGCCAAGTCAAATTGTTGATCAAGTGGCACAGTGCCACTCGCACTTCCCGATCTTGACTATTAAAAAGTTTGGCTAATTGCTTGAGAAGATCTGTCTGTGCGATAACAAGTTGCCGATGTCGGGGTATACTTGCGGCCATGTGCACCAAGATATATATGACTGCCTCAATAATCTTGACCTGAGGTGGTAAGACTCGAGTCTCGCTACCACTAGCACCTCGTCGATTGTAGGGATGCAGGACTTTTGGTTTCAATTTAGAAGCCAAGATCGCGAACAAACGATCTTGGCCGAGGATATTCAGAAGATGGTCAATCATTTCTGTCGTGTCGTTGGCGGAATCGGGATTGTTTGGGGAGTGCGCGCCACCAATCAAATTCCTGATGAAGCCGAGACCTTGTTCGTGTATGGCGAGATCATCATGTCTGGCTTTTCGGATAGGGTTCTGTTCAATTTCTCTGAGACCCTCTAGTCGTGTTTCAGCTTCCTGCAACAGTCGAATGTCTGATTTGGGAGAAGTTGATGTTGTTCTGTTGGAGCCGAGAGGCCATGGCCGGGTTTGCTCGTCTACAAAGCCCATATCCACGTCTTCATCCATGGCATCTGGAGTGGGGGAAGTAGACTGCTGTTCGGACCGAGTTCTCGTGGAATAGAGTGCTTCGTCTTCGGTATCATCGCAAATGAGCTTGACCAACCAACCAGATCCAAGCTCTTCCACGCATTGCTTTTTGTGCTCTATGCTGGCAGAATCAACAAGATGTTTCAGAGCCCAGAGCGCGTTCAGTCTCAACGCAGAATTTTGTGAATGTGCATGTTCACATAGGACTTTCAGTACACCAGCATCGACCAGAGGCTAAATACCTGATTGTTAGTAGTGTGTTCGATGGGAATGATAAGGGAGCACTCACGTCTCTCATTGGGCTAAACTCCGTGACTAGGTTACAGATACAAGCAGTTGCAGCATTCTGAACCTCGACATCAGGATGCCGAAGTAGTCGGAATAAAGGTTCCGAGGCTGAATGGTCAACTAAGACGGTACGTAGTGTATTGACTGACCGGGATTGCATCCGAATAGCATAGCACGCTGCAATGATGACAGATACGGGGTTGTGTTCAGGTAGTGACGTTTTGTTGTTAGAGCTGACTCGATATTGCACATCCTGCTCCTTTTGTTTTGAATCACTAGGAGACTGATTCAAAGATTTAAGAATGTAAGTCATCACGTCTTGGTCTACAATTGCCTTGCGGTAGTCTTCTTTGAAAGTCGCTAGCGCACCAAGCGCCCTTAAAGTAGTCTCTCTCACTCTCCTGCGATGAATGATGTGCATATGTTGGCCTTCATCGCCCAACTGGCACTCGGATGGAAGACTCCTTGTGGCATCAACACCGTCACTAATCGGTGACCATGGGCGAGACTCTGGGACAGCTAAAGGCGTATCATAGCTGCTTTTCAGTAGCTTACACATGATTTTAACAGCACCACATTCGAATGCGGCCTTTTGCATAGGCTCGCTGTCCGTAATAAGGCGAGCAAGGACTGATGGTGTTTCACCAATAATGTCTAGTTTGGCCTTCAGATCACGGCTCACCCAACTGCTATTCCCAGATTCTTTCATCTTCGACTCAGCATCTTCAAGAAGCCCTAACAGAACAGGGACAACCAATAGCCCCATGCTTGGTTCTCTTGCTTTGTACGCGAATCCTGTTTTGAGAAGCGAGGTGAGTACTGAAGCAGCCGCTAACACTTCACACCCGTGACGTGTGCGTACTAGATGGATTAGCCATGGTACTAATGGACTTTCGACGTCTGCGGCGTCTACATCGGCATTACGTGCCACGTTCTCTTCGGGAGGGGTCCATGATACTAAACTCGTCTGGAGTTTGGAAGACGGCCGACCATTAGTGCTGGGACTATCCCTAGAAGACTGGGCGCTCATTGACGAAAACCCTCCTGGGTTCCCAAGTCCACGAGGAGAGAAAGGTGTCTTAGGTAGTAGTAAGTCCATGATCTCGGGCTCTTTGGGTCTCGAGGGTCGTATCCCCGGGAGCACAATGAACTCGGGCGGGGATTTAGAATGTTGATTTCCACCATTGTTGAAGTTGGGGAAAATGGCTAGAATGGAAGGAGAGTATACGAGTTTACAGACACGGTAGGGGGAGTCGCTGATGATAGCAGCAACCGCGCCAAGCACCTCACCCAAACCTCCCGTGGTGATTGGAGGCTCTGGTATATACTCCCCTAATCCTTCTATACGTGCACGCACCTCAGCTTTCGGCAGGACGTATCCCTCGGCCACCGCAAAGGTAGCTATTCTTGTGGCTAAAGCATCCAAGATGCCAGAGTCTACTAAAATGGTCTGATGGCGTTCCTCGGAGCAAAGAGTTCTGATGAGGGATGCGACGATTATTATTTGAGCTTCGACATCGCGATCCAACGCCCGCTGCAACAAGATCAACCGCAAGCTCTCTAAGTAGTTATTACTGAACAAGGTGTCTGCGAGGGACACGAGATTGATGGGTGAGGACGCCGAGGCAGATATCGTAGCCACTGTAAAGTCCTTCAATACACGGAGGGCAGCGAGGACGATTTGGGGGTGCTCGTTTTGAAGACATGATTCACCCAGGATAGCGGGTAATACGTGCGAAGTGAAGAGAGGAGCGATGAAGGCAGGACCGGCTGCAGACAAACGAATTAGAAACCATGAACTCTGATTTATGATTGTTGACAGTACGGGCAGGACTCATATCATACCGGTCGCAAAGCTTCCTAATAGTTGCAAGGCTTGTAGCTGAGCAGTATCATCTTCAGTGAAAGTATCGATGTTGTTCGAGAAAGCCTGTCGCGTTCCTTTCCCAGTTCTACTGCGTGGCGAAGGGCCAGCTAGTAGAAGCCTCACGATGTGTGGGATGAGACCGTGTTGAACCCATAACGTCTTTTTCTGGATATCACCGACGATATCGTTTTTGAGCGATCTCAGAGCAGCGGTACGGGCAGCGGGACTTGCGTCGAGGTCATTGATAATCGCCTGCGACTCGAGTTCCATCTTGGTCAGGAGCAAGCTGGTTCCCTAACGATGCCAAAAGGAGCCGGCTACAGATGATGTTTGTCAACTCGCTGGTTCGGGTAATCTAGCCCGAAGACAAAGTTGATGGACTATGCGCAGGGAGGAGGGCGATGGTCGGCGTTGTCGCGCAAATGGCAAATGCCAAAGAAACAAACTACTACATGAATTAAACAACTTGGCTAGCCAAGGTATTGGTGATATAGTTCAATGTTGGTACCAAGGTACAGGTGTACTGTACTGATATGGACATGTACCTAGCTGTCGATAAGAGCTAAGTACCGGCTGTGGCCTTCCACTGCAGAACCTTGGAACCGTGCCCGGCTGGGTTCAATGCGCTTTTTCCGGGGGCCTGTGACAGGCGGGACACGTATTAAATATGGGCAAGCCTGTGCTGAAGATAGCCGGCCTCCGGTTAGGGACCGGCCAGAACCGGCCTACACTAAGCAAGTACACGACAAGGAACAATACATATAGAGTTGCCGGGTTTGCCATGCTCGCCATGTAGGAATACCTAAGTACGATCAACACCAATCGATTACGTTATAGGGCTTTTCTAGTGAAAACCTTGTAGGCAGGTGCTCCTATCAGTTGTTAAATAACGTTGACGATATATTTGCTGGCCAGGTGACTTTGCCTGCCTGGGTTTGTCTGGGTTACCTTGTACGCAGTCTATCACTCAAGAATGAGGTTTTCATTCTTTGCCCGTGTACAGTAGCCAGTTACCGACGCTATGTCCACTATAATGTGTAGTCCTAGTTGCTGTTTGATGGGTAACTAGATCGCGCAACTACTAGTACGTAGAATCTTCCGGATTGTAAGTTAGCTAAGATGTTGAAGGTCAGCTGCCCCCTACTTACACATTACTTATGTCGGACTACCTACTCTACCTACTTATACATGGCTCATTCCAGTACCTACGTTTCCTCATCCAACGAGTTGTCTCAAGATGTTGATGGCTATTTGATTGCCTCATATCCTTGTTATGTAGTGCTTAACCTACAATACCTACCTACCCGGGGGCATTGAGGGTATCGATGATACCGATAGCGAGATCGGTTGACTAACTTACTCGCAATTCTCGTGATTAAGTAAGTACCTACATAAAGTAGGTAGGTAATTGGAAGTCCGGCCTGGCCCACTCGGCATGACCTAACTGCTCTTCCTACCTACTAGTAGGTAGGTACTGTAATAAAACTCCGATACATGGGACAGATGGTCTCTTTCCCTCTCTGGCACCATTCGAATGCCACAAGCTCCCAATCTGGTCGATTTCTTCTGCCTCTTGTATACCCACACTTTGGTGTCTAGGGGTCATGAACGGCCGCTGCGCATCGCCAGAGATTGACCGGCTGGGACGGCTATGACCTTGCCATCACTGACAACGAGCGCAACATAGTTTTCAGCGGTTTCTAGCCTAGGAACCCCACCAAAGGGTGTCGTGCTACGGCGACGGACTGGTGTGAATTGGTGCAACCATCATCGCTCCTCACCTTGTCCTTTGTCTTGTCCCCCGAGACACGTTCCACGATGATTTCGAGATGTTGACCTCGTCTCCTGTAGCGCCCCGGCCCGCGAGCGCTTCTGCCTCTCCGCGAGACTTCCGCTATGCACCACTACCACCGTCGACCCGCTCTCCCCACCAGTCCCCCAAGATAACGGCTTCTTTGCGCCGACGGCATTCCAAACAATCAGTCGCTCACCCATCCCCATCGCCGCCTGCTTCTCACCAGTCGCCATCCCAGTCCAGGCCAAAGCAATATGTGGGTGTGGACGCAGCCACGCAGTACTCACCCATGGAGCCCTTCGACCCCACGGTTCCTCTACGAGCCGCCGATGCGCCTGCTCCGCGCAAACCCACATCAACTTCCGCAGCCGAGAAAATAGCGACACCGCTCATGCCGCCTGTACCGCCTGTACTGCCTACACCGCTCCCCAAGGCCACAGATCCGCCTGTTGGAACTAGCCTGGCGACTGCCCAGCCGGACAGGCAGTCGACAAACCCACTCTCGCCTGCGAAAAGACGTAGCTCCGACTCTGAAGACCAGCGCAATATCCTCACTCAAGATGGTCAATCTACCTCCCCAAAACGAACACGGCCCAACGCAAGCCCTCCCAAAATGCTACCCTCGCGTTACGAGCTATGCGACGTTGAAGACATGGTTGTTCTTATAGCCAATATGATAGGGGAATTGATTGAGACAAACGACTCTTTAGCTATGAAGAGTGGTAACCTCACGAGGTTTCATTCTCGGTAGGAAGCCCACCCTCGCCCCTGCTGTAGTTTGGTGAGAATGCTCACCTATTCATCTGCAGAACAGCCCCAGGCATATCTGTCCTAGACTATTTACAGCGACTTGCGAAACACGCAACCTTAACACCACCCCTCCTGCTTTCTATGGTGTACTACATCGATCGCCTATGCGCATTATACGCAGACTTCACTATCAACACCTTAACTGTTCATCGGTTCCTAATTACTGCGGCTACTGTGGCTGGGAAGGGCCTCTCAGATTCATTCTGGAACAATTCATTCTACGCGCGTGTTGGTGGCGTGAAGGTTGCCGAGCTCAAACTGTTGGAGTTGGAGTTTCTCTACCGAGTGGACTGGAGAATAGTACCTGTCCCGGAAGTACTAGAAGCCTACTACAAAGGGCTAGTTGACCGCTGTGATGGATATACCATCCAAGAAGTGTTGGACGCTACAACGCTAGACGGCGAGGAAACAGACGAAATCGATGACGAAGAAGAAAGCGACGGGCCCTCTAAAGACAGCCCAATATCATAAATCGTGGAGGAATGGGTCTGGAGTTCGGTGGGGTTAGGGTTTGGTCACTGGGCGGCAGACTCTTTTCACTGACTTCAAATCCGAATTTAAAATGGCTCATGTGTGTATGAGACACGAACGAACCAAATATCCAGGGCAAGGCTGAATGATTCTGAGCCGATGTCGCCGAACTCTCGCCTAGGCTCTTCAGCTAATGCTCAAGGTCTGGTATGCGACTTATCACAGTATGCAGACCCAAGTATATGTATGACACACAAACGAGTTGAAAATGTTGTAGATAACGAGTACTCAAAGTGCTTCCAGTATTTAATATACGTATTTAAGGATTAAGAAACTGCACATGGGTTTTATTTTATATCAAGTCCTATAACTTTGGTAAAAGGTGACGAAGATGATATCATTTCAAGCAAGCCCTGCTGGGACCCCTCTACAAGGCACTGGCTGACCTTGGTATGGTACAGTGCTAATATGCAAAGCCCCCAATTAATTTCACAGTTCCACATTATGGGGTGCTCACCACATGGGCATCTTTTCATCTATTGATTCAGCCAGTTTCATCGCAAATTTCCTTTTACATCAATCCTTCAACTTGAGTGACAAACGCATTCGTGTTGCTTATGCATCAGTGTACATAATGAAGCCAGCAACAATATTATCGCGGGTTGCTTGTCTCGCAATGGCAAGCCTGGCCAGCGCTAGCGAACGGACAGCTGCTATCTACATCCAGGCGGTAACGGCGTCGCCAGCGACACCCGTACCGCTCGCTGAGCTCCAATTCGATACACTCGCACCCTCTGAGGCCCATGTCATCACATATGAGGCGCCCGAGCTACCCGATGAAACGAAGCTTGTGCGTGTCGGTGTCTACGACCCCGCAGCGAAGCAGTGGGCTTCGTCGACCTCCGTTGCGTCAATAGATAATTTCGAAAAGGGATATTCACCAACCCTCATTCTGTCGGTAGGGCAGTCTGGCGAGCCAATCAGTGCGGCGGTCCGCGGCGTCAGGATTGATGCGGGACAAACGCGAGACTTTGGGCCGCAGGCGATGGTCCTCGTGACTGCGGCAGGAAAGCAGCCCGATCTGAATAAGCCTGTCATATTGTCACCTGAGGGGAAGCAGGTTGTTCCAGAGGAGAAGACAATGCTTCAGAAGTATGTGAAACCTCCTCAACTTCGAGGCAGAATCTTGCCTTGTTATATGCCCCTGCACCCAATGTCAAACACTCATCCCTCTCTATCATGTATGTGACGGAGTTGACGTGCTTGCTAACTTTTCATAGGTATTGGTGGGTGATAGCACTTGTTGTCTTGATGAGTGTTGTAGGCGGCGGCGATGATAAGAAATAATAAGACTTCGTTTACATTCCTTGAATTGCGAAAATTCTCTTACCTCAATTTATTTTCTTCCTTCGTGGAATGTTCAGTGACCTATTTGTCCGGCCTGCCTTTGCTGCCGCAATTACGAATGTGAAAGTATGGAGACGTTGATCTACGCAGGTTAAAAGATGATATCTACCAGGGCCCTTATTCTTGAGTTAACTTTCTAAGCGCTCGATATATCATTTTCTTCTTACTATGATTCACTTTCTTTTCATTCCGAGCCGCTCTACCTACTTGTACTTGACCCTGTCATTCCTCTTGTCCCAACTCCCAAGATCCTTGCGCTCCTTCCCTGGCTACAATGGGCACCAGTACCCTTGTACCTTAGCTCAGCTTCTCGTCTCTACTGGGCTTAGCGTCTATCCGCTTATCGATATGAGGGCGGTGAAGGCGGCGTGCTGGCAGAAACAGCACCTGGTGGATAACCTGGCAGCATGGATTGGTTGGCTGGCAACGGAGGGCCATCCAATAAACATTCGGTCTTCTCACTCAACTTAACCTTCCTCAGTTACCATAACACCTCAACATCTCCACACGCGTTCTGCGACTCTACGACTCTCAGCATCGCTTCACTCCAATCTCCACAGAGAAACCATCTTTCTTCGGTTTAAAGTCACAATGGCTTCAGAAAACAGTGCCACCATCCCTCAGGACCCTACCAAGGTTACTGATGAGGCCGGAGACAAGGGAAAGGGCAAGGCTGTCGCGGCTGAAGAGCCTGTCGATCAGTCCATGGACGAGGACGATGATGAGGACAGTGGAGACGAAGAGGTGAGCTGAAACCATTTGGCAGTGGCATTTCGCATACGTAAGCAAACTAACATCTATTTATTCAGGCTGGTGATGACGGTAAGGACCTGGTTGGCCAGTAACTCGTAAATTAAGCTTGTACTGACGCAAATTTCATCGTAGCAGCTGATGATGACGATAACATGGATGAAATCGATCTCAACAACATTGTTGATGGCGGCCGTCGCACCCGCGGTCGAGTCATCGACTGGGCTAAGGCTGCTGAGGAGAACCCTGCTGATGACGATGATGACGACGATGATGAGGATGACTTCCAGCCGGAAGGCGAGGGAGATGCAGACAAGATGGATGAGGACTAAATCCGCCAACATGATTTTACGAATCTGAACATTACTCATACCTTCTTGCGCGTCGATACCACACCGTTTCAAATCTCATCTCGACACTCCGTTGGTGTCATATGAGATACAGATCCTACGTTTCTGGGAGATACCCAATGCGCGGCAATCGGATATAGTTTGTCGCTAGCCAGGATCATTACGCGTCTGATTATGCACGACCAGGCCATGAATTACCGGCTGCGCATATGAATAAAAAAAAGGTTCTGACAGTGGTTCTACAGCTGACTTCTCAGGTTTTCATGTGAGCTCATCTGCTTTGTACAAAATGTGAGATTGCATAGTGAGAATTGCAACATGTGCTCCACCACCCTCATCGTGAACAGTACTTGCGCGAACCTGTGTGCCCTTTTCCCAAGCGATCAACGCTTATCGCATGCAATTCGTCTCTCGGCTGAGTTACAAAGATTTTCTACTTGCTTAATCTGCATCGCTACTCTACCTGGACAGCTTGGTCTGCCTCGACCTTTTCCGTGTTACTTCGCTCGTAACCTTGCCGAGCATACTTGATTGCTCATGTCACGTAGCGTGATCTTCTATCTGGGCCGAATTGGCTTCTACGCATACTTGCTTAATTCTATTTCTGACCCACGGTAGTTTTCGTCGTAGTAAATTTGCAGATATGTGGAATACCTCCTGCACAGCCTTTTAGATATGTATATGTCTATGTCGAATCGCGAAGGACTTTTTTGCTTCAATCACTGGGCACAGGAGTATGGATGCATATCTGAACTCGAAATGATTCAATTATATTGTAGCTCTACTCATTCCAATCCTTGTTTCATTGAGTTTAGTATAGATATGATACGTTTGTGCTTCCTTTCACCTTGGGTATCCTCACATTCAAACAATATACCATGGTAACACATTTCCAGAATGTTCTAAGCTGTAATCCAGCGCCACCGACGTCGAAGAGCATTTATAGCTGCCCGACATACCTAGAGATAAAGCGTATTGAGAGTACAACATTAGCTCACGGGCTTCATGAGGTCTCGGGCCGTTTCTTACCCAGCTGCAGACCGTCTTGTAATCAAGTCACTTTGTGTCCGAGTCATTATACTATCTCCCAGCAGTTCTTTCTACAGCCAATCTTGTTGTTGGTAACGCGAACGCCGAGAATCTCCCATTAGTATATATTAGGAGTCCTATTCCCACGGCTGCTGAGGCATGGCATCCAATTACGAAGATATCGATGACTACTCATTCATGCAAGTGAACGCTGGCTGGTCTCTATCATGTTTGTGAGGATCGCCTGTATGGTACCGATGCATTTTAATTAATCATGTTCTACATGTCTGCATGAAGGCCACCCGGTCTGCTAACCCCGTTTGAGACCCAACCACACATAAATGCCCAACAGCGGAGCCTTCACTGGTGTCTTTTCCTCGCCCTCGACAACATCTTCACGAAATCGCCGATTCATCCTTATAAGCCAAATCAGTTAAAGCTAGCATCGAAATTATAGTGCACCATGTTCGACAATTTCTCAATGCGTCATGTTCCAGCCCTCTTGGCGGCCACGCCAATGTTCCTCGGTGGGCTTTTCCACGGTCTTATGAAGCCGAAAGAGGCTCTGCTCACCTACGGCATGTCGGAGAGAACAGCCAACTCACGTGAAGGCCAGATTGTCTATTACGGTCACACAATGAGGACAAGTACGCTAGGTCTCCTGGTCCTGGTCTTTTATCTCCGGGGCGACCTTGCCGCAGTCGACACAACGATGACCATCATGGGATCGTACTGCGGTTTGGCCGATGTGTTTCTCCTCTGGCGCTACGGAGACCGCAGCAAAGCTCCTGTACGGCTCCTGAACGTTTCGCTCATCGCTGCTTGGGGCTTCGCTGGTATGACGGCTAGCTCTGAGAAGTGAAGACAATTTGTATGTACACAACAACCATACAACAAATCTTAAATGGTTTTTTATATGAGCTCAGTCTTCATCCAGAATATGTACCTAGTGAACACAAGGTCATAGTCGGCGAATCGGTCTACACAACTCTTCAAGCCATGCACAGAGATCCAGTTTATCACACTAAAGCCTATGAGTTTCATGGGTTCAAATTTGTTAAGCCGACTCTTTAAGGAGCGACCCCAAAGTTGAATCTGGAGATGCCTGAGCTTGCAAAATCGTTTGAAGCCTCCTCATTCCTCGACTGACAGCTCCGAGGAACTGGAGCGTAATGCCTGGTAAGTGATCTCCTAGCCCCTTGTTCTCTGTTGGCGAAGATATCGATCTAACTGGCTCACAATGATCCAGTCCGGACAGGTTCTAACTCACCAGGGCTGATGAAGAGGGTTCTGAGCCTCTCCATCCCACGATATAATATGCAACCTGAGGATACGGAGCAATCAAGATATTTATTTTTTAATTGCGCATATTCATATATCCATTTGATTACAATCCAATTGTGCTAAGACCTTGCTCCGCTTCTATTTTCAGACTCCTACAAGGCAACATGGTACGATCTTGTATCCTTTCCTTTAGATCTGTTTAAGCTTCATCTATTTTATTACTCGACTTTTGGACACCAAATCATACCACATGGCTACCAGATTGTTCCGTTGGTAACCTATGCTACTGTGTATTTTAATACTACTTAGCCTATCAGACATTTCCATCCATATCTTCCACCGCGAGTTTAAAGGTCGGCAAAGCAGTTTGGAAGGAAGAATCTAGCTAATAGTACTACGTACCTGTTTAAAACACACAGATTATAGATATTTTGTAGACAAGTAAAAGAAATTCAACTACGACTCTTTGTCGCGTGGGTAACGGTTACTTGTACCTAGGTAGGTACCTACTGTACTTAGGTAGGTATCTGTCAAAAAAGTGGATACTCAGCCAGCTTTAGCTGTTACGTGTGCCGAGCCTACTAGGTAAAATCTGGTCTCATACCATTGATTGGCTGGAGAGATACCGTATTAGACATCTCGTCTATTTGGCCCATCATCTCTTGGTTGACCAGATCAACCATAACTTTGGTCAGATTTGCTTCACCATGGCTTCAAGGTACGTAAACTTCCAGTTTCGCGATGGAATTCCTCAAGAAGACCGTCTCGTATAATGCGCAATGGGCGATTCCCCATTGCTTCCCACACAAACAACCTCGAAGCGACCATAGTCCTGTGCAGGCGCATCTGAATGTATCTGCGCGCATATAATCATACACCAGTCCTTCCCTTTTCCTCGCATGCTGTATCTTTCTGGCATTTACAATGTTTGGCGCGAGAAACTTAAACTAAGATGTCCGCGAATCGCAGGTTCGGCCATTCGACGCTGCATCAGCGGGATCCGCGCAGCGCGCTCTTCGAAGGATACAGCGGTGCCAACTCGCCGAGGCGACAGGCCAGCGCGAGTCCTAGTCCCGCGGCGCTGGGCGGCTACGGGTATAACAGTGGTGCCGGTGCCAGTGCGCAACATCTCGGCGTGGAGAATAGGGGATTCAGACCCGCGACGCCGAACTCGAGGTACGTTTTGCGGCAATGTCTATCTGTGAAAAGGGGGTTGGGTAAAGAACATGGCAAACGACACTGAGAAAGAGAAAGGGGGGAAATTGTCGTGGAAGAAAGAGAACATATCTTGTAGGCGCGATAGAAGCGCGACGCGAGTCTTGCGCCGGCGTGAAGATTATATGGCGATACGACATGGGATGTGATGAGAACTAAAGATATGAAAATGATCACGACCTGACAAAAAATAATGTGCTATAGGGGACAATATAGCGACGCGGTGCTCAGCGAACTCGAGAGCCAGAATGACCAACAGGTCGAAGGGATATTAGGAAAGGTCAAGATTTTAAAGGAGGTGGGTAACTGTCCTCTCTCCCATACCCTCGTTCCTCCTACTCTAGGACTCGTGGCATACCCGCAACACTATCATATCACAAGTCAAAATTCAGGGAGCGCAGAACTGATTCCCAATACAAATAGATGACGGTGGCTATCGGCGACGAAATCCGTGACTCCACGGCGCTGGCAGAGAAGATGAACGACACGTTCGACTCCACCCGGGTGCGGCTGCGCGGCACCATGAACCGCATGTTACTCATGGCTGAGCGGACGGGCGTCGGCTGGAAGGTGTGGCTCGGCTTCTTCGCCGCCGTCATCTTCATCTTCTGCTACGTCTGGTTGTTCTAAAATACACACATCGTCTCACCTCCCACAAGCACGGATTCATCATAATCCACTATTTGCATACGATCAGCTACCCGGGGTGATTACCGCGTCGAGACAGATTCATCTTTCAGGAAAAAGAAAGATGAATACATGAATGGATGGATGGATGGAATGAGAGGATTCTTGTCATAGATTCCAAAGATGGCCAAGAAGGCGTAGATGCATAGCACACCGGGCGTTCAGGAATGATTCTTGCATTTTAATCCATTTTGCTCATTTTATCTGCGAGCGAAGCAAACAATGCACCCGGTTAACGCACAACACCCTCAACTTGGTTTGAGGAGGCATAGCTCTGAGAGTTAAAGCACATGTTCATATAAGGAATACGCGGGCGTTGTATCAAGGGTGTTTTCACTCCCGTACGCATACGGAACGACTTTTGTAATTAATGTATCATAATTCATGCATTCATGTCATTATACTACAGGACGTAAAGTGACTGAGAGAAGGAGGTCCGATTGTGAATGAATTTGTAATTTCGTTTCTAGGAGCAACTAAGGGAAACTAAAAAGGGGTATCTTGATATGTAACGCCATGTCTTCGTATGCTATGATATGCCCATAGAACGAAGACGCGGAGAGTAAAAGAAAAAAATAAAGACTAGACGGTGATAGATGCTGTGACTGCATATCATCTACCCTCTCCCTCGCCGAGCAGAGAGCGCTGTTCTCTGTCGTGGTACTACTGGACTGCTTCCTAGAACACTGCTCCCGTCACGCGACAGGATGTCACTAATAGCAATGCTGTTGCGCGTGGCATCGCTGCGGGCGAGACTATGCCGGACGCGGTTCGCTTGCTGTGGCGCCACGAAGCTCATGCGGGAATTATTGTTGTTGTTGTCGTCGTCGCCTTCGATGATGCTGCTTAAGTCGGCTTCTGTATCCGTGTGCTCGTAACCTCCGATGCTCTCGGCCTCGGGGATCTCGTCGTCCAGATCCGCGTCCATGCCCATGTCGTTGTCCGCGTGGGCGCCCACGAGATCGTCCTCTTCGATCATCTGCGACTGGTCTTCGTCGTCAATGTCCTCGTCTACCCCGTAGAAAGCCGCACTGTCGCGCCCGCGTGCCATATCCTCGCGGAACGCGTCGTTGGCTTGTCGCATGCGCTGCGCCATGAGCTGCTGTTGTTGGGCTTGCGCAGCTTGCATCTCGCGCTCTTCCGCGTCTTCATCTTCTTCATCTTCGTCTTCGTCTTCATCGTCCTCGTCCTCGTCATCCTCGTCTTCATCCTCATTGTCGCTGAACCCGAATTCCGCCTCGTCCGCTTCGGGGATCTCGTCGTCAAGATCGCGCGCCCCGTCCAGTTGTACGTCATCCATGCCGTCATCACCACCTGGGGGTGCATCCAGCATCATGTCTGCGTCACCTCCACCAGCCGTAGTGCCATCTCCTGCACCTTCACCAGCACCAGCACCTGCGGCTTCTGCCTCTGCCGCCTCAGCGAGTTCCTGGGCTAGCTGCTCCCGTCGCAGAGCTTCCTGGTGTTCCTCAGCTTCGCGCCGCTCCTCGCGCAGCTGGTGAAGAGTCTTGGGAAGACCTGGAGGCTTCAACCAAGCGCTGCCAAAATTCGTAACATTGTGTTGGCGGCGCTCAAGGTTCTGCTCATCGGCGCGCAGGCGGGCTAGGGGCGAGCGCTCAATCAGATGAGCTCCACGCCGATGATTGCTGTTGGGCCCATGCGGATGACCATGGCCCTGCTCTGGATTTTGACTACCGAGGCGCAAATCTTGGGCATTATATGATGCGAATGGATTGCGCGATGACGTGTACCATAGTGAATGTGACTATGTAGGGGGTTAGTCTGTCTGTTTGGATTCGAGTTCCTTGTGTTTGGGCTTTTGTTTACTTACGTCACGTGGTGAGAGATCTGGAAGCAAGCCGAACATTGTTTTGAATCTCTTAGATGTGGGAGAATTTTGAGGGATTGAGCTTTACTTCACCCTTTGGACGTTGAACAATGCATTTGCATGCTATCTAGTTGTCAAGATGGTCATGGTTAGAATACCTAAACTGACTTTCGATACTGGCGGCCAGTATTGGCGGGGCATAGTGATGACTAAGCGTGTTATCGCTCTTATCGTTCGTTGCCTTGGGGAGTACAGGGAAGTTACCCCAGGTTTTGAGTTGCACGGTAAACTTTGTTCACGCGTAGATTCTAGAAAAATGCACGAGTAATTTATACTTGTACGCCTGAGATGTTAAGAATCTATCCAAAGTAAATCGTAGATGTTGATAGTCTTTGGACTGATGACGTTACTATATCAGTCATTATATCAGTCACTCGATTGGTCACTCAGACAGCGTAATCTCGTGCAGGTAAGCATCTGTGTTGGTAGGTATCGTGAAACCATTAATAATAGCTTCATTAGGTAATAACTAAGAGTATACCTTACCTACCTAAGTGCGGGCGGGAGCGGTAGGCTGCAGGGGTACATTATTGGTATTCAAACATGTGATCGCGTTCTAATGCGTTCCCAGCACGTGGTAACCGAGCAGAAGCTTCTGTTTATTTTTAAAATCTCCATTGATCCCAAAGAGGTTCGAGGTTGCCATCACAGCTTGCCAACGTACTCAGGAACGAACAAGCACACGTTCTTCACAGCTTCATCACCTACCGAGTATGGTACCGAGTAGGGCACGTTTAGTATGGATCGATAGAGAGCGCAGCGGCAAGTGTCCTGACTCGATCGAGCCCGTCGGATCCGAATAGGACCGGATCCGACCGGAACTCTCTTCCTTCTGCGTGGCATAGTAGTACCACTACTGCGTGGACATCAGAGCATTTGCGAGGTAAGTAGGTAGCCAGACCCAGCCGCTTCTCTGTGTCACAGTCGCTGCGCTGCGTGCGTACACATGGTCTGTTGCGACCTGCAGTAGTAGAGGGAAAACGCTCGGCTTGGGAAATTAGTCGTCGTCCTTCTCGTCCGGGTACGGCGCCGCTCGTCTAGTTCCTGTGAGGTAATAGAAATACCCCAGAAGTGTTGAAACATGCAGCTAATATAGCTTAAGTAGACGGTGGAAGCTTGGCTGGTCTTGATTTTCCGCGGCTCACGGAGTCAGCCACCGGATTGGCGGCATTTGAACGCCCGTTACCGGCCTTGGAGCTCGGGTTCTGCTGGGTTGTGCTAGAGAGGCTCTGCTGTACTTTGTAAGTGTCAGTGCGGCGCGCTTCGCTCGGGTGTTTTCGGAATGAAGGGGCCTGCGAGAGATCAAGTCGGAGCTGATGCGCTCTTTACATTGGCAGAATTCTAGACAGTTCAGAGAGTCGGACCAAAACCAGTGTACCACCTACCTGGCTCGGGAGGCAGGGAGATCTAGACAGGGCCTCTCCGCTCAGCGTGTCTAATTACACTTCATTTTTTTTTGGATGATGGATGAGTGAGTCCCTGAATTCTACGAAGTACCACTAAGTCGCACCGTCGCCGCTTTCGTCCCTCATTCTCTACCCCTCTTCTGAGGGAACACCCTCTATTTCCAGAGCCAGAAATATTTTCCCGACGCTACCTCTACAGCATCGCCGTGCTACGCTACTTAATATTACTCGCTCATGAACAAACTATCAGCCTAAATGTAGACAACTCTTGGCTACGTTTCTGTGTTGTTGTTTAAATTGCTTATATGACTTGTTGCGATGCTAAGGACATAGCCTACGCAACAACAGACAGTGTGATATTGGGCTTGGTATAGACAGCTCAGCTGTATCCAGCATGATCCCTTCCACTCACGCTGGTGTTCTGCAACGTGACGCACTGGCTCCTAGTTGCATCCGTCGTCTGTATTCTCTAGTGTGGTCTACATGAACCCCTCTTCCTTCCTCGCAGTCCGGGTCTGTAACGTAGCCAGACTTGTGCTGGCGCTGCTCGACTAAAATCTCGCATCCTGGTGCTTGCTAGCTGGCGGGCGCTTGGCACCCCCGATCTCGAGCGCCATATGCACCTTGTGGACAGATCTGCCATACTCAGCACAGTTACGCCCATGAGCTAGCATATGTGCAAGCTTGTGACAGCTATCGAGAAGCGCCGAAAATTATTTTCTTTTATTTTCTTTTATTTCCGGTTTGGACGAGACAGTTACTTCGAGCTAACCTTTGTTTAATTGCCTACCGCTTCATTGGACCACAGAAACGGCATGTTTGCTGGTGAGGTCGAATGACAAACAACTCTTACATAAACAGTCATTCTCATTGGGCCAGGTGTACTGGGAAGTTGAAATTTATCGCTCACTCACACATGCCATGACAACAGACGCCTCTCCATGGTGTTCACCGTTTAAAGTAGCCATGCAGAAAAGTCACGAGGACACCAGACAAGCATATATGTATGTACCAGGGTCCCCCTGTGCTCCTAGGTGTGTAACACTGCCGCCTTACTACCTACTTCGTAGGTATATACGTATGCAGCGGAAGCCGCCGACGTTACAGCCTAGAGATGGCCCGCTACTCATGGGGGCGAGAACACCAGGCGGAACAGCTGTTCATATACCCATAGTCAGCGGATAGTGAGCTGAGGGCTGAGGAAATAGGGATATTTCAACAGTTGCTAGTAATTCCGAAATATGCCGTAGTGAGACAGTATCTACATGTAGTGTATTACCTACAGCAATAGTCTTCAATTTGATTATTGAAGGGGTAAAGCAAATTAGCTATGGGTGTGCGTGTTGATTACATTGTATACAACGATTGCACATGTATTCGTAGGTAATGACAATAAGGACATACCTAGTAGGTAGAGAGATGCTTGCTACTCGTACCTAACGTGTGAGCAGAGTCGAAGTATGCAAGCTTGCAACCTACTTCCTTGATGTTTTTAGGCGGCGTTGCGTGAATTCCCAGCTCCATCCCAGCTCCAATACCCAAATCCTACCCATGGCAACGCAGCGAATACAGCACACACCTGGATGTTTGAATCTGGTGCCCAAAAAAAAGAACACCCAGTGTACTATATATTTCAGAAGCGAATGTATTTCTTTGTTGGTACCCCACGCCGTGAGATCAACCCATGTCATCACAATTTCGTCGTCAATCTGCATCCTCTCATCAACACAATGCAGGGCCGAAACTGGAAAGCTTGGCATCTGAAGCTTTACCGCTCACCTCGCCCACGCGACATCGGACTGTGAGAAACACCACCGGGTTGATTGGATGCAACTCACAGCCTCGGCCATTCAGTCCCTTTCAGGCTTCCTGCCTAGTCGTATTTGGTATAATACATATATACACATTGCGTTGCCGGGACATACATAGTATGACGATGGTGAGAGACCCCTGTCTGATGCCTCACTGGAGAATGTCAAGGTGCATACTACGCTACGTGTGGGGTTGTGCTCATAGTGTATAAGGCCAGCAGGGATCTTCATGCAATACCTCCCACAGCCCCCATTCCATGGAAAATAGTCGCAAGCCAGAAGCCGACTCCGATGAACGGCAGAATCATCAAAAACGATTGCCAAACCGCATTACAAAGTCAAATTGACCAATCACACCCGAATCCACACTGCAGGTGTCTCGCTAAAGTCAGAAACATCGAAAATCATCGCCTTCCACTACTGTCCACTACTACATAGTAGTATGCGTGCCTACGGCCTGGTGCCTAATGCCAGGACAACTTTCAATACGCACACGGAAACTCCCTCCACATGCTATTGAATCTCGCTTGACTCGAGAGAATAACTAAAGCGCTGTCTTGAACCTGGAGTAGCGCCCTGGACAAGTCATGATGAATCTACTCAAGTCCTCGCAAAACGAAATCGCCCGTCTGTAAAGGCTGTCTGAACCACTCATCTCAGCCTACAGTAGGTTGTAGTACTAGTCGTAGCCCATAAAAAGATAACTATTTTGGCGTCGGACCATTGTTGTATGGTCTAAAATTTAGGGTTAAGCCGCGGCCATATGGAAGCTGTATGGACAAGTGAGTACGAGAGGTTTGAGGTTGCTTCATGTGCAACATGAGGGGTAGGTAACCCAGTATTATAGTTCCCATACACTTGAGTAGACGCCTATACAGCAGAAGGTTGACAGAGTTGATCGCCGGAGGCATATGGCTCTTCTTTGTTTGTTAACAAAGATGTTTGTCACTGTGTGTTGCAAACTCTACATGTATCAAGTGGCGTGGAAACAGTCCTTGTACATCTTCATCCCATTTCCCCAGATGCTTGGGTTGTCTCACCGGCATGATTGGATGGAAAATCCGACGTAAAACCCGAATCGTACGTGGGATGAAGGACTGAAGAGGGCATCTGGGGCGAGATAGTCTGACCAACGCGGTATTTTCTAGCATTGTGGCAAGCGAACACTGAATGGTACCACTTTCTGTTCCTCTCAATCTCACGTTCTCTCCGACATTCTACATTGCATTGTACAGTATGGATGGATGCACAATAGGTATTGGGAATCCGCAGAGGAGGGATTTTCAAGGAAAAGCGAAGCAGACGGCTATTCACAGACCAGGGGCCTGTCTGCGCGGGCCAATCAGCAGAGTGGTTTTCCTAATTCGCAACTGCTTTGGGACGCAAGCGACTAATGTCACTAACGTCACCAATCCCACTAGCTCGGGCAAATAGTCTCTATCCAATGAGGATAGATGGCTTTCTCTGCACTATTCTGACTATCCTCAGAACCATACCTGAACCATACCTGAATGTTGCAAGGGGCCCCGGTGTACCCCCATGGGCCCATGTGCGAGTTGCTGTCTTGGGGACATGTACTTCCCTGCCTAGGCTACGTGTGTATGTGACCCGGACTTGTAGTGCGTGCGTGCGTGCGTACGTGCGTGCAGTAGGTACCTTTCTGCTCTGGGCTGGCTGCCCTACTTACATACCACTGCTAGTACTGTAGGCTGGCGAGCTGGGCAGAGCAGACTGGGCTGTTAGAACTTAGCTGCCTTTTGTCGGCGGAGAGATGTGAGATTCGCGCCCATCTTTGGTTGCAGTCCGTCTCTCGGCCGCCAGGGCCCCGTACGCCCCCCACCTGCATGTCTCGCTCTCTGGTCTCGTCAGCCCGGAAGGCTAGAAGCGAGGAGGGGCTGATCTGCTCTGCTCTGCAGACTCGTCTGTACTGTACGCAAACCAGACACGGCTTATACTTTTTTTTCCTCATCTCCCCCTTCGGAGCTATTCTCGCAAGCTTTGTCACTCACAGTCGCAGGCTTGGCCAAGCTCCCCAGTAGGTACCTACACTGCTCTCCTCCGTTCCTGCCTACGTAGATCCATCCATCCATCCATCCATCCATAAAAGCCTAGCACATCGCCACTCCTCTCTGCGTTAAGCTCTCTCTCCCTTCTCTTTCTCTTTGCCAAACCAACTTGCCAACCAGCACTTCTCTTATTTGAGCCGGTCCGTCGCCGTGTACCGAAAGATACTCCGGCTTTTGAACCAACATACTCTACACTGCTCCGCAGCTTGATAGTAAGTGAAATGTTTCTGTTTCGATGTCCAGCAACAGTCCTAGTCCAGGTCGGCAGCGTGTGTGATGAAAGCGACAACAATCAACGAGTGCGACAACATGCCATAGCTTCATAGCATTATCTACCTATTTACTGCGAGGAACCCCAACGCTCGATCTTCCGAGACCGATTCAAACCCCCGATCGGCGCGACTTCTTGACTTCAAGGTTGAGACCAGCAGCCCCTCTCTCTCTCTCTAGCCTGCTCTTTCTCCGGTAGCTCAACCGGAACCCCCCTCCCAGACGCAGCAGTTGAAGGTTTTAGCACGGGTGTTCGTCCCTCGACCCTGTTTGCAATTCTAGAGGCAGCTACATCAGACTGCATGAAGGCCGACCTATCAGGGAGTAGTTCCGGTAGCCGCATGATTAAGCCCGCCGCCAGCATAATTGGTCGTGCTGATATGGGATTTGTATCCCCACGCCACATCCCCACACCTACACCCACGCCCAGACCCGGTTGAACATCATCATTGGGACAAGGGTGCCTGTTAGCTATCTCTTCCGCGGCTCCTGGCGGCAGTGGATGCAGCAGAAACAGCAGCCATAGCGCCAGCTTTCCGACTCAGTCAACAGAGCAACCATCATTTTCGAGGACCTTGCAGACTAGCATTTCTCCACGAAATGGTTGAATCAAGACCTATTCCATTCAACCAAACAACCCCCAATTGTTTCCTATGAATTGAAAGAAGATCCTGGCCTCATCAAGACCAAGCTCAAATAACCCCACTAGTTCTGCGATACCGGAGCTCGCCGTTCAATGAGGGGGCTTTGGAATGCACGACTGTCGGACGCCTTTTTATCATCAAGACATGGCAAGATACGTCCACTCCCTTCATCCGACCGGCCAATATACTCAAGCAACCAATATCCACGCTTAAGAGCAAAAATAAAAGAGGTGTTTGGCTAGTGGTGTGTGAGTGGGGTGTGAGAGTCGCACTCTTTGCCTGGACAGTCTGGCCTACGCCAGGGATGTGGATGCATCACCCCACATTCCAGTTCACATGTCTCCCGCTACCAGGTTTTGCCATCGCTGGGGCTTGCGACTAGCTGCCAAAGGGTGACTCGCATCATGATCACTATGAGTGGCTGTCTTTATCTATCATACCAAACCGCCAGCTCTCTATATTGGAGAATGCCACTTTATCAGATGGATCTCATTCGATCTCGACTTTTTTGCCAACATGGACCCCACCTTGGACTGGATTATCTCACCATTGCTTTCCATTCTGCGTTTTTTCTCTCCTCTTCAAACAAAGCTGTTAGTGTAGCTAACTCAATTTATTCACCACATAGACCTGGTTTCTGAGCAGCACCGAGCTGCTTTCATATCTCACTCAATCGCTACTGCACCTGCAGATCTACCTCGACCTTGACCTTTGACCTCCGGTCCGCTCGTCGATCTCTAAAAAACCTTCGTCTATTTGCCTGACATGGGCCTTACAGTGGACTTCGACGACAGACAAACCGAAATCGAGTCCACAGCTGAAGCTTACCATCCCTATGAATATCAAACTGAGAACAATGAGTCTTGGGCGGGTGCTCTACCGGTGAAGCAGTACGTAATTGTCAATGTGCCCCCCTGATAACGTTCGCACTAACTGTTATATCTAGGGGGTTGTATGACCCTAGCTTGGAGAAAGATGCCTGTGGTGTCGGTTTTGCCTGGTATGCTATGGTTCAACTCCCCTCTGTTGAACGTCCTTGTTAACCCGCCATGTAGCCACATCAAGGGTGTGCCCAGTCACAAAATTGTTAGCGATGGTTCGTTCCTCACTCGTTGAAGCCGGGTTGAATTCCTAGCTAATCTTGTATAGCCCGGAATCTTCTCTGCAACATGACCCATCGCGGTGCGGTGGGTTCGGATGCGCGAGATGGCGATGGTGCTGGTGTCATGACTTCTATACCCCATAGATTTTTCATCAAGAACTTTGAAAAGGAGCAAGGAATACAGCTGCCACCACTGGGGCAATATGCTGTGGGAAATCTGTTTTTCAAGCCTGATGAGGAAACCTTGCAGGAGTCGAAACGGCAGTTGGAAGATATTGCCGAATCATTGGGTTTAAGGGTTTTAGGGTGGCGAGAACCTCCTGTAGACTCTTCTCTCCTTGGCCCTGCTGCCGCCTCGCGCGAGCCTACTATACTGCAACCATTTGTTGTCCTTGCTTCTGCTTATGGCTCTGGAAATTCTCCTGAAAACACGGATCCAGAGACATTCCCCGAGAAAAATTTTGAGAAGCAGCTTTATATTCTGCGAAAGCGTGCTACTCACTCTATCGGCCTACAGAACTGGTTTTATTTATGCTCCCTTTCAAACAGGAACATTGTTTACAAGGGACAATTGGCGCCAATTCAAGTCTACCAATACTACCATGATCTGGTAAATGCAGACTATCAGGCCCATTTCGCGCTTGTACACTCGCGCTTCTCTACAAACACTTTCCCCTCCTGGGACCGTGCCCAACCTCTACGCTGGGCCGCTCACAACGGTATGTTTCCCAACTTGCAAGTAGAAATCTTAAAAGAGTAGCTCTAATAAGGACTTTAGGTGAAATCAATACGCTTCGTGGTAACAAGAACTGGATGCGAGCACGAGAAGGTGTCATGCAATCTAACGTTTTTGGTGATGAGCTCGAACATCTCTATCCTATTGTCGAAGATGGTGGCTCCGACTCGGCTGCATTCGACAATGTTCTTGAACTGCTCTCAATCAATGGCGTACTATCATTGCCCGAGGCTGTGATGCTCATGGTACCTGAAGCCTGGCAGGGTAACACAGCCATGGACCCTAAGAAGGCCGCGTTTTATGAGTGGGCTGCTTGCCAGATGGAGCCTTGGGATGGCCCGGCTCTCTTCACATTTGCCGACGGTCGTTTCTGCGGTGCCAACCTCGACCGAAATGGATTACGCCCTTGCAGATACTACGTTATGGCCGATGATCGCATCATTTGCGCTTCCGAAGTTGGTACTATCCCGGTCGACCCAGAGTCCGTTGTTCAAAAGGGCCGTCTCCAACCTGGTCGTATGTTGCTCGTTGACACCAAGGCCGGACGTATCATCGATGATTCAGAACTCAAGAAGGCGGTCTCAGAGCGTGCCGACTTCCGCTCTTGGATCGATAACGAACTGATTTCACTTCCCACAGTTGTTTCACAGGTTGCTGAGCAGCACAAGATTGACCTTGCTCCAAAGCCTGACGCTACTCCTATCCAGCAAGACCCCTACCTGCTTGCTTTTGGTTATACCCACGAGCAAGTTAGTCTACTTCTTGCTCCTATGGCCTCTGATGAAAAGGAAGCTCTTGGGTCTATGGGTAATGATGCCCCATTAGCATGTCTTGCCCAAGGTCCACGTCTTCTCTACGAGTATTTCCGCCAGCTTTTCGCTCAGGTCACCAATCCTCCGATCGATCCTATTAGAGAGTCGATTGTCATGTCCCTGGAGTGCTACGTTGGTCCTCAGGGTAACCTGCTCGAGATGGATGCCTCTCAATGCGGTCGGCTATTCCTACCCAGTCCAATCTTGTCCATCCCCGAGTTCAACAGCTTGACGAACATGTCCAAACTGCACCCCGAATGGACAGTCAAGACTATCGATCTCACTTTCCCTAAGTCAGAAGGTACTGAAGGCTATGTGAGGCACCTAGACTTCATTTGCCGGGAGGCTACCGCTGCTATCGAGGCCAAAGATAGGATCATCGTGCTGTCTGATCGTAAGACATCTGCCGACAGAGTCCCAGTTTCCGCTCTGCTTGCATCGGGCATGGTACATCACCATCTTGTCAGCAACAAATGGCGTTCAATGGCTGCCATAGTACTTGAGACGGCTGAAGCTCGCGAGGTTCACCACATGTGTGTCTTGCTTGGTTATGGAGCTGACGCGATAAACCCTTACTTAGCCATGGAATGCATCTTGAAACTGAACCGTGAGGGTTTGATTCGCAAAAAGCTGAGCGATGATCAGCTCATTGCCAATTATAAGCACTCTTGCGACGGAGGTATCCTCAAGGTCATGAGTAAGATGGGAATTTCTACCTTGGCAAGTTACAAAGGTGCCCAGATTTTCGAAGCGCTGGGCATTGACGATGAGGTTGTTGAGAGGAGCTTCAGGGGCACCGCCTCACGTATTAAGGGTGTAACTTATACGCACATCGCCGAGGATGCATTCAGATTCCACGAACGTGGATTCCCCTCTCGCGACACTGTTAGTGTTCCCGGTTTACCTGAGTCTGGTGAGTACCATTGGCGTGATGGTGGTGAGGCACACATCAACGACCCTACATCCATTGCCAATATGCAGGACGCTGTGCGCACCAAGAACGACAAATCATACGAGGCGTACTCACGTTCTGAATACGAACAAATCAAGAATTGCACGCTGCGTGGAATGCTTGACTTCAAGTTTGATGAGCACACACCTATCCCCATCGACCAGGTTGAACCTTGGACAGATATTGTTCGACGATTTTGCACGGGTGCGATGTCTTATGGTTCCATTTCTATGGAATCACACTCTACTTTGGCAGTAGCTATGAACCGTCTGGGCGGCAAGTCCAACACCGGCGAAGGTGGCGAAGACCCTGAGCGATCTCAAGTTATGGCGAATGGTGATACCATGAGGTCTGCCATTAAGCAAGTTGCCTCGGGACGATTTGGCGTCACCTCGGCCTATCTTGCCGACTCAGACGAGCTCCAGATCAAGATGGCACAAGGTGCGAAGCCTGGTGAGGGTGGTGAGCTTCCCGGTCACAAAGTATCTAAATCTATTGCTCGTACTCGACACTCGACTCCTGGTGTTGGCCTTATTTCTCCACCTCCGCATCACGATATCTATTCCATTGAAGACTTGAAGCAGCTCATTTATGACCTCAAGTGCTCTAGCCCTCGATCTCGTGTATCTGTAAAGCTTGTCTCAGAGACCGGTGTTGGTATTGTTGCCTCTGGTGTAGCCAAGGCTAAGGCTGACCACATCTTGATTTCTGGCCACGACGGTGGCACAGGTGCTTCACGATGGACAGGTATCAAGTATGCTGGTCTTCCATGGGAGCTGGGTCTCGCCGAAACCCACCAGACCCTAGTCCTCAATGACCTCCGTGGCCGTGTTGTTGTGCAAACTGATGGCCAGCTCCGAACAGGTCGTGATGTTGCCATCGCCTGTTTGCTAGGAGCAGAAGAATGGGGCTTTGCTACCACTCCACTAATTGCTATGGGTTGTATCATGATGAGGAAGTGCCACTTGAACACTTGCCCCGTTGGAATTGCCACACAGGATCCTGAGCTCCGCAAGAAGTTTACTGGAACCCCTGAGCATGTCATCAACTTCTTTTACTATATCGCCAATGAGCTCCGAGCTATCATGGCTCAACTGGGATTCCGAACCATCAATGAAATGGTTGGCCACGTGGAGTGCCTCAAAGTTCGGGAGGACCTTCGAACTAAGAAAACCTCTAACATCGACCTCTCCCTTATCCTTACACCAGCCCACAAGCTACGACCTGGTGTTGCCACTTTCAATGTCCGGAAGCAGGATCACCGACTTTACGTTCGCTTGGATAACAAGCTTATTTCCGAAGCGGAGTTGACCCTCGAAAAGGGATTGCCGTCGCGAATCGAGTGTGATATTGTCAATACCGACCGAGCAATGGGAACATCTCTGTCCTACCATGTTTCCAAGCGCTACGGTGAAGCCGGCTTGCCCATGGATACTGTTCATGTCAATATTAAGGGTTCGGCTGGACAGTCATTCGGTGCTTTCCTGGCTCCCGGTATTACTCTGGAACTAGAGGGCGATGCCAATGACTATGTTGGTAAGGGCCTGTCCGGTGGTCGACTCATCATCTACCCCCCTCGATCAGCAGTATTCAAAGCCGAGGAGAACATTCTCATTGGTAACACCTGTCTGTACGGAGCAACCCAAGGTACTTGTTTCTTCCGCGGTATTGCTGCTGAGCGGTTTGCGGTCCGAAACTCTGGTGCTACTGCTGTCGTGGAAGGTGTTGGTGACCATGGTTGTGAATACATGACAGGTGGCCGTGTCGTCATTCTGGGTAGCACTGGTCGCAACTTCGCTGCTGGTATGTCGGGAGGTATTGCCTATGTTCTAGACATTCATAACAATTTCTTGTCTAAACTCAATGACGAAATGGTCGAGGCCTCTCGTCTTGAAGACCCGACCGAAATCGCATTCTTGCGAGGCTTGATCGAGGATCATCACCATTACACAGGATCCGAGCTAGCAGCTCGCATTTTAGTAGACTTCAACCGAGCTCTTCCACGCTTCATCAAAGTTCTACCCGTAGACTACAAGCGTGTCCTAGAGGAGGAGGCTGCCAAGGCTGCCGAAGCTAAGCGCGCCCAGTACAACCTTCCTGTCATTCCTGGCGTCCCCAAAAATGAAGAAAAGGAAAAGGCTGCCAAGCTTCAAGACATGGAGGATACTGTTGGCGACAATGCTGCCGATAAGAAACGAGCTCTTGTCTTGGACAAGACAAAGGGTTTCATGAAGTATCAGCGTCGGTCGGAGAAATACAGAAATGCCAAGACAAGAACGAAGGACTGGGCTGAGCTCTCCCAGCGCCTTGATGAGGATGAATTGAAATACCAGTCAGCCCGTTGTATGGACTGCGGTGTTCCATTCTGCCAGTCTGACACTGGCTGCCCGATTTCCAACATCATCCCCAAGTGGAACGAGTTGGTCTTCCAGAACCAGTGGCAGGATGCCCTTAACCGTCTCCTCATGACCAACAACTTCCCCGAATTCACTGGCCGCGTTTGTCCGGCACCTTGCGAAGGCGCCTGTGTTCTCGGTATCAATGAGGACCCTGTCGGAATCAAGTCTATCGAGTGTGCCATCATTGACCGCGGTTTCGAGATGGGTTGGATGGTACCTACCCCACCCACGAAGCGGACTGGCAAGACTGTTGCTATCATCGGATCTGGTCCCGCCGGTCTTGCATGCGCCGATCAGCTCAACAAGGCTGGACACACTGTCACTGTCTATGAGCGTGCGGACCGTGTCGGTGGCCTGCTCATGTACGGTATTCCCAACATGAAGCTTGACAAGCGTGTTGTGAAGAGGAGAACCGACTTCATGGCTGCCGAGGGAGTTCAGTTCAAGACTGGTGTCACCGTTGGTGAGGATATTACTCTGACGGACCTCAAGGCTCAGAATAATGCTGTCGTTGTCGCCACTGGAGCTACTGTTGCACGAGATCTCCCTATCAAAGGCCGCAACCTCAATGGTATCCACTTTGCCATGGAGTTCTTGCACAAGAACACCAAGTCATTGCTTGATTCCGAGTTGGCTGACGGCGCTTATCTTTCTGCTAAGGACAAGCATGTCGTCGTCATTGGTGGTGGTGACACTGGTAATGATTGCATTGGTACCTCGGTTCGCCACGGCGCCAAATCCGTCATTAACTTCGAGCTCTTGCCGCAGCCTCCCCCTGAGCGTGGCCGTGATAACCCTTGGCCCCAGTGGCCCCGTGTCTACCGAGTGGACTACGGCCACACAGAGGTTGCGCAACATATGGGCAAGGACCCTCGTGAGTACTGTATCATGTCCGAGGAGTTTGTCGATGATGGCAGCGGAAATGTCAAGGGCATCAACACTATCCGTGTTGAGTGGACTAAGTCGGCGACTGGTGGCTGGGACATGCAGAAACTCGAGGATACCAGGCAATTCTTCCCTGCTGACCTAGTCCTTCTTTCCATGGGTTTCCTCGGACCTGAGGCACGCGTACTCGGCGATGAAATTGAAAAGGACGCACGAAAGAATGTCAAGACGCCAGCGGGCTCTTATGCCACCAATGTCGAAGGCATCTTCGCTGCTGGTGATTGTCGTCGTGGACAGTCTTTGATTGTTTGGTAAGTTGCAACTTTAGGTACCGTGGCTTCTGTAATGCTGTATGCTAATTAATACTAGGGGTATCAACGAAGGAAGACAATCTGCTCGCGAGGTCGACCTCTACCTCCAGGGCAATACCCGCTTGCCCGTAACGGGTGGTATTGTCAGGCAGAGCGCCCAAGAAATCCTCAAGACTGAGATCCCTGCGGCGGCATAGGTCGTGCATGGGTTCTCTTTGAATTAATTGTGTTGTTTTTCTTTCCGAGTGTGTATGTATCGCATCTTGTGTTGTTTTGTATGGATATTTCGAGCGTTTTGCATGGGAGCGGTTCTCAGCATGGATCTACGATTTAGAGATGAAAAAAATTACCTAACGATACCACTGCTATGAAGCTCATATGGGTAGGGCTGTCTTTTTCGGGTTACGGATGCAAAACTATTTGATCCATAGCAATGTGAGCATATGAAAATAATAACTGCACCTGAATTTCTTAAGAGATGGCTGTGCTATGATTGACTGGGTTGTATTTTGCGTCGAACTTTTTGCCTGGAGTTACTTGCCTATGCCATCTAACAAATGACAAAACCCAAGACCAGGTTGAACAACAATAACGCGACTAGTCGACCAATTCAGCACAGTAGTCCTGGATGCAACATGGCAATAAGTAAATAGCAAGCTAGTATCGTGGATTATAGCTCCCCAAACTGTGCTCTGCTATATACTGTAGTTCAATGTTTCCTCATGAGTCTCCGATTATGATGTGTGTTATGTTATTATTTATTCAGTTACTTAGGTACTTGCTAACTTACTAAGTAAGTAGAGTGCCTAGGTAAGCTCTTGTTCCGTTGCACGTGGCATAATACGCCTCATGATTGGTCAATTGAGTTTTTATGTCGACTTTTGGAGGTAAATGGGCTAGACTAGTGGAGACCAGAGCCCCTCTCTCCTTAGTCTGACCTAGCTACTCCAGGTTAGTCATAGGTGCGTCTCTATGGCTATCCAGAGGCTATCCAAGTCTAGTGACGAAACCGCGTGGGCAGCTTTTGGCTCGACGCCCCGAGGCCCCATCCTAGCTGTTTCAACCGCAAGTTTCTCTCAGTGTCTCATGAGCATTCCACGTCCTGAGCTCAACCTAGGTTTTTTCGTACAAACTCGTTGCAGCTTTTGGTTGGATATACTGAATTTATCCATCGCCTTTACAACTCAAATTGCTGCGCCTAGCGCTTCAACATGCGATTCGGGAAGACTCTTCGCGAGTCTATCTACCCGCCATGGAGGGACCAGTATCTCGACTACTCCAAGCTAAAGAGCATGCTTCGCGAGGATAAAAGCGACGAGGACGATGTGCCATGGACCGAAGAAGACGAGAACCGCTTCTGCGCCGAGATATTCAATGTTCAGCTCGAAAAGGTCTCCCAGTTTCAAGCCGAAACAGCTGCGAGTCTACAGCAACAGGCTGATGCCACCTTCGAGAAGCTCCGCGAGCTGGCCCCATCCGACGACACGTCCAAGGACGACGTCGCCAGTTCACGCCTAGAGGAGCTCCGCACCGAGTTAGATGGCATCGTGAACGAGGTGAAGAAGCTGAAGAAATACAGTAGCCTGAACTATACCGGTTTTCTCAAGATTGTCAAGAAACACGATCGGAAACGTGGCGGCCGATACAAGGTCCGCCCCATGATGCGTGTGAGTCTGGCTCAGCGTGGCCTCAATTCAGAACAAGGATATTCGCCCCTCCTAAACAAGCTCTCTCTCATGTACTACGCCATCAATCAAACCCTCGACAAGGACAAGCAGCAGCAGCCCCTCGACCTCGAGCATCAAGAGGAGGTCCATAACGGAGAGCGTTATACTGCTCACAAATGTAAGCTAGCTTATGTTGATTCGCGTCGCCTTGGGGTTAACTAGCGTGTAGTTTGGGTGCACCCCGACAACCTCCTCGAGGTGAAAACAGCAATCCTACGCCATCTCCCTGCCCTAGTATATAGTCAACAATCTGCCAAGGAGCTCGACGGCAACCAGGATCCCAAGATCACATCGCTATACTTTGATAACTCTAAATTCGATCTGTATGGCAAGAAAGTCAATCGTCAGACCGATGCTTCTTCGTTACGACTTCGCTGGTACGGCCAGCTGAACGACAAGCCCGATATTCTGTTAGAGCAGAAAATTCTATATGAAGATGGGACCAGCGAGGAAAAGAAATTTAACATCAAGGACAAATACATTAAGCAATATTTAGACGGAGAGTACAAGATGGAGAAATCCATCCAGAAAATGGAGAGACAAGGTCAACAGAACGACTCGATTGATTCTTTTAGAACGACTGCCGAGGATATCCAGAACTTTATCGTCGTCAACAAACTCGAGCCGGTTATAAGAGCTAATTACACCCGCACGGCATTTCAGAAGCCTGCCGACGACCGGGTAAGAATATCCATTGACACGGATATCGCGTTTATTCGCGAGGATACCTTGGATCGTGATCGGCCGTGTCGAGACCCTGCCGAATGGCATCGAACGGACATAGACAACAGCAATATGACGTATCCTTTCAAGAATATCAACCAGAGCGAGGTTTCGAGGTTCCCGTATGCCGTATTGGAGATCAAGTGGAAGGAGGAAGAAGGCCGCAAACGTCCCAGGTGGATAGACGATCTAATGGCCTCTCACTTGGTCTTTGCAACACCCAGGTTTTCCAAATTTGTCCACGGTGTAGCAGCACTCTTTGAGGACTATGTGAACAGTCTGCCATTCTGGCTTAGTGATCTGGAGACGGATATCCGCAAAGACCCTCAACAAGCTCACGAGGAGGAAGAGCAGAGGCGTGCCCAGCAGGCTGAGGATGCACAAGCGGTCGATAGCCTCCTTGGAACGAGTGTTAAGCGCGGCTCCTATAAGCCGGCTGCGAGCTCACCCGTTGCGAAATCTTATCTCTCTGAGCGTGCTGCTTCAGAAGCAAAAGCACAGCGCCGTGCCGAGGCGTCTAGGGAAAGGACTGGCGACAGGGCCATTGAGGCTGATGACGAAAATGGTGCTCCTGAACCATCAGACACGAAACGTAATTATGGCACACTTACGTCAGTCTTCCCCGGTTTCACGTTATCTCGCTATGGCCGGAGTAAGCGCCAAAGAGATCAGTTACCGGAGGGTGTGACCAAACCAGAGGTTTGGTTGAAAAACGCAGGTCCACTACAAATCGAGCCCAAGGTATGGCTCGCGAACGAGCGAACATTTCTCAAGTGGCAGCATATCTGCGTGTTGCTTGGCAGTCTGGCGCTTGGGCTGTACACAGCGGCAGGCGAGAACGTTGTAGCTGAGTGCATGGGCATCGCGTACATCGCGATAGCGGTTATTGCAGGGCTTTGGGGCAATACCATGCTCCATCGAAGGCGGGCGATGATACTAGAACGCAGCGGTAAAGACTTTGATAACATGCTCGGGCCTCTGGCCGTCAGTGTGGCATTAATGATCGCACTGATACTCAACTTTGTATTCGCGGTAAGTCGGCGGCCCGTCTTGATATCGATTGAGCAATACACTTGAAGGAAATGATTATTAACGACACCGCAGTACCGAAACGCACTCAGCAGATTCAATCAGCCAGCACGCAACGAGACGGAAACAGCATTCATCGGTGAGCTCTTGTAAGACGTTCGGACATGTGGTATTACGACCGAACGTAACTGTCTCGGAGTTGCTCAGATTATATATGAACCTCGGCCCCGTAAAAAGGAGTGTGGCGTTGAACCATATCACAGAAAATATGCATAATTAACACTAAAAAGGTTTATTATATGTGTAGTATAGGTAGTGTAAGTAGCGACGGCTGACGAGAATGTACATATCAGAAATCGGCATTTTGTAACCAACCAGTAGCTCTATCATTCTATGATGACTCTGAAATTGACACAAACTACTACATATCGACTCTTAGGCCGACACCTGGTTTGAAGTAGAAATTTAAGGTAGAAGACTAACCAGGAGCAGATTAATGAGGGGCCAAGAGCAGAGGCAGCCTGAGATGGGTATTGGACCCGACGATTTTCCCATTCCAACAACTACGATTGGGCGGCGTCTAGTGTGTATCTGGCCATCCATCTGTTCGAACTGTTAGGTACAATTCAGCGGTGACAGGTTGGCATGGATAAACCGTCACACATCTACTTGGGTACGGATACGTACATACTATAGACATGTGTATCCGGTGCTGTCTTACCACTGGCAGTCAGCAGTGGTGGTGTTGGTTATCTTACCTACCTTACAGTTCAATAGTAAGGAGAAGCGTGGACAAATGGCCGATGGACATTCCAGGTTGAGCCGTTGTTTCAGCTTCCCACCTCGCACTCTCCGATCGTCTGGATAGCCAGGCAGCGCCGGAACATGACACACGGCACACACACACACAACACCACACATGCATGCAGCTCCTTGACTTTATTCATTACCACCTACCTACCTACCTACATACCTACATACTATTTATTAGGTACTTTACTTCTGGCTAACCCTTAGGTACGTACGTACATGGAGTATGGAGTATGTAAAGGGAATTTGGCCGTGCATGAATGACGATTCGTAGCTTCACTGGTCGTGAGGCCACCAATTGGCTGACCCGACTTCACTTACTTACACCACAGACTCTCTCCAGAGAGGGAGCGCGCGCTAGGCCGAAGTGCATCGCATTGCATCGCATCCGTCAACGCACGGTTCATTTCTATCTGTCTGTCTGACTGTCGCCGTCGCCGTCCCCTTGTTTGTCTGTCTGTCTGTCTATCCTGGAAGCATCTGTCTGTTTCTAGGTATTTAATGCGTCTATCAGTGCTTTTCGGCACTCGAACACCGTAGAACTTGTACTACATACATAATACTGTAGGTTGCCTGTCTGTCCGTTTGTCTTTTTGTCTACCCTCTCTGTCTACACTTCATTCATCGACACAGTTGTGTGATCTACTTACTTTCGGGTCGATCATCCACCTTTGAACCCTTGCAAGTTCCATCCTGACCATCGTCATCTTCATCATTATCGCTATCGCCAACACCGCCAACAGGCTTCCAAATTCCAGACTTTCGTTCCGAACGGCATCCTTACTTACTTACCTACCTACATTTTCATATTTCGAACTACTCCTGATTACTTACATATACTTATTTGAATAATTGGCTACCCAAAACGCTCGTTTCAAAACCCACCTCATCCGGCCCAGTCTCTCATTCGCCCAAACATTGTCTCAAGTAAACAAACCTACAATTATCTAGTCTCCCTTATTTTTAGCAAGTACCGCAGATACCACCACTGTCACCACGTCCACCATTCAGTATCGGATCCCGTATTCCTTTAGGTGCCACCTGTTTCTCGGGCGGTGATTATCACTGCCCAAGCCACACTCACTGACGCGTGTTCGCACCCCCCACCGATCATGATTACGAGGCATCTCACACTCAATCGTTTCCTCCAGACTCGGACGCCCGATCCGTCCAAACCCATGCCCGAATGACCTCACCGCAGCCACGCAGACATGACCGAGCAGCCTAAGAAGAAGCGCTTTTGGACTGGCTTATTTCGCAGTCGCAGCAACGCCCAACCGGGCCACGGGCTGGTGGTACGTAGTCTCCCTCCGGCATTGCTCTCAAGTGCAGCTAAGCTATGTTCGTGCATAGCGCTCACCGAGACCTCACAGGAACAGGAGGAGGATGAGGGATCTCCCAGAAAGACGAGCGCTGGTGACCTGCTCGACAGCCGAGGCAGTGGCGCCACAGGCACACGCCGTCGACCCCGGCGGCCCGATCCACGTGACTCCAAGGGTAAAGGCCGGGAACAGTTAAACGGCCATGTCTACGACCAGCTACCATTGACGAGATGGCCACCCTCAGGCATGTCTGACGACGAGGAGCTCACTCTCGGTCAGGCGATGGAGTTGATTTCGAGGGGTGTGCCTACACACAAAGGTCACAAACGGCCCATCATGCACGCCTCGGATCACTATTACGGCCTAAATGCGACGACGGCTGGGAATCACGGCGATGAGAGCGACGCTGTCAACCAGCATAATGCGATGACGCAGCTGATGAGTCTACGGGTCCAAGGTACGGGACCGCCTACTTCCCCATGGGAGACATTAGAGCAACCAAGCGTTGCCTTTGGCGTTGGCGCCCGGCCGGGTACCATCACTTTGAACGCTTGGGTGGGCCGATCGAGTGTAATGCCGCCGATGATAGCATTGCGTGACCCGGGGATGGCGCCGCGTGAGGTCAACCTTACGCAAATCTTTGAGCGGCTCAAGGATCTTGAGGCTGGCCTGGAAGATGACGATCAGGAGCTCATGTATCAGCAACTTTACAAGCGATTCTTGCGAGACCCGGGAAAAACATCAAGCCCCCATAAACGTATGGAGCAACAGATTACGGATCTCGTCGTATGTCTGTCTAGCGGCGACTGGATTGACTTCACAAACCCTAAGAATCAGGTCGTTACTAAATTCATCTATGATACAAGCCCGGCAAATCACGATCAATATCTGAAATTCTTCTACCAGGTGCTTCTGAGCTTGGAGCTCGAGCTGCGTATAAATTCTAGGTTGCACACCGACTGGGCTAAAGAACGCCTCATGGGGCAAATCCCGCCAAAGATTCAATGGAACCTAGCCCTGGCGAGACGCTGGAGGGATAATATACGCATCGAGGATTACGGCGCGACGGCTGAACAAATCCGACTACGGTATAAGTTGAGGAAGCGTCAAACCAAGATGCTTAAGCGGTTCGCGCAGATGATGAAATGGTCAAATCTTGCGGAAACGCTGGACGTACTAAAGGAACGTGATGCGGAAGGAAGCCTACTGACAATCAGTTCTCATGCGATGGCATTCTTCAGCGGATTGGTGCTTCCTGGTGTAAGTAGGGTTCTTCGGCGTAGAGTTAACGTTCACTATCTCCTTAACAGCTAGACATATGTCTTCACACGGTGAGAACCTATGCTAATATATACCATAGCCCACGTTCCCCTTCCTCATGATGAACAGCCTGATCGACATAGATCCGGATAAGGCGACGGATCATCTCGCGCTACTAACTCACTTGAACCCAAACTGCGGATTCCAATATCGTAATAGTTATACGTATTGGACATCAACCAGCATTGTTGGGAAAGTCCTCGCGCCCACTTGTCTCGAGGTCGCCGGATGGGTCGGTCCCGCCCGTCCCTCGAGTGATCTCAGCCGCAACCAGATCGCGCGGATACGTTGTCGCAGGTCCCGCCAGCGTATGACCCCCGAGGACACGGCCACCATGAGCGAGCGCTGCGATCCGCTCGGCCCGGCTGCAGAGGTATATCCCGTGAAGGAGTACGAGCTCTTGACGCCCGACAGCGACGATAACGTCGACACGGTGCGCATCGAAATGCTCAACCTGAAACCCCTCGCCGAATCCGCCGGGCAGGAATCGGGCGGCCCGGGCTGGTTCGACGCGAGTCTCCAGTTCGCCATCGCCGGCGTCAGCTGGCCTCTGCGCCTGAGCTACGACGTGAGCTTCATCCACGCGTGGCCGTGCTCCGACGGCCCGCACCCGCTGTTCTTCGACTACGTCCACACCGTCGTGCGGGTCGACGAGGTGGTCGAGATCACGGACTGGGTCCGACCAGCGCCGGTCAACGGCAGCGGAAGCCTGAAGGATAGGAGCGCCGTCTCGACGCCCGTCGGCGGGAGCAATGGCCAGCAGATGATGCAGAATAAGACCGTGCCGCAGGACGCGGATGATGCCGAGCGCGTGCTCGTCGTCGAGGCGTTTGGTGTCAGGGATAACGAGGTCCTTGCGCGGGCTTGGTGCTCTCATTGGGGATTGAGCGCTGTCGTGGCGGATATTGGGAAGACGTGGTGAGTTTTCCGTTCTTACTATTTATTACTCTTCTCGTTACTCTTCTGATATCTCCTTCATTCACATTACCTATCTAAAGTGTAAGCGCCCAAGGAGAAAAGGCCACATTGCTAACGGTGTTTTTGCGCAATTTAGTATGGCGTGTGCTATTCGCGAGGCGTATGCCGCGACTTTAACGGTCGTGATACTTGTCGAGGAGCAGGGCGATGGGTTAGATTAGGGCGCGATATTGTCGTTTTATTTTTATTTCTGGTTTGGGTGTTGTTGTCGTTGTTAAGGAAAGGGAAGGGAAGGGAAGGGAAGGGAAGGGAAGAAAGCTTGGTGAATGGAGTCTACGTACAGTATCTATGGCTATACCCACATTACGTCTTTCGATGTTTTTTTTTTTATTTATTGATTCATTTATTCATCGCCATAAGTAGGCGTCCGTTTCTCCAGAGATTTCTGGAGAATCTTGCTCCGACAGAAGAGTACGATACTTATTTGAGTGGCCTTGAAGTTTGATCTCCCCTTCACCTCCGTTATGGTGAGAAGATATGGATTCCGACTCGAGCACAAGACGTTGTGATGACTTATCTATTTGTTCTCCTTCTTGTACGTATGTCGGTGTGTTTATCTGCTTGGGGGGTGTGGGATGAGCAGAAATAAGAGAAAGCAAAAACCGGATGATCGGCACATTGGTGCATGAGAGGAGCGCTCATAGAACTGTCTACTACATCTAACTGGATAGGATGGGATCAATGCCAGATCATCATCATGTACGAAGGTGTCCACGTTGGGTTTCTGTGAGTTTGTTTGTGTTGTCTATCCCACATCCTGTCCGTCAAGCTGTTTTTAGCGTAGAGGTGGTCCGGTGTGCCGGGGAGTGCTCACCAAAAAAAAAAAAAAAAAAAAAAAAAAAAAAAAAAAAGTTTGTATCAGAATTTTCCTTGTTGCTCGTCTTGTATGCTCGTTTCAATACCAAGGTAGGTCTGCTTTTCCACTTTTCTGAAAACAATAGCTCTTCCGGATATTCATACCTAATACTAATAGTAATGATAATAAGAATTAGCGGTCACAATGTTGCAGGGTCGTTTTGGATGTGCAGATGATGTGCAAAAATGCAGCTTTAGTGGGGTCGACTTTGGTCTCGACCCCAACTTTTTAGCAGAGTGTTTCCAGGGAATGGGGAGCTCGACTAGTAATCCATGATCATCGTCGTTGTCGACAACCACCATTCGAGAGATGCAAAGACCCTGGCGAGTTGGCTTGCGCCTTGGACATGGCTGTGACCCGGTCGACTACTGCAGAACTACTGTAAAGTAACACACTTAGCTCTGCAACTAGCTAAGCACTCTTCCACAGGTGTCCTTACTCACTGCCCATACAGACAGGCCAGAGACCAGTGGTGCCCTGCGAGCCCTGGAAGCAAAGCCGGACAGCCTCCCCACACTCTGCCCACAGAAGCCCAGCTCGCGCCAGCTCTTCTTCCACTTTGAGCACCTACCCCACCTTATCTCCCCCACTTGTGACGACACCGACGCTTTACCCCTCCAAAGGAAGGATGCTCTCGACGATCCTCGGTATAGCTATCTCCATCCAGATCCATCCACAGTAGGGCTCTGAGAGCTTCCACTCGATCTGCACTCGAGCTTTCTAGACAGCTCGAGCGAATCCCCCCTTGCTAGTAGAGTAGAAAATTGCTATCTAAGAAGAGATCCCCCTTTGGGAATCAATCTTTCCCTGTTACAACTCTCCTACCAATTCGTGAACCAACCGTACCTTTTCCCCAAGAGTGTCTCGAGTGTGTCTGGTCAGTTTGTTTCCAAGATCGTCGACTTGTCTGTGTCTCTGCTTACCAGAAGAACCTTGAGCAGTTTGAACCCTGCATACCTATCGACGACTAGATACCCTGTCTGCCCTGCCTGCTTAGCTTACCGCATTCCGGGATACGACACCAGGGCCTGAATAAGCCACATCGGCACCCATTCCCTCACCACACACTCGCATAATCCCACACACGGACACACAGCCGCGAGAAACATCATTGGACGCCCGACAACCATCGCCGCGCAGGTCGCCTCCCCTGTCTGCCCTCTCGGCTTACCATCATTATTACGCCTGTGGCTGCTGTGCTTGACGCTCGTCATTTCCTAACATGGAGTAAGTCGTGAACCGATTTCGATGATCTCAACGACCGATATCTTACCATGCCCTGTCCCTGTTTGCTATAAAACAAACACGCTGCCCTCGTACAAGCTGATACACGGCGCTCCTGAGCAAGCACACATTTAACCTGAGCTCTCCGCCTAATTGGTAGAAACCACTTCTCTAACGTGCCATGGCATTTGATAGTACTCGTAACGTAATTCACATTGAGAACAATGTACGTGCACCTTTACATCGGTCGCCCCCTCAAGCAGGCCGTATTTCCATTCTCGTGAACCAAGTCAGAATTCTCAATTGACACGCCATGGCTTCACAGGACCACTACATAGGGATTGACGTCGGTACGGGTTCAGCCCGTGCGTGTCTCATCGATTCTTCAGGAGACATCAGAGCTCTTGCTTCCGAAGCGATCAAGCTCTGGCAACCTCAGACTGGTTACTATGTGAGCACTCCTGAAGCTCCTCTTCGGCTTACCTATTCTAGGACCCTTGCGCTGACGTGCCGCATTAGGAACAATCCACGACAGACATTTGGCACTGTATCTGCCACTGCGTTCAGCGAGTTGTCCACCAATCAGGCGTTGACCCTTCATTGATTAAAGGCATCGGCTTCGATGCGACTTGCTCACTAGCTGTATTTGCACACGACACCGATGAGCCTGTTCCCGTCACCGGACCCGACTTTGAGAATGATGGCAACGACCGCAATGTCATTCTTTGGCTCGACCATCGTCCCGTGGAAGAGACCGAGAAGATTAACGCTACTGGCCATAATCTGCTGCGCTATGTCGGAGGCAAAATGAGTATTGAGATGGAAATCCCCAAGGTACTCTGGCTTAAGAACAATATGCCCCCGGAACTTTTCAGTCGCTGCAAATTTTACGATTTAGCAGATGCTCTTACGCACTTGGCCACAGGCAACGAGACCCGCAGCTTCTGCAGCACCGTCTGCAAGCAAGGATACGTCCCCGTTGGCGTCGACGGAAGTGTCAAGGGCTGGCAAGAGGATTTTTACCATACAATTGGACTGAGCGACTTGGTTGAAGACAACTTCAAGCGCATGGGAGGAGTCGACGGGGTGGTGAGCCTATTTACTTTAACGTGTTCGATCGTAAGAGGAGTTCACTAACTCAGTTTGCAGAATGGCAAGTACATGAGTGCGGGTGAATTAGTCGGCACACTGTCAGAGCATGCTAGCAAGCAGCTCGGAATACCTGCTGGAATCGCAGTCGGCAGTGGCGTTATTGATGCCTACGCCGGTTGGATTGGCACGGTAGGAGCTAAGGTCGATACGCAATACGGACACGCAGACGAAACTCATCCTGCAAACGACCTAGCCCAGGCCTCGACAAGACTTGCCGCTGTGGCTGGTACCTCAACCTGCCACCTAGCTTTGTCCGAGAAACCTGTGTTCGTCAATGGTGTATGGGGACCGTACCGTGACGTTCTTCTCCCAGGGTTTTGGCTGGCAGAGGGCGGCCAGTCAGCGACTGGAGAACTTTTACGCCATGTCATTGAAACACATCCGGCGCATAAGGACGTTATACCCCTTGCAGAAGCGACGCAAATGAATGTCTATGATTACTTGAACGTCCACCTCCGAGAGTTAGCCGAAAAGGCCGAAGCACCGACGGTATCGTATCTCGGGAGACACTTCTTCTTCTACGGCGACCTATGGGGCAACCGTTCACCCGTCGCGGATCCAAACATGAAGGGTGCCGTCATCGGCCTCAGCTCCGATTCTAGCGTGGATGGCTTAGCGCTCTATTATTATGCCACGATGGAGTTCATCGCGTTGCAGACACGACAGATTGTAGAGGCTATGAACAAGGAGGGCCATAACATACAGACCATCTTCATGTCAGGCAGCCAGTGTCAGAATGAAATGCTTATGAATCTTATCGCGACCTGCTGCGACATGCCGGTGCTTATCCCACGATACGTACACGCGGCTGTTGTACACGGGGCGGCCATGCTCGGAGCTAAAGCAGCCAGTGCCGATAGTGAAGGCGCGACCGAGAATCTCTGGAGCATCATGGACCGCATGAGCAAGCCCGGTCGGCTCGTGAAGCCCGGAAAGAACGCGAACGAGAAGAAGTTACTCGACACCAAGTACGAGGTCTTCCTCGACCAATGCCGCACTCAGCAAGACTACCGCAAGAAGGTGGATGAGGCGACTACCAGCTGGGGTCCCAAATAAATGGAAATAAAAGAAGGGGGAAAAGGATGATATTTCGTGATATTGGGATACTTCGCGGATGAGATGCCGTTTTTTGTAAGCAAGCGCTGTTAGGTTGGCTAGGTATATAGATCATACAATGGTTGCTATGGTTAGAATTCAAATATCACATAATTGACAGCCATATACCTCGCTATATGTTGATTTGTAACACATTACATAGTATTCGATGTCTGCGAGAGAAAATAAAGCTTGTGGTAAAGATGACACCCATGCAGGTATGCGGTGTACTTAAAGCTAGGTACACCTTAAGCCGCTATTTGTAGGTAGTTGGGTGTACTGTAGATTCAAGCTAGGCAGCTTTTTGTGGGGAGGTGATGCGCGTAGAAAAGCACTAGGCGCCGGAATGGTTCAGATGATTGGCCCGTGCACAAAGCCAGCAACGGAGCTTCCCTGCCCATGTTGATTGTTTTCTTTCAGCCTTGTCTTGGAATCTGGAAATTTCGATAGCTTCCAGTGCCTCGAGCTGCCAGACATCTCAAGCTAAAGCGCAGTTGGGTAGAGAGGTAGCGCTGGCTGAATAACTACCTGAGTATCTACCACGTCATCCTGACCTCTTTTTTCTGGTGTGTCGTCCTGCAGAATTGCAACACCTAGATTTCTTCGCGTCCGGCCAGCCATCCTCCATCCCCCAAGCTCCATCCCATCGCCCTGTGATTGAAAGTATCACGACTCAATCGATCCGACCCGACCGCGTCTTTAGCCTTACCGTCCTAGCCATGTCGCTCTTCGGGGCTTCTACTGCCCAGCAGCAGCAGCCGCAGCAGAATGCAGCCCCGCGATTGAGTCTCTTTGGTCAACAGCCTAGTGGCCAGAGGCCTAACTTGTTCGCAAGCTCGACTGCGCAGAACCAGACTCAGAATACTACGCCGAGTTTGTTCAATACTGGTAGCCAGCAGCCTCAGACATCCCAGACTCAGAATGCTACGCCGAGCTTGTTCAATACTGGTAGCCAGCAGCCTCAGACATCCCAGACGCCTAGCCTATTCGCAAACTCGACTGCTACACAACAGCCACAGGCACAATCCGGGAGTTTGTTTGGGAACCAGACAGCTCAACCTGCGGCTACTGGTACCGCTGGCGGATTGTTTGGCTCAACACTCGGAAACACCGCGCAACAACAGCAACCACAAACACAAGGACCAGGGTTATTCGGTGGAACCGCGACTCAACCTTCTGGCTTAGGGCTGGGCGCCCCAACATCTAATCAAAACGCGGGTACATCGAGCCTATTTGGAGCCAGTCAGCAACCTACCGCGTCGACCAACAATGGTGCGCTTCCCCAAGGAAACACGACGGGCTATTTTGACAGCCTCCTTGCAAAGAGCAAGAAACAAGCTCAGGGCGAATCCCCCTTGGAGGACCTTCCTAGTTTGCAGCTGGGATTGGGCGATCTCCGGCAACGCCTTCGAAAATTAGGACCACAAGTTGATCCTCTCCAGCATGGCAGAGCTCAATATATGTTAGCTGCCTCCGGTGTGGACCCTGGTGCTGCCGTGAAAGATCTGAAATACTTCAGTGCTAGTACTGCAGGCCGTGTTGACCGACCAACTACTGCTTCTGCTGCGCCAGAAGTCGATGTTGAAGCATATCTTGCCAACCTCCAGTCAAAAACTACGCTGAGTATGATTGCTGACGGTCTTGAGAGATCAACCAGAGACTTTGACAACTTCTTGGAGGACAATATTACAATGGAATGGGAGGCACAGAGAAAGCGTATATATGAGCATTTTGGTATCAAACCAAGGGAAGACGGATCAGGTGAACACAACGCCGGAACACCAGGCAGAGAAACGTCGGGAGGATTTGGACGCTCACGAAGAAATCCAAAGGCTTCTCGAGCTGCTGCGTCTACTATGAAGGGTAGTGCTTTCGGCCGCTCAGCCATGCAGAAGTCAGTCATTGGAACGCCAACTAGAATTGGTCTTCACCAGCCTGAGTTCAAAGACGTGGAAGATGCCGCAGGTAGCCCAGCTGTGGGGCCCAACGGCACATCAACTGAAGACCGGTTGATTAGAGAGAAGCAAGCTAAACTCGCCGAGCGCGTTAGAGATCTCAACTTGGCTCGTCTGGAGAAGACACCATATGCCATCTTTAATGAGTTTGCCCAGGTGGAGAGCAGAACCGGCGATAGGCATGCTCAGCAGCTTGTTGATGCCTATAATGCTGCCATGTTCATAGTTGGTGAAAATCCGGAGGCCGAGACATTTGCCGGAGACGCAACGGCTCGAGAGCGCCAGTTCAAGGATAGTTATTTGGACTTGAACGAAAAGTCTGCTGCTTCCTTGCAGATGAGAAGAAGGATACTCGACGGTGCAAATCGCTTTCTAGAACGAAAGTTTTTCCAAGAGGTTGAAAGTGTTATAGCGAAACATCCTCGGGAAGCTGCTCTTGGAGGGCGGCCCGACGTTATCAGCAAGATCCAGGCATACGTGCGCTTACGAAATGCTAGACGAGACCTAGTACCCGACAACATCGAGCTTCAGCAGGATGCGGAAGGAGAATTTGTCTGGGCAATAGTATTCTTCCTGCTACGCTCTGGTCATGTTGATGAGGCTGCACATTACATCAAGGCACAAGCTACAGTGTTCCGAACCATTGATAGGACATTCGCTTCTTACCTTCTCGAGTATGTGGGTAGCCCTGAAAGACGGCTGAGGCGCCAACTACAAGACCGATGCAACAATGAATACAACCAGAGAGTTCGCAATGCCCCCGAGAATTCCATAGACCCCTACCGAATGGCTTGTTACAAGATTATTGGACGGTGCGATGTCAGCAACCGCAGTCTTGACAACTTGAATACAGAGATTGACGACTGGGTTTGGCTTCAGTTCAATCTTGCTCGTGAAAATGACAAGTCAACCGAGGTGGCTACCGAGTCGTACGGGCTACAGGATCTTCGCACAAGCATTCGGGAGATTGGACTTAAGCATTTCCCCAAGAATCCTACAGAAGATACCAATGGTACCTTTGGCATGTTTTTCTACCTGCAAATCTTGGCAGGCATGTTTGAGCAAGCCATATCGTATCTTTATACATTCTCCTATGTGGACGCTATCCATTTCGCGATTGGTCTAGAGTACTACGGCCTCCTTCGACCAGCCGATCCGTGGAATACATCGGACACACTCCTATCTTATGACACTCGCTCAAAGCCGCAGCTAAGCTTCGGCCGAATGCTAGGATACTACACAAGAGATTTCCGTGCCGCCGATGTGAACTCTGCAGTGGATTATCTCACTCTCATCTGTCTCAATGCTGATCTAGAAGGAGAACAAGGGCGTCAGCAGGCAGAGTTATGTCATGTGGCCCTCCGAGAGCTGGTGCTGGAGACAAGAGAATTTAGCAAGCTGATTGGTGACATTAGGCCAGATGGACGCCGTATTACAGGTCTCATTGAGGAACGCGGTCCACTGATAGGATTGCAGGAGGAGGATGATTTCGTTAGGACGGTTACTCTCCAAGCAGCTCGATTTGCTGACGACAATGGTCGGACAACGGATGCCGTGTTGTTATATCATCTTGCCGGAGATTACGATAGCGTTGTCACAATTGTTAGTCGCGCTTTGAGCGAGGCTATCTCACTTGAGATTGGCGAAGATCCTATGCGTCTCGTGCCTGTCAAACCACGCGCCAGTGGTGAGAAGCCTGAAGCACAACCCGGAAGCAGCTTAAGCCTCGCATCTCTGGATGACCCCATTCAGCTCGCCTACACCATGATGTCCATGTATGAGAAAGATGCTATGTTCTCAACCAAAATCCAGAACCAAAACCGAATTGCTTGTCACCTTCTCTTGCAAATGAGCGAGATTAAGAATCTTGTGGAAGTTGGTCAATGGCCCGATGCGTTGGATGTAAGTTTTTCATCAATCTATCTTCTCTCCTCGAGGATCCTACTGACCCAGCCTGTAGAAAATCCGCGCGCTCGAAATTCTTCCATTAGATGCTGGTGGCGACCCTACGAGAGTCCGGCACTACGCATCCAAATTCTCGGGACTGTCGCAGGCGGTGGCCATCAACGTTCCGAACTTGCTGATGTGGTCCATCACGTGTTGCATCCGACAGCGAGAGCGGCTTATGAGCGCACAATTTAGTGGCAACGAAGGGTCGCGCCGGGCTATGTGCGACAACCTCAAGCAGATTAGCATAGATTTGACCACGTATACCAGTCAGCTGCGGTACAGGTTCCCACCACACCTACTTGAAGCACTGGCTAGGGCATCTGCAGATTAAAGCATGAGAGGAAACATAGCCATCAAGACGTGAAGGAGTACACGACCATTGGGAAGGGGCAACGTAAGAGCAGATGATGGCTATTGGGCATGGGTAGCAGTACAATGTAATGATTACCTCGAGGAACCCGTGGGAAACACAGTATGCCTTCACGGGATGATAGACTACCTACATAACTGCTAAGCATATACGTATAGTGTTATGTAGGATTCATGTACAGCGTTTTACAGACGAAAAGGGAGACGATACAGTAATTCAACTGAGCTAATAGCAGCTGAACAAGCTAAACAATCCAGAAGCTTCGCATGCATTGCTGATTTCCAAATCGAAGTGAATGAGGCGTCTATTAGCCCTACTTAGACTAAGCACCTACCCATAGCATATTGGCTCGGGGCGACCTACCTACTTCTTGGAGCAGAACCGATACTATGGCTACCTACTTTGCATGTAGGTATCTGGCAGGCAGATGATTGATTGTGATGGATCCCCCCCCCCCCCCCGGGCCAACAAGGAGTACGAGAACCCTGGTGAACTACCAGCCGGAACTGGGCGGAACCAACCAAATCTAACTTCAACACGCCTACGTATACACACCGACAAAGGAAATGAAGAAAAGGATAATTCTGATGACGATGTCTTCTTCCATTTCAGGATACCTAGCGAGGACGCTCGCTAATGAGTCGCCCAGAGGTACCCTCTGGTACCAGAGGGATAATGAACGGCTGTCATCTGCTACCATATGCTACCATATGCTACCATACTTACTTAAGTATATCATTATATGGCAGGCTGGTACTGCGCTAGCACCACATTCGTACATTCGTGCCTGGTTCAGCTCCATCGAGTCATCTGGCTCTTTCCCTGAGACGTCTTCTGATTCATGGCAGTCCCCACTTGACTGAAAACGCCGAGAACGAGACACTGCCAAGCGTGGTCACGATGGGGTTTTCTGCCTCCAGTCTCCAGTCTCCCGCCTGCGACCTTCGCGCGAGCTCACGCACCCCATTCACACCCCGTCCACACCCCGTCCACACCCTGACAAGACCCCGACAGTCTCACTCCATCCCCCAATGCAATTCCGAGTGCCCAGTCCCGGCCTGGCTTGCCCCGTCGAACTGCCAATCTAGGTACGACTCTAGCGTCACATCCCGTCCCCATTCAGCCCTACCGGTCGATTCGCCCACCGCCCGTCATCCACCTGCCTGTCTACCACCCACTCGCCATAGTACCTCGCTGCCCTTCTACGCGTACGCGGTACATACACACTATAGGCCGAGGCTCCCGGTGGCCCTCAAGCATCCGCACGAATCCACCACCGGGTGTCGACTGTGCAGAACTGTGAGGCCGGCCGGAAGCTGATGGTCATACCCATCCTTGCACACTCAGGTACACACACACATGTATGCGTATAGGACGTGTACGTATGACGGGTCAGCTTTCATGACTTGAGGCGAACTGGATGAATAATCGAGTGGTGATGTGACGAAGACGGGTCCTGTGTTACATACGGCACACACGTCAGCTACATCCATGTATCTTTTTTTTTTCTTTTTTCTGTTTCTAGATTTTAATAATGCTTCCATCCACATCCCCGGCCTCGACCTCCACCAACCGTCTTACCCCCACTCCGGGGTCTACTACCGCCAGCGCCTCCACTGAGCCCAGACTCGGCATCCAGTCAACTTCTGCTGCTGTTGTCAGTGCCTCTGACACTACTCTTGCTGGTGTTACCACGGGGATACCCGTGGTAACTTCCGGTCCTTTCACTGCCGTATCCGAGTCGGTGGCTGGACCTCCTCCACCCAATCAACAGAGTCTCTACAAGCGTGGGCCGTCCTCGTCACACGATGGCCAATCCCCAGAGTCAACTGGCTCGTTACCTAGTGCCAGAGACAATGTCTCGGATATACCCCAGGACCAACGCACTAAGAGGCGACGTACTGGCGCTCCCGGATCTAGAGGCGTTGCCAACCTAACGCCAGAGCAGCTAGCCAAGAAACGAGCCAACGGTACGCTCATTCTCTCTTATACCCTCATCAGTGCCCCTTTATACTATACTGTCGTTGTTGTTCTTGTTCTTCGCCTGCTGCTATTATCCATATAATTCATCTAGTGTATACAGACGTCCTTTTGGAAAATGTATCTGTACGGGCATTCTAGCCACATCTTTGTGTTCCCTCGATTCGTGGTGAAAAGGAAGTATCTAACTTGACCATGACAGATCGAGAAGCTCAACGCGCTATAAGAGAGCGTACTCGGAACCAAATTGACGGCCTCGAGAAGAGGATACAGGAATTAACTGCCCAAAAGCCGTACCAGGAGCTCCAGAAGGTAATCCGCGAAAAAGAGGCTGCCGAGGCTAAAATTGTAGAGCTTCAATCCCATATGGCTTCTGTTGTAGCGTTACTGCAACCCTTATTACCAAAGGGGGATACAGGTAGGTTAACACGAATTAATCCAAATCCTTAGTCGCCACATTCCGATGTTCAACCATGACTAACCCTGTGAGTTGCAGGAACAAGTACTTTTACCTCTCCTATTTCGGCATATAACTCTATACAATCTGCCCAGGAGCAGCAGCAGCAATTAAAACAGCTTTCATCTTATTCTTCTCATGGTAGGTCGACGCCCGGGGCTGCATCAACACCACAATCCGGCGTTGAATCATCCCGGTTTGGCCAAATAGTACAGCCAAGCTCGCAGCCCGATATAGATAGCCATCAACATAGAACGCCGAACCTAAACCTAGGTGACGAGCGTATACGACTCGATTCTCTTCTTGATCCTTCACAGCGTCTAAGTAAGATGCAGACGGGAGCGAACGGAGCTCAGGACTCATCTGCTTATCAGCACCTACCGATGAGACATGATTGGAGTGTTGCCATGCATTTCGGTCGTGATAATGATAATTCCACAACTAATAACGCACCACCCCCAACATTGACACAGCAATATCAGTCTATTAAATATGCACCCGATCCCCCCAATTTTCCTCAGGCGTCGTGGTCGAGAGCCAATATCCCAATCAAGCATACACCAGCCACTTGTCCACTCGATCACGTCTTATTAGATTTCATGCAAGAACGGCGCCAACGCGCCGCTGAAGGTGTGCCAACAAGAGAGCTGGTAGGACCGGAATACCCTTCCATTATTTCGTTGCTTAATCCAGTCGAGGGCACGTGGTCCCATCCAGTATCTAAGGTCTTTACGGATATTCTGGCCACATTTCCTGGAATTTGCACAGTGCCTGAGAAAGTGGCTGTCTTATATGTCATGTTCGTGATCAGTAAGTAAATTCACTCACAATACTGCAGCTTGTCCTCAATCTGAAAGGCACCAAGAAATGTGTCATACATATCATGCCGTTTAAGAAGTGCACATAGCCCAAGAAATTTGCGAATCTTTACCAAGATAATGATTGCTGATCCTTGGTCTTGTAGTGCGGTGGCACATTAGCCCGACTGAAGACAATTTTAAACTTATACCGGAATTTGCACGGCCGTTGGAGGTCCAATACACCATCCCACACCCTGCCTGGCTCGACTATCTCCCCTTTCCTGGCCTACGCGAACTGTTCATCCGTAACTACACTTCGCCTAAGTTCCAGCTCGACGAAATCTTCGTGTCTTACACGATGACGATATCCCTTAATTGGCCGTACGAAGAAACCGACGCCCTCATAGTGACCCCCGACGGCAGCGAGACCATTATCAATCCTGTTTTCTTGCGCCATCTGCACCGAATAGATAATTGGACCCTCGGCGACGCGTTCGATCAGACTTGTCCGGAGGCTCGCGGCACATATAATATCAAAAGCGACGGGAGTTCGCTGAATCAGAACCAAACTCAGACTCAGAACGAGACTCAGGGCAGAGTCTCTGAGTCGAATTGGCGCTAGAAATCCCGAGTCAAATTAGCATGAGACACGATAGAACAATTGAGATAAAGAAGTTTTAATGAGGATTTGTCTTTTGATTGTATTGTTAGATTAATGTTTTATGCGTTACTACGACGCTTTTTAGAGTATAATATGGATACTAAACTACTTGGGCATAGGGGATGACAAGTATGATCACTCTCTTCTCTCTCTTCTTTTCTTCTGTTTTCTTTTTCTTTTTCCAAGGGGGTTTGTATGTGTATTGTTATGTTATGATGGGGTTAATGCGAGACGATCTTGTAGAGAAAAGTATTTATGCTTCTTTTACATGTAGTTACACTATTTTATTTTATTTTTCTATGATGTAATTTTTTGGGGGGTGTTTAGGGATGGTGGGGGTTTAGTTGGTTACTTTGCTTGGTTTTAGGGGGGATTAATAAATAATATCTATAACTACATATCTTTGGGTACGAAGTATATCGGCTGTTATTCGTGAATTGCAAGTGCTGGTCGAGTTGTGAAGTTGTTAAGCTGGGACGGACGGGGATGTGATTTGTTTGAGTGAATACATACATACATACATATATATATATATGTGTGTGTGTGTGTGTGTGAGAGAGAGAGAGAGAGGAGAGAAATTGTGAAATACATGTCGCCGTGTATACATGTGATATGACGAAGAGACAAATAAACACACGACCAGATGCATAAGTAATGTGATACATGCTCACGAGACGCATCGAATCAAGAAGAGGTGCAGACGGGGGTAGTAATCACGTTTCTTCCGCGCCTGCCTCATAGTTGGCAGGTATTATCATCGAAGATTTTGGTATCATTAATTATTCCTTACTTACCTGTCTATGGGTATTTAGCAAATCTCAAGTGGATAGATAGCCCCTCTTACCCTTTTCCAGCATTTGATATATTCCCCTAATCTAATCCTCCCTCTTCCTTCCTCATTTGGTTTACCTTCCCTCTAATCTGCCCCCGGGCTTATATCTATGTTTTAGAAGCTTTACGAGAGAATCACCCGGCGGGTGTCCTCGAATTTCCGACGGATGTACCTCTCATCCGCCGAATCATCGTTGAACGAGAACGCGGTGATGCCTGTTTCCGGTCCGCTGCCGGCGAAGAGTGTAGGCGTGCGGTCGCCGGGGAAAGTCGCGAACTGCAGGCTCTGGACAACACGCGTGTTTCTTGGCGTGGGGTATTGCGGTCCTGGCCGATATCCATAGCTCGACAGCTTGTTGCACGCATGTACGTTGAGTTCGAGCTCGCGGAGGCGCGAACCGGTGCGTACGGAGTAGAGCGCGATTATGTCTAGGTCGTCGTCGTGAGCGGCCGCTACGATGCCTGTGGGCGCATCGTATGCGAAGCCGATTTCGATATGTGCGGCATTGTGGTAATGTTCGAATCTTATGACTGGGTTGACTTTAGGCTTTTGCCACGATTTTTCTGTAGTATTACCACCAGTACGGCGCCAGCGAGACTTGTTAGGACGGTTATAGCCATTGTTGCGTTTGTTTCCATTTCCATTGCTATTTCCAACACTGTCACCGTCATCACCGTCGTGGCTGCCCACACGCTGCGAGGGCGAGAATCGCAGGTCATATACTCCAAGACAGTTTTCCAGCCCAGCTACAAGGACCTGATTCCCGCCGTTAAGACACCTGAGGTGCGTGATAGTGGAAGGGAGCTTGACATAAGACCATGCAGTGGATGGTGTGCGTGTGTCGGCAGTAAATAGTACTCCCGGTCGCCCGCCGAATCGGAAGACTTCTCCGTGGTTCGGATGGAAATCAATGGCGAACACGTCGTTAAATAATCTGTTATGTGGTTCGAGCTTGGTTGGGACAGAGCATGAGAAGTTACTGTCCCACTGTACGATTCCTTGGCTCGTACCGACCGCGCACACCAACGATGAAGATGCCGGCGCAGGTGCAACACAATTCGACCCGTAGTCATTGTAACGAAGCTTGCCACTTCTACCGTCTCTCCCTATCGTCAAAGGTTCAAAGGCTAAAGCGCGCAAGTAAGTAATGTGGAAGCTGAAACCCAACTACAACATGAGATGATCATCATAACAGACAAAGGGTAATGGGAGGTATAGACAGGGGAAATAGACCAGCATCACGAACTTACGTGAGGGGACAAGCCAGAGTGGACGTCGAGAGTCTTCGTTTCCAGCGTCAATGACGGGCGAACACTTCTGCACAGAACTGATATTGCTGTGCTCGGGAGGTCCATTTGCCGCCACGAGAATAGAGTTGCTGGGTTCATGGTACTTGATATCTGAGATTTGCGACGCTACTGACTGGTATTGCATATCGGGCACAGACGTTGAGAAGCGATAGTTGGCTAGAACACTCCGATCGAGGCTGTGAAACGAATACCAAAAAGAACACTGTTAGTTATTTCGTCTTCGTTTCCGCTTATGAGACAAGGAGACGACTTTAAATAAATATCATTGAAGTACATACAACCCGTTCTTATCTCGCACTAAGTAGGTGGCAAGAAATCGGTTCTCTTGGTAGGCTACGATGGCAATGTTATCATCATATCTTGAAGACAACAAAATTACGAAGGAACTGGGCCTATCAGTGACATACCTGCGTACAGATTACACAGCCCAGTCTTATAGTCATAGCCGGTTATGAGCATACGGCTGATAAACGAGTCCCTACGGTCATTCCAGGCGGCCAGCGGCAGTAACTGAAGGGCGCCTTTGTGTCTCAAGCCATCGGCAAAGCAGGCGGCTTGCATGTCATCTTTCACGGCGCCATACTCACGAGCGAAGAAGCCGCCCGTCAACGGATCATGAAGCACCCTTGCCCGCTTGATCCGGCTCTTGGCGAGGTTCGAGTGCCGCACGGCGGCTACGGTTTCCTGTTCGCGAAGCTTCCGCCGTTTCACAGTGTCGGAGGACCAGACAGCATTGGCAGGCGCGGTCTTACTATTCTCAACCTTGAAATAGCGGCGCTTCTCGGAATCTATCCAAGAGTGTTTGTCAGCTTGCTTGACTTGACTTCCTTGCCGATATAGGTTCTAAGGGACACATAAAGTAGTTGAATGAAGGTGAAGGAGAACAGAATGAGCAGGTCATATGGGTTTCACAAACCGTAGTAGTACCCTGGAATATTCATACCCGCGTTCTCATGTGTAAAGAGGCTGAATGAAGATAGGTATGTGTTGTGTAGAACTCCGCCAAGAGATAGAAGATTTGCGATGGCGGCGACTTGGTAGCAAACCAAACCGTTTTCACTTCCCGGAGGTGTAAAGGAATAAGTCCATCGTGTATCGAGAGATATCTAGATAGATACTTCATAGGCCAGATAGTGTCGTACAAGCTCGAATGATGGTTCGCCAAACGAAGTGAAATGAAGCAAGGGACGATGATAGTGGAACGTGACGTCAGGTGTTCACCAAGGGCTGGCACTTACGGTCGGGGCGCCAGACCGAAAAAAAAATTATGATGCAAACACTGGAAACGATCCGACACCAGCTGGAGATATGGAATACGACACAACCGTCAAAATTTGTTAGAAGCGGCGTTACACTTGTGTGGTTAGGTGGCAACACGAAAGTCACATCGCGAACATTTAGGTTAAACAACTAGGTTTTACTTTCTTATTTAATTAAGTCTAAAGACGTATAGGTAGGGTATATGACCGAAGTCCGCCCGCCGCATCATTCAGTTTACAAAAAATGAAATTATAAAGAGTGATCGTTCGACCCCCAAGCCAGACGGAGGTCTATCTAGTGTATACACCGAATGGCAAAGGTATGTAACACAACGAAGAAGGGGGCCGATTGGCGTGGCCTGGCGGGGATTGCCGCGCCGTGTCACTTGTCGACCATTTACTGCGACTTTTCGTGCTGGGTGGAGACACGCTGGAGTGAGACGACTGTGAAACAAAGTTAGCTAGGGGATCATGCAATGCAATGGTAATCGATTAAAACTTACCGAAGTCTTCAAGGGAGCGTTGCTTTTGGCTTCCCTTGGGAGACTTGCCGTGCATCAGGTTGTCGAATCCAGAGCTGTCCTGGAGGAAGTAGTAGACACCGGCCATGACGCTGAAGACACCGAACGAGAAGATCCAGATACGGACAACGGCGACAATGTGGGTGTATCCGTCCTCGAACCAACCGAAGATACAGAAGAGAGTAGCGATGACATCGACGAGGAAGATAGCCCCAGTCAATTGCCACGAAGGGATGGACGACCAGAAAGGACCGTTGGCACGAGTGATGAAGATGAGCCAGTTCTCGGTAAGAGAGATCTCAAGGAAGAGGACTTCATCGAGGTTACCGTTGTTCTGGACAATACCACCGTTCTCAGAGTTGGCGTAGAGGGTGGTGACAGTAATCCAGGTACCGACAGCGAGAATTACACCGAGAATGACGGACATACCCCAGAGCTTAGGCAAGTTCCATTTGACGGGGCTCATGGAGTAAGGAGCGTTATCGTAAGCAATGGCCAGGGTAGCAACATCAGCGAAGATGGCAATGAAGACAACGAGCTCAATGTTGAGAGATCGGTTGAGGATGGCAATCCAGAGACCAAGGTAGATCTCCAAGTGGAGGGACAGAGCAATACGGTAGACGACATAAGCGTACATACGGTGGAAAATCTGGCGGGAAGTCTTAAGAGCATCAATAATAGCACCAAGACCAGGAGCCAAGAAGACGATATCGGCAGCGGAACGAGCAGCATCGGAGGCACCCTCGACAGCGATACCAGTGTCGGCCTTCTTCAATGAGGGAGCATCGTTGACACCGTCACCAGTCATACCAACAAGGTAACCACGCTGTTGCAGAATTTCGACGACATTGTACTTGTGTTGGGGGAAAACCTCAGCGAAACCATCAGCAGCCTCAACGAAATCGTAGACCTCAGAGCCGGGCATGTCACCGCCGCCACCAAGACCAAGACGCTCAGCGTTATAGACGTTGGTACCGAGACCGAGTTGACGAGAAGTTTCACGAGCGATACCGACAGCGTCACCAGTAAGCATCTTAATAGAGAGACCCATACGCTTGGCTTCGTTGATAGTGCGAGCAGTGTCGTGACGGGGAGGGTCAGAGCAAGGCATGATACCGAGAATCTCCCAAGCACCCTCACCACGCTTGCGGGCAACACCAAGAGAACGGAAACCACGGGTAGCGAACTCAGCGACCTTGTTCTTGTAGGCCTGGTCGATCTCCTCAGGGACGGGGTGGTCTTCAGCAACAGTCTTCAGGACGAAAAGAGGAGCACCCTTGACGCAAGTGATGATCTCACCCTGGGGAGACTCGACGATGGCAGTAACCTTCTTGGAGACGGGGTCGAAGGGGTAGAATTCCTTGACAATGTACTTAGAGAGGACACCCTTGGCACGAGGATAGTACTTGAGGGCCTTGAGGAAAGCCTTGTCGATGGCATCCATACCCTTCTTCTTGCGAGAGGCAGCCAAGCAAGCAGTAAGCATGAGGTCATCGGGCTCAACACCAGCAACAGTAAAGGGCTCAGACAGAGAAAGCTTGTTCTTAGTCAGAGTACCGGTCTTGTCAGAGCAAAGAATCTCGACACCAGCAAGGGACTCAATGGCCGAGAGCTTCTGGACAATAGCCTTCTTCTTGGCGAGGAAAGCAGCACCGACAGCCATGGTGGTGGTAACGACGGCGGGAAGACCGACGGGGACACCAACAATGGTGATAGCGAGGGTGAAGCCCAAGATCTCAACGATGGGGTTGGAGCGGTAGAAAGAAGAAACCCAAACAACCAGAAGAGTCAGGATGACGAGAACAAGCAGAATCGTACCAATGCCGTTGAGGACCTCAGTGAAGTGACCAGTGCCGCTGGAAGCCTGGCTGACCAGGGCAGCAGCGCGACCGACGAAGGTGTTGTCACCAGTAGCAGTAACGACCATGAAGGCCTCACCACGCTTGACGGCGGAGGAAGCAAAGCACTGGTCGTTCTTGTGCTTGTCAACAGCAAGAGACTCACCAGTGAGGGCAGACTGATCGACTTGAAGGAAAGCGTCATCGGTAACGATACGGCCATCAGCGGGAATGATAGTACCCTCTTCAACCTGCAGGATATCACCAGGGACGACTTGGGGAGCCTCAATCTCCTTGAGAGTACCGTCACGGAGAACGACGGCCTTGAGGGCAAGTGTCTTCTTCAACTCATCGACAATGGAACCAGCCTGGTATTCTTGGATGAAACCAACAGCAGCGTTGAGCAATAGCAGACCAATAATGACACCGAAATCGACCCAGTCTTCCAAACCAGCGGCAAGGACGGCAGCAGCCTCCATGACGAACTGAATGGGACCAACGAAGAAACCCTAGAGCGAATTGATTAGCCAGGGTCGAGCAGACGACGAGGAGCCCACTTACGAAGAACTTGAGGATTAGGTTCTCCTTCTCCTCCTTCATCTGGTTGAGACCATACTTGCGACGACGGTTGGTAACCTCAGCTGTGAGACAATTAGCAACACTGCAACCCGCGGGCCCGGCTCCGAGAGGCACTATCGACTTGGATTCGTTGCGCGCAATCCAATTGAGTGTTGTACATCGGTCTCGTCAACTTACATTCTGTCAGACCGAGACGGGTATCAGTGTTGAGCATTTCCTCGGGAATGGTACGACCCTGGCCAACACCCTGGCCTTCCTCCTCCTCTTCCTCATCCCCACCATCGTCGGACTCAAGGTCCTCGATCAGGGCGTCAATGTCCTCATCTTCCTCCTCGCCGTCGTCAACCTTGGGCTTGGTGTGGGCAGGCTCGGTGTTGTGGTGGGCAGCCTTCTCGTCGAAGTGACCCGACTCGATGTTGGTTTGGATTGCCGGCGCGGCGGCAGAATTATTAGACTCAGCCATGCTGGCGAGGAGTTATTGCTATAGTCGAGATCTACTCGCTATGCTAGAGTTGCTACTACTTCAACAACGCGTTAGAACAATGTGTACGTCACACATAAGGCTATGGCATAGGGCTCAGGTGCTGGGAAGGTAGTGATTGCAATCGAGATGTAGAAGTAGCGGGGTTCTGCAGATGGAATGCAAGCAGGTGCTAGGTGAAATGATGTTGTTGCGAGGGTGAGACTGCGCCAGGCGCAGAGGAATTGAGAGAAGTTTGCACCTACAAGAAGAAAGACACTATTAGATAAGGGGAGGGAATGGTGGGAGATAGAGAGAGAGAGGAGAGAGAGAGCGTATGGTGGAAGTCACCGGCGTCGAGAACCTATTGAAAGTTGACGAGTCGATTTGAACAAGTCTCTACGCGGTAAGAGAGAAAAGAGAAAAACGAGAACGTCAATTGCGACGGGCAGCTCGGATTTTTAAAGGCTAGGAGGCCATAGGAGACGGGCGACGTGATGGATGGATGGATCCGCCGAAGAAGCTCTCCTCGCCAAAATGGGTGCAAGTCAAGCCGGGGCCTGTTGCTGGCTGGTCCTGGTGCTTGCTGGGCCTGGTGCTCGGTGTCTCGCGACATCGCGCTACAGTGCGGACCCACCGGCCCCATCCCCCATTCTGCCCCATCTCCATCTCCCAATTTGTCGCATCGTGTTCCCATCGTTGTCCCGTTCATCATTCATTCATTCAGTAGTGCTCTGGCCTATCAGGACTACGATGAATTGAGAAAATGCGAATACCCGAGAGCCTATTAGTGTAGTACTGGCAGGTAAGTATTCACTGCTGCAGTACTGCTTATGTTACTAGGTATGTTACTTGCAAATACACCAAGAAACAATCTACCTACATACCCATATGTACGGTATTATTATGCGCTACTTTTCTGCCAAACGTACATTGTATCTGTTAATTATCAAGTACGGTACCTACATGCAATTGCTGTTTTCCCTATCTCGCCGGCGTCTGTAGCAGATACATACTACATACTTACATGTCCCGACTACCTAGGTACCCCATATCCCATATTCATTCACCCTCTCACAGGCACACACACACACAATTACTAGTATGGATATGGACCGTATGGTTGACCGTTAGCTACGCCATTATTAGGTAGTAAGTAGGTTGAACAAACCACTCGACGTCGCGCAGTCTAGTTCGGCCGAGAAACTCCTATGGTGGTGAAGGTTTCTTGACAGCTGTTTTTGAGTTCAACTAAGCCTAAACCTTGGTTTTCCTTTCATCTAAGTATCTACATATGTAGGTATCCTAGAGGTATCCTGGAAGCATCGTTTCCTATTCTGCTATCTAAGTATACCGCCTACTCCCTAGATGGAGTTGACGAGCGTTATATCACCGGCTACTCCATCACAATAGAACTCTTATATAAAGTACAATCCATAGTTGAGGGATGAATGCCATACTATCCAATGTTATAGACTAGGTCGGCTGTTGAATTGAGCATTGATGATATACATCACACTACCTTGTAAGTACGAAGTACACTATATCTTTGTCGAAGCGTCGGTATTGTTTGTAGATAAGCATGGGCTGCTGTAGGTCTGCAAGAGAAAATCTTGCCCAGCTACCGGTACCTACGCTACTCGCACCTGCACCTACATTCTACATAGACCTACACGCACTACCACTAGATACCCTATATACCCTAGCGCACTGTCGGGATGCACGACAACGCGCACTGTGCCAGCAAGTCCCCAATACAGGGCCGAAAGTGCGGCGCCCCACTTCGATCGGGTGGGCATCTCTGGCCGGGGGGGGTAGCAGGGTACAGAGGTACATGTAGGTAAATCACTCACTCAACTTTTTTGCTCAGTTGCTTGCCCATGACGACAGACCGCAACAACGAATGCCAAATATGCCTCGACGCCGCCGCCATCGCTTATTAGCATTAGTAGCATTATTTATTATTATTTTCATGATTATGATTATGATTATTATTACTTCTTACGGTACTATATCTCATTTGCTCTGCTGGGCATCCCGAGGACAGCGGTGCTGGCTCCGCGGAAGCGAAGGCCAGACAAGTCATCCATCCTATCCTCGGCGCAATCGACTCGGCAATCGGATAATGATTGTTGCCTTCAGTCCTCGCTTTGACCGAACGCAAATTTTTTCCTCATGATTGTATCATCCCTACTGGTAGGTTGTGTAGTGTACTTTGAATGTACTTACAGTAGTGTGGTGTTGTAGCAGGCTGGTAGGCAGGCTGTCGCCCCGTTGCCTGGTGTGAGTGACATTTGTTTTGGTCAGAATTTTCCGATCAAAACAAGGTTTCCGGTTCCTGTTGCTGAATCCATTTCTGCAAGCAACAGCGCAGACGGGCAGCACAGCACAGACCACGCTGATCCTTGGTATGACCAGCTAGCTAGGGATTCTGCTAGGGAGCTCGGGAGCGTGCCCATCCACGGCGTGGAAGAGGTACTTACCATGCCTATAAGTGAGGCACCTATGCCCCAGTCAACCCCAAGTCCCACGCCCTGTCCCTGTGCAGAACTGTGCTGCAGCAAAACCCCGTGGCTCCTTTTCCAATCTTTTCCACCTACCTATAGCGATAGCACAGTGTGCTCATAGCATACGATGCCCATCACACTATGCTACACTAAGTACTCTCCTGCGTCGCTAGCTACTACCCGAGCTACCTACTTTGGTGCTATGTTAGTAGCTGATGAAGATCCTGTACCTGCCGAGGCGGTGTAAGAAAAAAGTGAGAGACTCAACACCTCTGTGTTCAGTGCAGAGTCCCTCACTTTTTTCTTTCACCGCCTCGCCTGCCTCCAACCCAGTACGCCGTCTTGTTAGTAGGTGCCTATCGAGTAGTGTAGGCCTGTGTAGGCATGCCGTTAGTGTACGAGTAGTGTAGCTGTTCTTCCTGCCAGGGTTTAAGCACTGTTTCTTGCTGGAAAGAGAAATTCTGCTGCGGGAGTAGCAGCTTCGGCCTGAGTCGGTTCACCATAACTGTTCTAGCCAGCAACCCACAGTGGACGTGTCGCGACTCGCGAGGCAATCTCAGGCTGCAGTAGTACCCTCGGTACCTTCGTCTACACAGTATCGTACCGTGTCACAAGGAACAAATCGGATATTTGCACTGTCATTCGCACTGTTGCAAGGTCCCTGCACCATGCAACGTGAGACCAGGTAAGGCGAGTCTGGGCGAGCTAAATACCGACTGTCTCTTACTCTCTCTATGAGCAATTTTAAGTCTCAAACAGCCACGCATGCAGCAAGCTGGCACGAGACAGAAGGTCTTAACGGCTACCTATCTAGGTATATCTATACTTAGGATGCCTACCAAGGTAGGCGAGTAAGTAGTAGGTCGGGTTGGTAGGATGGAAGATCCCTCAGTGCCGTTCTCTACGGTTCGAGCTGACTCCGCTCGCCATACGTACATAGTACTGTACACGAGCAAGCATATGAAGCACAAGTGTCAAACAACCGACGAACATCTCGCCCAATGCGCCTCCTAACCCATGTACTTAGCATGCCTAGCATACCTACTTAGTGTACAGTACTTGCAGAGTAGATCGAGGCCGAGGTTGTTCAACCGCCGTCTACGACGAAACGAAACAACAATTGAAGGAGGCCAGTGTTGGAGACTTGTTTAGTATGACGAATTCTTTTTTAGTCTGTCGCTCAGTGCTCTTGGGCCCTGTCGATCACATACTACGGTATGTAATAGCCTCTCTACCTTTCTCTCTTTCTGGCCTGCCACCAATCCACTCCATGGGGCAAGGTAGCTAGCTAACGGACTTACTACTTCGTAGTTGTGAGAGTAGTAGCTTTAGGTAATGTACAGTATATCTATCTCGTACATACACGATGAAGGTCTGCAGAGAGCCTCGAGAGCATCTCCAAGTTCCCCAGCCTGTTCCCACGCGACCTCCAAAGAAGCCACCCCCGCATCGCGTAGGTATCGTACCAACTAATACGTACAGTTCCACGCACATACAAAAGTGGTTGGGACGTTCATACACTTAACTACCTGGCTGACTGCACTTGCTGACGGTGCCGTCTTCGATAGCGCAGATGTCATGAGAACTGTTCCGTCTCATCAAAGCAAAGCCGCAGGCCTACCTGAATGAGAAGGATGCGTCTATCTGGGACTACCGTTAGTGTTGGCCCGGCATGGCTCACCACCTACGTCATGCGACCTGATTTCGCCCGTCTGTCAGCCCTCCGCCCAGAATCCTCCCCTGTTCTGGTCTGAGGTCACAACCCATTCCACCGCAACCACCGAAAGCTGGGTGCGGTTCGTGATCGATGCGCCGGCGCTCAAGCTGGTCAAACTCGCCGGCAACTTCATCCTTCTGCACGTCGAACTAGGCGGCTTGGATGGTCTTGGACTCACTCTGGACTCACCGACAAATATCCGGCCAGACAGCCAACAAGAAATTATGGCGTGTAAGTAAGTGATAAGCGCTCGGCCCAGTTGTTCCGACCTGTCCGATCAGAGCATTCGCTCGGGATGCCCGTTTTCCCCACCACCTCTCTCACTCTCGGTGTGTAGAGGTGGTCGAGTGGTGTAAGTAGAGGTGGAACTACGAGTCTCGTGGGTGCGGTTGCGGCAATTCTTCGTCCCTTCTAGAATCCGAGTCTTATTCTACACTACGGCAATTTCCCGCGTCGCGGTATTCCGTCTGCGGCATCCAAGCGCCTATCGGAGCGTCTCTTATCCTACTTATGTTCTGCATGGTCAGACATTTGCCACGACTTATATGTACTGTGAGTAAGTGGCTTACTTAGTACGTATGTCAAGGAGCGTACAGCTAGTGCACAAATTTCGTCGACGACTACGACGCTTCTGCCAGTCATTAACAATTAACCAACCTGACGCCGAATCCATCGTCTACCTACTATCATAAGACAGAGTCCCAAGCCTCGACTTGCGCTACACTCAGTAACTTAAAGGTCTTGGGATCATGACGCAACATTATTAAAGCACTCGTGTG